GGATGATGCATCTATAAAATTACCTCCATTCTATCCACCAATTTCGATTAACTGGACGCGTTTCAGATCAGGGACCGGGCCGCGGATCCATTCTGGTTCTGGTATTGCACTGCAATCGTTATCGCTAGATAGCCCAAGAAAAATGGGTTACAAAGCATATTTTTTGTTGGATCACGTCACAGCGTCGTCCAGCAGTTCGTGATCCCATATTGTCGGGCTAGTCGCCGGTTTCAAAGAACTAAGCGACCTACTTCATCGTCATTTCTCCATTTGTAACAGACGTAGCTAAGAATCGTACAAAGACCAGACACGTTAAATCTGAGTCAAGCCGTCCAGCTTTATGAGTGGTGGTTTCTGTACGATAAGGTTTGCCAGTCCGCAGGGCTGTGTCTGTAAAAGAAATGGAGAAAGCCAGAGCTCATGTTCTAGAAGGCCTTTTCGGGGTCCCTCGGTTTCGGTTTTTTCGTTATTGTCCGGTCTTGTGGTGGTATTGCACTGTGGCTAGTGGGCTTCCACCGTCGAACACCTCACTAACTAGCGTCCCCATCCATTAGATGACCTGATTTCGCTGAGCGCATGTCCCGTCTTTGCCGAGAAAGCGAGATTCGTCCATTTATGCCATCGACGTCGTAGGTTTGGAATATCATCTCGGCGACAATCGGTCCAGCCTTATGGATAGTAAACCGTGACATCTCATAAAGGTTATGTTACAGGGGAGAGAGGTGTGCTTTGCTGCTGGCGTGACAGACGGTAGGATAGGATTAATAAATTAGCACGGAGATTCAGTGAGGGGGCAGAAGCTGGGAGGGTCTGCGAAAGAATAACCGTCCAGAGACGTTGCTCCCTAAGAGTATGAGGCACGGATTGCCAATCTGAGAGGCTGGTAGAAGCCGGACTGAAGAAGCATTTCCGGGTGATGCTGTGTGTTTACGGGAGCTACTGTTGCAGTGGGCGATATAGCTACCTAGCAATGTACCTACGTATTGCGCAAACGCATTTGAACCCGCGCAAGTCATGTCTTCTTCGAATGGAGACTTGGGGTGGGAAACTGACGTCTCACTGTCGTGGCCTCAGAACAATGATTGCCTCTCTGTAAATGTATGTATGCGGGCCCAACGCAACTTGGATCGGCATCCAACGGTAGGAAATGCGCTGGAGACGATGAAATTTGCCTCGATTATTGTTGGCCTTTATGATGCCCCGGAGCTCGAACCAGATAGAAGTATTGCTGCGACTTGTCGGTGCTTAGACGGAACATGACTGTACACACAAGCGCCCCCCATTCGCAACTTTGCTCATCCATCATCTCATCCCCTCACCTGCAGACTCTACACATCGTCAAACGCCAGCATAGGCCCAACGGTAACTGGCTAGATACGGCGACGTCTCGTTTCACTTTCCCCACGCACAAGCCATACCCCATCCGTACGAGCGGCTATGCTATGGTGTTCTGACGCACGCGCCCGTGCCCGTTCACCTAGACTCGTCAGCAAGGCGCAGTTTGGGTCTGCTCTTTTTTTTCCAACAGCTGCCCCGGCCCAAGGCGGGACGGGGCAGATTCACTCCTAGTCACCCCGAATCCAGAGCCAGCTTCCCCGTCGTTCATGCTCATGCAATCACGATATAATCCAAGTCGCTTGCACGTTCCTCTGCTGCAGTTTTGGAAACCCGAATCGATATCGACAGACTTTCATCACGGCGTCATCGCACCAGCAAGTCACCCCGGCAACAACTTGGCTCCTCACTCACCATCCGGAACACACCACGCTGAAGAACCCTGAAGCACTATTTCCGATTCCGGCGCCCAACTCCTGAATTGTTTCTCCTCTTCCCGTCCGTCCGCCATCCATTTTTCATCTTTCCCTTCCTCCCCACATATTCGCTTTCGGTCTCATCAATTCACTTGTCGGCCTCCCACCAGACATTATCCATCTGGTGTCTACAATCTCTTATTACAGTATCTTTAAGCGAATTTGCGCCCCTAAAGGCAAACAAAGCTGCATTCTGCTGACATCCCGCTCTTCTGAATTCAACCGATTCGTCAGGTTACCGGCCATTTCCCCTGCCAAGGGCTCGCCGGTTTCCACCAACAGGGGCCCTGAAGTGCGGCGAAAGGACTATTCATCTCACCAGCAAGGCACATAAGTCGCTTTTCTGGGGGCCGGCCTGCCCACTACCGCCGAACCTGAGGTAGCGGAGATCACGGAGCTATCCTCGCTTTATCTGGCAAGGCAAAGCTATACACGCCCAGAGGAGAGAAAGGATACCAATCTTGACGGAAGATGCCACGCCTCGGGTACAAAAAATCTCGTGGTGGCTGTGCAAGATGTAAACAGCGTCGTGTAAAAGTACTTGCCACCCTCCATCCACACTAATCAACCCTTTTGTTACGCGCGCATACAATCTCGTATCGATCGCAGCTGGCTGACGTCTATTCACCCAGTGCGATGAGAACAGGCCTTGTGGCGCCTGCATCAGGCACAACACTCAGTGCAGTCTCGTTGAGAACTTGTCAGACGGCCAAGCAGGCTCCGGTGACAACATGAGTTGGGAGCCGACGAACCGCTCCCAGCCAGGACTCGCCAGGACGCCGAGTCTTCAGCGGAGGGGCTCATCACGAAAGGGATCGAGTGGTAGCCGCAAGACCCAGACGTCAATCAGCCCTATAGACCAGTCTCTTACACCACCGAGCTTACTCGAGTCCACCTTCAATCTGCAGGCAGACTTCATCAGCGACCAATGCTCGTCCATTAGCAACCGCAAATCCTCAAATGCCGCTTCAAGCCCCGATCCTTTCCCATATTTTGTTAAATTCACCACTGGTCCTGTGGAGCCGGTCCACCTCAGTAAGTGGATCACGGATCTCGAGCTGATGCACCACTATTCTACAACGACGTGCCTCACGATGCCGAGGTCGAATGATGTGAGCCAGATATGGCAGTTCGAAGTCCCAAAGCTCGGCCTGACATACATGTTTCTGATGCACGAGATACTCGCCATCAGCGCACTACATCTTGGCCATCTACATCCGGAGCAGCGAGAGTCTTATGCATTACACGCCTCGCAGCATCAGAGCGACGCCATAGCAGGCATGCGAGAGTCTCTCATGCAGATCACACCAGACAATTGCCACGCTCTTTTTGGGACCTCGTCATTGTTGGTACTCAACGCCTATTCTACCTTCCCACATCAAAGGGGATCATCGCAAAGCCCCGACGCACCGACGGTCGACGACATCCTTGATGTATTCCTTCTAGTGAGAGGCATGAGCCACATTCTATCGTCTTCACAACCGATCATTCAAGCGGGGCCCTTCGCACCTTTCTTCACAGAAATAGTAACCCCGACGTCGACGCCATTGCTAGATGCAGTTACACAACATCTCCAGAACTTCCGATTAAGCTTGGAGACTTGTAATTTGGATCAAACAAGCAAGATCGTGGTTGTAAAAGAGACTGGCGTATTTTTGGAATGGATCGTACATGCTGTCGAGACCACCGCTTTTCCAGAGATACGTGTGGCCTTAACATGGCCTATCAACCTCACAGAGGAATACCTTCAACTGCTGCGCAATCGCGACCCCGCGGCGCTGACATTGTTGGCATACTATTGCGTTGTCATTCGCTCAACAGAAGCAACGACGTGGTTTATGCAGGGATGGGGCATCAACGCGGCTCAGGCGATAGTATCGGGTCTGGATCCAGAGTGGAAGGAGATGATCAAGTGGCCTCTAGCTTTTATTAGCGACAGGAGTATACAGCTATAGTTGTCATAGAGAAACCTCAAGATGCTCATGTCCTTCTCATGCCATTATTAAGTGTGGCCTCAGACATTATGAAAACTTGTTAAGCCTCAAGATTTGATGCTATTTCTTCATAGCGACTGCTTCTCGCTCCTACCCCATGTGCTCCCCCAACAATCCAGGGTAAGCGACGCTAGGAACCGCACAACACGTTTTCATGTCGAGCAAAGCGCCAAAGGACTGGGTTAGAGAGCTTCTCGGCCGAAGGACGGGGATTGCAACCAGGATAACGGACCGCAATGTTCAACACTACCGAACAGCCTCTAGGCATGGTCATTCTGGCGTCCAGGTGCACGACACTTTTACCAATATCAAAGTCAAGCACGATAATAGAGTGTAAATGAAACACAAAAACAGGCGGAGCAATCCGAAACCCCGAAAACGAAAGCGAGGCCATGGTGGTAGTGGTTGCCGGTTGAGGGGGGAAGCTTAATACGCCATAGCTTTCGTTAGTAGAAAGACCGTTCGCTCGATAAGGCTGACTGGCCCACAGAGTTTGCCGCTTCAGGCAAACCGTGGCAGTCGGTCTGCCCAGGGAAATATCGAAGACAGTAGAAATCTTAATATCAGACCCTTGTATTTGAACAGGTTGAGCAGATTGGGCAGTTTAAAAGAAATGAGTGTCGCGACAGGCGACGGTTGTGCCGTGACGCGGTCTTAACGCGTCTTTCACCGCCACGGCGCAAGCCTCGAAGGCTATTCGCCCCTGTGGATCATGGAAGGAACACCTTCCTTTTTTACACATCACATCTCATTCGAGATTAATCAGTTAGAATGGTGGATCAGCCCGTATGCCACGGATTGGTCTCCTATCCGTTGTGCTCACACATATGGAACGATGCCTGGCACTTATGCATCACGTCTGTCCAGGCGGCTTTCGGTATCATCCGGTGTGCGACCTCCAGCACTGGCAAGTAGCCTCATCTATCTCCCTAAAGACTCTTCAGACTGTGATAGGCCGAAGTTCGTTGTCAATAGATGTAAGGCAACGACTAACCGCTGTCGGGGTCAGAATCATCGCAGGTGGTGAAGTTGGATTGAGAACCGCCGCTGACTGCTTTGATGCGACCAATATCTGGTGTGCCCACACAACACATTAGCACCCAAGTCACAGGAACTGAACGCAGGGAGATTCTCGGCGTCAATTATTTGTTCAGTTACTGTGTTTGAGATCTCGGATGTATGTACAAAAACTCGTTCAAGCCCAGGTGTCGAAGAAGCGAACTGCTTGGAAGAAGGCCTCCTCCTTGCCGAACTTCTGTCTGGGGTCCGAGATGTTCGCGCGAACGGCAAAACCGTGGGAAGTGCCTCCATACAGCGCAATGGAGAACGGCTGTCCGGTCTGGCCGAGGAGCGCCTCGATTTCTGCGCGACGAGTAGCAGGCATGAGACTGTCCGTCTCTGAATGCAGTTTGTCAACATCCTCTTCATCTCAAGTGCATACAGAAAGCACTTACCGGCAGCGGCAACACTAGCGGGGCCAGTAATGGCGTTGATCTCGTCATCAGTGAGCAAACTTGGGTGCGCGGCAAATCCGATATCGGCACCCTTGCCATCAGCAAGGACACGGAACGAGTAGCGACCGCCGAAGCAATATCCCGTAACGGCAATCTTGTCAACTCCGAGCTTCTCGCGAAGGTATTTAATAGAGTTGGCAACAATAGGATCGGTTACGTTCGGGCCATGCTGCGCGAGGAATTGGGTTGTGTTGAAGCCAGGAAGGTTGATGTCGTTTGGCGCCGGGCTACCGTTGAACAGATCCGGGGCGACGGAAACGTAACCAGCGCGGGCGAAGCTGTCAGTGAGCCTAGACAATGCGTCAGTGTGGCCGCAACGCATGGTGAACGAAGGTTTTTCAATGACTTACAGCTTGTTCTCGGCCAACTGAATGCCAAAGACATCAGTCAGATACAGCACACCGACTGTCTTGTTACCGCGTGCACTCCACCCCTTAGGCTTCGAGACGTATTGAGTGACTGTATTCGAATCGCATCAGGGAACCATCTCGAAAATGATTCAAGGTAGGCATAACTTACGTCCGTTGTAGGAGATCTCTTCGCCGACCGGAGTGCCGGTGTGAGCGATCGCGGAAACGTCGGCGACGGGGCACTTTTTCGCAGCAGTAGTCAAGGAAGCGAATCCCAAGAGGACTGCGACAATTGTCTTGCTGAGCATCTTGACTGTTTCCTGATGAAGACACTTGTGGTTGAGTCGATTGAATACGGACGGGGATTGAGGCGGGATGGATTTCAGCCAGGGAAGGTTAAGCTTGAGTCTTAAGTTTCTCTCATTCTATCCGTTGCTCATCGAGTTGCGACTGATTACAAATTGCGCCAGCCGGATTTAAAGTCGATGGCAGCCCAGACGGAGATACCGGTACAGCGTGGTTTCTACGAAACACCCATGCTCACCCACACGGCAAGGATCGCGCAGCAATCATTGAAGACGTCATCCGATCCATCACTGGCCGCTGAAAACAGTCCTGATCGGTGAGCTGCCGGGTGGAAAAACTGTTTGAGTCCGGGCTCAGGCAGGTAATTAGCGTCGTGCCTAATATTGATTCTTCTTTGCTTCAGGACAACCCTCCAATGAGAGCAGCTTTTACCCCTGTATTACGGGGGGCTTTGTTTACTTGCTGTATCCCCAGATACTACGCTGGTCAATGTGATGACCCTTGATTATGTGGATTTCAGCGCCAAGCGTGTAGGCCAAGAAACGATAATCGCCTGAGAGGAATTGCCGTGCGAAGAGGGGGTGTGCGTGAGGCAACTACGAAATATGAATGGCTCACTCATAGCCGATTCGCCCATGTTCTTACTCATCACTGTACAACGCGAGTAATTATCAAACATCGTCCACAGTCTGGAGGATTTTTCTCAAATTAGACTTGCTCGCACCTAAGTGTAGACCGAAGTACCTGTCTTTTCACATTACGATCCATCTTCTATATATTGCGGATGACGACCATATGTTAAGTTTGTCTCGTTGGTCCCATCTTTAAATAACCCCCAGGAGGCCCTCTTTCGTGAACAGCTTCGCGCAAAGTGCGAGGATAGTCCCCGCCATGCAAACGACACCACCGAAGATAGAAATTTGGTTATATCCGTGATACCGATTCAGCAGCGCGCCGCTGACGGGAGGCCCAACCAACACGGCCATAGACGCAAAAGCAATACCCATTCCCATGTAGGTGCCAATATCCTTGGGTGTTTTCGGACATAATGTGAACACCACTGAACCACCTGAGATGATGGCGCCTGACGTGAGGCCGTAGGCCGCAGAGAACCCGATAATGCTGGCTTGCGTGACAGCCTTCGGCCAACACAGAATCAATACGGCGGTGAGAAGTCCTGCAGTGAATAGTGTGTTGATACGACCGAATTTGTCACCCAGGATCCCGGGCACAATGCGCCCAGGGACCGAGGCGCCGTTGATGATGGCGACGAGATACGAAGCCAGCGCAGGGCGCATACCGTGGTCGATACCAAACGTTGGTAAGTAGAAGAGCGGGACAAACATGCCGACGAACATGAGGCACACGCCGCCGACCAGGCAAAGATAGAGAGGTTCCTGGAATGCTGTAAAGATGAAGAAACGACTCTTTCGCGGAGGGAGACGGGCCCTGACCGTGAGTGACGAAAAGAGTAGGACCGGCATCATGATGAACCCACAGACTCGAACAGACCAGCCGAATCCGATAGTGTCCAGCAACTCCGAGAGCACGATGGGAAAAACGACTGCGCCTAATGAAGAACCTGCGATGGCAATACCCATTGCTGCTCCCCTTCTCTTTAAGAAGTATTGGGGCGTTGCGGCCATCGCGGGAAACATAATCAACCCGTTCGATATGCCGCTGAGCACGCCTTGTGCAAGTATAAACTGCCAGTACTCGTGACACAAACTGGTCATCATGACTGAGAAAATGTACACAACCGCCGCGGGACGAATGATCTGGCTTATGTTAGTACCTGGGTCCGGCTATAATACATCGTCTCAGTTTCACATGTCACTTACCCAGGCGCCATATCTATCAAATATCGGGCCACCAATGGCTCCTGATGCGAACACAAGAAATGCCTGAATTGAGCCAATCCAGGAGATCTCATCAGGGGTGTGGTCTTGCAGTTGGTTGCGCATGTAGTATGCTTGGAAGACACCGAAAGAGTTGGTGTATCCTAGGGAGCAGAACAAAATACTTGCTGTACCGGCAGCTACGAGCCAAGCTCGTGTGCCTCCCTCTGGATATTCTTCCTCTGCGGATTGAGTAACCTCTTCCTGTGTTTTATCTTCTGGTTGCTTCTCTGGTTGCGATGGCGGCGGTGACTTGGTGTCCTCCGATTCAGTGTGCGACTGTCGGCGTGCTTCACGAGCTTCACCTGTCGAGGACCTCGAAGACTCCTCCTCGATGACATCCTTCACCGCATCCTTGGTTTCGGTCTCTTCGTTCATGGCCGTTGTAACAAAGACAGTTCTCCCAGAATTAAGACTTGAGAGTTACAGGGAACTCTCGCTCGGTTGGGTTCAAGGCTTGTCTTCAACTATTGAATGATCAGCGAACGTGTTGCTCGGGACCGATTAACCGCAGCTCCGTCACGGGGCTCCATCCAGCAACTTGCAGATTCCGAACTGCACAGCCTTGCGTTTCCGTATGCAGGATGACAGTTGATTGATGGACGTGCCAGTCCGAGCTTTTGACAGATTACCGGTGTCGTTTCTTGACTGCGGATGCAGTACGGCCGGGAGCAAACGTGCGCCGGCAAGGTATGCGAAAACTAGTGTTCCAGACAGTTTGAGGAGACGCGCTCTAGCCCGAGAGACGGTGCACCTATAGCTTCAATTTTTGCATACCTGCTTCAGAGAAGGTCGTTGGGCAGTGTGGCGAACGAATGGAACATATATCCATAGCTCGAGGTTGATGGAATGACACAACTCGCATGTCTGCTTTGACCCTAAATCACCAAACTTTTCCACCAAACGTTACCTGATCAAAAGCGGTGAGATTTCTACACAACGGGAAAGTGCATTGTAATTGCTCTAGCCTAACCTGACTGAAAGATCTCTAATCCTAGTCTCACACTTACATCACCCAAGGAACTTCGAAGGAGGTTTACATAGGACTATACCCACATTTTGTGTGCTCTCCTAACGCTATCTTATGTCTCAATTTGGTTATTGATATGTTCGGCTCATTGACTTTCCAGCCTTTCGGACCAGGCATCTCGACTTGAGTTCTTCCTAATGGAAGAGCGATTGCTCGATGCCGAAAAGGCCCTGCTGCTCGGGGGGAAAAGAGGATTGATTGCCAAAATGCAGTAGACCATGACCCTCGTGGTATGAGCAGCAGCTGGTTTTGCGAAAAGACAAGGTACGTTGTTTGGAAGGGTTACCGCCAACATTCAATTAGTTGAGCAAGTCAAGTTACTTCCTTACCCTAGAGCTGCGGACTTCGAATCATCTACATAGAAAGGGATTTCAAAAACGACTGAAGAAGCCTTTCGGTGCTGTTTCAGCCCACAATATAAGCACGCTACCTAATGACCCAAAGCTATAAATCACTGCTGGCCCGTGTAAATGCCAGTAATCACAAGTTTCCCAGGCTATCTTGAAGAAAGATTTCAATGGTAATCAGATGTGATCGAATCAAAACAAAGTCGAAAACATGAAACAGCCTAAACTATCCAAACGAGTGAATAGACATATTTCTGCACTCCAGGCTCGCTGACAACCTTCAAAACCTTCCTGAACATAATATAATACACGTACTCACCGCCAACAGATTCAATGACGTTGTATGAGGAGTCTTTCTTTCACGTGCCAAATATTTTATGGAGTGCGTCTTCTCTGTGGAAGAAGTATTGCATGTTCCTGTTGCTGTTAGCCTTTGGCCCAGATCAACTCTCTTTGTCCGGAAGACGCCCGTATGGCAGCATACGACGCTCTTCGAGTGGCGAAGCCTTTATCATCGTTTGGAGGTACCCTGCGTATGTCTGGCTCTTGACCTGCTCTTAGTAGCCAAAATCTATGTCCTGCAAAATTCTATGCCTTTGGAGGCTTTGTATACTACAATCATGACACTTTCTTCAATACCCTTGGATTTTGTTTTCAAATAATGAACATTTGCTCGTGTCACGAGGCTATAGGTATCGCATATTGGTCCGAAAGTGCGTTGTTCTTCCTAAGTCTATCCTATGGACGATAGAGCGTATAAAATGCCGCATCACGTGGGCAGGCCCTTGGGAATCCCATCGCCAGGGGTCCGGCGGATATCCGGCATTCGATATCCGATATCTGAAATCCTCCATCGTGACAGCTCGTCAATATGATCGACATTATAAGGGAGGTCCAAGACATTCCTACGCAGAAAGACTAAAGGTTGCAGCCCAGATTTAGCGAGGCTGAGTACCAAAAGTTGATCGTTGGGTCATGTTAGATCCACTTAACCGTTTTGTTTGGGATTAATGAAGCTTCCACACCTTGGCCTATTATATTACTGACGAAGGAGATGCCACTGCGATCTGAGCCATGGATGCGCCGGCTCGACAGTATCGTTTGCCCTTTTAGTTATCTATCGGCTACGAGTGGGCGCACTACAAAAAGATCTACAGCTGATCCGGTTTTCCTTCACATGAGCCTACAATTATATTTATAAAAAAAATTGAAAAATAAAACAAAGGATCCATACTCGACGCTTCGGGCTGACTGGCTTCAATCCCCACTATTCGTACTAGCGCCCACTTACGGTCAGTGGGATACTCACCTCTTGGAGGAATCGAGTCTGGCATCAGTCAGACCTGGAGTTTCTTTCCGAATATCTTTTCAAACACCTTCGGACACCCTCAAATTATGTCTCGAAGGCAAGATTTGAGTTCTCTAAGCAAGGCGGACTCTGTAGATGACCCATACGACTAGACCAACAAACACTTCGACAACTTCCTTGCCACGCAGACCGCACAGGAAAGCTTGCTTGCTCTCCATGTCAGAATTTGTCGTCTTGGAGATAAAGCCCAATAAGAGTAACATCTAAGCGACTTTGATGCGCACGTCGAGACGTTCACTGTTTTCATGGTAATCTTGGGCTCGTACAATCGCTTCATAAGCGGTCTCGTCTCTGAGTTTCTCCCGTCTGAGCTAGCCGCCCACTCCGCTCGGCAACACGAGTCTGATTTATTGAACCTGCGTTGACCCATACTGGTCCGAGGACTCCATGGGTTGGCAGAGAGTGGAGCACATTCTGAGCTTGTGCCTAGTTGGTATGCGCACACCATTAAATATCATTACTCCACTATCAATGACCTTCTACAAATGATTTGTCGTCGAACCGAGGTCCATTCCACGTGTGCTTAGACACGAATAAGTTGGAAGGTCACAAAGGTTAATGACTCGGAAACAATTCAATGACGCTCATATTCACCACTTGGTCTGAGGGTGAGGACCCGGATATACTCCTCCGATGGAATTGGCTCAAGAAATGGATTAATTATGGCTGCCGTTGTAACTGGGAGATATTGGTACACGTCGGTCCAGTTATATGATCGAAGAGGAGTACAACCATGCATGACCCAGCGGGACCAGCATATCAACATGTCGCCATCACTCCTAGTGACCAGACTGCATATGCAAGTGACGGGTGACGTAAATTTCAATCAGACGCAAACATTTTACCTCAGATCACAGCATCTCAGCCCTCAAGCTACAGGGTGGCGCTACGGTAATGCGGCACAGTACCAAGCATCTTGTTCCTGGGTGCCAGCCTGCCATCCTTTTTTGTTTCCGACCGTCTCGCTCATAGTGAACGAGGTATGTGGTCAGAAGAAGCATAATTAGACTACTTGTTTGACTTAAATACTAGATTGTACATCCTCATAGCCCCAGATCAGCGAAGATTAATGTGAGTTCGGTGTCCCCAGCTTCTTGAGGTAATAAATATTATGTGATTGGACTGCACTAAGAAACCCAAGATTGTTATGCAAGGCCAAAACAATCAAACAAACTACTCGGCAGGATAGCTATAGCCATGGGTGGCATGGCTTGATCATCACGGCTCCTCCCTCAAACTTAAATTTCAGCTGGGGATGCAGCAGTCACTTCTGTCATTGGTTCTGAAATGCGCTAAACATGAGCTGTCACACCGGTACAAGTCAGATGGGAGGGGAGAACCCGTGTAAGTCCGGCGTAAGTGGGAAAACGGCCGGCAACGCTGTCTCTATTACCCTGGCAATGACGAACTTAAGCCTAGTTCATGTCAGTGAAAGCTAATATTCATGGTTCGGGGTGGCTAGGCATGGGCGTTTGACTCGGGGACCCTTCCTCCAGATTGCGCAGCTGTCGCGTTAGCGCAAGTGTCAAGTTCTATTATCGCGAGCAACTCGTTCTAGAGTTCCATTATCGCACGCGACATTTGATGGAACTGAGTTATCGCAATCCCTCCTGCAACTCGTACATTCAAGATCGACATGGATTATGTCTGCCTTCGATTTCTTCATTCTCTGTTTTTCACTCCGCCTGTGCAATGGCTTGCAGTCTCAATGCGAAGCGATCCACTCGTTCCACTACTAACCCCGGGCAACCGTACGTGTACCCGCGCACCCCACCCGGACGGACTCGGATCGCACGCGCTCTACACGTGGTTATTTGTAGGATGCTCGCGAGCGGGGCACTTGTCAACTCTGCATGAGAAGCAGCAAAGCTGCTGATAGCAAGTGGAGTTGATGAAGTGTTTTGGGAGCATATCACCACAAATTTGAGTTCAAGAGTATTAATCAAGCAATATGAACCCATGGTCCAACAAACCAAAGAGTCAGAAAGGTTACACGGGCTTCCCATATAGGAGATCAATGTGAAACCTTGACCCAGCGGACATCGGACGAACCAATGGATCGATACGCAGGTACCAGGGGTCATGATTCATACTCGAGCTTACGCCACCGGCCGTTTCGCCCATGCTAAACTAAGCTGCAAGGCTCACAGCGTTTTACCCTGTTAGGTGTCAAGTGCAACCTCAACTCAGGAATAATCGCGCGGATCGAATCAATACCAGACGTGCGCATGCATGCATTGTGCTCGCAGGATCTATGCCAAGAGGCAGATGATAGATTCTCAGGGCTCACGTACATGACAACCCAGTCGGAACTAGTCACCGTTCAACGGTGGCGGATGCCGTCAGTCTCCCTCGAATAACAAGCCGGGTTCTCAAATCGTCCCGAGAACTTGGGAGATCAGCATACTTATCCGATGGCTCACACCTCGAATTCGAAACTGAGTTCTGTTTTTCTGGAGAAACCGATGCCCATATCTGACAACTATGTCCCGCGCTTCCCAACGCTTGTCGGCGAGCTGGGTGATGTTGCTCAGATAAGTAGCCAATATCCCATTAATTCTTTCAATCTTGTTTATTTCAGATGGAAATGAAGAGCCTTCCGAGGTTGTCTCTCTGGCTGCTGCCATGGGCAGCTGGAACTGTTCTTGGCCAAGACAGCGCCAATATGACAACTTCCCCGATCGAAATTTTGTCACAGATTCCCCAATGTGCTGTGAGTTTTTGTACAGCCAACTTTGGTAACGAAGTAAGACTTACCACTTAGTAGATACCTTGTGTAACCAGCGCGTTCCTTGATTCAGGGTGTGCACTAGATGCCATTGCCTCATGTGTTTGTACCAATGTTACTCTTCTAGATGGCATGTCTGGATGTGTACAATCGTCTTGTACATGGCAAGATCAACTAAGTGAGCTCTCGGTCTACGGAGAGATAGATAGCTTTAGCTAACAACCCCAAGAATTATCGAACATGACAGATGGCTTATGCCGTCCCTATCCGCACCCATCTAGAAACCTCGAAATCAAGTTGGTGGTGGCAGTGCTATCTGTGATCACCTTCCCTATCGTAGCATTGAGATTTCTCTCGCGATGGATTGTGGCAAGTCGCCTGGAGCTTGATGACTGGATGACGCTTATTACTACCGTAGGTCAGCCCCAAAGAGACTTCTATCAACGCTTTCAGTGATGGCTGACTGGTCGTTTAGGCGTTTTTGGTTGCGACTCTTGCTTGCGTCGTTACGAGTACGTGCTGATTGACTCCCCGTATTTCAAGATGTGCCACTAATATGGTTGGCATAACTAGCTGCCGACCTCGGTTTTGGGCTTCACTACTGGAACGTCAACCCAGCTAATGCCCAGCGCATTCTCCAGGTGAGTCTCTGTTGGTTGGTGAGCGTCTTTTACTTCTTTTTCTGACTGGTACTCAGCTTTACTACGCTGTGCAGATGCTTTATATCGTCGTCCTTGTACTGGCCAAGCTGTGCATTGTAGCCCTCTTTGGTCGCCTTTTCCCTGACCGCAGGTTTCAAATTGTTAACAAGCTGGTCATTGCTTTTCTTGTCGGTCATGGACTGGTCTTCCTGTTCGTCATCATGTTTGAGTGCACACCCATTGCCGGGATCTGGGACCGCACTATTGAGCGGGAGTGCGTCAATGTCAACGCGGTGGCCATGGCTAGCGCGATTCTCAGCATCGTGGAAGATTTTGTTATCCTTGGCCTGCCCATCCATCAACTCATCAAACTACAACTTGGAATCAAGAAGAAACTGGCGGTCGGCTTAATGCTCAGTTTAGGGTCTTTGTAAGTTCATCCGCCACGAGCCTTTCAGAAAAAGCTTGGTGTTTTATGGAGTCCAGCGCTCACCTCTGATAGTGCCTGCATCACCTCGATTGTTCGTCTGCGTTGGCTTCTGCTCTTTGCTGAATCGTATGACACCACTTGTAAGTTCCCAACCAAAGCGTGGATCCTGCGCCCAAGAGCTAACAAGTCATTTAAGGGGACAACGTCGACGTTGTGACGTGGAGCGTCACCGAAATCTCTTGTGCCTTGATGTGCGGTAGTCTACCAGCACTTCGACCTCTTTTCAAGAAGATACCCGGTCTTCTTACTACAATACGAGGCACACGACCAACTGTTGAGAAGAAAGAGCCAGTTGAAGGGGACAGCAGTCACCTTTCCGTTCGCCAATTGAACGTTGCGGCCGTGCCACAGCCTCCTACACCAGAGCCTTCTCCATCGTATTCAGAAGACTCATTTATGATTAAGATCCATATTGCAGAACCGCTCGATATTAGGATGAAGCCCCTTCCGCCGACACCCTTACGAGCGTTCAGTTACCAGCCGCCATGGAGAGACAGCAGCGGCCCATCAACCCCAAGGACGCCTGTGACACCCAAGACACCCATAAGTATCAGGAGTATCAGGAGAGAAGCCAACGCAGATTACGAGATGGACCTGAGGAGCGTTGTCAACACAAAGACATGGATGTAGATAGACAGGAGACTGGTGCCCACCGTATACCCCGTCCGATAGACTTGACAGATGTTTATACCCCGTCCGAATATGGAACAAAGTGTTGAGGAACGTTTTGGTTATTTCTTCTTCATTTGGCCGAGGTTTCCGGGACCAACGGGCTAATTATCTGTCCACAGTGGATTTTGCGGATGATTGTCAAGACTCCGACATCAACAACATCAAGACATATTGGAGAGAAGTCTCTTAAATCATATGTCATGAGCTTGCTTGAGTGCTTAATCAAAATAGATTGTTGTCAATGCTGCAGCAATTGTCAATGGGACATTTTCAGGGTCTCAATACCGAAGGGGAGAACTGGTTGAATATCTTCGACCAATCAAAAGAGACCATTGTTTTCTCGGATTAAATACGAGAATCCTGCCGAGGGGCCGCGGCCCACTGGTGGGGGGATCAAAGGGTGCCGAGAACCACGAATTTCCACATCCACCAACTCTTCGATGCGCCGAACAATGTATCGAAATACCTAATGCCGGTCTCTGGCTGTTTCAATCCGGCGCTACATGACGTCCTAAGTCAAACTGCTAGTATGAATGGGAATCGCTCTCGCGCCTAGACCCTTTTCGCTTCTGCAGCCCGAACACTCGAGAACGGTCGCCGATACCATCGGGCACGATGAACGAGGACGAGAATGTAAGCGGCTCGAAATCGGCAGGATGCACCGCGCTCTCCATCATCAACACTGCTGGAGGAGCTTGCTGCTGTGGAACATGTCGTAAGAACAAGAGGAGGTCTCATAAGAAGTCTCGCAATGGGTGTCAAAATTGCAAAAGAAGAAAAGTCAAGGCACGTTTCTCGGTTATCCTACCAGGCCCAACTCTGCCAACACGCTCTTTGCATGCTCCCGAGCTCTTCTCTAGAACTTACCTTAGACTGACTGTATTGTATTGATAGTGCGATGAAGTGAAGCCCGAATGTGGCAACTGTCTGAGATTCTCGATGCACTGCGACTTCCTCCCTCTGCCGACACAACCGACCGCTCCATCTCCCACCGCTTCGTCGCCGGCGACGCCGCCGCGGCCGAGAAAACGGGGCCGTCCCCGGAAGGACTGGGACACCATCCAAAAGCTACCGACCCCGACTGCCTCCGAATCCGAGACAGCCAAGACACCGCGCGCACCGGCCTCGCTGTCAGCCGAACCATCTTCTCCCTCGCTGCTGAACCCCAATGACCTCGAACTGCTACATCACTACATGTGCCATACAGCCATAACACTGGGCGAGGTACGCGTATGGCGTGAGCACGTTCCGAAGCTCGGGTTTCGGCATCACTATGTTCTTCACATGGTTCTTGCGATTTCTGCGCAGCACCTTGCGAGACTTCGACCAGCACAAGCCGATCATTACGAGGCCCTTGCGGAGCGACACTCGACAAGCGCGTTACCGGCAGTGACCAACCTTATTTCACAACTAAACAAGGACAACTGTCAAGCTCTGTATCATACCACTGTCCTCGTCTGTTTTTCGACATTTGCAAAGAAGCCAAGCCCCGGTCATCTTTTGGTAATTGCGGAGGATGGCGAGGTCCCTTGGTGGGGACTCCTGCGCGGCGTTCGCATCATCGTTCGCAGCATGGGTATACAGACTATCATAGCTGGGTGGTCTGATGATGGTGTAACCTTCGAACATACCTGGACACATTGCCCTCCGCTACCTGACCCTGTACATAAGATGGTGTACTGGGAGAAGCGCTTCGAAGAGCTATCCGATCTGGTGGCTACTACTCCTGATCTCGAACGTGAGATGTTCTTGAAGGCACTCGAACTATTAAAGGACTGTTTCAAGATGACCTTTAGCACCGAGGCCGAGCGCGAAAAGCATGTTCAGGGCCGATTTGAGATCGTCATGCGGTGGCTATACAGCATGGATGAAGACTTTGTGATCCGCCTGCAGCAGAAGCAAGCTCTCCCCCTTATTCTCCTCGGTCATTTCAGCGTTCTCGTTCAGACCCTCGAGCACTTCTGGTTCATACAGGGATGGTCAGAACATCTCCTCAATGGGCTGTTCAATGTTTTAGACCCTCAGTACGCCCACTGGCTTGAGTGGCCTTCCCAACAGATCAAACGACATGAATCGATTGATCACGGTGTGCTTTCAGTGCATAAGATGATTGCCTGAGCTAGCGCCTGTCATCTCACTGTCATTGCCCCGATGTCTTCCACCGCCCTTACCATCAATAGGTCATGACACATCTCGTTATGGCTAACGGCATCTGTGCGTCAATATTTCAGCAGCCTGAACTAGAAGCTAGCTCCCAGCCTGGCTCCAAGATTTGGTGGCGCCGAGGTGCGGTTGAGAAAACCACCTTCTCTTCGCTGAGCAGCTTCCATCTGCGCAGATCTGAATCCTCAGAGGCTAGATGTTTGACGACACTCTACAGGGTCTTCTATGCAAGGTTCACCCAACAATCTGGGATGCCTGAAAGAAGTATCATTCACACATGAGCACAACGTAACCATGATACATACATCTGGCAGACAGTAGTCTGACTTGATTAGACTGCGTGACTAATAGGTCCTTACTCGTCGCCACTAAGGGTCAACTATCCTGATAGCCTGGCATGTTAGGGAATCTGGTAGATTCTGTGATGTGTTGTGCGCATGACAGAGGATATTCACGAGTCTCTTGACATTCTCCACCATTCTAGGTAACATTACGAAGTTTCATTCACACCCATTTATGGCTGTGACGTATGCAACGACTGGCTCCCTCAGACTCGGATTCGATCCACTGCGGATCAGCGCGGTACCGAAGGTTCGGCGTGGGGCAGATCGGCTGTTGGGTGGATCGAATTGAAGCAGTGGATGCTTGCCATATTGCGAGAAAACCATGTTAAGCAAAGGGACTCACAACCATGTATTACAGGTGTAGAGATGAGAAAACTTGTCCATCATTGGAAACCCCATATTAAGCAGCCAGGCGAGTCTAGCTAGCCAAGCTGCAGTAGTTGCATTCCAGGTTGCGCAAACCTTTGGGACCTCCACAAGAGATATAGTTACTGACCGCTACTCTGCCGAATCCCGGGGCTTTAATTTCTTCATGTCTCCAAAACCATTGCAACTACTCTCTGCGACATCGTTGTCACCTTGTGAAGGGTCTATACTGTCTTAGATCACCCGCATGAGCCCCTGGTCACGAGACCACGGGCTCGGGACTTGCACCCATCCGCTGTTCCACATAGAGAAGGTCTTCCTTCAAGCGTTCAATAGAAAACTCTAAATTAGGCGGTCAGTGAGTGTGTTATTGGTTTCCTGGCACTTATGACACCAAATTTCGATGTTGTAGAAGGAGGGATTCTAAACTCCTGGTCCTGGATGAGCCTAGCGCGATTGAGTTAATTCTCCGAGGGCACGCCCATAGAAGCACCGGTTAAAAGCCCCTAGACATTGATCTAGGGCATAATATAGCTCGACAAGTAACAATGGCACCTGTTTCGTTACCCAGGTCCGTGGATACAGATGGAATTTTCAGACGTTGCTGAGCAGTTCTGTATTGCCATGGCGGGCGGGTTGCGTCCAGACGTCGTCTCGACGCCAAGTAGTGAACAACCTGTCGGAGCGATTCAAACCTCATTCTTGTAAGACCAACTATCGAGAGAATTTCTGGAAATATCATCCAGAAGTTTTGTAAGCTTAGACCCAGAGGAAATCAATGGCTTTGTTCGGTTCAATTGTTTTAAGCCTTGGAGCACTGTTGCCAAGACATTTCCGCGCCCACCTGTGAAGCCATTTGGTACAGTCTGAAGGAACAGAAAATGCATCAAATCTCGTCGGGCTAGTTCTAAGACCTCAGAAAAAGTGACTGTTTGGCTTTAAATCATTTCCCCATTCTCAATTGCGACTAACTGCGCTTGTTGACGGTGGCGGACGGGGCCGGGATGCCCTGATCGCAATTGCGATCGAAGATTGCTTCTTAGTCGTAAGCCGCCCCGTTGAGCCATGGATCGCGCTCTTTCTTTCCTTCCCATCCCAAACTTACCTCTCTGACTCTATCGAACGTGATAACGACTTCTATCACTCTTTCTGTCACTTTGTATACGTTCTTTGTGTTCGTTTACGGGTTGATGGCCACTCTTCATGTCTACCTGCCTTGAACCGAATGGTGCTCAATAACACGCCAAAGAGGTGAGTTGTGCCCAATCGGGTACAAGCCGACCAGATCCTGGGCGACAGGATAGCGCTAGAGTATTGAATTGAACTAACTTTGTCGATTTGATTGAGAGCAGATCTACGAGATCGCAGGGTCATTACACTCGGCAGCAACAGCCTTCATTTTCACTTGGCTCGGTTGTTAGCGGTGACCCAAAATACATTGGATCAAACAACCGACTTACAGAAGCTTGGGTTCGGGAACAGCAAGCCATCTTTCCAGCCAACCTCATCAAACTCAAGACCGAAGCCAAGGTCACCGAGCATCGTGTTCAACATATTTATCAAATAGGGGAGGAAGTTACCGAGAACCTCGCGGCTTTTGGAGCCTCAACAAAATAATCTTGTCCTTTCGCAATCATGGGCGAGAGCAGCAAGCGAGTTCGGCAGCGAAGCCGCGAATCGGTCACTCATGGCAAAGCAAGCCAAATCTTGGAAGTCAAACGACCAAAACTTACGACGAACGTGCCTGTTGAAGTTGTCCAGCAACCCACACCGCAGTCACCGATGAGTTGGTCCAGCATGAAAGACTTCTTGATGATAGAACTCAGGAGGGAGATGGGATTACCCCTGCATCGCCCTCAGTGCCAGGAAAATGTCGACGAGAAGAGCGTCAATCTGGCTTGCCCCCTTTTTATCAGGAACCCGGCCGCTTTTACCCATGTCCGGAACTCTTGCACTGATGGAAACATCAAGGGTGGAATTGGCAAGCTGATGTGAGCCCATTGCCTCTGTTCAGATATGAAAGGTCTTGACTAACACAATCCAGCGAGCATATCAAAAGAGTCCATCTCAGAACCGATAAGCAATGCCACAACTGTGGCGCTCGTTTCAGCTCGAAGCCGACAGAGTCCAAGTCGTCTCACTCACGCAACTGCACAAAAGTCTGGTCGCCCCAGGAGCCACCACTATTGTCAGAAGATCAGCAGCGAGTCTTAGACAATCTTTCCGTAAGAGCCAGTGGACAGTCGTTGGACTACAAATACCGTCATAAACTCCTCATGAAGCTTTACCCTGGTCAAGAGGAGTGGGCGAAGAAGGTGGAGATTTGTAAGTTAACCGCAGAGTTCCTAAGCTGAAAATCGTGCCGCTAACACCAAGACAAAGACCATGACGCATATTCCCCTTGCCTCTTACCAACACAACTCATGTTTGACGCTATGGAAAAAGCTGTCGACAGATGGGAGAGAGGCTACAATACCCACTATGACTCTGATGGAAGCGATGCCGACTCAGACAGATCGCGAGAATATCGACGACTTTCAGGGTCAAGCCCCAGTGCATCGTCTTCAACGGACGCTTCGAGCGCCTACCCATCAGCTAGCTCTGGTGGATACAGCCGAACTCTTGGCAACGGCAACGGTTACAGCTCTCAGCAAACGTACCAGGAGTCTGCATATCAAGATCAGAGCTGGGGCATGGATAACATGTCTTTAACAACCGACTCAACGCAACATGCAAGGACTGCGACTGCTGACTTGACATCACACGAATCACGCAAAACCCGCGCAAGCAGTCGGCCAGCAGATGGCGATTACACCAGCATGCAACTTCCGACGGACTACCAACATTATGCTCACTCTGGGACAATCGACGACTTCGACGAGCTTGCCAGTTCATCCTACGTTGATTCTTTTGAGCCTGTGTTTGATGTCGTTTCGACTGTCCCCTCCGATTATCACTCCTATACTCTGGACGCTGAGCAGGTCTTTCCTATTGATTACCCTGCCCAAGGCCACTATTCGAAAGACACGATCAACCCAAAAGACATCCATAACACACTGGTCGGAATGGGATCAGCTACAATGCCGAGATATCTTATAGAAAATGAGGAAGATTCGGGCATTGTTCTTCATGATACCCAAGAATATTTAGGCTTTGCGGGGCAGGCCAGGAGGACTCGCAGATGAGACTTGCCTCTTCTTATTCTACGATTGTGGCGATTTCTTATCTTTCCTCCAGATTGGAGCTTGGGAACGCATGGCTGGAGAGCTTCATTGGCCAGTGGAATGATCATAGGGGCGCCAAGGCGTGAAACAGTGATGGAATTCTTTCGTTCACATTTTCATCAATGTCCACATCATTTATAAACAGAAACATCAGCTGTCTTTGCATCGTGACGTTCTCACTTTGTAAATCGTTTCGGTAAAGCTTTTCATCTTGTATCTCGACATGTCCAGGGATGGGATGTACTGCAGACTCGTCATTCAATTTAATGATTTCACCAGAAATTTACATGGCCCATCCCACAGCCAGGAGAGAACCGATTAGAATAGACATCTTCATATCAAATCTGATGCTCTCGGCTCCTGAGGGAGTAGTTTTACCCGTGGGCGAGGTTGTGACTGGAGTGCCGCTTGGTGAGCTGCCTTGACTGTTTCCATCCAAATCCCCGGATTTGCTGTCTGCTTCGGTGACTGGTACATTGGCGTCGGAAATGAGCAGGTTTGAAACAGCGGCCAGCACGCTCACAGCCTCGCCGGCGCCTGTGGTGTTATCTGTGGTCTGTGGATCGGAGAACACCCCATCGGTCCAGTAGAATCCGCACTGGTTAGCAAGTCCCGACTTTCCGGCTACACATTGCTTTACTGCAGCCTCAGTAGAACTCTTTAAGATAGGCAGCACCTTATCCGCAATGAAGGGGGCTAGCTGGGTGGCAGACGACAGCCAGCGATGTACGTAACCCTTGTACCAGAGGGCGTCATGTGGGCAGACTCCCTTGTGGCGCTCGCAAGCAACTTCGTAAGCTGTCCCGTTAGGGAAGAAGGTCGTCAAAAGAGAACCGGAAAGTTTTTCAACTCTCTCGCGCCATATTTCAGAGCCATTGGTCTAGATTCAAGTCAGTCAATGTAAATGTAGCCAGACTCCTTGAGTTGCTTGAACTGGTGGAACAAACGTTATTGTACATGAACGCTGCGCCTTGTATGAGCATTGCAGCGTTGTAAGACCATTGCACCTTGTTAACTTCAGTGCAATTCGTTTCGACGTGAGTTCCATCATACACGGCCCAAGTCTCACTGTCAATCAAGCCTACTCCGGAAAGCCAGTCCCAAGTCTTCTCGGCCCACTCGGAGTAGGTCGTGTTTCCAGTGAAACGGGCGAGACGGGCTCCCATATTGAAGAAACACGCGTTAGAGGCCGCTGCAATGAGTTCAGTCATCGTCCTTCGAACTGACAGCTATTTGATTATGATTGCTTACTTTGTTTGTATTCATAACCGGCATTCGACCATGGGACTTGCCAACGAAGACCGCCATTGCAAGTCTCGTCCTGACGATCGGGCGATGCCTGAGTGTTCCAGACTGCCTTTGCAAGATCGATCCATGTGGCTTTACCGTTTACGTTGGGGAAGTCGTATTCAGCAGCTGTCAATGCGGCTGTGCCCCAGAAACACTGATCATCATTGCCAAGTGAAGCAGTGAAGTTCGGAGGCATGTAATCGTTATTTGGGCCCGTCTGATGCAACATCCCTTTGCTGGTCGTGTCGGCATAGGAGTCGTCTCCGATCAAATGCCAATAATCGAGATAAGTAGCCCATAAGCTGGCACCCTGGTACCACCAGTAATCGCCGTTGTCAAAAGTGGGAGGGCCTGGAAGGATTCCTGGGATATTACCGGGCTCTTCGCCGTGATAGAATGTCATTACGTCCTTGGCGAGTGACCGCGAAGATTCTACGATGTTGTCGCGAGTGTTGATCTCGAGTTCGGCGGCCGCGCTGGCCACGTTGCTCAGAAGCAGGAGAGCCGCCGACAGAGCTGGAACTAGAGATACGAACATGATGGGGGCTTGAAGCAGTAGAATCGTCTGTAGAATTAGATCCAAGAGTTTTGGTGGCAGGTCTGGTGCCAAGACGAGTGTTTTCATGTGAAGTCTACTAGGTGCTCAAAATGAGTGTCGAGAGCTATTGAAATAGTCTTCCATAAGCGAGTGTAAGAGACAGTCGGAATTCCACCGTCTTTTGATTCAACACGAAAGACAGTGACGTTGTTGAAAAAACTCAAGAGAAAAATATCCTGGATACGAAGTAGGCACAGAAAAACCCCATCTCTGCATCGCAAATCGAGCGCGGACTAGTTCGAGCCGGGCGGATTACCCCTGCTGCGCCGCATCGGCTAATTAATCGCCTGGATCGATGCCTGCTTGGCGTAGCAAGCGCTAAACCTATTACGTTGCGATGCTCAGCTCACATGTCTCGTGTTCGTGGAGGTGAGCCTGGGGATTACTGATGAAAAGAGATTGGAGGTTGTGTTCGTTCGCTATGAGGATTACGGCACTGAGATTCTTCTAGAAATATAATGTTCTGTTGAGCATAATTTTATAACACTGGTACTATGCTTTTTAAACTCTTACTGTTTTCTTCTTCTTACCTGTTTTCCTTTTGTTGGTGTTATGACCCTGTGTATCTCCATTCGAGTGACTTTGTTGGTGACGCATTCCTATTCGATATAAGTTGGATTGATGGACTTTCTGCCTCTTCAGTGCCACACACTATGCCGACCATAGCTATCTCCTTGTGCTACAGGGCGAGTTCATGATTGCCCTGGTACATCAATATCTGTCTGATGGGTATCAACATCAGATACATCTTCCGTCTGCTTCGTACCGGGGTTTTCGCTGTAATGCTTATTCTGGGAGTCCTTGGCTTGCTTCATTGGGGCTTTGCTCGCCTGCGCATTCTCCGCTCCGTTTTCACTCTCCTTGTGGGGTTCTTCGTTCTCTACATCCGGAGCTAGAGTCTTGAACGCCTTCAGCCTTTTCAATGCCTTCTTCTTCGCTCTACGCTCCGCTGATGCCTTCATACGTCGTTGTGCTTCGTCCATGATCGCCTTCTCCTGAACAACCCATGTCAGGATGCAGTCAGCAGCTTTCTCAGGCGAGTTCCGGTGATGAAGCAGGTAGCCCTGTAGTTGTGCTGGTGTGAAAACATTATCCGGTATCTGGCTGCTGAACCTTTCTGCCAATTGGTCAAATGCCCTTCCTTGATTCTCCAGTAATTCGGCACCCTTCTCCACCAGGACGTTATTAATCGACGTATATGGCCGGTACATGCGCTCAAACATGCCTCTGGCACTGTGTCGTGATATGTTCCCTAGATATATCATTTTATCGATTCGGCCGGGTCTGACTAAGGCTCTATCGAGTTTATGAGCCACGTTGGACGTCATCAATACGATGCGCCCTTCCTGGGATGCGACACCATCAAGGACATTCAAAAGACCTGAAAGAGTGCAACGACATCTGCCAAAAGACCTCGCACTGTCTTTGTCACTCTCATCGTCGCTGTTGTCAGATGCAGAATCTTCTGAATCGACCGTCTTTCGGCGCTGTATCCCGATTGCGTCGATGTCCTCCAGCAACACGATGCATTTTGGAGGGAGTGCTGTGAAAAGGTTTTCCAAGTCACTGTCGTCTCGAAGGCTTGGAATATGCAGCAGATAAAGCTCGAGGTTGAAATAGCTTGCAAGAGCAAGAGACAACGACGTCTTACCCGTGCCTGGTGGTCCATAAAAGAGGTAGCCTCTTCTGTAAGGGATTCCTCTCTCGGTGTAAAACTTCCTCGTTTTCTTGTTGAGATACATCTCAATATCAAGTACAAGCTCTTGCTTCGTCTTCTCGTCAAAGTGCACAGTTTCTAGCGGCCTTATCGTACGCAGGATGGTCGTGTCCCAAGATTCTTTGTTGTATTGGTTTTTTGTTGTTCTGACCGTTATGAAAGCCTCGCGCTGCTTGTCCGCGAAGACACGACAGTCATTGAGAAAGTCCTTGACAGGTTGGATTGAACGCCCTAGTCGCATGACAACCAACGGTTCATTGCCTTCAGGTGCAGAAGAATACTCATCGGGAACCCCAGTGTAAGCAGAGCTGGGACCCCTAGTCGAGACTCGTCGCACCATGAAAAACCCCCCTTCATAGACGAACCAGGTCGTCCCAAAAGTCGGCAGGTATTGTACCGGGACTCTCTTCTCGTGGTGAAGGTCGTCGCGCTCAATCGGCTTTCGATAGTACCATGCCTCGTTCTGAATCACCTCAGTTCGTGCGGTCAAGACACGAGTCCCTTGCTTAGTAAGGACATGGGCCCCCAGCCAGTTCAGAACCTCTCTGTTGAGTTTGTCGTTGCTCCCTATGGAGATCGAGGCAGTGAAGAATCGTGTTATCCACCAGTATATCTGAGTTCCTAGGTTCTGAAGACCCGTCAAAGCCCTTGGAATGTCGCCACCGAATGATATGAGAAGAAATATCGTGGTGAGATCGAGCTTGAGCCATGTCAAGAAGAATCTTGACAGAGTCCCGAAGCCAGGCACAGTGCGATCCAAAAAATCGTGGAACCCTTGAGATGTGAAATCGCCCCCACCGGAGAAAAAGGAGGCTTTAGTGAGCCTCAGAATGTCGCCCATGACTGTATCATTGATGTATGGAACAGATATTGATTTACTATGTTCGAGAATTTGAAGACAACCTTGCTCTTAAAGAGGACTTTTGTGAGGCAACCAGAGAGACCTGAATGGGATCAGGCAGAAAGAAGGCTGCCTAAGCTATCGTGGTAGCCTGCTTACTCTTGGCCCTTAATTGGGAATGGCACCAATGCACTAGTCCTTCAGGCGCAGCAACCTTTTGAATGATGCGTCTTGGAATGTGGCAGAAATCCATTCGCTAAGACTAGCTCAAAGCTGAGTTCAAATTTTGTAACCAATTGTTGAGAAGAGGGACAATACCCGTGAGACGAGAAGATAACCAACCAGTCTTCAGCCCTTCTTGTCCCGCAACCGATCCATTTTGAGCTTTTGTAGTACACAAAGACAATGTTTGGTTGACGCATGGCCCTGATTTGTGGCTCATTAAGTTGCTCACATACGCTACACAAGATTCAATAAGTCAAAGTGTAGCTGTGACAGAACCGTGTGCTGTTAGAGACCAAGTGCACTATAATTTTCAAGAGGAGGTCCGAAGTGGTTGCTGAAAAATTAAAATCAAGTTCAAAGCATGGTAGTTGACCGTTCTCAGGTTGTAAAATGAAAATATTCAACCCTTGGGTAGTCCATCAAACGTCCAAAAACACAAATGACCCAAACATTTAAAAAGCAATCGCAGCGACTTTGGTGCCTTTTGCAAAGCTCCCTAAATATAGCGATTAAGATTGTGCTTTGACCGCTCTTACCCGTTACCAAGCAATCAAGAAGAGGGTCCACCTTGGTTTCGAGTACAAGAGCAGATTTGGGTAACTTCCTTTGGCTTTGTTTGATGCGAGGCTTAACAGACATTGGACGCAAATACGCCTGACAACCAGGCATCTCCACTATTATCACCTACAAAGTTTCGGCATGTGGTTTGAACAGTAGTTAAAGATAAGTGCTTGAGTGTTTAATGCATTGCCATTGGTTGTCTCTGAATGGCGTCAGATTTGTGACCTATCTATCTCCTTGTCCGTGGCTAGAGTTCTGAGGTATGGTTCTCTAGTCTCCAATCGACGAGCGGTGCTGTTTGGTACGGAGAGTGCCAAGACCAAACCTTTGCGGATATCAATAGCTTAGTGAAGCGGATGCAATATGGCTTAAAGTGGATATCTAGTCAATTTTGAGGGGATCGCAGAAACTAAATGGGAGTTGTATCCTCAGCTCCCAGAGGAAATTAGTTACGATGAGTACCTCTGCCCAGCACTTTCAATCCGGAAAATCGGCGCGCGACAACTTCAATCCCCGTCGCCGAGGTCTCTGCTTTGTATGGCTGGACTGGGCCTCAAGCAACCCCATAGTGCCAGGGAGCGGGGGACCCGCCAGAAAAAAAATGACGAAAAAAAAGTCCGACTGAACCACTCATTGCAACGAGTCTCCATTCCAACATCGTTGCGAAAAGCTGTCGGATCTCTAAGAGAAACATCCCAAGGATACCCTGAATCAGCGATGAAATCCGATAAAGATGATCCTAACCCTGGTTACCTTAGGGGAACCCCTATCATTCTGCATCCGACCCATTACTGGACGATGCAATTCCATTGAGAAGTGCCGCTGAAGAATGCTCCGCAATCAATGTAACTTGGCGATGCCCATGAATCGCCAGACCCGCAAACAGCTGCAGAACTTTGCGAGAAACGTCGCAAATGCCGTGGTTTGGGAGGAGACCTCCAGGGTTTTCCGACTTCCGGTTTTCTGTTGCAGAGGGGCGGCAACGTGTCTGTGAGGGGGTTATCACTGGGGCCACATAATTGCAGAGACGCGACAATGTCGGGAGGAGGGATGGGTTGCCGTGAGGGGTTGACGCGATTCTGGCTTGATCAGCGATTGCTCATATTTAAAAGATTTAAATTCCCTTCGCCTGCATATCTCGTTCGTAGCACAAGTGTTTCCAACCTCTAGGAATTCTCATACCAAACACGTCTCTCCTCGCTTGGCTCTTGCTCAACCAACAACTAGACCACAGACCATGTCGACCGCTAAGCCCACATTCGTTCTCGCGCCTGGTGCGTGGCACAAGGAAACCTGCTACTCTCCAGCTCAGCAGATGCTCGAATCGCAAGGCTATCCCGTTGAGGCTGTTGCATACCCCTCCGTTGGCGCTGAGCCCCCGACCAAGGGCTTGAACGATGATGCCGCTGCTGTCAGATCAGTTCTTCAGAAACTTGCCGATGAAGGCAAGGAGATTGTTCTTGTGGTGCACTCGTACGGTGGTCTGGTTGGTGCCAACGCCGTGAAGGGTCTCGGCTACAAGCAGCGCGCCAAAGAGGGCAAGAAGGGCGGTGTCATCACTTTCGTTTACCTGAGTGCCTTTGTGGTGCCTGTTGGCAAATGCATCAGAGAAATGCTTGGCGGTCAATTCCTGCCCTGGATGAAGTTTGAGGTGAGATTGTCCAATGGCATAGTCTTCGGGACTGGTAGCTTACTTCAAGACAGGGCAACTATGTCTACGCGATTACACCGGAAGAGATCTTTTACCACGATGTTGAACCTGATGCTCGTAAAAAGGCTATCGAGGAACTGCAGCACCAGTCGGCTCCCGTTTTCGACGACGTTGTCACCTACGAACCATGGCACGACATTGACTCTATGTTCTTTTTCTGCGATGAGGACAAGGCGATCCCTCTCGCCATCCAGCAGCACATGGCCGGTCTCCTCGGGCCCAATGCCATTACCTACTCGTCCAAGGCTTCTCACTCTCCTTTCCTCTCCAAGCCTGAGGACGTTGCGGAGGGTCTTGTACTTGCTGCCAAGGTTGGCCAAGAGAGAGTTAGAGCGTAAAGTTAGCACGCCGAGCGTCGACAATGAAGTCGTTTGGGATACAAATAAACTTACTATCAATGACTATACTGATTTGCATCCTGATATAATCCTAGATAGAGAGCTTCACGTTTGCCATGTCACCTGCACACCCTTTCATACTTGGAATCAAGATTCGGCCACCCTTCTAGTAATGTGCGAGACCGTCTTTGCGTAATTTTACTAGCTCCTATCTGACATGTCTGCTGATAACCCCAACAACCGACATAAGTGACAATCTCCAACCCCTTGACACAATGAAACGAGGACCTTTTCCAAACTCATATCGGAGGCAGTACGGCAAGCTTAGCTCTCAAACCCAGCGATGTCACTTCGGCTCGTTCCATGGAGGGTCCCACCAATGCCCATGCTTTCATGTTCGTCATGTATTTCGGGGAGGGGGGTTGCCACGTTGTTAATCTCCGAGCGTAGCAGCCCGTAGCAGAAGAAGACGCTGCAATGGCACCTTGCCGCGTGGTATATGGAGGAACGATGTTGTGTACCCTGACCGGGGACCTGAGTCAAATCTCATCCCACCCCCTGCATGTCATTTCAGGTTTCTTTGGCTCTTAGCAGGTACGCAGATGTGAGACGTGAGTGGGACTGACATCTCTCGGAGAAACCGCAATCAGGGAAGATTTCCTAAAAGGAGGTCTTGTAACATATTTATGGAGCTGTCAGCCCTGAAGAGCGGGTAAGCCTGTTTAACGGCAGCAAGTGTAGCTGTAGGTACACAGTACATCCGTATCACCACTGCTTGATAGCCTGCTCTAACGAAATCATCTCTTAAAAAGCAATACAACCACGGAATCTATTCGATGCCATATTTGGTCTCTACAGAGACAGTCACAGTCGATTACAAAACCGATCTCGGCACATCCCAGTGTTTCGGCTCAGCAAAGGTGACATCTGAGTTCTCCATCTTCAGTCCAATCTGCCAACGTCCAAGACCTGGCCAAAAGTTCTCGTTATCACCAACAACATTGCCCTTTTCGTCTGCTTGTCGAATGTCGAACCAGCCCAAGCTCGCCTTCCTAGAGCTCTGGCCGGGCGCGATGCTGCACCATCGATCTGTCCCCGGCAACTCACCTTGACTGCCGTTGCCTTCTGGAAGCGGAGGCTGAACTAGGGTCGCGTCGACACCGATGTACTTGAGAACGTTGAGCGAGAGGGGAAAGGACGGGACGTAAGGGACGGGCTTGAACGTCGCTTGGAACAGAGGGGTGGTGCTCGCTGACGCCTCCTCCACGGCTCCCGATGTGTCGTGTGGGAAAACCTTCACGCTTGTGCTGCCGTCTGAGTTCTCCTTCCAGTCGAATGCGGCGAGATGCTTAGGAATATTCCAGTCTAATGCTTGATGTCAACAACATGCGCTGGCCGAGCTGGCCGCTTTCCCGGTCACTTGGACTCACTCTTTCGGCCATTCCAGCAGGTGTACTTCTGAGACACATATATCCTTGTGATTCTTGCGTTCTTCTTCTTGATGCGCTTGCCATTTTCCTCGACCGTGTACTCATGAAACCCTGGGCTCAGGATCAACTCGTCGTACGGACCAACGGGACTTTCAGTATATCGGATGATCTGGATCATGCTGAGTCCGCCCAGCGGCCGGCTGCCTTCTGGGCGGATGAAAGACGAGTTCGCCTCGAGGGGAGAGTAAGTGACAGTTGGCGGGTGCTCTGCTTGGGCCTTGGAGACCCAGAAGCTGAATAGGTAGATGTCGCCCTTGAGTTTCCAAGGTGCAGGGACAGGGGTGATGTCGTTGGACGCCATAATGAGTTCCGATGCGGCCGATCAAGAGACCCACAGCAAACAAAAGCTACTAACGATGGTGTCTACACTATGGTGGAATTGATTAAGGTAGGGAGCGGTGGTGTGTGGCCGAAACTTTAAGCGGTGATCGAATCAAAGAAAAAGAGAAAACGTGGTGTTCTTCGAAAATGGACAACAAGTTGATGCAATGCGGGGGATCAGACGCGCTGTTTGCACCTTATACCTTCAGCGCTGGGCCTAGCACCGTTCGTTGCATGCACGGGGTATGGCATCCCACGTAATGTCGCCTTCACCCAAAACATCCTCTTTGCGGGGTGAACGCTGGGTCGCTTCGCAAGGGCCTCGGTGCTCGGCAACCCACTCACGATTCAATTGCCTTCTTGGGCGAAGAACGTCACCTTCTGAGATGCCATGCACCGTTAGGGATGTCCCTTTTCAAGCTGATCTTGTTATGCTTGCTATCCTGCTTGTGCGTACCACTCATTATACACATGCTCCTTCACATGCATACCCCCTTTCTTACTTCCAACAACTTATGTGGTGGCTCATCCGCCGACTTTTGGATCTAGCTCTCTCATTTATGGAACACGATACATGACGAATAATTAAAAAGCATCACGAAACACTGCGTAATGATGAGCTGCACTCTCCATTAGATGGACAACATAAATGGATTTGACCTCGACAAGTGAGAATGCTTCGCCACCCATGGAGCCACGTATGTCGCCTTCCAAGTTGGCAAAACATCCTGTAAATCCCATAGTATTAATATGTACCAATCCCCGGCCAACTAACGTCGATCCGTGGACCCTGGGGCTCGCAGCCGCTTTAAATCTCTCAGCGTCGTATCTCACAGAAGAAATAACACATGACTACAAGAGACTACAAGAACGTCACCCACTTCTGCTGGGTTATTACTCTTATCCGAAATATAGGAATGCTGGGAGAGAGCTGTAATAATGCTGCTGTCGTTTTCGTCAAGTCTAAGAAAGCTGACCTTGCCGAATAGGATGATTGTTTAAACAATAACACATTACTAATGTGAGGCGTAACCTAACTTGCCAGCTGCACGCACCACGTTATCCAACAAGGCCCTCACGAGATAGTGTATCACTTTGCAATGCCAGCACCACTGACCTCTGCTACCCCACCTTTGTCATTCTCAAACTCACCACTCTTGCCAGAAAAGAAGCCATCCTAAAACTCAATTTGTGGTTTTCAACGGGATTCCATAGGGAAACTTCTCAATACCTGAGTAGGCTCTGTTGCGATGCTGGGGACCCGTCCATCGATGTCGTTGTTTAGAGACCATACGAGGATTCAGTGTGCTGTAGGCTGAGAATTCCTGCATACAACTCTAGAAAGAACACTACTACATCACATATATGGCTTGTGGAAAACCGAGTATATAAATTTCCAGGGTTAACACATGTTGTAATACTATCAACTGTGCATGCTGATCAACCACTGTGTCGCAGGCTACTACTATCGAATGCTGAGAAGTCCTTTTTCAAAACAGCTATTCAAAACAGCGTTCGTATATGGCTATGGCATCCTTTTCTATGCAATGATACGAAGATCATCATGATGACCGCAAGGATAATATGTAACATACATATTTGAAGGAATCTATGCCAACGCTAGTTCAATTCTATGCAAATTGGTTCATTAAATATGCACGCCTGCAGCCCAGTCAAAGTGGGCAGATTGGTTTCCAAACATACCTCCCCACGACTAAGTAGTGTGTACGCCATTCACGCTAGAATCTTTGGTCGTCAGACGGCCAACGCACCGGTGTAGCATCAGTGCTCGCTTATGTTGAGACACTGAAGATCCCCGATGTTCAAATGACAAAGTGAGTGTCAACAAATAAAAAATTAGTTCTTTTTATACCAAGCATTCAGGATGTTGTGCGCAGGACTGTGGCACCGAGATCGTCGGGATTGTCTCAATGACCTGCTCAACAACTGAAATCATATTTCCTGAAATACGAGTATATAAGGGTCCGAAGTAGGACGAGTCTCTTTGTGACCAAGACCAGTTCATCGTCTGCATGCTCTTCCTTATTGTGCAGTCCATCATCCTTTGAAACCATGCCAATAGCTCCAGCTATTTATCTCAGCCTTAGCGGCAAGGATGTGCTTATCACTGGTGGCTCGGAGGGAATTGGAGCCTCCACGGTCGAGCATTTTGCTCTCCAAGGCTGCCAAGTCATCTTTCTTGACATTGCAAGGGTTTCGGCGCAGGATACCATCAATCGTGTCATATCGCTTGCGAAAGAGACCAGTTACCAAGCCTACACTATCCAAACACCAGTATTTTACTTCTGCGACGTTTCTAACTTGAGAGAATTGCAAGCCACGGCCAGTCAGATTTTCAAAGAATACGGAACAGTTCACATCCTGGTAAACAACGCGGCACTTACAGGCCACCAAGCAAGGCTCAGCACTGAAGAAGTCACCTCCGAAGCATGGGACTTCAACATCAACACCAGTCTGAGGCATGTATTCTTCTTGACGCAGGCTGTTTTTCCCGGAATGGAATGTAACAGGCTTGTGGAGGCAGTATCGTGAACCTAGGCTCGATCACGTGGCGCATTCCCGCCACAGGCTTGCCGATCTACGGTGCCTGCAAGGCCGCGGTGATGGGTCTCACTCGTGTTCAGATTAAAGAAGTTGGTCCGTTCAACATCCGGGTTAATAGTGTCATGCCAGGGGCCATCGCAACTGAGAGACAGAGGGAAGAGGTCCTGACGCCTGAGTACCGTGCCGAGGTGATGCAAGCACAGAGCTTGAAACGCGATCTGGTGCCGGCAGACGCAGCAAAGGTGATTGTTTTTCTGGCCAGTGACGAGGCTAGTGGTGTGACCGGCAGTAGTTATGTCGTTGATGGAGGTTGGTGCAGTGATCCGTGAGATTCTCAAGGCGACTGTGGGGTTTCATTAAAGCTTGATTACGGGTATGCGTACATGTAAGCGAATTGGGGTTAGTTATTGCTATCTTGAAAGCTTTAAAAACGTAGTTAGTCGATCATTAAGTACATCTCAAAATGGTCAATATTCGAACAACTGTTCCGCCAAGAGAAAAACGGGCTACTGGGTAGTTCGAAGCCGAAGTTGTCAGTGATGATACCAGATAGAGGCTGTCGGGTATTCGACTAAGGGTATCTGATTCGCATTCAACCTCTAAAATAGCAAAGTTTTTCCTGTGTCCTGAAACGCCATGCCATGCGACATCCCGCAACAAACCGTCTTGAGACCAAGTCCCTTAAAAGGCAACTCTGCGTTTTCGCCCGGTGTACTTGGAGGTAGACTTGACGACTTTGCCTTTTCTCTCCATCTGTTCCTTCTTCTTAACAATCCATGCCTTGCTGCCCTTCTTGATGTCCCCCTTGCCGCTCTGCTGTGCGGTGGCCTTCCTCCGCGCGTCTTCGACGTCGACGTTGTCCATACCCTCCACGACGTTGGTGATATCGCCACCACGGCCGCCCTCGGCGGTGCCGCCTACCGTCAGGACGAGATAGAGCTTCACGTTCTTGGTCTCCGGGTCATCCTCGAGGAGACCAGCACCGAAGCCGGCCTTGACAGCGGCCTGGGTGATCATGTTGCGCTGCGTGTCGTTCTTGGGGTAAAATTGGCACACGGCACGACCGCCCCTACGTAATGATGCGTAGAGGCCGTTGAAAAATCTGGTGAGGCGGCCTTCGGGGGAGGTGTCGCTGCTCTCGGCATTGCAGAGCCACTGTATCGCAGAGATGCTGATGGCGGCGTCAAAGGAGCCGGCGCGGAACGGCACGCCCTGGCCGATGTCGGCGAGAAGAAGGTCGCCCTCAACATCGCGCTGAAGAGCAATGTCGAGCATGGAAGGAGAGACGTCCATGCCAATCCAGGTGTGTGGTCCGCCATCTTCGGGTCCTTCAGCGGAGAGAATCTCGCCGGACAGGCCGCTGCCGCAGCCGACGTCGAGAATAAGGGAAGGGTGCTTGAGGTCGAGAAGCTCAAGAGCGCGTCGGGTCATGGAGGCCTGGATGTTTTGAATACGGGAGCTCGTCGTGTACTTGCGGGCTTCGGAGTCATTATAGTGAATGTCGGCCGCGCTGAGGAGGGGGAGAGTATGGTCAGCTGTGTTGCTTTGGTGGGGTTGAAGGGAAAGGGACTCGGCCTACAGGGTATCCTCAGGGCGCGACATGATGGGCAAATTCTGGCTAAAGATCGGCCTCTATTGTGCGAATGAAGACACTTCTGTCGCTTCTTCAATCCGTACACTCAGTCGTCACGCCGGCGCATCAAGGATTTGGGCGGTGAATTTTGTGTCGTGGGAAATCCTCAAATTTCGCAACTGGGGGGCACGGCTAGTTATCGATAAGATGGCTTATCCGAGACCATTGATAACGACCCCGGAGCCGGGTGGGCCAAAAGTTGTGGAAGCGACCAGTGACGATGCTGCCTATCTTATCTGCTGCGGATCAAGGTATTCTCCGAGAACCCGGCGCAAAGGCCACGCTTGCGAAATAGTCCCGACGCGTTGAAGCCCAGCTCCCTCCCGCCCTCCGTCATAGCTCCGGGGCCACTGCGTGTGCAAGGTAGCTTTCTGTAATCCGGAAGCACCATTGTCCACCGACAACACCACATTCTCTTCTCCTCTCTTCCTTCCGTTTCATGCTGCGCAGTGCGACGCTTCAGATTATACCGCTTTCAACATGTGGATTCTACCTTTGGTCGGCTACCTCGGCTCCATCGTGGGCTTTTGTTTCCTGACCCTTGCCATCGGTTCGTCTTAGTCCCGGGCCTCCCTTGGCAGATGCGAATGAACGTGTGCTAACATGGTTTGAATAGCTTCGGGTCTGTACTACCTTTCGGAACTCGTCGAGGAACATACTGTCTTTGCGAAGCGCCTCCTCACGAAGCTGATTTACTCGGTTATCGTCTTGCAGCTATTGCTGTGCGTCGTCGACCGGTTCCCGTTCAAGTTGACTCTCATGGGCGTCGTCTCCCATGTCGTCTACCTCGGAAACATGCGGCGGTTCCCTTTTGTCAGGTTGACTGATCCTCTGTTTCTTGCATCCTGTGGTATGTGTACAGCTGTTGGCTTCTGTGTTCAAGCTCCAGACTAACACCGCGTTCTCAAGGTCTGGTACTTGTCAACCACTACCTTTGGTTCCGCCACTTCTCCGCTGCCCAGCAAAGATCTTATTCGAACATGCACTCCTACTACGACCAGCCCGATGTCCCAAGCTTCACCGAGATCGCCTCATACTTTGGCCTCTGCGTGTGGCTGATTCCCTTCGCCCTCTTCGTGAGCTTGTCCGCAAGCGATAATGTTTTGCCGACGATGGGCAGCGAAGACCCCCTGCGGGACTCTTCCGGCAAGAGCAAAAGACAGGGATTTGTCAAGTCCATCGTTGATACCGTTCTGGGTGCGATCGGTGAGGTGTTCAGGACGGTTGGCTGGGAACGCAACTGATTTGGGCTCGGTTGGTAAATGCACGAAGATGTATGATACAGCATGTAGATGGAACATGTGATCTGAACAATAGGTTGGCTGTAAACCACCATTATGAAAAGAGTAACCTCCCCAATTAGGCGGACGAATAGATACCCGGAGGTTCCCTCCAACCGAGATTGTTTCCTTCACTAGCGATGCCGGCACGCGATTGTACTGATAAAATCAGACTTACATGTGCGGACCTTTTGGCAAGGCATAACTGAGCTGGTGAGACTTGGATAGGGTCAGTGAGAACAGTCTTGGTAAAGAAATCGTCATCGGTATCGTAAAATGAATAAGCTACCACGTCGTTTTGGTAGTCTTGTTGATCCATTTCGCTAGCACAGGTTTCAGTGTTCAAGCACTAAGGTTGTGTTAGGCACCCAATCAACTCGAAAAGACGAAAAGACACTGCATAAGCGAGATCTCCTTTGGCTTAGAACACTGGGTTTCAACAGCAAAAGTCTCCTGCTGACAGTTCATCACTACACCAGTTGATCAACCCAAGCCGCTACCTCAGGTATAAACTGCCCTTGCGCGGGGTCTTTTTGCGCAGTTATGCTTACCATGTATGCAATGCGCCGAAGGTGCCAAGACCGCAATGCACCAGAGGCGTACCTTGCAGTATTAGCTGCCGCCGGTACTGAGGTACACAACAAGACCCTTGCTCCTCGACATGCAGGGATCTTTTGGTCAAGGCATCTGAACACCAAGACATCAGCCCGAATGGTGAGTCCTGGCCACTATCGTCGGCTTCTATGGCAGCGTAGATCTACACTATGTTTGCCCGAGATCCAAGGCGTGTTTCTGAAAATGTTGGAAAGTAAAAGTCCCCCAAAAGGACCCCGCTGGCAATGCCACGGAGGTCGAGGAGTAGGCCGCCTCACTCCTCATTCCTCACCAGGATGAGGAAGAGGAAGAGGATGAGGATCACGAAGGCCACAACGGTCATTTGATTCCCAGCAGAATATAAGATGCAACGCAATTCCAGGAAGGCTTACTTAGAACCTTGACGATCCCACACATCATCAACAGCACACAACTCTAGTCGTTTCAAATTCTGGGCTTGGCAAGCGCACATATTCTCACTGCCACGATGTCCTCCAAGCAGACCCAACCCATCTCTCAATACACCTCAGTCTCTCGACCTCACCAAGGTCGGACGTCGCAAGCTTACGCATACCAACAAGCTGGCGCGTCCAATACGCTCAATTCCTGGCTCTCAGAGGCCGATTCGAAGGCGCCGTTTCACGCCATCGGTGGGTACCGACCCATGACTGCCGTTTCCGACAACGGCACGAATACGTGGGGTTCCGGGCCAGCTCCGAGCAGCACCGGAGCGACGTGGGGCAGTGTACACGGCGATCGGAGCTGAAGACCGTTCAAGCTCCATGACAGCCACCGCTAATAGATGCAAAACGTGATTAATGAGGAGGGACAATGATTCTGAGAAACTGAGTGTAACACATGTTTGGGGTGTCGAAAATCAACAGTGTTGGGCAATTGCGCGTGGGATTGGCCGAGATTTGATGTGATATTATGGTCAACTGTAGACGACTGTTTCAGGGCGGAACACAGAAAGAGCACCAATTGCAATGGAAGCACTTCCCCTCCAAAGCACCTACAAGAATTTTGGCTTGCATCGCATGGTATATCGTTGACAGCCTCTCTCATCCGTTTGGCGACATCCATACCGTTGTTCGTCTTAAAGCCGTTAATTCCGCACTTCCCTTTCCGACAGTGGTCCGCGTATGAGAGGGCATTGCATTAACTCCGGAAAGAACATATGTCCAGGACCCATTTGAGTATCATGTCTAGCATCAGAGCTGAATGAACGCGGGACAGTTAGTGATGCCGTGTTGCCTAATCTGCGGTGCAACTGATCTAATACTATCGACGCCACCCAGATACTGACGGGCGCTTCTGCAATGCGACGAGGCAACGCTAGTTGTCATGTATGAGGAGACTGAGTAGGGTTTATAAGAAAGGGCAATCCTCCTGGATTGAGAAAGAACACTAGATCAGCATCCTTACATCAAGGTCTCGAATCAGAACCTGGAGTCTGTCACGCAACTCTGCAAGCTGCTCAAGAATCAAGCAGCTTTCAGCAACTGAACCATCATGACTCCTCCCGCTTACAACAAGGAAACCAGGGCCAGTGATCTGGTGCCCTTTTACGCTCCCTACATCGCCGGAAAGATCATCCTCATCACGGGGGTCTCCCCAGGCAGCATTGGCGAGTCTTTCGTCAAACAAGTCGCCGTCGCCAAACCAGCCATGTTCATCCTTGCCGGCCGCTCACCTGCCAAATTCCAAGGATTGGTCAACGATCTTGCTGCGACGAATCTCGAGCTCAAAGTAAAGTCATTAGCCCTCGACCTCATGTCCTTCGCCAACGTCCGCAATTCTGCCGAGACAGTCAAGTCGTGGACTGATGTGCCGTACATCGACCTCCTCGTCAACAACGCCGGCATCATGGCCGGGCAGTACAAGCTCACAGAAGACGGCTTCGAGAGCCAGTTCCAGACGAATCATCTCGGCCATTTCCTCTTTACGAACCTCATTATGCCCAAAGTCCTCGCCTCCGCGTCGCCTCGCATCGTCAACGTCAGTAGCGCGGGCCACAGGTTCCACCACATACGCTGGACAGACTACAACTTCAACGAAGGGAAGCACTACGAGAAGTGGCTGGCGTACGGGCAGTCAAAGACGGCGAATAGCCTCTTCTCCGTCGGCCTCGCTGAGAGGCTGGGCTCTGCCAATGGTCTGACAGCCTTCAGTCTGTGCCCAGGGTACGTCCCCACGAACCTCGCCGCGCACGAGGCGCACGACTTCCCCGCGTTCCTGGAGAGCCTGCGCAAGGCGGACGTGCTTGCGGGGTCGAAGTGGATGTGGGGGATGGAAGACATAAAGCCCAAGGACCTCGACCAGGGTGCGTCGACGCATGTGTTTACGGCGTTTGCGCCGGAGCTGAAGGAGAAGAATGGGGAATATCTGACGAATTGCCAGATCGCGGACCCATGGAAGGAGGAGGTGTTTCCCTGGGCAAGGAGTAAGGTTGATGCAGACATGCTATGGGCTTTGAGCGAGAAACTCGTCGGGCAGGAGTTTAGATATTGAGATGTTGGAATTTGATGAGAGGGTGCACGGATGATGGAAGGGGGGAGTCAATGCTGGAGGTGAGGCGCATGATGTCAGTAGAAATGAATGGTGAGGCATCTGAGCATTGTATCACCTTTGACGAAGCTGGATAACAGCTGAAATGAAATAAGTCATTGGATCCGACAGCTTGAGCGGATAGATTGGAATTGGAGCTAAGACAGAGAGAAACAGAGTTGAGCCATAGAATGAGTTACATTGCTAGGTCCCGACGACTCACTCTTCACCAGCCACTGGCACAGCCACATGCTTTTGAGGCCTGGATTGTTTCTTCATCGGAACAGTGTGGCTGTGAAAGGACTACGAATGCACCGCCACTCTTGCCCACTTGTTTTACCTGCTGATCCCTGGAGTTGCACAAGTGGCGAAAAACAACCATTGCGCGCCTGGGCGTTGAACGTTGGCTTCCCCAGCACCTTGCCGGACCTACGATTGGACGACAAGCCGGCTCCCCTACACGTACGCCTCGTCATGCGAGCCACAGCCAACAAAAATTCGAGTGTGTCTCTGTCCGAGTCAATAAGCTTGACCAAAACAAGTGTGCCTCCAAGGAACAAGTGAGGCTGTGCTAAGCCGAGCTATCGACGTCATTCGTCCAATGTCAACACAAGCCCAGTGGTGGCCTCTGGTTTGGTGGCTTTGCGTCCATGCAACATATGATCAGTTTCCTTTTCCCTCTACTTCTCAAAAGTCTCTTCGCCTAGGAAACTGGGCCGAGTCTCGCTATTGGTCTCGGCTTTGCTATCCGATGCCGAGTGACAGACGAAATTGCGGTGTCCGTTTTACGGTATCCTGGTTGCTGAGATGGTCCAAACGGACGGGTTTGCCGCACACTTCGGGCTGCCTCAAGCCAAGCAACATCCATGGAATGCCAGCTCTAGGTATAGACATGCTGCACCAGCGTACCTATTCTCCGGTGGCAACGCAGAACGCAGGTGAAGCTTTGCGCTTCCCCCACGCCCCTCCCAAAGGTCGTCACTGGCCTGTCATATGCGAGCTGACGACGCTGCTTTGCGACGACTTGGAGCCCAGATCCAGGCACCTGTTCTTAGTTATTGGGTACACAGCACACACACAGCCCGGGGGGCATGTGATGCTCAGTCCAGACAGACACCATACACGTCCTTTAGGCCGCAGCTTGTGCTTGGCTGCGCAACTGCGTAATTCCACATAAGCCCATTCTGGGCAGAAACTAGGTCCCCTCTTTAAAAGGGTGACTCGCCCGGTTGTGACGTCCCCTCAGTACCCTCGAGTCCAAGATTCTCTCTCGTAAACCACCCACTCTACACTCTTACCGTACGTGATGGGATCATTGTACGAGGTTCCAGCTACAAGCCGTGATCGCTCAACTAACGCCTCCTTCAGACCGGAACGCGACATGGCTCCGAACATCGACTCGGCGCTGGGCACGGCCGACATGGCCAACGAGCAGCGCGGCCTGCTCGAGCTCATCGACAAGCTGCAGTTCGCCCAGCTTGACAACGTCAAACTACCCCAGATCGTCGTCGTCGGCGACCAGTCGGCAGGAAAGAGTTCCGTTCTCGAGGCCATCACCGGCACGCCCTTCCCACGCGATGCGGGCGCATGCACGCGCTTCGCGACCGAGATTCGTCTGCGCAGATCCAACGAGGCGAGCCTCAATGTCTCCATTATCCCCGACAAGAACAAGACTTTTAAGGAGCAGGAGCGCTTGAAGCAGTTTGGCGGCGCCGTCGACACCGACATGTCATTCGAGTCGCTCATGAGATCCGCGGTGGACCTGATTGCGCCAAAGAACATCCCCGGCAGATTTGCCGCCCGCGATATCTTGGTCGTTGAGAAGAGAGGCCCAGATATGCCCCTGCTCACGCTCGTCGATCTCCCCGGTCTCGTCAAGAATGCCAACAACGACCAGTCGATGGACGACATCAAGACCATCGAGACCCTCTGCGACCACTACATGAAGAGCTCGCGCACCATTATCCTCGCCGTTGTCGGCGGCAACACCGACTACGTGCAGGCGCCCATTCTCACAAAGGCACGGCATTTCGACCCCTCTGGGAGTCGCACCATCGGCGTCCTCACGAAACCCGACCTCTGCGAGTCCATCGGTCTCGAAGACAAGTTCATCGAGCTTGTCCAGAACCGGGATAAGCAAAACTACTTCAAACTCGGATGGTATGTCCTTCTCAACCCTGGACCTCGAGACCAGGGCCAGCCGTGGCCTTCCGCGCGCGAACGTCGCCAGCGTGAGGAGGAGTTCTTCGGCCGCGGAAAGTGGCGCGCCCTGCCCAGCTCAATGTGCGGCGCCAACGCACTGAAGCAGAAGCTCAGCGTTCAGCTGCAACGCCACATCGGCCGCCACGTGAAGACGCTGCGCAAGCAGATCCAGAAGGCGCTCGATGACTGTGACACGGAGCTCAAGTCCATGGGCACCGGCAAGGACACGGTCGAGGAGATGCGTATCGAGCTCGTTGAGCTCTTCTCGGCCTCCAAGGAGCTGGTCATCCCCGCCGTCTACGGTTTCTACAAGAACCCTCCTCGTAAGAACTTCTTCCGTGCTACAGCAGACCCTCGCGGCACGCCCGCTCAGAACTTGCGCGCCCGCGCCATTGAGGAGAATGAGAAGTTCTCGCACCGCATCCGCCAGAATGGGCGCAAGTTTGGCTTCTCATCCTCAACGGCCCCAGGCACCGCGGATGGTGTCACCATCAGTGACAGCAGCAAAAGAGAGTTCGTCGGCAGAGAAGTCGAGATGCTTCTGCGCCAGATCCGCGGTTCCGAGTTTCCCATGGACCCCAAGCCTCGCGCCGTCTACATGCTCTTCCAGAGCTACTCCGAGAACTGGCCCAAGCTTGCCCAGGAACATAAGGACAATCTCGGCGTTGTTTGTAACGAGTTCCTGAGCGAGGTTATTGACTTCGCGTGGCCACAGCGCATGCGCGAACCGCTGCGCTACCAGTTTCTGGATGTGCAGATGAAGAAGCTCATGTCAGACGCGCAGCAGGAGCTCGAACACCTCACGCAGGACATGAACCTTGAAATCCAGCCTTATGACCCTGAGTACGAGGAGCGTCTCCGCAAGTGGCAGATTGAGTCTACCAAAGACGGTGCTACGTACACCGAGGCGCAGGAGGTGTGCGAAAAGATGTTGATCTTTTACGAGCTGGCGGCCAAGACTTTCATCCGCAACACGATCACCCAGGTCGTCGAGAGACATCTGCTGCAGGGCATGTACAGCATTTTTAACTCGGTTGAGATCCTGAGCATGCCGAACGAGACTGTCGAGGCGATTGCTGCCGAGAACAAGGAGACGCGTGATCGCAGGATGACGCTCAAGACGCAGAAGACGGCGATTGAGGAGGCCCGCGACATTTGCGCCAGTTTAGCCATGCGCAAAGAGCTGAGGATGGTAAGCCCACAAATGTGCCATGCCTCACAACGGATGATGCTAACGAGTGTTCCACAGTACGCCGACGAAGATCGCGACCTCGAGGAAAACAGTTCCGACTCAGACGAGGATAAGCCTCGTCCAACAACAACCCGGAAGCCGGTCAACAACACCAGCCCGACGCGAGAAACACACCGTTCGACGCGATCCCGCGACGAGCGTGAAGAGCGCCACGAGCGCCCGGTAGCAAGGACGCAGCCCTCCGCTGCCGAGTCCATATCGACAAATGGCAACTACACATATGGCGGCCAGCAGACGCCCGCACAAGCGCCCGCTCCCGTCCAAGCTCACGCCCCTACCCCTCAACGAGTTGAGCGTACGGAGCCTCCCCGAACGAACACGAGCAACTCCGAGTGGGAAGAGGAGTACTACAGAGCACCCTCGCAACAAGCGCCGCCTTCTCAGGCACCTCCTCCGCCCCTCCCCGTCCTCAGAAGCTGAGGCCCGAGGAGGCCGCGTCGGACGCGTACAGCCATCGTTCGGCGTCGTCGATCTCGGAGCAGCAGCAAGCGAATGGATATGGTAACTACCACGATCAGAACGAGTATACGCCGTCGTCTACCAGACGGGCGACGGCCAAGAAGTTGTTCGGTAGAGGCTAGATGTGATAAAGACGGTTCTCTCTGATTTTGTAAAGGACCGGGTGATTAAGCGATATGGGCGTTCACTACCAAGGGGGCTCTTGTCGTCGACAGAAAGCGGGCTTTTTTTGGTGCGGGCTGGAGTTGTTTGCTTTGCACCTGGATAAGATGTTAGATAGTGTGATACCAATCAACAAATTACAGACATTCTTTGGCCTTCTGAGCGTCCTGTGACATACTGACATGTATCGGTTTGAATAAGGCTTGCACGATAATATTGGGTGGTGTATTTAGATTTGAAGTCGACAAACGATTAGTGTGGCCTATAATGGAACTCAAAGCACCGTTCCATGCTGCATCCAAGTGTGATTAATGATCAATACCTTCTGTTCAAGCTCTTAGTAGCAACTATCACGCGTTTGCATGAACCCAAGCAAACCATGTCCTCGACCATGTAATCTGCACAATGATCACTTATTACTCATTTACAACACACTTTAACAGCAGGCATATATGCAGGTTACTTGATTCTCATTTCATTGGTCATCATTTGTCATTATAGTATACAATTATTTACTTTTCCCATCCTTTTATGGACCTTTCCATTCCCTTTACTCCTGGGCAATCTTCATGACGGCCTTGCCAAAGTTCTGGCCGGTAAGCATGCCGACGAAGCCCTCAGCGGCCTGGTCGATGCTCTCGGTCAAGTGGATCTTGACCTTGAGCTTGCCCTTGGCGATCATGGGCTGCACCTTCTCCTGGAAGGGCTGGTACTTGTTGGGGGACAGGTCGACGAGGAAGCCCTGGAAGGTGAGCTTCTTGGCGACGACGTGGAACAGTCCGCGGACACCCTTCTGCTGCTCGCGCGGGGTATTGTAGTCGGAGATCATACCGCAGCCGATGATGCGGCCCTGCTGGTTGAAGGACTCGAGGGCGGCCTCGAGGTGCTCGCCGCCGACGTTCTCAAAATACATGTCGATGCCCTGGGGCGCGAGGCGCTTGAGGGCGTCGAGGGGGGACTCCTTCTTGTAGTTGAAGCCGGCGTCGAAGCCCAGCTCGTTGAGGATGAAGTCAAGCTTCTCGTCGCTGCCGACGGAACCGATGACCTTGACGCCCTCGGCCTTGGCCAGCTGGCCGACGATCTGGCCGACGGCACCGGCCGCCGAGGAGACGAAGATGGTCTCACCCTTCTTGGGCTTTCCAATGTCGTAAAAGCCCTCGTAGGCGGTCATGCCCGGCATGCCGAGGGCGCCGACAAAGAGCGGGAGGTCGACGTTGTGGGTGTTGGGTACCTTGAAGAAGCCCTGGAGGAACTTTGCGGGGATGGCGGCGTACTCGGCGTTGGGACCCATGAAGGAGGTGACGAGGTCGCCGGCGGCGAACTGCGGGGTGTCGGAGCGCTCGACGCGGGCGACAATGGACGAGGCGATGACGGCACCCTGCTCAAAGGGCGGGATGTAGGACTTGCCGGCCTCGGCGGGGCGCATGCGGCCGCGCATGTAGGGGTCGAAGGAGGAGTAGAGCACCTTGATGAGGATGCCGCCGTTGAGGTCCTGGTCGAGGTCGATGGGGCGGTTCTCGACGACGAGGTCCTGGCCGGGCACGGGGAGCCCCTTGGGGACCTGCTTGAAGACGAACGACTTGTTGGGAGTGGGCGCCATTGTGAAGGTGGTGGTAATCGTGCGTGTGTGGTGTTGTTTGGAAGAGAGTATGGGTATCAAAGGGGTTTGGATATCGCAAGATGTAATAGAAATGTTCTAGTTTGATTTGAGTTTGATGGTTCTCCAAAAGCAAGTCTGGATCTATAGATGGGATTGTTCCGAGTTATATACCATTAAGAGGACTTGCTCCAGACCATGACGAATTCCGATGGAAGCTCCATCGGGCCCGCGCCGGGTCCGACCTTGCGGTGATGCCCCTTGACTGCCAGTCTCTCTCCCATCTAGGTATCCTGATGAACACGGGGCGGAAGGCATTGGAACCCAAAACGTCATGGTAGAATAACAGTAAAGCACCCACTCTGGTGTTCGGCGAGTGGAGATCTACATGGTATGGAAAAGAAGGCGATGGGTCCGGATTTGCCATCTGCCCGGTTGCGCGACCAGTGAGGTGGTTCCCGTATCAAGAATAGCCAGTCGTGCGAGACGGCACTTCGTGGCGGGGTCCCTTCTGGTGCAGAAGATATGTCAGCACCTTAAGACTTTTCTTGGCCGATTTGCCCCTCAATTCTTTGGTCTCTGACATCAAGATGCCGCGGCTCATGGCGGGGCATCCGCTGTTGGTGAAAATTCGGGCAGGCGGTGTGTTCGACGGTACACTAGAACTCATCGATCACTCGGCGAAATACTAGGGGGCCCCTAACTGTGTACTCGTTCATCAGGGTCGTTTTGGCGCTGGCCGTCGGCGTTACGCTGCGCAGTCTGCGGATTCTACCACGTTGATTTGAGGACTCTCCCCCATTCGGAGTGGCCGGTTCCCAAAGTACTATCCCGAGTCAGGCTGGCTTTCGTCACTGACTACCTAGTCTTACTCGGTCTTGCCTTACTGTTTCCAATTCCTTTTTATCTGGCAGTGCCATACTTAGTGCCACAGAAATTCTCTATCCATTAAGCAATGATGACAAAGCAGAGCAGTAGTAGCAGCATCACCGAACAATGCCCGGCAACGCCAACGTCTCCGGAGCTGGATTCCCCTTTCGGTGGAGAGGCCCCGATGAAAAAGAACAACGCAGAAACAACGGCAGGCGCCTGAGCCGCGCCGATTGCCAGGTCCGCGGCCGAGGCTGTAACGATCTAGACCAGGCGGTCGGTGACGGAGCCGAGGTTCAATCGTGGACTCCTGGGGGGCACCCCTTCGACTTTGCTGGTTATCCAACAAATCTCGAGACAAGGTCGACGGGGCCCGGGGCAACTGTTGCTATCTCGGTCGAATGATTGCTCCAGCATCGGCCCAGCAAGCCCAGCTTTTCCCTTTTTTCTTGATGGCATTCTTGATTTCAAAGCCAAATTTCCGCCCTCGACGTTCGGTTCCGCTGTTGAGAGATGGGGCACGCCCCTCCACATCGTCGATCGTCCACTGATTCTTCTGGAAATCTCGAATTCTGCGATTGCCCTGTTGAGCCGGCCTGCGGGTCCAAGGGTCCTAGAGAAGACCATGTTATGCACTGTTGGCGGGATACAAGTGTTTTGCAAACATCCTTGCGTGGCCTCGGACGGCCGCTTCGTCAGGGGCTATTTGTTCGTGGGATGGTGCAGTATCTGCAGACACGGTCACCAGCTCGACACCTCCGCGTCCGTCCGCCATCCAGAACTCCTCGTAGCCCGTGGGCTCGAAGCCCATCTTTTCGAAGCATCGTCTCCCTTCTGGAGTCGCCGTGAGTGCTATCGACCATCGTTGTCAGATCATCACCAGAACAACGTGAATCCCGCAGCTTGAGCAAAACCACACACAGCCCGCTGCACATCACTTACCCGAATGGCCGATGATGTTCCACCCCTTGCCCTCTGCAGCAGCAATGACCGCCCGCATCGAGAGATCCGCGAATCCGCGCGCCTTCTCGCGCGCCTCGGGGACATCGAACCGTTCGACGTGGAAGACGTGCAGCCCGACTCCCGAACGCGGGTTGCCGTCGCGGGCGAACATGGACTCGGCGTCCATGTCCGTCTCCTTGACTTTGCCCACCAGCAGATCCCGCCACGCAGGCGCCAGAATGGGAAGTGCAATCACAGCGCCGACGAGTGTCCGTGTGTTGACGCCTTTGCTGTCCTCGGCCGGTAGATAGAAGCACGTCGCCATCTCCGGCGCCGCAGCCGTCCAGCTCCGGAGGCGTTCCCAGGTCAGCGGCGCGGGGTACATGTCCTGATCTGAGGCGAAGATGCTCTTTAGGACCTCGTTGGTCATGGGACCCGTTTCCAGAGACAACGCCGACATACTGGCAAATTTTCCAGCCCAGTCAAGTCAGGTTGGGATGTAGTGAAGCGATATTTGATATTGTGCAGTTGCTTGACCAAGGAAGCTGGCTGGCACGCCTGGATACCTTGACTTGGGCTGGAGAGTAGAGCTCTGTTGGCTTTCCACACCTTGCAGCCAGCCAACTTTGGTTGCCAATGTGTTGAAGAAGCTGTGCTGCGGGGACTTCTCCACTGGGATCTCGCCTATGCACTGTCGAGGTGAGGCGCTGCAGCCGTACCGTGCCGCCAGAACCCGAGCGCCCAGGTTTATGCATGAAAGTACGGAAGCATGAAGGCCCAAGAGCACCATGGTATTTGGAACTTGATGATTCTGAACTAACTTGCAGATGAAATACTGGGGTTTGTATACAATGGCGATGCAAATGCAAAAATTTAGCATGCCACTTCTCAGGAACCAATAGAACTTGGCCTCTTATACCTGGGAGCTCATGTGACAGCTGGTATCAGGGCTGCCTTCGGCCAAGATTTGGACTGGACAACACTCTTATGGCGGAGATGTCACCACAACGTCGATACCAATTGGTGGTAACCTGAAGACATCGACTTGGCCAGGTCATTTCGCCATGGAAATTCACTATCATTACACGCATTAGCGGATTTTTCCTTATTCAGCCTTGTCATTAAGCTCTTGGAACATCCTTCGCACATCCCAAAGCCAACTCCCTGCCCAGGCTGTTCCTTTGCCGTACCCCCGTATCACAGCAGCTTATGAGCTTTTCCAAAGCAACACGTGTGATTCCTTTCTGAATACTCTTGTGCCGGCGTTCGGAGAGTAGACATGTCAGACCACGACCCATCATTCCATCACCTACCCGTTTCTCCTCTTAGATCATTGAGCTTCTATAATACTGCCCCGCCTATCAAGCCTTTTCGATCGTGATGCTCCGTTGCCTATCAGTCGTCAGATACTGAGACGTCTGAAGGCTCAGGACCATGAGCAATCCGGTGGATGGTGCCAAACGCCGGGCCCATAATGCAGGCGAAGTGTGTACACTCGTTAGAAGTCGGGTATGTCTCAACCCATTGTTGAAGGACGTCTTCATCAACGCCAGAAACCTCGAAAATTCTGTCAACCTCTGGCGGAACGCCCACATTGAAACACACACCATTGCTCTGGTATCGCGGTTCTTTGCTGACATTTCTGGCGACTGCCGCCATGTGCTGAAGCCACTTCTTCTCGAACGCTCGCTGACGATCCTCGGAATCGTCTAGCCAGTCTGTATTACCCAGAGCCAGGGCTTGCGTAAGATTGACGGTATTCTTTCCGGCGTTATGGCCACAGCAGGTCTCGTGATCTGGGTCGTGATTATATTGAAATCGGAAGAGGTTGCTCGTTTGGCTCTTCCTGTGTAGAGGCCTTTGAGAACAACAATGATCTTGGATACATCGCAGAAAGCGACGCAGCAAGAAGACGCAGGCATGAACGCAAGCTTCTTTACTGCGGCTGTGATTGAGAGCGGCTTCTGTTCGGACTCCTTTGTAATAAGACCCTTTTCGTTGGAAACTTTGGGTTTCTTCGTGTGGATGCCCTCGTTCAGCAGTATGCGTCGGAGAATGGACGGAACTGTCTCACGACGACCGAAGAGAACCAGCAGCTGGTGCTTGCGCAACGATGTGGTCTTGAAATCACAAGTCGGTCGGAAGTTTAGGGACATTGATAAGCCCTTTCTAGAAACCTTGTCAGTCACCGAATGATTGGGCTGGAAGAGATCGCTGCTCACCGGACGCCTGTGAGGCAGCCAACAAACCCGGCGTATGTGATCGATCTGGCAATCACCTCATTGGGGCCTCCATTTCTGGTGTCTACAAACTCAATAATTACCAAAAGCTCCCTCAAGATGTCCATTCCCCACTCCAAAGTGCGGAAATGCATCAGACGGTCCTTGGTATCTTCGCCAGCCTCATCCTTTGCCTTGGGTCGCACCAAGGCTGTTCCGGAAGTGCAACCCAGCAACAAGTCCAGAATGAGACGTGACCAAGTGGGTTCTTATCTTGGCGGCGCTGGCAATTGACTTGATTTCCTTGCTCTGCTCTTGGTCAAAGACTTTGCGCAGCGCATATCGAGACGTGAACTTGATGACACCGGCAAGCTTCTTGCTGAACAGCGACTCGACCACCTCGTCAAAGAGAGGGCTGACACTTCTTATCTGGGGTGCAAATTCCTTGGCGAGCTGGACGTAGCGCTCTTCGGCTGGCTTTCCCATATCGATTCGGTAGATGGAGATGTCGGTAATGGTAGGCGTGAATACGGTGGGGAACGCTGACGTCTGCTTCTCCTCCTGCCGGGCTCCAAGACGAAGAATTGGCTGAATTACTGCAGTTGAATGAGGAGAGTCTGTGAGGATCCTGGTGCGTTCGTTGGATATTGAGGGTGGTCAAAGGAGCATAGATGGTGAGGGGTGCAGAGAGCTACTGATGCGGTCCTCGATGTCAGTCCCTGTGTTTGTTGGGGACGTTGAGAAGATGATAATTAGGCAGAGAAAAAGCAAGGGCATACTCTTAATCGAGGGATTCATGCCGATGACGTTCATCAGAAGTAATGCTTCTTGCGTGAGTCAACGTCGGAAGGGTGGAGAAGATGTCAATGAGTGAGTTGTTATCGTACCTGGGGAAAGGACTAAGAGGGAGGGATAGGACTCTTGAGGCTGGGGTTGGGGTAAGTTGCGTGCGAGCAAGGTACATTTAGGATTGAGTGTAACAGTCTTTCGAAATGTAATGGGTTGATGTCAGCGAGATGAGCCGGGCACCACCAGCTGAGGGGAGGGCCCCCTTAACCAAATCCTGCAAAAACGAAAGCGCAAAAAAAATCTAGAGAAAACTGTGACGTAGGACAAGACTGTCCTTGAGTTTGCGATAAACTCTCACTCGAGGCATAATAAGACGGTCAGCTTTGTCTATGAATGAAGTTTATGATTATTTGATAGCAGTGCGGACAAAATGCACATTGCAGAAGCGTAGAGTAAGCGGCCAGCTCCGAATGCCTTGGATGTGACGGTGAGAAGCATACCACGAGAAGAGCAACATGTCTTTTACAACCTCGGCTACTTGATTGAGAGCAGCAAGTCTCTAGCTTGGGTCAGATCACGACACAACAGAAAGATGAGTAGAAAACGCCGCGTACTTCCCTTCCACCTTCTGTCGAAAGACATCGTCTGAAGCATAATATCATTAGATGTATGTACTAGCAACTGCAATCTAGTTTGTTGTGCGTGTAAGTTGCTAAAACATTCGTCCGTGACCCTCCATCTCCATTCATTTTTAGCGCCGGAATATCAACTCTATGCCCGTTTACGTTTCTTTGTGCCAAATGCATGATCACGTCGAGTTAGGCAGCTGTCTGCCCGAGCTCCCTTTCAACTGTGACACGGAGGCTTTCCTTGGGTCGAAGGGTGAAGTTGGGGTTTGCGAGCGCTAACACCCCGTTCCAGCCGGGCCGCGGCGAAAACTTGAAGTCGCGCACAAGGGCAAAGATGACGCTCTTAATGTTCAGCAGCGCCATGTTCTTCGCTATGCAGCCCGCAGGGCCCTGCAAAAACGCCTCCATAGCGTACGAGTCCCTGGGCGCGCGACCGTCAGCCCAGCGATCCGGGTCGAAGACCCCGGCAGTCTCGCCCCAGACCAGGGGGTTGAAGTGCGCGACGGCAGGGCAGAGAGTGACTTGGGTGCCCTTTGGGATGAAGATGCCACAGACAGTGACGTCCTCAGCGGCCTCGCGGGGCAAGAAGATGGCTGAGTGGACAGCGGGTTAGCTGAGAGGCTTTAAACGTGTGAGTGTAGCCCTTGGTATTACTTTCCTGGGGAGTAGAAGCGTAGTATCTCCTTGAGGAAGTTGTTGACATAGACTAGGTGCTCGAGCTCCTCGTATGTAGGGTCCCAGTCTTGCGACTTGTCGGCGCAAAGGTCAAGGACCTCTTGCTTGAGGCGCTCCTGGACCTTTGGCTCCGTTGCAAGGACATGGACGATCCACATTGTGGTCGATCCAGTCGTTTCATGACCTGCCACTCAATATTAGTGTCTTCGTCTCGTCGCTGCGTCCTGGGGTATACGTACCTCCGGCAATGAAGTTGAGCATCTGTTCCGAGAAAAATCAGCACACATCGGATCGTCAGTCGATGGGTATAACGTACATACTCCAAGAGCTCCAAATCTCTCAAATTCGTCTGGGTGGCATCAAGTTGACAGTCCTCTAGGATAAAGCTCAATATATCGCGGCGACCAGTATTGTTTTCGTTGAGCCCCAGCCTCTTCTCCACCATCATCTCATGCTGTCTGTTCTCAACGCAAGTGAGGAGCATCGTCCTAATAAGTGCAACGTCTTTCAACCACCTCTTGTTGCTCTGCAGGGGCAGCCAGGACCGGAGCGCAATATGGCCGTCGATAAAGGTGATGACGTGGCCAGAGGGCGGCTGGCGGATGATGCGCTCGTACACGTCGTAGAAGTGGGCTTCGGGTACGGAAATGCTCTTGAGGTCACACCCAATGGAGCCGATAACAAAGACGTCAAGGGTAGCCTTTCTGAGGAAGCACTCAACTGGAGGGATGGTCAGCTTAACATCAGACTGAAAGAGTCGGCGGAGAAGCGTACTGTCAACGACCTTGATCTCCTCCCCTCCAAGGTCCTCACTGATGGCCTTGCACAGCTGGTTTGCCTTGAGCTGAAAGACTGGCAGCATCTTGCGTGTGTTCTGGTTGGAGAAAGCACCTGAGAATTCTGGTCAGTCCCCTGGGAAACGGTTGAGTGGTCCAATGGACAACCCACGGGCCAGCTGGTTACGCCGCGTTTTTCTTTCTTCACCCTCAGAAAACATAAGTCCGTGTCCAGTGATGGGGGAGAACATGCGAGCTGCGAGCTGCGACTTGCGGAAGGAGTAGGCCCTGGCCTGCTGGACTTCTTTGAAAGCAGCCAAGTTATTGACCATCAAAGTCTCGGAATTACCCATGGACAGGTAGCGCACAAAGGGCGTCTCGGGCCATTGCATCATCAATGAAACGAAGATATCTGCTGGTCCCGGGGCTCTGATCTGGTTGAGCAACTGACCAATGAATAGGTGACCCCCCTACAGGTTTCGCATGGAGTGTTAGCTTGTTTTCTCAAATTCATTGTACACTCCGCTACTGTTCATGAGTATGGGAAAAGAGGAGGCAAAAGCGTACCTTTGGGCCCGGGAGGTGGCGCAACGGGGAGAGAAAGAAAGGATAGATGAAGGCATGATAGCCCAGAAGGCATCCACACTGCAAAGACAAGGAGATTGCAAAGACCTGAATCGCTGTGGCTAAACCGTTGTGCAAAAGTCTTAAGCTGACAGTCGCAAGAAGAAGCGACAGCGCTACGCAAACCTTTGCGGTCATGTCTTGAAATCAGGACAAACTTCTGCTACAAAGCAAGCGACAAGAAAAGGAGGAAGCAAAAGAGGGAGAAGTAAGGGATTCTGTGGGACGATAAGAAATCAGAACCAAGGTGAGGCGCGTAATGCTGTAAGTGCCGCGGGTGAAGTTACTGCACACGCAACAAGGCGGGAGGTACCACGCAAGGGTCAAGATAAACTTTTCGAAAGAGGCTTTAAACATTGAGAGAAAGCAAACAAGGGCTAGGCTAGGGTGGAAAACGTAAAGTTGAGACTTTTTGTATAGCTCTTGGGGCTCCTAAGGAGTTGCCAGGCTAGGAGGTGAACTTTGCAACAATGAACTCAATCAAGCTTTGCAAAGCGCTGGAAACGTATACCTTCCATTTGAGAGATTTGAAGACGCAGACTCGGCTATAAGAGAATAATCGTCCTGGAGTGCATGCGTCGTCGATACGGAACCTAACAGGAGCATCATAAACGGGCAAGCATCCCCAACGCCACCAACAGCAAGCCAAGTTCCAACAGCGCAAATATTACTTCAGATTGTATCCATCTCATCACCGGATTAAACGATGGCAAGCGGCAATCTATTATCATCGTAACACAAGATGGCCACTGAACCTGAACACTGAGAGAAACGAGTCTTTTTCCTTGTCTTTGAACCCCTGTCGAGGCACGATGTCCATAAGGAGGTGGCGTGATGAAAAGAGAGTCAGAGACCGAAAGTCTCAAGGCTGGCTGGCCCCTATTTCCATGTCTCCGCCATCAACGCGAGCCGTGCCGTTGATATCGCCAGCACTAGTCGGGAAGAAGAAAACCATACAATAAGTCAAGAAATACGCGAGCTTCTGCGAGCTTCCCTAAGGGGCAAATGAATTCTGCTTACGATTGGCCTTGCTGATAATGGGCGGTTGGAGCATATGCAAGTAATTTAGGGGGTAGGGGGTAAACGGACGACAGCTCGAGCAAACGAGGGGCAAAGCCGACAAAGCCTTTGAACTGGACAAAGCGGACGCTGCAAAAGAGTGACGCGGAGCCCGGAACACTGGAAGATGGTTGGCTTGGCCCTTGTATTAACCTTGTACTACACTCAGATATGACATGACACGTTGAGCATGCCTTTGAGTCAAAGTGTTGATGTCAAGTTTATTCGCTGACAAGCCAATTGCCAAGAGATTCAAAACTTGGAGAGGGTCCATTGGCGTCGGCGCAATGAATCTGGAAATACTTGCGAGGGACAGGGGGAGCTGAGAGAAGCCGGCAAGGTGATGAGCGGGTAAATACCGCCTACAACCTTTTCCAAGGGACGGGTACTTGCTGCATCGTTGCTTTCCATGCATGCGCGTGCCGACCTCTCTAGGTGGATATCACTATCGAATCCACGGATACGGGCGGAAACACCGACGAGGGTCCTATTGGCGGATAGATGAATCCATACCTCTTTCCCTTCTCTCCTTGTACAACATCATGGTCTCCATCATGCGATGGCAAGTTTGTCGTCAGGGTTCCTATTACAGTTGTGCTCATATCGACATGATGCTGTATTCTACGAGATAATGGGACGGCGTGGACCAGGGGCCTTGAGAGTGGCATAGGTCTGTAAGACATCGGAGGACGGCAGCCGGCATATCGTGGTCATGGGTCTTCAATGTCTCTGATCCAGCGGAGCGTCTGCGATCGATCGTGTTGAAATCGTCCTTGAGCCGCCTTCGGGTCCCGATAATCGCTTACGCAAATTGGGTGGCTGAAACTGGGCCAATAGATACGTGGCGCCCTGCTGTATCTCAGAGAATATAAGAGGTGAGGTTTGCACATTTGAGACAGGGTCTGCCTTGCCCCCTCTACATTAGAGCTGAGGACAAGGCTCCAGCAATGGACTACTTGGTGCAGGGTACTATTGCGGTTGACGTTGACTTTCCAATGGCAGTTTTCCCTATCGACTGCAGCATGGGTAACTGTGCGAACACACGACATGATATTCATGAACAGGGGGAAGCCGCAAATAACGACACAGAGTTCTTGGTTGTTATTCCATCATACTTAACTGTCTCACGTCCCGTTGGGCGCTAAGGGTAAAGAGGTGTTGGGTAATTGCAGATTGCCCAGCATTACTACAATCTCAGGTCGAGTGATACAAGACATCTCCGGCGTGATCTGAAGCTACCCAGTTGCCTGGCTGCCAGATCTCGTACACCTAGAGGAGCTGACGATTAAGTAAACCGTGTAGTGGGAAGGATCCGACTGGTTCTTAGACCCGATCTAATATTAAGTGATCGCTAATCAAACTTGCTAAACGTGAGATAGACTATTGTTTTGGTGTCTGATCGCCACAAAGTACCAGACTCATCAGGTTTAGAGTAGTTGCACATGACACAAAACACAGAATCATGGTATAAGGAAGGGTTGCCCAATTAATGCATTGGAAGGCTGAATGATGTAACGACGTAACATTGCCTAAGCTGAGCTCAAGGGATCAATGTGATACTGATACCCGAAAATAGAGGGAACTAAGTAGCCAATATGTTTGAAGACACGTCGGAAGGAGGCAGAATACCTCGATGGCACAGAGAGGCAATACGTGAAGAGTAAGTAGTCACACATCGCAAACTCTAGGGACAACCCCAACTCTCAGAAATGTCACGACGATTCCACTGACGACAAACACAGATCTTGTATCAGCCTTGGGGTCTTATGGGCGATGGGTCGTAACCTTGGGGTGCGGTTGAAGAGACATGGCGTTTGGGCCCAGCAATTATTGATCCTTACACCTTTCGGAAGTCGAACAGGGGACATATGTCTTTGCCAGTGAGCCAACTTCGGCATCCTCGCTTACTTGCAACGGCTACAATCCCTACCGCTCTAAGGCTTCGAAAAGTTGACTAGTTGGCCTAGCAAAGCTTCCGAAGTTGTCTCTAGCGTCTTGAGATACCAAGTTAGCGGGCTGTCAGCAATTATTACCTACCAAAAAACCTGACTCGTCGTCTTTATCAATGGTGGCTTTTCAATCATGTTCAGAAGGGCTATTGGCAGTTACTATGAACCTTCATCCAGCCAGCTACCCAGACCCAAAGTCCAACATGGCCCCAATGTCTCTAAAAACTGCATACGACCCACTTTCTTCACTTTTCTTCAGCGCAACGCTCCATTTCTTCTCTAACCTCGGCAAACCCGAGAACGCAGCCCAATGGCCGAGACATGCTTCGGCGGCCGAGCAGCAGGCTCGGAATGCCGATGTTATCCGAGAAAGTCACACCCGCGTCACTCCGAGCCGAAGGGCGTTTGCCCGCACCCGAGGATGAGGGATGCACCCGGCTGGCCAACCACCGTGTACAAGGCTGAAGATCCAGTTGCGCCTCTGGGCGATGCATCGCGCGAGGCTAGGCCCCGAGGCGTCGGGAGTAATAGACCGTGCGACACGGATCAAGGATGGAACTCGCGAATCATCCTGTCTGCATTCGTCATCGACGGCTAACACGGCGATTCAGTGCCCAGGAATGCCTTGAACTCGAAGACGTCACTAGTACTCGTTTGTATATAAAAGGCAACAGCTGATCATGTCAAACAACGAAAAAGGAACTCATATGCTCTGCGTGACTCCTATGCTACGTACAACTGGTACAACTACAATCTCCCAGCAAGACCGAGCCTCCTCCCAGTGTCCAAAACAGAAATCTAGTCCTCCGCTGGTTATGCAATTCGACCGACGTCGGTGGTATCTATCTCCGTACCCAGTCTTCGCCCCATTCGGCAAGATCGAGTCTAATCGCGGGGGAAGAGAGGGTGGCGGAGGTTCTCGCGAGGAAAGGGGCGCGGCGCCGAGGTAGGTGTTTCTTAATAGCTACAGAGATTTAGGTAAGGGTGTTATGTAGCTGGCAATTTACAAGGTGTCCATCTTGTCGAGGATGGCCTTGGTGAACTGGTGGGTGGTGGCATCACCGCCCATGTCACGAGTGCGGACCTTGCTGTGCGGTTGTTAGCGGTCGATTTCCACATATAAGATGAACCTTGACTTACCCGTCGGCAATGACGCCGTAGATGGCCTGGGAGATGCGGTTGGCGTGGTCGTCGAGGCCGAGGTGGCGGAGGAGCATGGAGCCGGACAGGATCAGGGCAGTGGGGTTGGCCTGGTCCTTGCCCTTGATATCGAGACCGACGTGGCGGCAACCGGGCTCGAAGACGGCAACGTCGCGGCCCATGTTGCAGCCGGGGACGATACCGGCACCACCGACGAGGGCGGCACCAATGTTGGACAGAATGCCACCGTACAGGTTAGGCATGACCATGACGTCGAACTGCTGGGGCTTGCTGACGGCCTGCATGGAGGCGTTGTCGACAATCATGTCGTTGACCTCAAGGGTAGGGTAGTCGTTGGCGACGCGGTGGAAGGTGGAGCGGAAGAGACCGTCGGCCAGCTTCATGATGTTGGCCTTGTGGATGCAGGTGACCTTCTTGCGGTTGTTGGCGAGGGCGAAGTTGAAGGCGAACTTTGCGATGCGCTCCGACTTAGCGCGGGTGATGATCTTGAGAGACTCGACGACGCCGGGGACGGACTGGTGCTCGAGGCCAGAGTACTCGCCCTCGGTGTTCTCACGGATGATGGCGAGGTCGACACCCTCGTGGCGGGTCTGGTAGCCGGGGATGTTCTTGATGAGGGAGATGGAGGCGTAGATGTCGAGCTCCTGGCGCATGGCGACGTTGAAGGACTGGTGGCCGGAGCGCTCGATGGGGGTGTGCAGGATACCCTTGAGGCCGAGCTTGTTGCGGCGGAGGGAGGCGACGGACTCGCGGAAGAGGTCCTCGGTCTTCTGGGGGGTGTTGGTGTTGAGGCCGGAGACCTCAACCTGCTCCCACTCAATGGGGACGTTATCGGCCTTGAAGATGGTCTTGACGCTCTCGGCGACCTCGGCACCGATACCGTCACCGGGGATCAGGGTGACCGTGTACTTGCCGCCAAACTTGGTGGGCTTGAAGATGTCAGAGCCGACCGTGGCGTAGGCGCGCGCGGGCTGCGCGGTGCGCAGAATCTGTCGAGAACATCGTTAGCCGTCTGTCTGTGTGTTTTGGTGTATGTGTCTTGTCTGCGCGTGGATGTGGGGGTTGTAGATTTGGGTGCATCGTCTGTTCTCCAGCTGGATTTTCCATTTTCGCGTCCACTACGTCGTCTTCTCGGTCTGGCGTGCTTATTGTTGTTGTTGATTGAGATCCTCCTCTTTATCTTTCGATATCCTCCTCTTCAGACACGATGCACTCACAAACCATATCACAGCCAGGGGAATGATTTGAAACGTAACAGGAGGGCCCAATTGAGCCCAAAATGACAGAGACATACCTGCGCAGTGCGGGCGGATCCTCGGGAAAGCATCGTGGCGGTCGTGGGTGCCTCGTGAGGGTATTCGCGGAGCAAGAGATGTGTTCGGGATCGGAGGAGTTGAGGAGTGGAAGAATTAAAAAAGAGTGGAATTTCGTAAAGGTAGTCGTTCCAATGTTGCCGACTGTCAAATGCCGCAAAAAAACCAAGGTACACGGCGAGTTGGGTCGGGAACGGTACACGGTCAAAGTACAGGCCGACAACAGTGCAGAGCCTTTTTTTTCCCTCTCTCTGCCTGCCGCTGTTTTCCCTCTGCAAGCCTGGATTTCGTATGTGGCTTGACTCCAGTCTTTTTCTGTTTTCAGACGTCTGACTGGCTGGAATGCTGGTGGTGACCCACTCAACTCTCTTCCGGGCGGTCGGAAGGATGGAGGACGACGACATCCGCGGAAAAGAGAGCCTGTGAGCTGTCCACTGTTCATACCTGCCACTGTCACTTTGCTCCTCCTCTTTCCGCCGCATGGCTGGACTCGGGAAGGGAAGGAACAAACGTGGGGCACCATGCCCCATTGGGGACTAGCGTCTCTTGTCCTCTGTCTTCTCGGTTGAGCCTCGGATCTGGACTCAAAACTGTTACCGACCTCACGTGGCTTTCACAATCTCACTGGTGTTTCTAACTTGAGCTTCTCATCTCATTTGCGTCCCAAGTTCAATCTCACGCGAGCATGTCAACCGTAGCTTCGCTGGATGCAGAGGTGGTCTTGACTTGACGTTCCCGGTCAACGTCGGCTGCTCAATTCTTCAGTGAACTGCAGCCGCCTATGTTTTCCGGAGAATTCCCCGCCAGCCCACCTCTCCACTTTCTTCTGAGACCGCCAAGTCGGTCTTACAGCGCCCTGGGCGTATTTGCGACGTTGCGACTTCACTTCGGCCGAGCACGACCTTGAACGATGTCCATCTAATACAAGACTTCATCATATGTACAGCAATCTGATTGATGGAGTTATGATGGAATAATCGATTTGGGTTATCAACTACCGTTGCAAGAGTAGCTCCACGCGCTCGCTTTTCAAATAAGTGCGCTTCGTCGCCTGCCTAAGCTTCCCGATTGTGTTGACAGAACCCAAGCCAACGTAGACGTCACGGTGAAGACCTTAAGGGGATCAAGACACCCCGGCTTCAACTGCTTGAATCGCTCTATCAAGCCAGAGCCTTTACTGGAAATCTTCCGAGCGTTGTATCCGCTCGCCTCAATACCCCATTCAAAGCAATCGGCCCAGTACCGTCCGCCCTGGCTTGTCCCCAGTGGTTGTGCGCCTGTGCAAAAAGTTCGTGATCAGCAGCCATTTTGCTTTCAAAGTCCGCCGAGAGCGACTTACAATCCATATTCTGAAGCGTAGTGAGATGCTTCACACACAGCTCCTCAGTGAGCCCGTTTTTCTCATCCTCAATCATGTGGTCGCCGTACTTGCCTTTTGTCGGACAGGGGGTGATGTTCTGCAGTGCTTTGATCCAGATGTGAACCATGCCAATATCAAAGTACTTTAAAGTGTTAGTTAAGTACGCGACTTTGCGGTTGTAGTCCGTCCAATAGTACCCGATCCTCTCGGTGTCGTCCATAAACCGCATACTTCCCTTCTTTCTAATCTCATAGATCGCCTCATAGCAGAACCTTTCGAAAACACCATCCTCTGCCTCATACGTCTTGACCTCATCTTTCTCAAGCCAGCAGAGCCCAGACCCGTGCTTCAGCGGCGTCACAGGTTGATATTGGTACTTCCAAGACGCCATTCCGCACCCGTCATAGGTTAAGTTAATCATTTCCTTCATCCAGAACTCTTTAGCCTTGCCTGCACGTCAAAGTCAGATAGAACAAGTTAAGGGAGCAGACAGTAAGCATGCAGAGAAGGGCAGTTTAAGGCCATAAAGCGCACACTTACAGCCACCCAAGCTGTGCATGGTGTTGAAGACCTGTCTGCAGGTTCCCTTGCAGGTGCCTCCCTTTATCGGGCTCCATCCCAGAGTGACGGACTTGGCTCTATCTACCAAGTAGTAGGATTCAGGTATCAAAGCGTTAAAGCCATACTCCAAGGAATCGCCATATTAGTCACAAATATAATCAACCAGGCTTGGAGAAAGAAAGGGTCAGCAAGGCCTGATGTCCGCGAGGTTTAATCTGAACGGAGCAAACCTACAGTCCCCAGTTATAGTAGTAAACCCAGTTATCGTTCAGGCACCATAGGGACCAGGTGGGCTTATCGTCAACTGTCAATAGAGTAAGGTCTCCCACATCTTGCAGGTTCGCTGCATCGCTCATTTTGCTCCTCTCTACAATGTCTTCCATCAAGGGGGCGTACATCGCAGCGTCTCCCTCGGTATTGAGGATATAGAGGATATTACCAGCTGCTAGAGATGACCAAACGTTGGTACCAAGAGAGGCAATGACTAAGAGGATATTAAGTAGAACGTGCATTGTACCATAATATCAATGAGCCTGGACCCTAAAGTTTTGCAAACCAAGCCCCAGTAAGTGTCGCAGATGAGATTACAGCTGTGCTAGAATGTTATTTGTATAAGACAAGCGGTGATAGGTAAAGGCTCCAAGGGACAAGTAATAGATCTTGAGCTCTGTCGGCCAACTAACAATCCAATTAATTTTGCTCAAGCTCCTTTTATCATCAACCACACATCGTAACATTGCCTCGACATGTGGATAACAGAAGTCACAAGAGAACTGGTGTCTGTCCACCTGTGATACAAGTTAGGCGCCCTGCATGCGTTCAAGGCAGCTTCAAGCGTAAGTGCCTAAAACCCCTATAATGATATCGCACGTTACCACAAGCGTCGTCTCAGAATAGGAGCGGAAACCCAACAGGAAAGTTAGAAGACGTTCCGCCTGTCGTGATACCGCAGCATTTTACAGCATAATCTCACAGCTTTGTTTACCCTGTCTGTTCTTGAGACAAATCACCGATATCTCTGGTCCAGACTCGCACCAGGAACTTTGGCCAGTCTGAGAAATGTTGTGAATGCTACTTCAAAGTAAACAAACAGCATCCAGCTGACCTTACTCCAACTGACAACTCAGCTTGAATAACACGGCTAACTTTATTAGCAAATAGCCCGTGATCCTGCTGGGCATATTACTGAACTGATATCGGTTTACAAGAGCTTACCAGACAATATCACTCGACTCCCGTCGAAGGATGCTATGGGGGGGGGGGGGGGGGGGGGATTTTGCTTGAGTGATAGCCTAAGTTCAAGGAACTTCCCCGGTCCCCCGACGGCTTCCGACGGCTGCTGAAAATTGGCACTTCTTAGTCTAATAATGTATCTTGATTTCACCCGGGCTACCCTTCTCTAGTCTCTTGTAGAGTCGAAATCGCAGCCTACTAATCGTCAGGCAGCCAAAAGCCGTTATAGCGAGGGCAGTAATACTGTCGTACATTGTTGCGAGGCCCAACGGTAGGAACTTAGCGCTTGCCTTGCTAAAATTGTTTCAAAGAAAATAAGCATGCTGGACACCGAGACATAGATTATGTCCCAACCAGGACTGCTATGCAGCCATTGAGATGAACAAGGCGGCGGTGGGTGTTCGTTCGACGGTGATAAGGCCCTCTTGGCGGAGACCATATTGTAAGCTGTGATGGCCGAGTACAGATCCCCTATCATACGAAACTCCTTTTCTTAGCCGAGACTATCGTGCTGTGCGGTCGGAACCTTCAACCGCATGCATGGCTGTTTGGTAATGACACAGGACGCATGTTTGCATCGTGCTTACGCGACATTGTCGAGTACACTCCCTGAGAAATCCGAACCAGTAAAATATCAAGCCGTGCTGGGACAATCTGCGTTGCAACGGGTGCCGGCAGGAACCCGTTGTTTCCCCCGGTTCAAATTCACCGGGTGTTTCTCCGTAGGCAACCCCGAGATTTATTTATTCGTTAGACAAGTTCGTATGGTGTGACCCGAATCAATGTCTATCCTTTCGGAACGATACTGCAGGCTTGTTAGGCCAAAGCCCGATCGTCAACCCGAGGAACCCATGCCAACGTGGCGTGTGCTATCAAGGGTTCTTCAGGGATTGTCCAAAGTGATAATGACCATGAACTGCTGATTTTGTACTGAAGTGAACGCGAAGGAATCCAAACCATGGACCTTGATTCAAATGAGGACTCGGGTGCTCCTAGAAAAACAGTAGCTTTGGAGCTATTTTTGGTGGTGGGACAGGACACCCTCAAGCATACAACGTGACTAGGCAGCTCGCTACAATATAGTATGCGACAGAGAAAGTCAAGACGGACCTTGTTGCGTAGCAAGGATCTCATGGCAATGAGACAGTCAAGATAGAATCAAAGCATTGTCACCTGAGATGAGAGGACCCCTGTTGTACTTCTGCAAAGAAGCCAGTAGTTCAAAAAGCTAGAGCCAAGCCCCGCTTACGCATCCCGGCTATGCATTCCATACGAGAACCTCATCCACACACTTTTGGTCAAAGCCACTGCGTCCCTTCGGCGTTGAGATCGCTGTTGATAATGAAGATACAGGCCGTCAGCATTTGTAAACGACAACGGGCCATGGGTGGAGTTGACCATGCAGGTCACCAAGGCATGCTATCAGCATACGAATGCCATCAGGATGACGTTTGGAGCTTTGTCGACAAAACGGTACTGCGACCTTCATGTTTGCTCAGGGAACGCCGCAGCGCCACCGACGACGGTCGACATGCAGTCGAAACCAGGGCAGTCGAACGCCATGATTGCAATTCAACCAATGGGGAAGAACCAATTTCGGTGTCTTAACGGGAACTCAACAATATCTGCCTGCATGTCTACTATCAAACCAATCATCTACCATGAAGACTGTAAGCTTCTCGTGAAAATTCATGTGCACCGATGTGCCGCGCGCCACCCAATGGGCAGGCAGCCGATCTCGTTTTCTGTACACCACTCCGATTGTCCATGACGCGATTGGTCGTCAATATTGATGTAGTTGGACTCGTTATCGTGGGATCCAGCTCGTTAGCCTCGTGGACCGACATAGTCTCATGTCGCCACGACAGATCCCGGCACGAAGGCGAATGAAACATTTCGTTAGGAACCGTCATAGGACGGGTAATGGGAATGGAGATCAGTTCATGGCAGCAGCGCAGGTCTCAATTGCACGCCGGGTCGTAAGGCTGGCCTTGTGGGTAATTCGGCCTGCGTTGCAGGACGACATCTGCACCATCCTAGACATCACAGAGCCATGTAGGTAGCGCCCTAAGCGAAGAAGAGTGCACGAACTCTGCCGAAGCCGAAGCTGAGACCGGCGGATGGCTTCCAGACTTCGAAATAGGGTATATCTGACAAAAAGATACACGTTGAACCTGAGGCGAGAACCCTCCCCTTGCTTATCCTCCAATACGGACTTAAGCCTGTCACGAAAGCGAGGCCTTGACAGCGCCGCTCAGTTGCTGCTGAGTTGGTGGTGGGATCTTGCCATGATCCCGCATGCCAAGAAATGTCCCAAAAAGGAATGTCCTCGTCGCGGTGGACTGTTATGTGACGGGCGTTGACCGTCTTGGCGGAACATCGTTTACCTTGCCCAACGACAAACCGCAGGCAGAGAGCAAATCTCGCCACCAACAGGGCGCACCCACGCAACACGCGACCATCCATGTCAGTGTGGGAGAGAGTGAGGGAGCGGAGCCAGGGAGCGATTCTGGAGGGGTCCGATAACTTCGGACCAAGACATTGGTTACCTTGTGGCACTTTTGCGGTTAAGCCGACGATTTGAGAACCAGACTCTATGCACGAATGTCGCTGAGCCCAGTGGGACGGGAATAAGTGGATTCTGTCATCTGAGCATGGACCTAGTAGCAATCCAAGCTGACCGAAACGGCCGCAAGCCAGCTCGGATTTCCTGGCAGAGTCAGCTTGATCTGGATCACTCACCCAACCGCCGCAGTAGCTCCGTCTATCGACTCATGAGGAACGGCAGCCTGCACGCGTTGCTGCTTGCTCGGTGTCCCAGCCCAGAAACACCCTCATTTACGTGAAGGGCTTCTCTGTCGATCAGTTCGCTCTGCGCGTAACCATATGTCGAAAGGGGGAGCATAGCTCTCGCGTAAAACGCGTTACCCATCGCTGCCGTAATCGGCGCGTATCATGAATGTGGGGGAAAAGCTGGCCGGTCCAGTTCAGTCGGGCGTCGTCCGAACCGCACACACGTTCTGTCTCTCTCTCTCTCGTCTCCCCCCGCTGCTGCAGCATAAGCCTTGCCAATAGAGTCAAGAGATCAGGCCGAGGCTGCCCAGACATTTGGCGCTGCAAAAGAACCTTCCGCTCGAACTTTTGCATGTCTTGGTAGGGAGCGGGAAGACCAGCATAGCGGTGCTTCCAAGGGCGTCCAAGAGTGCTTGAGTCGTCTTGCCTCTCTGCGCCGAGCGGTGGGAAGGCCAAACATGAGCGGTCTCTGGGTGAGGGGGTGGTAACAGACAATATATAAGCGGCTTGGCGGAAGGCTTGGCGACATGGCCAGGATGGCCGAGTCGGGGAGTGGTCGCCGGGCCATGGAAGAAAAGAGGAGCCCACCTCCGCCGGCTTCTCCTGATAAGGAAGCTGGCCAACGGCCTCGACCACGCCGTCAGCCAACCGCAGCGCACCTCGAGCCGTCCAGGCACGCCCACGAGCCGATTTGTGACCCGGAGGCCAACGGAGGGCTGGAGAGCGAGGACCTTTTGATCTGCGCCGTCCGCAAATGCAGGGAGCAAACAACCCGCCCAATCGCGAGGTGTGACTGGCCGTGGCAACAAACCGTGACACATCAGGACGCTGCGCTGCCAATCGAGTGCCACAGGTTCTTTTTGGGGGACTCAAATCGGCTCGCAGATTACCCAGCAAATAAACTATGCGGCGGGCTGGGGAAAGCATTGGTTCCTTTGCTGGTCGATAACGGTCTTGGCGGCCCGCCCAACTACAATGACCTTTCGCTTCGGGATCCCGCCGGCGCCCATCCCAGACTCGCGAACCACCTGCGCGTTCTGGTAATCGCCTTCACGATCGTTGGCCCGAATCAACGGGCTTACCTATGGGGTCTCAGCCGCCACCCCATGGCATGAGGCAAAAGTTCCCATGGCCCCGGTAAACCCTGCCCTGCATGTCAGGGTGGCCAGCAACGAGGTCTCATTGTCCAGAGCATTGATGCAAATGTTTAAAAAGACTGCCAGCCTCCGCCTCTGCGTCAAGCATGGTCTCTTTCCACTTGACATCAAGCCAGGTCTCTCTTTGCCCAGAGCCAGCCAGCAAGCCCAGTTAACTTCTGGTCAACCAGTGTGTCAGTTCCCCATACAGACAAGTTATCAACACTTGTCACAATGGTGGCTACGAACCCCATCCCGGGGCCCATCCAGGCCGACACGCAGATCCCCTCCGCGGATCCCGCCCACGACCCGACCTTCATCACGGAGAAGGTCCGGTACTCTGAGCAGAACGACGAGCTCAAGAGCGAGGCCAGCGGCGATGACGAAATCACCGACCTCTTCGTTCCCTTCCCCGAGGTCAAGGGTCTCGAGCCCGAGGGTAACCCTCTGACCGTCCGCGCCGTCGTAGTCGGAATCATCCTGGGTTCCCTTGTGAACGCTTCCAACGTTTACCTTGGTACGTCTTACAATTCCAAACCTTGTGTGTGGTCACGCTTGCCCTGATGGGTGATTGTGGAAACGCTCGTGCCTTTTGCCATGTGACTGGTGTGATATCACATTTGCTAACCTCAGTATTACAGGTCTCAAGACTGGCGTATGTCCATAAATCCGAAATGCCTCTAGGCAACTGCTTACAAGGATTGTAGTTCACCTTCACTGCGAACATGTTTGGTGCCATCTTTGGCTATGCCATCGTTAAGCTTCTGGCCAAATCGCTACCCCACCTGCCCATCATTGGAGGCACCTTTGGCCCGCAGGAGAAGTGAGACCTTTTGCCCCTGTTTCTCTGTGTCTTTTATACACGCGACTAACACGATGTAACTAGCTCCATCATTCAGGCTTCCGCCACCGGAGCCGGTGGTATGTCTGGTCTGTTCGTCGCCGCTCTTCCCGCCATGTACCAGCTCAACCTCATGTCCGACAACCCCCGCGAGGACTTTGGCCGTATCTTGACCATCACCGTCGTCTGCGCCTTCTTCGGTCTCTTTGCCGCTGTTCCCCTGCGCAAGTTCTTCATCATCAACGTTGCTAGGGAGTTGAACCTCGTGTTCCCGAGTCGTAAGTCATTTGGCCTGGGGCTTCGGACGTTGATCGTCAGACTCCGAACCCTCCAGCCCCGCGTTCCTCGGCACTGAAGCTGACTTTGAACTAGCTACCGCGGCTGCCTTGACCATCCGCTCTATGCACGCCGTCGGCAGCGGTGCCGCCGATGCCGCCAAGAAGATCAAGACCCTGGGATACTGCTTTATTGGTGCTCTCGTCCACATTGTCGTCTCCCAGTACGCCGACGGTATCCTGCACAACTGGTACGTCTTCTTGTGGGTCTACGTCTGGAGTGGCTACAAGAACTGGGCCATGAACATCAACAACTGGGGTATGTCTATTCCAATCTATTTCCCTCCAAAACCGTCAAACTGACCACCTGCAGGCTGGTACATCCAGCTTACTCCCGCCTTCTTTGGTTCCGGCATGCTCGTCGGAATCAACGCTGCCCTGTCGTGGTGGCTCGGAACCGTCGTTGCCTGGGGTATCATTGGGCCCACCCTTGTTCACTACGGAGAGGCGATTGGTATTCAAAGATACCCCGACAGTGAGAAGTGGTCCGACGTGGTCAACTTCGGTGTCATGAAGGTCAGCGACGACCCCAACTGGATCCCGTCCCCCCGCTACTGGATGCTGTGGCCCGGTGTCATGGTCCTCGTTGTCTACTCCATGGTCGAGTTCATCCTCCACATCGGTGTCCTCGTCGACGGCGCCAAGTTCGCCTTCCGCTCTACTGCTCGCAGCCTCAACAACCGCATGCAGTCGCGCGGCAAGCACAACGCCTTCATTGCCAAGCACGCCGGCCTGGCCGATGCCCAAGACAGCCTCGTGGAGGACTTTGCGCCCCCGAGCCAGCAGGTCCCCATCTGGGTCTGGGCGACTGGCACTCTTATTTTCGTTGCCGTCGCCTGTGTCGTCTGCCACGTCCAGTTCCACATGAACGCCGGTCTCGCCATTCTTGCCTGCATCCTGGGTCTTCTCTTCGCCTTCCTCAGTATTCACGGCGGTGCCGTTACTGACTGCACTCCTCTCACTGCGTCTGCCAAAGCCTCCCAGCTCGTCTTCGGTGGTGTCACCTCCGGCCAAGGCCTCAGCGTGAGTGCGGCTCAGCGCATCAACCTCGTCGCCGGTGGTATCGCCTCCGGTACCGCCGACGTTGCCACGTCATTGGTCTCCGACTTCCGTGTCGGCTTCCTCCTCCGTACTCCTCCCCACCTGCAGTTCTATGCCCAGGCCATCGGTGCCGCAGTCAGCGTCTTCCTTGCGCCTGGTGTTTTTGTCCTGTTCATGGCTGCCTACCCCTGCATCTGGAAGGAGATGGAAGCCGATGAGGTTTGCGCCTTCGGTGCCCCCTCCGTCACGGCATGGAGGGCCGTTGCCGAGGCTGTTACCAAGCCTCAGCTGCCTATTCCCAGGTCCTGCGCCATCTTCACCATCGTCATGGGTGTCATCTGCGCTCTTCAGGCTGTCCTCAAGAACTTCTACCTTGTCGGCCCCCGTATGAAGTACCGCGACTACCTCCCCAACTGGATGTCCATCGGTGTTGCCTGGGTTCTCGGCCCTGACAGTGGTTATGCCAATGCCATCATGGCCGGTGCCATCTTCGCCTGGGCCTGGAAGAAGTACTTCCCCAAGGGATTCGAGGTGCACTGCTTCGCCGCCGCCGCTGGTCTCATCGCCGGTGAGGGTTTCGGAGGTGTCATCAACGCTGCTATTGAGCTAGGAGGTGTGAGTGGTGGCGCCATCGGCTCCCACATCGCTCTCCCTGGTGAAGAGTGGTAAAAAAAGGATGAAAGACGGTACACCAATGTGTCAATGCGCAACGTACAATAATTGTTTAATGCTATGGAGATTGAGCGGCTCTGGACATGACTTGAATTCTCAATACATACCCTTTCACGAAGCTTTTAGCGCTAGATAAAGATCTGACATTCTTTATCGAATATTTGTCCCTTTTTGGAGTGATTTGAATGTTTGGATCTAACTCAATGGAACGAATACGTCCTAATTGTGGACCAGCCGTCTCGGCCGATGACCCACTGCGGGAGAATGATTCAATTTCTTCGGCTTTCCTTGCGGCATTGCCGGAAGGCCCCACCCACCCAGGACCGACCTCGGCCGGGTTGCAGCCGACAAATGTGTGCCTCTTAAGAAAGAGAATCACACGGGGAATCAGGAAGAAAGGGACAGCTTAGGGTGGTCAGTAGGAAAAACAGTCTACTGTTAGACGACAATAGATTGCTGTAGCACTGAAAGTTTCTTCCTACGTCTTTTTCCTTCAGGCTCTTCTCGACTTCAACACCCCTATCCCATGTCCGGTCACACACATAAATGCCAGTCACTTTCAAATTGTGATTTTCACCTGATATGTATAACGATATAAGGCTAACGTTTATTGCCCTGTCGCCAAACTAGCTTTATCCCTCAGAGCGGTTCAGTAGGTTATTTATCTCTACAAAGCAAACAGTCTTCGTCAGCTAAGATTGTCCAACCAATCTTCGTCCTAAGTAAAGACTTACTAAAGCCTGACTTGTGAGAGAGCTATATTCAATTTTTTGATGTGCGATGCTGTCGAAGCCTTGTTGTACTGGGTTCGGAGGCAAAACAAGGTATGTTTGTAAAATCCTGCGAATGCAACGCTAAAAGCCGCAACAGCCTCCTTTGCAAAAGAACTTGCCACAATGTTTATTTCGACTTGAGAGAGAAAACTCGTGCATAATGCTCTCGCGATACAATTATAGATTACTTGTTTGATTTGTCTAACCATGACTTCTAAAATGAACGCTACACAATACGCATCATGAATCTCGCCAGCGTCGTATCTCAGATAAGCAATCGAAGAACGCCGAGCTGCACATCGTAGCCAGCATAAAATCAGTCCGGCGCCATGATGTCGTCCAAACACATCAGCGACTCCGACAATGTCTATATTCACTAGCCAATATCCCATGACTCAACCGCATGCCCAAGTTCTAAACCTTCTGCGCAACAATCCGATAACTGGTCGTCACCAGCTTCATTGTGTCCATCTTGACAAACGCCTGTCCGTCCAAGCAAAGACGGTTGATGAGGGTTTTGAAATGGGGCGGGAGCAATCGAACCTTGACCAGTCCCAGAATGACCTGCCGCAAACTGCGGAAGTAGACGTCGGCCTTGTCGATCAACGGCGCCTGCAGTCCGCCGATGCTCGCGTTGTCCGAGATTAAAACATTGAATCCGGCCTCGGTCAACGCCTTCTCAAACGTTGCGGGCGTCGGCGTTCCCACGGCTCCGATCAACGGCTTCGTCCTCCGCATCAACTCCGCATGCTCCGGGTTGGTGGCATCGTATGCTGGTAAGCTAACCCAATCCAGCAGGGAAATCTTGGCGCCAGGTTTGAGCACCCTTCGGAGCTCGCTGAACAGCTTCGGGAGGTCTTTGCATAGGCTGAGTGCCTGGATCTGGTAGAATGCGTCAAACGAGTTGTCTTCGAATGGCAGCGGTAGCTCATTCATGTCCTGGATTGTGAAGCTGTTTTGCAAACCCATCTGCTCGTTGAACTCCTGGGCCTGTGCGACCTGGTTCGGGTCGATATTCAGGCCGGTGACCAATGCGCCGCTGATGGCGGCCATATGCGCTGCAACACGCCCGCGCCCGCATCCCAAATCCAGCACTTTGTCGCCTTTCTTCAAGCCAATGTCGCGTGCAATAGATTCCTCGTACAGCATCTGGTTGTCGAGGACGGAGGCCTTCTTGTCCATTAGGGGTGGGATGTACATCTTCTCCACGTCGCCTAGCGCGCAGAGATGGTTCAGTACACCATAATACGACTGCAGACAGTCACCGACCTTGGTCCTGTAGTCCGGCCCAAGGGTCTTGATCATCTTCTCCTCGTCTGCCCAGTCGAGGTTGTAGATAACGTACGACGCCATGAAGTCGTCGACTTCTTTCGGCGTCAGGTCCAGGAGGTACTTGAATGATTTCCAGAATGTCGTCGAGCGCTTGGGCATTACAGTACGGTTGAACTCGGGCTTGTTGTTGGCGTCGCTGTTGCTCTTGCGTAGACGCAGTCCATGTTTTTTCTTCCACGATGCCTGTGCGGCGGGCTTCAAAGCAGAGACATCATCTGAAGTCTCGCTAATTCGCGGGCTGTTGTGGCTGACATTAGGCGTTACTGTCGCCGCTGGCGGTTGCGCGATTGCTGTTGCTGCTGCTGCTGACATAGCTGCAAGCGGTATGATAAGATGACGTGGAGGAATAGTTTCAAAAAAAAAAAAGGGGGGGGGGGTAAGGAAGGATCCGCAGGTAAGGTAAGACGACCACGGAAAGGGAGAGAGAAAACAAATCAGCTGGGTATCACAGAGTGCGTCTCAGAGGAACGGGAAGGCGGACGGGCAGGCGATGGGCAGGCGAAGTCCTTTATACATGGTACCCTCCTTTCGTTGAGCATCCATGTCCCAGGCAAACAAAGCCAGTCAACAACAAAAAACATCTGACGGAGCCGCAAACCGGATTGCTTTCTAATCTATTGTGACGTTCTCGGGACTTACGGAGGAACGTCCGGTAGTTCCGACTGGGTCAACAATCACCAGACCACTCAAAAAGGACCTCCGGTGATGGGGCTAGTTCCAGCCCATCATCAGCAGCTAAGGAGGCGGGAAACCGTCCTGGGAGAGGAAAGCCAACTCTACAAGTCTCGAACACATTGGGCAAAAGCCGGGCGGGAACGGGCTGGACCCTGGCGCACTGAGTCACCCCTTTTGATCGTACACCAACTTACCTGTTTGCTCGATAAAGAACCTGGTGTCTGGCGGTGTGTCCACTCCGGCTGTCTCAATTGCTCCTGCGCTATGTTGCGTTACGGTTACGCTTTTTTTCCCGCCGTTCGGACCTCTGTCCCGCTGTTTTTCTATTCGCTACGCGTTGTTCGTAGCATCTGTACGTCATTGTGGCGCTTCCTTGGTTGGATTTTTTGTTCTTTTACCGGCTTACTCCCGGCGTTTCCTCAAGGCAATCTCCTGGGGAGTGGCTCCAATTAAACCACGTTACCGGGCACGTTCGACAGATCATATGCCGTCTGAGTAGGGCTCATGTGGCTGAAAGGTTTGTATGGTGTGGTAAACCGCAAATGCTAACAACGCAGAGTGTGGCATGGTGGGATCCAAGAGGTCAAGGCGGCCGCTTTGCGTTTCGATGTTGGTGTGGCTTGGCAAGTGCCGAGTGGTGTGCCCACGGTGTGGACTTATCACCAAGGAGATAATGGAGGATTTGTGTGCGAATACGGGATATGCACCAGGGACTGAGATTTGCATTCTGAATGAATAATGTTTAAGCTTTTTTGCGCTCCCGCTTCGCCTTAGGTCTATTCAGACACAGCCTCAACATACCTAGTACGGACTCCATACGTGTGTGTGCGAGTGGAGCAGCAAGGAACGGTCCGCTTCCTACAATCTATTCACGCCCTGAAAAGTCGCCCTGAGAAGTGAAGTCAAGTTAACTCCCTTGCCAATTGTTCATCAAGGACTTGATGCGATTTTTCTATCTTTTTTCAAAGTGCTGCGATTTTTCGCAGTTCTGGATGTGCTCGTCATGTTGATGTCATACTGCTAGGGGTTTGTTCCCGAAGTCGATCTTTGCAACTCGAAATCGAACATTACGTAGCCTAGCAAAGCACGGAGTACTGCTGGCCAATTACTGCTTGAACGAGACATGAACGTCAGCGCGACATGAAGCAATTAGTTTTTAATTCAACACGAAGATCCATCAATGGAGTTTTCCCGCGACGATTATCATCAACTGTACAATACAGCAACGTTGGCCATCGTCCGGGAAATAATACTCTACTTGTAACTATTGCGTAAAACAAGCCATCCAGTAATAGATAATATTCAACAGTAGTTTGCATGGAGCCTGACAAGCAAAAAAACGCTAACGACTGAGTAAACATAACCATGTCTATGGGCTTATTCACTGGGCGTTATGATCTAATGTATACAGTCACCGATTTCGTAGCACACAAGGCAGCGTCGCTCAAAGAACGGTGTGACGCTGCTCGACCTCCTTTTGGGGCGCAACTTTCCGACTCATTGGCAGTCATGGAGCGACTACTACACACCCCGGGAAACTAGTCAATATTTCATCACCTATTCTACAGTCTGAAAGAACGAAGGTGTATTTGTGTTCTATGAAACAACGATCTCGCTGCTTTTCTTTTTCTTTGACCTAAAAGTTACAACTGCCCTGAGAGCGGTGCCTACTATAGCCAGTGTTTTCTTTGTGATTAAACGGGGCATCCTGCTGACTGTTACTAGATATTGTCGTTGAAGGTTTTGTTTTTTTCTTTTAGAGATTTGAAATGATCACCCATGGGTTGCCAGGAACGTTAGACGAGTGAAGTGTGTTAGACAAAGATTGCCTCCGTAAGGGTTTCCTTGATAGGCTCAGATGTAAGCATCTGTTTGATTCTCATCGTTTATTGAAGATCCCGACTTTGGTCTCAAAACCCCTTCACACAGGCATGGGATTTTCCCATAAATCTGGCTCAGGGGCCAGTCATGGTCGGAATTCCACCACAAGACAAAGCCCGTCGACTGGCTCCACATGAACCTCACTGTAACACATCTGCAAGTGTCTCCGTGAATTTTACATTGGCACTGTAAGTTAAATGAGCGAGAAGCTGTCGCAAAAACGAAAATGATAGAGACCAAGGCACGCGACCCAGCTTGTTGCAAATACAATTCTCAGGCCATTGGTTCACCCCTTTACCGACTCGATATCCAATAGTCGGTTTACTCATAATCGTTATGTCAGCCATGGATGGACTTATTTGGCGGTTATCTTGAACATGAGTTACGCTGTATTCACCATTCGTTCTGCTATTCCACTTGCATTTACGTGTTTAAACCTCTAATAGAAACAGCTGGAGCTTATGCAAATTGAGTTTGGTCACAAGTAAGTGTCTTCGGCGTCACTGATGTCTACGGCGCTGATCAAATTGATCATAAGCACACAACGCCGGAGTTGGAGCTGCTAAAGTCTAACCTCGTGGCACGAAGAGTACTTCAAAGAGCTGATAGGAATTCTAAGCTACTGGAGAAAATTCGAACAAGAGACACTTGTCCACACAGCATGAGTTTGCGAGACTGAACTTGATGTTCTACCATTTTATACCTGAAAAAACACATCCGCTAGAACATTATAAGTCTTTGTTGCTGCTATCCTCTGTCACAGCTGGTGAAAGTTGGATGGGTCAGCCTATTGTGACTGCTCGAAGATATGAATACGGTCTCGTAACCCAAAATATATGGCGAGGCCGCGAATATCTATTGTGCGCTAAATGTATTGAACGAAACAACGCTGTTAAGGTATTGTTTAGTTGTACAGATTTTATCAAATTTGACAGTCCCCCGTTTCCAGAGCCAATGCGGTCACCCGCGCAACTTGATTTTACTCCTTTTATCACGATCCAAGCCCCTAAATCACTCAACGGCCTTTTTATTGCAGCATTTGCTGCATGGCGTTGATTCTGTAGCTCTCCCTTCTTTCCATAAGCTCCTGGTGCGTTCCGCTGTCGGCAATCTGTCCACCCTCGACCAGCAAAATCACGTTGGCCTTGTGGACGGTGTGCAAGCGATGGGTAATCGCCAATACAGTTGTACCACGGGATGCACGCTCGAGACCCTCTTGGAGGGCTGCTTCACTCGCGGCATCCAAGGCGCTCGTACTTTCGTCTAGAAGCAACAGGCGCGGCTTGCGGACGAGGGCACGGGCAATAGCTAAACGTTGTCTCTGACCGCCAGACAGACGGGACGCAGAAGGACCACATTCGGTGTCGTATCCTTCAGGTAGAGCCATGATCACGTCGTGGATATTGGCCAGTTTGCAAGCCTCCTCGATCTCGGCCTGAGTAGCCTCAGTGTCGGGTGCCGAGCCGAGACCGACGTTAAAGCGAACGCTGCCGTCAAAGAGGGTCGGGTCCTGGGGAACAATAGCAACGGTATCTCTGAAAGAGTCGGGGAGGTTGGAAATATCGTAACCATCGATAAGAACCTGGCCATGGGAGGGAAAGTAGAGACGCTGAACAAGATTCATAATGGTGGACTTTCCAGCTCCAGAAGGACCAACCAAACCGCAGAACTGACCAGGCTGGAGGGTGAAAGAAACATTATCGAGGATATTGACGTCGCGGCGGCTGGGGTAAGCGAAGGAGACGTTTTTGAAGGTTACTTTGACACCGCCGGCGTTAGGTCTTTTTGCTTTGACTTCTCCGGTAGCCTCAACGTCCTCTTCTGCCTTGGAGTCTCCGGCAATCTGCTTGGGTTGAGTGCCAGTCTTGCTAAGATCATCGTTCTTGCCGAGGTTGATGACGGACATGATGCGGGACAAGGCGGAACGAGCACGCGAGAACTCGGGGGCGAGGGAGAACATGGTACCCCACAGCTGGGCGCTGATAAGCATTGCCACCAAGATGATCAGGAACTGAGTCTGGGTGTATTCGCCCCTCATAATGAGCTGTGTACCCCACCAGTAGGCTAGAGCGTTGACAAAAGTGCCGGTGACGTTAGAGATGGCCAACCAGATGTTGGTAGAAGCCGACGCGCGAACCATCTGTTTCTGAGGCGGAGCGAGGAGGCGAGCATAGTTGTCCATGACCTGGCTCTCGAGAGAGAGGGCTGCAACGGTCTTGATCGACTGTACGGCCTCAGTGGCCACGGAAGTGGCAGTCGAGAATGCAGCCGAGTGACGCTCTTCGTAGCGAGCCAGCATGCGCAGCTGCATGAAACCAGAGCCTAAAAGCAGGGGAATAGTGACCAAGCAGACGAGTGCGATCTTCCAGGCGATGATGTGAGACAAAATCACAGCAACGAGGACGTTCACGCAGATGGCGAACACAGTACCGATAGTAGAACCGCTGAAGCCACCAATGGCAGCACTATCTTTGGTGATAATGGTAAGCAGGCCGGAGGCGGTACGGCCGTCTGATTGATGCCACTGAACGTCCTGGTCGAGCAGGGAGCGGAAAGACAAGACGCGCACAGAGTAGAGGAGCTTTTCAGCCACAACACCGAAACAGGACCAGGCGAAGAAGTTGGCGAAAAGTTCGATACAGGCAAGACCAAACAGAAGGCCGGAAAAGAAACGACCCATGGAAAGAATGTGTTCGATGGTGCTGGCACATGGGTTGAGGGCGCCAACGGTGAAACCGAAGATGAGACCGGAGCCGGTGAACGTACCGCCCACGAGGGTGGCAGCAATCATGGCAATAATCAACCATGCCAAAGAGGGTCTAATAAGGCGGACAAGACCCTTGAATACAGTGCTGTAAGGCTTCTCCTCATCCAGACCGGCGATCTCGGACTTCTTCTTTTCCTCGTTGCTTTCCTTGTCACCGGATTTGGTCTGCTTCAGGCTCTTGGTAGCAAAATGCTGATCGGGGTCGTTGGTCTTCTCGTTGATAGCTTGGTCTTCCTTGAGGGTAGAGGCATCGAGGGAGTCACCAGAAGCGGAGACAGCATCAGGTGCACGATCAGCAGTACCCAGAGTTTGGAGCCTGGCCATACGGGCAAAAGCGCCGTCCTCGCGCGACATCAAGTCTGTATATGTACCTTGCTCGACAACCTGACCGGCCTCCATAACGACGATGTTGTCTGCGTTGCGGATCGTGGACAGCCGATGAGCGATGGAGACGATGGTGCGGTTCTCAGTGGCGGCCTGCTCGACAGCACGCTGGATGCGCTTCTCACTAGCAGAGTCAAGGGCGGAAGTTGCTTCGTCCAGTACCAGGATCTTGGGGTCACGGATCAGAGCTCGGGCAAGAGCGATTCGCTGACGCTGGCCACCACTGACGAGAGTACCACTAGGACCGGCTGAGGTGCCATAGCCGTCGTCGAGGCGGTTGATGAAGGTGGCAGCATCCGCCTGCTCGGCCGCATGGCGGACGAGGTCGACAATTTCTTGAATCTCGGGGCCGTAACTGTTGACCGATGACAGAGCGTCCTTGCCCTTGGATGCAAGCTCCGCCAGCTGGCCACCGCTGAGATAGGGCCTCAAGCGCTGGTGTTCGGGCTTTGGAGAGTTGATGAGGCCAAGAGCAATGTTCTCAAGAATTGATCGGTCGAGAAGAGAGGGTTCCTGCTGCACGAAGCTGATGAAGCTTCGAAGGCTGCGAACGTTGAGCTCACGGATATCGTGGCCGTCGAGGAGAATCTCTCCCTGATTCGGGTCTTGGAGACGGGCGAGGAGGGCGGCAATGGTGGATTTTCCACTGCCCGAGAGACCGATGACAGCAGTGTACTTGCCAGCTGGGAACTCGACGTTGACGTTACGTAGGACGGGCTGACCGGGTCTCGCTGGGTACTCAAAAGTAACGTTGCGGAGCACAATTCCCTTAGGATCATCCAGAGGCAGAACCTTGCCCTCCTCGGAGGTGCCATCAATCTCCGAGGGAGCCTCGATGTCCTCCCACAGGCGTTGGTATGCGGCCGAGGCACCTCCGAGAAGGGGCAGAATAGGGGCGATAGAACCAAGCATAATGCAAGCTAAGGTGCACGTGCAGTGTTAGCTATTGTCGTTGGAACTATCACGCAACTTGATGGGAGTATCAAGAAAAACTTACCATCAACGAGCAGGTAAACAACTGCATAAATCTCACCAACGGTTGCACCATCCCCACGTCCAGCCATCGAGTCGGCAATTCTGATACTGCCCTGCCAGAAAGCAAGAGCGTTTCCAGCGTACGCAATGAAATAGAGAAGACCGGCTTGGACAGCGGCGGCAGCAGCTTTCTTCATACCAGCCTTGCGAGCAGTGATCATGTGGTCGGCAAACTTAGCCTCAAGGCGGGGGCCAGCACCGAAAGCCTGCACAACAGAAATGTGAGACAGGGCTTCGGAGGCAATGGAAGAAGCCTTTCCAATTGCTTCACTCATGCGGCCGGCGTTTCTCGTGATGTAGCCACCGCCGACGAAGGAGGAGAGCATGAAAGCCGGAAACATTGAAACAAGCATGCCGGCAAGCTTGGGCTGCTTCGTGAACGCGATAATGAAGACAGTTACGAAGAAGCTCAAGCTACAGATGACGATGCCCACCTTCTCGGAGGTGCCGGATTGAATAGCCGTAATGTCGCCGTGGAGTCGACTAGAGACCTCACCAGCGGCAGCGCGCTTGTCGAAGTAGGAGGGCGGCTGACGCAATAAAGCAGACACGTATTGCGTGCGCAGACGCTGGGCGAGACGCTGGCTGATGATGCTCCAAGAGAGGATGTAGCTGTAAATGAGGACGAGTGCGATGGCACCAACGTAGACCGTTTGTATAACTTTTTGGTTAATGGCGGACTCGTACGCGAACGCGTCGACGTTTGTAATTCCGTCGGCAGCGCAGGTGGCATCGTTCATGTCATCAACTAGCTGGCCGAAGATGATACCCATGAGAGGGAATGGCACACCGGCACCGATGGCCGTGATGGTGCCAAAGATGATGAGAAGGTAGTCGAACCATGTCGGATTGGCGGCGAAAAGCAGACGGAAGTAGATGAAGAACTGCTTGGTAAACTGAAATGAAAAGTGTTAGTAGCCAGTAGATGAGTTTGAGGTAATGGCGCTCCGCACTGGATGGCATTGTGGTGCGAGAGCCTGTCGCGATGGCGCCCGCTGATATCTTTGGTGTTTTCCAGAAGCATGCGGGACGGCCCGGCACAGTCACAAGCGCTTGCATCCAGTGTAGCACAGCCCAGGTACAGCGGTTGGGAAAGACTAACCGGCATGCCCTTGGACTCTTCCTTCACCTCTTCTTCCTTCTTGGGTTCCTCGGCCGCTAGAGGGGCTGCCTTCTCAGACTCTTGCTTCTCAAGTGCCGCCATCTTGTTACCTTGGGTCGTCACTGGCCGTCAGATCAGATCAAGGTTCCAAGCTAAGGGACCTCGGGGTGTGACGCGCACCCTTACTCGAATCCTTTTGCTTGGTCCTGGTCGATCGATTCCAGTAGAAAGATGCGTCAGCGGTGAACGAGGGGGGCAATAAGAAAGTTTGGGGGTGGGAAGAAGTTCGATAACACTTTTTGAGAGAACGAAAAGACAAGACAAGCAAGTTGTGCCAAGCCTCTTTTTGCCTCGGTGACTACGGAAACAGACAGTTGCTGCAGTATTCTACGCCCCCTCTCGCGTAAGGAAGCTAAAAATCAAACGGCTTGCGCTGTTAAGGGCACATGCGAGATGGGGGTAGTGGCCGATTCCGGGGCTTGGCTTGCGCGTGTTTACGACCATAAAGAGGCGCGTACAGATCAGCTCGGTGACGATCAGGGTGTCCTCTGGACGGAGGAAGAATTTTGCACTAGAGCCATGGAGCAATGGAGACCCCCCTGGACAGGGCAAGGGGGTGATGTGGCCAGTCATGATGTGGCATGCAGTGAAGGGTGTGATCAGATAAGATGATCTGATTGATTAGATATGACGCTAGCAATGTCGCTAGCTAGGCCAATTTGCACCCAGTGGGTTGAGTCGGGTGGACCCATGCGAGATTCTTAACCCTCGTTGCTCAGATGGGAATAGCTCCCGAGGCACGGAGGGACCGGTCCCTCAACCGTAGGAACGATAGTCAAGATGGCGGTAGAAGTCTGTTGTACTAGTACGTAGTTTAAAAATTGAGCTGGGAGTGTGTTGGAGAGCTTAATGCCTTTTGTCATGATTACTTGAATCCCTCTGCCCCCCATACCCTCTTTGATTAATTCGACCTCCCTTGACTGAGTGGAAAGGGTTTCAAGTAACCAAGCAGCCAAAGTCGGCCCAGACTGAAGCTTGTGGTGCATTGCCGCCGTTCTCAGCTTAGCTGTAGCATGGATTCACACTTTTGACTTTCTGTCATGTTTGTTGTAAGTCTTTGGTGGGTTCTCAGCTTACCTTGCCTTTTTTTGGGCGCCCCAACATTTTACTAAAGATCTTCGCATTGACTCCACTCCTAAGCCGAGCCGACCAAGAAGACACACGGAATGAATGCACCGTTGCTCCGGAGAAGTTTCCTCTCAAGTCCCAGCACAAATTGACAACTACGTGTACACAGACGAATCCGACTGAGCCACTGCTTTCCCTCAACGGTCCACGGCGCAATATCTTAGCTTTATCCCAACCTACTTCGTCTCGAAACCGGTCGCCAACCATCGAGGTGGACGGAGTCAAGAAGTGGAAAAATTCGAGTTCGAGTCTTGGAGCATTTCTGGTGGACCTAATATTCTTGGAAGAGGGTTCAAAAGGGCAGAACCTAGGTGATAAGAATGTTTATCGCAGCTCAACGGCTTGAGTGCAGCTAAAATAACCTTCGCCAAACATCACCCGCTCCGATGTATAGGGGATAGTCAAGGGCTCTGACTCTATCTCGTAACCCGGATGCAATCATTCGTCAGCCGCATCGCCACTCAGTTCTGATCCGTGTAATGCGAACCTTCGTATCTTACGATCGATGTAACTTTCCAATGGGCCTCTTGATCTTTGCAGTTCCTTGGTAGGGAGCCTCGATTTATCAGATGGACACACATCGCGCTTGGAATTACCTTATTCTCTTACCTGTGTTCACCTGCATCCACCCATTCTCTGCCCAGAGGCGCCCATCGTATCTTCAAGGGTGCACTTTTCCTGCGCTCTGGCGCATGCTAGCTGAGACGGACCAGTTCAGGCATGGCATGGGAACTTACGTATCGACACACGCCAGACTGCTCACGTTTTCTACCGCATCTCACACTAACTGATGAGCTTCTTTTGGCTATTTTGCCGTGGAAGTCATGACCTTGCCTACTGAGGTAACGATCCACAGCCAGCGGCACAAGTTTCGCAAAAAACATGACAGCGATTTCACTGTGTGATTGTCTGGTTGCACACAGCCCACGGTTATTTTTGGCATACTGTGACTGAACCAGACTACCTGCCCGTCTTAGCATCGATCTGACACCAAGGAGCTGGTTCCAACGAGGCACACAAAACTATAAAGCTGTAAAAACTGCTGCGCCGCAGATAGAAGTCACCATAATGCTGTTCATTCCCTCTTTTAGGAGCCTGATAAACTCAAATTCGAGACCATGGCAGGAAACAAACGGATACTCCTAATCACCAACTCGGAGCCTGGCCAGGCCAACGTCCATTTAGTTGTCAGCCAGGAGCTCCTGAAGCAAGATGCCACTCTCGATCTACACATTGCCTCTTCTGCGCCCCTCGAGAAGGGCGTTGTTAATGCTGTTCCGGGCGCCACGTTCCATAAGCTTTAGGGCGCAACCTGGAAGGAGGCACTCTTCGGCCGTCCGGAGCACCGCTTAGAGAAGATTTGCAGTATACACCCAACCATGTGGAACGCAGAGGAAGCCGCGCTCATCATGCCACGCATCACGACCCCGTGGACATCGGAGGAGTACGTCGACCCAGTTCAACAGACGGAGAAGATTGTAACAGAAGTCAACGCCAACCTCGTTCTTGCGAATAATCTGTTCACACCCGCCATCACCGTGCTATGGAAGCTGAAGCCGAATTGGCATGTGCTGTCTCCGAACACTTACAAAGACTTCATCTTGATTACCAAGCCCTGATATGAGGCCTTCTGGAAGCACCCGCCGTATGCGTCCCCTCCACTTCTCGCTGCTCGAAAATGACATGAGTATGCAAGCTAATCGCAGTATTCTAGCCCCCAATCAACGATCCCGTACCATATCCCATGGTATCTCAACCCTTCAGCTATCTACCAACTTCATCAATACACCAAAAATGCCACCAACACCTATTAGATCAACCACGCAAAATGCATCTACGAAAAGATCGGAACAGAATACTCTGGCTGGGGCCGCGTTGCTATCTTGTTCCCTGAAGGGTTCAAAATCATTTTCTCCAGTAGCTCGGCAGTCGATTTCCCATTCTCTGTTGTATCGGACCATCTCGCATCCTGCGGCCCTATTGTCCTTCCCGCGAAGCCTCTGAAGGAGGTTGACCTTGGCATGGCCGTTCAGATTGCCAAGCCTCCGACAGTTTACATCAACCTGGGCACCCATGAAATATACGAAGAAGCCGACGCAAGGGATCTGGTTAGTGTACTGAAGGCTCCGTTGGATGCTGCCAAGAAGAATGGTCAGGAGTTGTGGGTTCTGTGGAAGCTCAAGAAGCGTGGGGAATACTCAGGCGAAGGGTTTTCGGCTGTGCTAAAATTCATCGGTTCAGAGTGGGAGGAAAACGTACGAATCTCTAACTGGCTAGAGGCCGAGCCAATGATTTTCCTTGAGTCTGGAAATATCGTTTGTTCTATAAACCACAAAGGGGCCAACTCGTATTTCGAAGCTATCAGGTACGGTGGCCCATACTAATCTACTCCAAGCGTCATTGTGAGGATGTACAAAGACTAACACTCAAACAGTGCTGGTGTCCCTCAAGTTGTTCTCAGCGTTTGGTTCGATACCCACGATTTCGCAACGAGAGTAGAGTACCTGGTGATTGGAAAACGTGGCAGTAAAAACCATGCTCCAAAGCGCGCCGCCAAGGGACTCGCCCCAATTTTAAAGCAGGCTGTGTTGGGCAAAAGGGCCGAGAGCTTCGGAAAGAAGGCGGCTGACTTGGCGGACGCTTGCAAGGCAGAGGGCGGCGGCAGGGTTATTGCTGTAAAGGCTATCTTGAAAGAGTTGAAGTGATGATTGTATGGGAGGTATTAGATACCAGGACTCTACCCAGGTGTTGATTAGTAGGTCAAAGAGGGCTAAAGGTCTCCTAAAATGAACTTTTGGATTCATTCCCGTGTGGCCTGGTCGCCAAGTCCTCTTCATCCTGAAGCGAACAACGCTGTGCTTCACGCTAGCCTTTTTTTGGGGGGGTTACCAGTCTTCGAAGACGCATTGCCCATGCTCTCTCGCTTTGTTGATCGATGGGAACTCCGAAGCCTACAGAACCCATACTATGCCGAAAACTGTTACTTAGCTGCCGAATAGCTCATTAGAGCGCCAAATACCGACTAGGGGTAGCTGTACCAAGGTGCTAGTCAATGTTGATCGAAGTTCCGTTATGGACTAAAGTTGGTAAAGCGGCAGGCGTCTTTTGTAATGGTGGTACAGTGGTTGATTTATACGTTACAAGAGGTAATCAGGTCAAGTCGGTGACTTAGGCATAAGGTCAACAGCTTTATGAGGACAATGCGAGCCAAGTACTACTAGTTAACTTGGGGGTTTAAGGAAAGGGAATTAACGCGATACTGCTCGTAACTGGTTCTAAGCAATTAAAACCTCACAAGTCTCATTTTCGCTCTTTCAACCTTGGGGGGTCATGCTTAACGACGCTGTGCGCTTCTTCTGCTCAGGTACAAACTTCGAATTCGACAAGTCTAGGGCTTTTGGAGTAGGTTAAGAAGCGGAGCTAGGACTTATACCCGGTTTCCCAGGAATCGTCGCGGCTCGGTGTCTTGGTTGTATCAACGAAGCATACATTAATGGTTCGAAATCAAAGACTCTCTTAGACTCAACAGCAAATCGTACCTACACTCAACTGACAATTGGCATGAGCTTTAACAGAATTGTTGAAGTTGTCATCGGGTCCAACCGCTAAAACGTTTTGCCAAACACTGTAACGATCCAGGAGATGGAATATCTAAGAACTGAACCTATATTGCACGGTTTCACTATGTAGAAAAGGCAATTATGATATGCCCTAGCTGCTTATGAACAAAAAGATTATCTCAATGGCCAGCCCTCAAATCCACACAGTGTGATCCGACCACCGGGCGATGATTTTGATGTTCGAAACCGTGCATTTGCTGGCATTGAATCGAGTTTTTGCCCTCGAGGAAGAACCTGTTTCAATTATCATGCAGTAACGCCATCTTTCATTCAGTCGGTCTCGATGCGTGGTGGTGTGGCAGCGCGTATAACTCAACCACCCTGCTTCCCACGCAACCCCGCATACCACGCAGCCCCAAACCCCCATCAATATCACCATACCCATCAACAACATCCATTATTCCTCATCCCTACCACCTACCCAGATGCAACTTTCTGCTTCACTAGATAATTCAGATCCACTGGATTCACTTGTGCTACTCTCTGCTTCGCCAGCAGCAATTTGCGCCCGTCGGATATCCTCGATATTAGCGAACGTCGTGTTAGGGTCCGTCTGGACCCTTTTTCTCCTGCCTTGTTGCTGACTATCCGTCTGGGCCTGGAATGCCTGGGCCTGACGCTCTAGGACTGTCAGTCTATAGGCCTGTTGGTCCCAGCCTTTTTGGACCTTTCTAAATAGGTGGCGTTGGGTGTAGATTTCTCGGGTATCTTGCGTAAGCTGGTTGAATAGGTGCAGCTGACGCTGAAGATCAGCAGACTTACGCGGGGTTGACCATGGGACTATAGATACAGCTCCATCCCACTGCTGACTTCCTGACTGCCCAGCTGTCTGGCCGTCTAGCTGTCTGGCTGGCTGGCTGGCTGATGCCTTAGACACGAAAGGGCTAGATAGAGGTTGCGCTACATCAACTGGCCATAACCCAGTGTGTTTCCAGCCGCTTTTAATAACCTGGATAGTCAAGGCGTCTAGACGTGCCCTTCTATAACAGTCTATAAAGTTCCTCTTGCCTGTTACAGTTGAATCGCTTTGTATATCTAGGTACCCTAGATACTTCCTATAGGCTGCCTTAAGAGGTCGGAATACTGACTGATCTAGAGGCTGGAGGACGTGTGATGTGTGCGGCGGCAGAAACAGGAGGTGTATGTGGTTCCGGAAGCATCGCCACAGAAAGTCTGTTGTTGTATGGCTATGATGGGCGTCTAGAACTAGTAGTCTAGTATCTGAAGGGTCCTCTGGGACAGTCTGAGGGATAAAGACCTTTTCTAGCCATTCTAGGGCATTCTGATCAGTTGTCCAGCCGTTCTCTGTTGCTGTGAATTTCCAGCTAGCATAGGGTTGAAGATCTAGAGGAAACCACTGTTGCTGGACTGACTTGCCCTTATACATAACAAGAGGCGGAAGTGCGCGTCCTCTGGCAGAGACGCACTCGATCAGAGATACCCATGCCCGCGATCCAGGCTGTTTTTTCTGGATATACTTGGTCTCTGACGATCCTAGTACTAGCCCATTGCTTCCTTTGCCCTCGAGGATACCAGTCTCATCCATGTTCCATCTATTAGCTGGCTTGATGGGCAGGATTGCTGGCAGATCAAGGCGATGAAACCATTCCTGGATAATGTCAGCAGTTGCCCCATTAATTCGCCTAGCGTCAATTGCCCTGCATCGCTGGGTTCTGATAGATGGGTTTCTGCGAAGAAATCGCTGCATCCACTTCCTCCCAAGTGGTCGCTGCCCATCGCCCAGCATGCGCTCAGCCAGCCCTTTGACTTGCTGATGGCAAAACGCAGAGCCTAGGGCAGCCTGCTTAGATATCCACTCAGCAAGTAGACCTTCCTGGTTCTGAGATAACCGCTGCAGTCTACCAAAGGCAGTATTTCTAGACTGGGTACCATGGAGACGTTGTCGTACAGTCGCCTCTGGGATGCCCCATTTGCGACCTGCCCCGCGGATACTAAGCCCGTCAGCAATATCCCAAAGTGCCCGCTGCAGCTCATGTTCACTATACTGCTTCATCTTATAGTAAAAAAGATATCCTCAAAAAATGGCGTTGTTTGGGGTAGAATAGAAGATGTTGTGATAGTTAGAAAAGAGGAGTAGGTTTTATGGTGACGCGTTGTTGGGCTGCGTGGTATGCGGGGTTGCGTGGGAAGCAGGGTGGTTGAGTTATTTTCATAATGCTAGGTTCCGTACGGAGGATTGAACCCTTGTCAATGAGCGACCGCTAGCTCCAGGGGCACTCACGGCAAAACTCCACCTTCGCTTCTGCACTTGACGGACCAATTTGAGGCCAAATGGATCGGCCTCTCACTTCTGTATGGTGACGTGGTTGGACCAAATTGGGACTTGTGCATAAACGAGTCAATCACGAGGATGCCGCAACAAATTGAGGCTGACAGAGTCTGGCAGCTCACCATGCCCGGCTATGCAGCATCTTCGACATTTGGGGTTACTACATATGGCTCGTGCATCCCATGAGCGGTCAACCAACAGTGCGTTCCGCCGTGATATCCGCCCCGATAGTCAGGGGCATAGCAAAAAGGTCGGTAACGAAGTGGGCGCTGGCCAGACTGAAATTCTCAACGGGGTTCGGCTAAGGCCAATTGCCCTATCAATTGGCCTGCATCTCGGAATTGGCGGCGCTAAAGAGCTAAGCGCAGGCAGCCGTACGGCACAGCACGAAGCTTGGCCAGAATATCGTTGCTGGGTATCATTGAACCAACCCGGATAGGAAACTGTTCAGTCCAACCTGACCAGAATTCATTTCCTTGCTGGAGTCATCCGGCAAGGATATCTCTTGTTCAATCTAGGCACCAGACAGCGATAGAAGAGAAAAAGGCTTCGGATTTCGATACATAAGTAGCGATGCCACCGCACGTCAACATTCGGGAGTTTTTCGATTCCAGCTACATAGAGTATCAACCAAACATCAAAAACTCCCATCAAAGCTCGAAGCCTCTCCTTTCTCTCAACATCAGGTGCATCTTACAGGACACTCCGTCATTATGCGTGTTGCTACCGCTATCCTCGGCGCTGTCGCCGCCACCGTCGTCACTGCCAACGACATTCGCCTTAAGATTCACAAGAGAATCGAGCCGACCAAGGTCATCAAAGTCCTCGAAGCCCGGGGGACGCCCGAATGTACCAGCGCTATCCTTGCTTTCGCCGAAGCCGTTACCGGTTCCGACCCCCTTCCCACACCTCCTATTGAGCTCGAGAAGTGGGCCGCCACCGCAGCCATTGCCAACTCTACAATCGACCCTGCGCAACCATATCCGTCACTGGCTCTATTGGCGCCGTCTATACTTCTTGGTCCAGCTCTATAGAATCATGGCAGACCGCGCACATGTCTGAGATGAAGGAGGTGTGGCATGAGTGTACCGACATCCCTCTCGTCTCCGCCGAGGTTAAGAGCCTGCTGGAATCTGGCAGCTTCTGCACTAGCAAGCTGGCAGCGCTCACTGCTGAGGCTTCTGGTGCAGAAAAGACGGCAACCAGCCAGAATCTTGCTCCCAGGGAGACTGGCATGGCTGTTGCTGCTGCCGCGGCTGCCGGCTTTGTCTTTGCTGCGATGCAATGAAAAGCACTTATAGCTTAATTATTTTTGTGTGTCATCTACGACGCCGCATCTGAGGGAGATGCGGAGTTTCAGTATTTAATACATCCCGTCTTCTGGGTGTTGGACTAGAGATTAGAAACATCAGCAAATTGATACCCACTTGACTTTTAATAATAATGATTGCTTCGCCGTCATTTTCTGTGCATGTCTTATCGGACTTCAAGGTGCATACCGTAATTATGGAAACGTTGCGTGTCTGGTCTTTGAGAGTCTCCTATCCCATCATGCACACAGTAAACCCATCTTGTAGTACATTTTACGCCTGTCTACTTCGAGTCCTAACATCAGAAGGCACTCAGTTCTGAATCTTCGGGGGCTTCGTAGCATGTCCTTACACCGTGCTCCCTGAGTCCTGAAGCCATGTTTTGAGAAGATTTGTGACAACAGGGCCGCAAATGCACTGCTGCTGTCATGACCTACGTATAATCGATCAGCAGGTGTGGCCGTCGCAGCATGTACCAAACTTCAAACTTTGATAATCTAGACATTAGAGATGCAATAAACAAACTGAGTCTCACGTTCTTTGATTTCTCGAGTTACTAGATTTTATTCATAGTATTTGCCATATATCCGGTTAGAGGGGCTCTAAATTTTGACTTGGGAAGGTGTATCACACCCCAAACTTGTTAAGGATTGTGCTTATTTAAGTGAAGCAAAAAGATCAAGAAAGAAACCTCGGAAGGTTCAAGGTTAACTCTCAGACTTGTATATCGGCTTTCCAAACACTGGTAGGTGAACCCAGACAACATCATCAACTCCTATTTCTGGGACACAAATTCGATGGCCAATTACCCCAGCAGCTCCTCATAACTGTTGTTTCCATCGCGCGACACATTACCTCATGCCTGGCCTAGCTCTACTCATAAAGATACACTCCTTGCTCAGTAACGGGCTTAAAAGATTGCCAGAGCGTTTGGCGGAGACCCAATCAGGCAAGAAACATTCATCGGAGCAGACGTAAGCAGGAAGGAATACCGACCCGTCATTTTGCAGTACGCCGAGAGACGACTCAGATCCCACAGCTCACCAATGGGCATGCCGAAAAGGCTCAAAAAGTAGGGATGCAAGACTAAGACAATAGTTAGTGGTAAAGGATTTCTAGTCCATTTGCAAACTTCTTTTTTTCCTTAGACTCGAGAGACTTACCAAGACTGTGCGCGTCCACCTCGGTTACATTGGGATTCGCTGGCTGATACGCCTCAAACGCATTCGCGTCACCGGCGACCGCAGCAAAATGCTTGTTCCAAAACCACTTGGCCGTCTCCTCCGTACCAAGCACACCTGACAGCTTGGACTGCGCCATCTTTTCAAAATCAGCCGGGCTCGGGTTGTCAATTATGGCGGTGACTCCCGTCCTCAGGAGGAAGATGTCGCCGTGCTTGAATTCGACGCCCTGGTACGCAGCCACGGCCTCAATGTCGTCGATGGTGATGGGATAGCCATCCAAGGGGTGATAGTCGATTCCCTTGGCCTCAGTGTACGCCTTATAGTCGATCAAAACGCCTCGGCCCACCACTCCGCCTCGCTCGTGCCAGTGGTCGATGGTCGGCATCTTATTATCGGCCGTGAAGGTGGCAGACAGTTCCTCTTGGGTTGGTTTGAAGCCATTGTAGGCAAGACCCGTCGCCTGGTGCTGCCAGTGTACAAGACTGTCCCATTGGCTGCTGCCCTGAGTGTTGAACTCCAACTCGTCATCCCAACCAAGTCCTTGACTTAGCCCGCCGGCTTGCAGGGAATGCACATGGTGTGCTGTCTGCTTGCGTCCTGGAATGTTGAGCTTGTTCAGGCTGTCCAACGGCCAGCTGTTGTAATGTCAGAAAGGTAAGCCTCACAAACTAGGTACGAACTGGTTGTTCTCGAGACTTGAGGGATGACGTACTTGAGAGAGATTGAGACGCCATCGCGAACTTCCGCACCAGCCGCCCTGATGATCTCAGGCGTAAGAAGGTTCAATGTCCCGTAAAGGTCCTTCTTTCCGTCTTTGTCAAAGACACCCCACGCGCAGCCCTTGGGCATGCCTTCAACTGGTGGGAGATCGTCATAGTCAGGAAGAGTGACCGCGGACATGATGGTTATTGTGGTTGGCGATTTTGTAAATGTGTTGTATCGAACTTGGCTTGTGGAGTGTAAAGTGTACGAAAGATTTGAAAAGGAGATCCTCAACTGCTCATATAGTTCTCTGACGTATTGGTAATCTTCTCGTCTCGGACAGGCAAGGATTCCGAAGACCCATTGGCGATTGCTTGTTTGCCGGAGAACAATGCTCAAAAGTTCCCTTTGACATTGCACCGCCCGCGTTACAGTGGATTTGAAGGCAGTCCATGGACTAGGGGATCGAGCTGGACAAGGGGTTACTTGTGGGGTGACCTGTAACAAGTAGTGGAGCGTGGATGGCATTATCGTTGGTGGGATTGGCGAGTGTAGGCTCGCCATCTGCGTCCAAATGACATTTGCGGTTTAGTTCTCCAGCTGCAGGTCCAAGGAGATATCGGAGAAAAGCTTCAACGAGCAATCCAACAGCGGTGACGACCTGCGGCGCAGTCACTGGTGGACTCTCAGCTCAGCTGGTTTGGGGTCCCTCTTCTGCCCCATTCATTGATAAAGACGAAAACTCATGCCATATTTGGGGCCTTTGCTGTCCGAAGCTTACGACGCTTCAGGTCCCAAGTAGTAGCCTTCCACTTCCCATCGCTTCAACACCATGCCCGCGACTCTGCATGCACAGTCTCCGGGTGTTAAAACGTGATGCGGAAATCGTCGCCGTCCCATATCTGCAGGGCCACCGAGGCAAGGGTTCGTTACCTGACACAACCTTGATTCCGTCCGTACCGGACCCGCCAAACTCTGCACTGTTCTCGAAAGTTGCTAGCTCGCGAGTTGCTGGCATATAGACTAGTTTGTGGTTATGCTGAATTCCGGTTCATCTTAGTTGCGAATTGGGTTTGACTTGTGAAGGTGTAGTGCTACGTCCATCGGTCGCTCCCGCGGTTACCCATGCCCGCCACCCGCCCATCTGTTGCAAGTTAGGCCAAGCTCGGTCTCGGTTTCGTAGCGGCCATCCAGTCGCATTGCATATTCTAGAAATGCTCTACGTCAGGACCTGCAGCAAGCCTTGGCCTAGCGGGAAAGCGAGGGTTTATGATGCACTTGCCTACCGCTAACGATACCTAAACGAGGTCTGCAGCACCGTTTCCCTCAATTACCACAACACTAACCAAACGCACCTAGGCAGGATTGCCTTCTGTTTGTAGATAATTATACTAATATCTTCACATAGAGCCACATTGAATGACCGGCTGTCCAAGTACAATGAGCCGGCCCTAACTCATTCACTTCTGACAATCTCAAGATCATTCCGCACCGGCAGAGAGCGATTTTCCTCCAGTTCCCGCACGACTCATTTTCTCGTTGAAGCGAAAGATTTACGTTGCAATGAGCATACAACGAATACGAATACGCATACGGCGATCTGAAGACTCGCAGGACTAGTCTGCAAAACTTCATGCACACAACGGTCTTTTTTCCCAATCGCCCCATAGATCGTTACATTTTGACGCGATGACAGCAGACAGGGACTGGCTCAGACGGCAAGCTATTGGCGGAGACGAGCACCGGTCCCTTAGGGAGATCAGACGACACAAGCACTAGCAAATGGGATGTAGAGATCTAGTCTGGAGAGGAGAGCCCACTGGGGTTAGCTTAGCTTAACGTGAAACCCCCATATATATCTTAATCTCAACGCGCTGCCCTCATGAATCTGCACATCTCGTCCGAAGCCCCAGACGGTCCTATCAACTACAAATCTTTTCGGACCGGAGTATTCTTCATCGACGCCCATCATGTCTGCTCCTCCCATCGCATCGGAGACGGCCGCCGGGGCCGCCGCCCTGGACTTCATGGCACTGAACAAGAAGTACACCGAGGAGAAGGAGAAGCGCGAACGGTCCGACGGCAATGCCCAATACGTTGAGATGGAATCGAACGCGCAATTCAGCAAGCTCGCCGAAGACCCTTGGGTCGATCACGAAAAGCTTAACGCGCAACAGTCCAATCTCCAGGACGGCGACGAAGTCAAGGTCATTGTGCTTGGTGCCGGCTACGGCGGTCTGCTATTTGCCATACGCTTCGTCCAAGCCGGTATCAGAGCCGAGGACATCCGTCTTGTGGATGCCGCCGGTGGTTTCGGTGGCACATGGTACTGGAACCGTTACCCCGGCCTCATGTGTGATGTCGAGAGCTACACCTATATGCCGCTTCTTGAGGAAACCGGGTACGTGCCAAAGCACAGGTACTCCTACGGTAACGAGCTGCTTTCCCACGCGAACCGAATGGCGGAGACGTGGGGCCTGACCGACAGAGGTGTTTTTCGCTCCCAGATCAAGAGCTACGAGTGGAACGAGGACGCGAAGCGGTGGATGGTGGTCATCGAGCAATGTCGCGGCCCGAATGAGGCACCCGTCACAATGACGGTGCGGTCGCAGTTTGTCGTCCTTGCGAATGGCGTTCTTAACCACCCCAAGGTGGCCAAGAACCTCGAGGCCTTTGAGGGTGATATGTTCCACACTGCTCGATGGAATTACGACATCACTGGAGGAAACCCAGAGGACCTGGAGCATGTGCAGCTGATGGGACTAGAAGGAAAGCGAGTTGGTATCATCGGTACGGGCGCTACTGCTATCCAGCTCGTCCCTCAGCTGGCCCGGTGGGCAAAAGAACTGTACGTCTTCCAGCGAACACCTTCATCAGTAGACGAAAGAGGCCAGAGGCCTACGGATCCAGAGGAGTGGAAGAAGATCGCCAACGGAAAAGGCTGGCAGAAGCGCCGCGTCGAGAACTTCAACGTCTTCCTCGCTGGCGGCGAGGCGGAAGAGAACTTGGTTGCGGATGGCTGGACCGGGTTAAAGGCATACAAGGGCCTCATAGGCACTCCTCAAGACAAGCCGCTCGGCCTGACAGACATCCCTGGTCACATTGGCGGCCTGCTTGCTCTAGACGCTCCAAGATCTGAGCGGATTCGGCGACGTGTAGACGGAATCGTCAAAGACAAGGCAACCGCCGAGGCTCTTAAACCGTGGTATCCTGCTTGGTGCAAGCGGCCGACGTTCCACGACGACTACCTCCCAGCATTTAACCTCCCCAACGTCCATCTCGTGGATACAAATGGTAAAGGAGTGGACCACGTCACTAAAAACTCACTCGTCGCCGGCGGCACGGACTACCCATTGGACGTCATCGTGCTGAGCACAGGCTACAGGCCTCCTGGAGCAGACATGGCTGAGCCCTCAGGCCGTTCCAACATGACCATCAAGGGCCGCAACGGAACCTCAATGTCCGAAAAGTGGTTTGGAAAGGGCCCATCAACGCTCCACGGCGTACTCACCAACGGCTTCCCGAACCTCTTTCTCACCGGCCCGCTGCAGATCGGCACTACATCTAACTTTGCCTTTGTGCAGGACATTCTATCACAGCACTGCGCGTACATTGTAGCCGAGGCGATGAAACGAGGAGGCCGAAGCACTGACAAGGTCGTCATCGAGGCCACTGTCGAGGGCGAGGAGGGCTACGCCGGACTGATCATGCAGTATGCAGCTTGGTTCTCCAGCATGAGCGTCTGTACGCCAAGTTACATGAACAACGAAGGCCACAAGGCCCCTCCAGAACAGCAGATGAAGTTGGCCAAGGGTGCGCCGTTCCCGCATGGGATGAATGCTTATATCAAGTTCCTAGAGGACTGGCGTGCTGAAGGTTCCATGAAGGGTGTGAACGTCACAGCATAGACCAATCCGAACATCGTGTGTACGTCAGATGCTGTTTTGTAAGACGCCGAAATTGTGTCTTTTATTCGATAAATATCAAGTGGTAATTTGTAACTAGTTAAGTCAAAATAACGTGTGTAGCAACATGTCCGCGAGCGATAGTGTCTCTTACAGACCTATATCGCGTCGTAAGTCACAGCCCCTATCAATTGCAATTGCTGACGCCAAATGACTTGACAACCTGCAAGGCAATCGGGCCTCATTCCGTAGCTGTTTGTTGTTCGAATTCTTATCCATGTGAAGATGTCGATCATACCTCACAGAGCGTTTCGTTAATCCACCAGAATAATGTAAGCTACGCATTCGGTTTCTCGTCTGATACGGTATCAAGACTTTACACTCTGAAAGTAGCTGCAATTTGACTAACCCAGTGAATAGTATCATGATTGTAGTGGCTTACTTCCACCATCGTGTAGGTGCCTTGCTAGCAGAATACGCCTTCTCTAAATGTGACAGAGTACTCAAAACAGCTCTGCTTTTCAATCATTACGCTTTTGATGAAATTCTTCCTGTGGCATGAGAGATTATCAAAAAATCTTGTCAAGGATCTTTTCGTCCCCGTCCAGTCGGTCAGCCTCCTTCCTCAGAGCCTCAGCCCTGAACCTTCTAAACGCATTCTCGATCCTGGCGCGGCTTTCGGGGTCCTTGCTGATGGTTCGAGCCGCTGAAGCAGTTCCGGAGAAGAATCCGAGCTCACCACCCAGGAAAAGACTTCCCAATCCGAGCAGCGAGTACGCCGCGATGTCGCCGAGTTTTGTTGGCGCCATCTTGTCCGTCACATCAGGGACGGGCTCTGGCAGCATGTTAGCAGGCAACCCTAGGTCAATGAGCCAAACGTTGACTCGCCTAATCTTCCGCTGGCAAACTGCACATGTGTTGGCTTCTCTGTGGCCCGGAACGCAGCAAACATGTCCGCACGTGCTCGCCTCAGTCTGAAAGCGAGAAAGAAACCGAGCCCAAGGCCCACGGCGGAGCCAATCGCCGCGTGCCTGCTCACCTTGCTGGCGGCGTTCTTGAGCAGGTCGCGGTCCGAGTCTCGAAGATCATGCTCGAGGTGCTTCTCGGCGATGGCGGCAAGGTCGTCGGAAGATGGCGACTTGCGGAAGGCAGCCAATGAATCGCGAGACATGTCGACAAGGCGTGTGTGTGGATCGTTTCGATTTTGGGTAGCTGCAAGCTTAAGATTGTGTTGGGGATGGGTGGCCGTTTCTCGTTCTCAGGACATTTACTGAGTATAATGTGAAAAAGTACTTACTCCCATTCGAAAATTGGCAACCATTGAAGGCCTTGATATCCCACGGGAAGCGCGGGCGTCAAGTTCGGGACCCTTCTAGCGTGCAATGACGTCCTGCATACGTGACCAAGCTTCCCTTGGTCGAGCTGTTGGACCGTGCGGCGAAGCTTCTCGGACACAGAAACCATTCCAGCGGCTTCGATCCGGGTGTCGCGACCAATGAGTTGTTCTCACAAACACAAAACATCCCTAGGGTATAATTAGATTTAACGGAAAAGGTCACTGAAGCGTATCTTAGTTTGAGGGACGAGCAAGTTGTCACGAAAGCAAGCCTTTCGCAATTCGTCTTCTGTCAGCGTGGGTCGCACCAGAAGGCATCAATACACTGGAACGCACTCATCGTTGCTGGCGCAACCGTTTACCCAGCGGTAAATCAAAGTCCGTTTCCAATTGACTCCAGTAAATACGGGAGAGAAGCCACAGCACAGCAGGCGTATATGAATCCCGTTTGCTGGTATAGTTTCCCGACACCGCCAGGGTAGGATACGGCACTTGATGATGGTGGGTCGCTTTGTGTATCTACTTATTGCTTTATTCTCCCCGAAGGCTCATCGATTTGGAAGGGTGGCCGAGTTGGTTATGGCGCCAGGTTAAGGTCAGCTTAGCATCTGTTTCCTGGTGGGGCAACCCGCGCGAGTTCGAGTCTCGTCCCTTTCAACTTTTACTTTTTCCACGTTTCTTCTGCATGTTAATATTTCTTTTTGTCAGTTACCTCGACTTGGAACTTGTTTATTGCTCAATTACAGCCAGGTTGTGCTGAATTACGCCCACTTCTGTCCACCGGCGTCTCCCTCTTGGGCTTGTGCACCTCATCAGTATGTTTTTTCGAATGTCTTGACATGCAACCGAGAGGGGGCTCATAGGGCGACGGCCCAACTAGAGAATCTTCGTGTAAGAGAGTCCTCAAGGGGATCTTCTGGTATACCGTTCCACACCAGGTATTGACACCTGATTATTCAGACAAGAGGCAGCCCAATGCTCAGCTTTGTAATATGTAGCCATACGACGTGCTCAGGGAAGAGCCCTGATTTAGCCCAAAAGATCATGATTTGCAAGTCCTAGAACCCTCCGGCTTAGGTCTCTAGGATCCAGAGAAAAGTGCGTCCAAGGGCTGCCACCCAGTGAGCATGCACCTTATCAGGTTTAGGATGGCAGACCCGGCGAGCCAGAATATTATCTCCCAGAGAAAGAAACCAATATTGCCGACCCGGTGCAACAACCAGTGTGTGCCAAACTCAGACCAAGGAGTCGTCCTCTAGAAAGATGTTCAGCCAAGATGCTGTTCCCGAGTAACCATTGGGCGAGAGTTACCCCATCGAGGGGCCTACACCGGGCTGGAAGGAGGCAACTCTCTCGTCGACCTCAGCGTGTGGGTCTACCGTACTTAGAGCCTGCATGTCGTCGACGCGGAGACATCTGAGCGGCATTCTCATCGCCAACCCGCAAGCTGACATCGCCATTGCCGCCGCGAAGGGTTTTGCGGGAACCTTGGACATCCAACACGGGGGCGGTGTTTCCCTCGCCAGATACGTCAGTGAGCAGGCAAATCACCTCATGGGCTACATGTCTCGGGATGGTCAAATGGCTTAAGCCGTGTTGGGTTCACTGGCGTAGAAGATACGAAGCCACTGCGCCTCGCAGCGGTGCTTGCGGAAGCCAAAGATTCAGCGACGCCAAGGAAACATCCCAAAGAAAACAGTGATTCGGCACAGACTAGGGATTGGCGATCCGCATCGTGGACGACAAGAGCGTTTTGAGTCCAACTGGTCGTGTTCTCCCCTTTCGCTCTCGGAGTTGCAAGCCGCAATGCCTCAGACAGAAACATTTCCTCGCCACGAGTCCGGCAGGAAGCCAAAAATAGACAGCCGAACTCAAAGCAGAAGACCCCAGTCGCGAATCTGTCCCGGCCTCGGTGAGGAAATCTCGCAGTGCCAGTCCTTTGCTCCGTTGAGCCTTGGTAGCTTCTCTCAAACACCCGACAAGATTCGAGTAAGGGGGTGGGCACCGGCCCCAGAGTCCATCTCAACCAGTAACCTCCTCCAGGCCACAAGTTCACGACATCACGACTTCGGCCTGAGCATACGAACGGTTGTCCGTCCAGAAAACTGATCATTTTGTATTCAACCATCAGAACCACGGCCCATGGTTTTATCCCCCTCTCCGTCCATAGACCAACGCCGTTCGCCTAACTGTAGAAGCGCATTCTTCAGTCTGTTTTCCCCAGCCCACGCCAACCATACCCATGAACCTTTGGCTTTTTGTCGTACGTTTTGCTGACCAACACCCACGAGCCCAACTTGGACACATCTAGAAACACATTCACCTCAACCTGCCTGACCGCGCCGGTCCAATCCACACCCAGAGGACAAATACACAAGCCCACAGAAGACTTTGTACAAAAACGAGAGGCGCAGAACGAAATCTGCGCCGTGGCTACAAGCAAACGTAAACGACAGAGGGGTATCGGAACTCAAGACCAACAACCACCAACCAACCAGCAAAGCGAACGAACAGGCTTGATTCACACGCAAAATGGTCACGAAGTCAGAAACAAAAGACAGCGACACGCAAACTAAAAGCTAGGAAATCTCTGTTGGGGCGAGTCCCGTGTGGAAGTAGACAAATGAAGGGGCAACCAAGTAGAGAGAACCATCCGAAAGCCGACGCCCAAGACAAGCCCAGATGTCCAGAGAGAATAACTAAGGCCGCAAAGCATGCAATCGTCGTTCTCATGACGTCTCACAATCGTGTCCGCTATCCGTATGCCTAAGATCAAACAAGTCCAAAGAAATATGCGTCATTCGCCCAGGTATCCATCGTGCAGCGTAAAGGGCCCAAGGCGGCGGCGGCGAACGAAAACGACGAGAGAAGTTTCGATATGTAAGCATTAAGACAATCGTGAGAGCTTGAGCTCATGAGTACCTCCTTCGGGTCCTCATGTCGAGTGCGAGAGCGGAAAAGCCGTCCATGTGGTCCGTCCAACCATCACTCTACTACAGAGGGTGTTAGCCAATATGCTTTCTTGATCCACTACCCAGGAAACCTTACCTGAGGAGGGGCACCAGGAGGGCCCTGGGGTCCCGGGGGCCGTGAGGACCCGGAGCACCGAAGTGAGCAGGTCCGTAGGCGCCGGGGCCGGGGGGAGCAAAGTAATGAGGCGGGGGAGGGGCAGGACGGTAGGGGGTACCAACACCAGAGTTGTTTTGGCTGCGGCCCCAGCTCAGACGGACACGAGAGTTTCCAATAGGATATCCCTGCATCTGGTTGATGGCCATCTCAGCAGCGTGACGGTGGACGAACTGAACAAAACCGCAGCCCTTGCCAGGAGGGATCTTGACGTAGGTGATCTCGCCAAAGCCCTGGAAGAAGCTTCGGAGCTCGTCCTCGGTGACGTAGCCAGACAAGCCACCGACGAAGACGGTGGTGTTGTTGGGGTCGGTGAACTGGTTCATCTGCTGGCCAGGAGGGTTGTAGGGGGCTCCATAAGCGCCGCCGTACTGGGCAGGCGAGGGGACGCCGTAGAATCCCTGCTGGTGAGGAGGCAGGCCGGGGGCCATCATCTGGTTGCCGTGGTGCTGCTGGTACGGGCCGCCGTGGTTGCTGCTGTTCGTGTTAGTCGTTGGGCACGTGCTGTGCCAGGACTTAGGTAACTCACCGGTTCTTAGGGGTGGCAGTGGAGATGCGCATGGGACGGTTGCCGCAGTAGACTCCCTGCATCTCAACGAGGGCTCGCTGTTGGTCCTGCTCATCGGTGAAGCGAACGAAGCCGTAGCCGCGCGACTGCCCCGACATGGCATCCGTCATGATCTTAGCAGACTTGCAAGAGGGGAATCGCGCCTGGAAGAGAGACACGAGAACGTATTCGTTGACCTCGGGCCGAGGTCGCCGACGAAGATCGAGTACTCGGGACCACGGTCGTCACGTCGGTCGTTGATGCCGCCGCCAGAAGCCCAGTTGAGCTTGAAGGCACGGTTGGAGTTAGGAACGGGAGAGCCGTTCAAGGTCAGAGCCTTGCTAGCAGCCTCGGAGGAGGTGAACTCGACGAAGCAGTATCCGGCGTTGCCAGACGTCTTGTCACGGATGACCTTAACGTTGACAGGCTCCCCAGTGGCGGTGAGGAAAACTCCCTTGATGAAGTTCTCGTCCATCCAGGGCTCGAGCTCGCCCATCCTGCAATTCGTCAGACCATCGGCCTTAGTCACCAAGCCTTGCGCCGTCACTTACCAGAGGGTGTTCTTATTCGCGTCCTGCTGGATAGGGGCCTGCACGCCGCCCGGGATCTCTCCGGAACCATTGTTGCCGGGGAAGGGCATGCCGCCAGAGACGGGGGTGCCGAAGCCGTCGCCGTTAGCGTTGGCAGGGGGGCTCCGTTGCCCTGGGCAGGGTTGTAAGGGTTGATGCCGTCCATTTTCACGGTTGAAACTGGCAACATGTCAGATTGCTCGCCATTGTACCATAGGGAGGCTAACATACCGTTCGAATATTCGTGGACTGTTTAAACAAAGTCGGAACTCAACTGTCCCAGCTTGAAATAAGATTTGTTGGTCTTGGAAATCGAAACAGAAAATCCTGTATTCAAAGACAAAACCGAGACACCGAAAAGCACTCTGGTGGAAAAGTCGATTCTCTCTGACGCCTGCACGCCCCGTCGTAAGAACGAAAGATGGAGATGTCGCGGGGTATTGGTGCAAGAAATGCTACAGCCGCCGACTCGAGAAACTGAGCGATGCTTCGAATTCGACTTTTAGGTCTCCAATATTTGCGCCGTGGCCAAAGTCAACTTTCACCGATCCGAAAAGGGTCAAAGGAAGAATCCGAAATGATTGGACCTAAGAGAGCTGTCAGTATCGCAGGTTTATAATGCAGTGCACCGGCACGCCTCAAGCCGCAGTCGTAGTCGCAGTCGTATTGTCGAATGTGTTCGAAGATTATGGCCGGAAAGCTGGTTAGATGTTGGGCGTGGCTGCGGGCAGCCGAACTAGTGGCAGAGCTCGATGTTGTGATGTTTGCAGCCATCCTCGTATAACCAGCTCCTGGGGCGATTTAATCGCATCCTGGTCTTCCTTCGGATAGGAGCCGCGACCGTCATGGTGTGAAGCAGAGTGACCATAGAAAACGATCATGATAGTCGTCACAAAGTCGCTACGGACCGAGCATCATGTGAACCAGCCGCCGCATCCCGCCCCAATTAGGATGTACATCCGTAGTAGAGGCGAGACTTGTTCGACCCAGGTGCTTCCACATGACTAGAGCCACGCATCTCACGTCGACGCAGTGGTGTTTGATACCGCTTCACTGGGTACCACTTCGGTCTGATCCACTGCGCTGCCCTAACCTCGGTAGTCTTCTCCGGCATGGAACAGGATCCGACAAGGCATTGTAGTTTTGCGTTGGTACATCATTGCCGCAATGTCATGCCCCAAGTCCCAGATATATTGCCTGCGACTGGCCTCTTTCGTGGTACTAAAAGGAGCTGTACGGGACGGCGATGCAGGCGAGGTAAGACGAAGCTTGCGGATGCGACGGGTGCGGGGATCCAAGCGTGGTCGTCGTCGAGTGCTGATAGGAATGAAGGCATGCTGCGCTTCAGCTAGCGGCCGATGGCGACGATTTGGTACCGGAGACATCGAGACTGAATAGCTTCGGCATTTGGTTGGAGATCGACGTCCATGACCCGGGATGATCCACGATGCATGGAGGGGTTGCGCGATGCGCCCAGAACCGCAATTCCATCTTTTCTCCGATGACCGCTACCACCGCTACCACCACCCATAGTTCCGGTCGTCCATTCGAAGTAGGCGGCGGCGTCGGGGTCCATGACAGAGAATTGCCGAAGATGCCGAAGGCTGGGCGGTCGGACACGAGCCCAGGATATGCGACTGTGATGACTGCGACTGCGACGAGGCGACGAGGAGGTGGAAGAGGACAAATAGAAAGGGGGATATTGATGACTTACTTTTGGGCGCCAACGAAAAAGACTCTTTTTCCGGGTGACCAGGAAGAAAAACCGTCGTGCGACTCGTAAGGAGGGTGAGGGTGGGAGAAGGGGGGAAGAATTACGAAGGATGTTTTCGTGTTGAGGGAAGAATTTAGGAGGGGGTTAAACGACGTGGGAGGGAAAAGCGACAAGGAAGTTGCGCGCAGAGATTTTTTTTTCCGCAGGTGGTGAGGGCCGTGGGGATTTCGCTCTGTCAGTGGTGACGTGAGGTCGAAAAACACGGCAGCGAAAACAAGCAGCAGCAAGAAGCACGACTTGTGTCTTTTTTTTTTTTCGCAGCAACCGAGACAACCGCTAGAAAGGATGCTTCGTTTTGGAGGCCAAAAAAAAACTCGCAGCGCAACGCAGAGCAGAGCAGACGAGACAGATGGACAGCAGCAGAAGGGGCAGAGAGAGGTGCAACTCTAAAGAAAGGAGGAAGAAAGAGAAGAAGCGATGTGGACAAGAGCGGAGGGGGGTTAGGTGGGAAAGGAGGAGGGAAAAGTAGTGGGAAAAGAACAGAGAGTGAGGCAGGTCGGATTCCCTCTAGTGATGGGGAAAGGTACACACACGCACACGCACGCACGCACTCACAGTACCTAAGGTAGAATGTGGGTTTTTTGGCGGAGGGGAAGGGAAGGAAAGGGCGCGACCTGAACTCTAGCTAAGGTAGGGAGGGGTGAATGTATTGTGTGTGTGTGTGCGCTGCTGCGCTGCTGTGGTGAGGTAAGGTAGTGTTTGGGCGTGGAAGGAGGAACCCAAGATCGGAGACTGATGATGGGACGAGGCAGGCACGCACACATACACACACACACACCGGTAGGGAGGTACCTTCCTATCCTCGTGAGGATCTGTTGATGCTGGTGCTGCAGGAACCGTATGTGCGGTCTTTGCAAACTCTCGCGAGTGCCATGGTAGCAGGGTACACAGTACCTGGATGAACTAGGGACGAGCAAGTACTCCTTTAGTTTTACTTATTCGTTTATTGTCTCTCCGCTTTCCATGTTTGACGGGGTCGACTTCTCTTCGGGTGGAGAAAGTTAGCCTGTTTCCTTACGTACTGTAGTACCTGCCTTACCTCTCGCTGAACGCTTTACTACGTGTATACTAGGTTGCTGACATCAAGCAAGTGTTGTACTTATGTATAGCAGGTACAAAGTAGGTGGGCAAGGTACCTGTCCCGTAGCGCGCAAGGCCAATCCAGGCAGAGATCAAAAACAGAGTTGTCGACGCAGCGGATGGGGACTGGAATGCAATGGGGTCGCAGGTCCTCGATTGGGGCACTGGATTGGGTGGACCCGGCGTCGGTGCTGATGCCGTGCGTTGAGCTGGACGAGAGCCGTGGCTGCACCAGCCAACGAAACGAAACCTCTCAGAACAAGGGACGTCAGCTTCAAAGGGACGCCGGCAACAGGCGGACTGGCGCCAGCAAGCTCGCTCGTCAGGTACGTGCACCCCAGATACGGGACGGATGCATCCATTACTCGGGAACACACAGTTTCTCTTTTTGATTTTTGACTTTTTGTCGATGTTATTTTATTCTTTGATATTCGATTTTCTCCCCCACTCGATCTCTTGCCGTCCACCACGGGAACCAGTCGGTTCTCTGAATGAGGTGAATGGCCTGGGGCATCCCTCCATCGTGGCTTCGAGACAGATCGGCAGACGAGCAAATGGGAGGGGCAGAGGGAGTCAGAAAGGAGGTGTGGGCAGGAATGGAAAGAACCCGAGAGGCACCGCGCGATTGGAGGTTGAATTTTGCGGCAAATGCCTACTCCAATTCATGGGGTAAGAAGGAAGGAGGGAAAGAAGCAGGTGACAGACAGACATGTGTCCTCCTTGCCTTTCCCTTTCGTCGAGATTGCCCAAGTACATAGCATACATGGTAATGGGCAGGAAGGAACCCTTCTGGTGCTTTCCAAATCCCCTGCCCGTCCGCCCTTACCTATTCCTTTTCCGTTCATGCCCAATTGGTGAAATGGAGCGTGCTCCGTCGACCCTGGCAAGAACGAATGATAGGGACAGGACAGAGAGACAGACTACGTGCACCAGGCAGGTAGCTGCTAACGCCTAGGTTCGTTCATGTGAGCAATGTCCGGCACGACGGACGGCGGATGACGGAGGGGCTGTGCGCACCGACAAGGACCCGGACTGAGGTGGACTTGCCCTGACAGGTAAGGCATCCCGGCTCCTGGCCTTACGTCCCCCCCCCCCCGTCTGCCTTGAAAACCTTGTTGTTGCTCTCTTCGAAGCTCCATCTTTCGACCCCATGGCTTCTGCACCTCTCCGCAGATGCACCACGACTCGAAATGCCAAGGTACCTACCTGCCTACTTTGTTGATCTGTCACACACTCTTCTCGGCGAGCGTGTTCGCAAAGCCTCGAGCTGGCAAGATGCGGGTGCCTGCAATGCATCTCTACACGCAAACCTGTCCTCAGAACGACCCGTACCTCAAGAAAGGGTAGGGCCAATCCTTCGGGCAGATCATTCGGGGGCGGGAGAGACACGCTAAGTAGAAGACGTAGCTGCCCTACGCCGCCGACGCCTGGCCCTGCCTGCCTGAGCTGGAGGGGTGCTTCCAGCAGGAAACCCGATACGTACCGATCTCGACGCGAAATGGCGTCACGGCAGAGGAACGGAGACAAGGGGCCCCTGTTCAGGGACTGGAGATGGCTCTCTGTCGACATGCAGCTGGGTGCCGTCTTATCCCCGATGGCCTTGGTGCCTTCTCCCGTCATGTGCTGCTGCTGCTGCCGCCGCCTTGTAAATCGAAAATACCACGACATGGTTACGACGATGCCTGCTAAGGACCAGTAATCAAATGCGACGACAACACCGGCAACGCATCTGTCCCATCGAGGTCTTCGTCAGAAAAACGTTCGACGGACTCTGAACAGACACCCGTGGGTAAGCATCGGTCATCCGAGACCATGGTCATCATCTTCATCTCACCTTAACCACCTCCGTCCTCCACCTCGGACCCTACCCCTTGCCGCCACCCGTCAAGCTCAATAAGCGCACATAAGCCTCAATCAACACAAATCATACCCTCCTCTGCTGCTTGCTTTTCCGAAGTACTCCCATGCAAGATGGATTCACCATCCTCGCCGCATCCAGCTCGGCACAAGCATCGTCGTCGACCTGGCGATGCCCACTAAGAATGTGCCAGCCAACTATCATTCCATATGCTGCTTGTTGTTCGGACCCTTTCACGCTCGCACGTCTCTCCGCTGATGAGCCGCCAGGCGGGCATACATGATGGGATGGCGGGCATAAATGTCATTACCAAGCCAGCCGTGTTTGAAACACGACCTCGTTCTCATTCCTTTTTTCCGCCAACTGGCCTCCTCCACCACGCGAAACCCTCGTGGACTCCGAAAGGCACCCATTGGCCGAGCTTACCCCCCTAACAGATGTTTCCAATCGGACGCGAACTCATTGTTAAGAGCCTCGTGGGAGTTTATTGCGCGAGGCAAGTGAAGAAGGGTCATCCGTGTGACGTGTCGTGCCATTAACCTTTGCTGCAGCTGTTTGTCGACTCTCGCCTTTGCTAGCTGATTGTGTGCACCCCCAACGTTTCGAAACAGTTCAACAGTGTCAGTTCTACTGTCGCTCATGGACAGCCCTCGTTCGTGCTGTCTGTTTGCTGGCCGCTACCGATATTTCAAGCTTCTGTCCGTGCCCATGCGAGCAAACTCACGCGCACCCCGTCTCCTCCCTCTCTCAGGTTCTCGGTGCATCTTCTACACCCCTTGGAGAACGGCCTCGACACATGCACTTACGTATCTTTAGAAGTATCCTACCAGCTCAACGCGCGCCTAATTCCCAGTATCATTGTTGCCGTTAGGGCCGTGACCGGAGAACCCGGGGCCGATAGTCAACGTCCTTGAGACCGACCGGCCAGCCTTGGCCACGCAAAAGACACGTCAAAGGGACTTTAGTCGTTTCCTTATCGACAAGTCATGGCTCCCTTGCCTCGTCGCAACCCTCGTTTCGCTGATGGTCAACGCCGACGTCGATGTTGCAGCTCCCTTGCGCCCATGCTCTCCTCCCCCTTTACAGGTCACCCCTGGCTCATGGGTGGCGTTGGCAGCACCATCGGTCGTCCGTTGATTTTCTTGCTCTCCAGTCCAGTCCAAGGACGCGCCAAAGCCGTGGGTCACCTACCAAAAACCCTGTCAGCCAGGGCTGACCAGTTCCGGCCCCTCCTTTACGAGATGCGGTTAAAGTGGTTTTCGCGTCTGGATAACACGCTGGCCCTTTGACAGCCAGGGGACGCGTACCTTGTTGCACTTGACGGTCCAGCCGGCTTCACCACCACTGAGCCGAAGCCTCGGGATTTGTTGTACTTACCCATCTGTACTTGCCGCCTCCGCTGCCCATCTTTACGCAGTACCCTGTCGGCTGAATGCCCGAGCGGCGCCCAGCGGGTGATCCTCTAACTCGACTCGGCAGCCAGCCAGCTAGCTCAGGAGAATTCAAGCTCGCCCAATTGCGCAAGAACAATGCCAGGCGAACTGGTTATTCTCACCTATTTCTGACTTTCGTCTGCTTGGTGGTCCCGAGAATGTTCACACCTTTACTGAGTTAGGCACGACTCGCATGACCGCAAACCCCCGGATCGTTGTCGCGCGTTAGTACTGGCTCATTGGGTGAATCCGCAAGCTTGACACCCTCTTTTTTTTTCTCTTTTTTTATTTTATAAAAGGTGAAATCATCAGACCAGGGTGGTGGGGGGGTGGCCGCAGGAAGGAGAATTCCCACTGCTACCGTGGATCGAGGTGTGGGAAAAATTGAGATCTCTGATTCTCTCCCTTCCTTCTGAGTGGTTGGACAGGTTGCCCACCATGTGGTCTGGCCGCTCCCAAGCGAGCCCTGACTTCTGGGAACCGGATTGGCGAGTTAATTCATGCCCACGGTACGTAAACGGTGAGTCCAAATAATCATTGACTCCCCCTTTCAAGACCTTATTCCCCTCTTGTCGAGTCGGCATGCTGGCTTGGGCTTTTCCTCATACTCTGCAGATTATGATGGATAGTATCCATCGATATCGGCAATGAACTGGGTGTCTATGGTTACTTTCCTTCTCGATCTAGGTCAAAGCATAATGCAGTTCCCGCCGGCAATCTCCGCTTCCGCGCTTTACGAACTCGCCTTTCCTCACCGAACGATCCCGTGCCACTACTAACAACTTGCAATCCTGCGCACGGACATATGGTCCAGGAAGTTCTTATGATATTCCCCATGCAATGCCACCAAGTGAACAACTCTTCGGCCGAAATTCTCAGTAATGAGCTTCGCGGAAGTTTCTGAAAATGGCTCGCTGGCATTCGTCCCTGTCAACGCGGCATGCAACACCACACATATCCGGAATTCATGGGCCACGAAAGGAATGTCCATTCATGTGCATCATGTCCACTGGCTACATTAGCCTCGATGCTAGCCCAAGTGCAAGACGGTTGCTGGCTCGGCCGTCTCAGCGCAGTGACCCGTGTTTTTAGTAGCTCAAGGAGCTAGCAAGGTTCAATATGTCTCAATCACATATCGTCGTGACGAATCACTGAGGGTCTTTTGCAATCCCACAATGTTCGCATATGCACGACTTCCTTGATTCGGACGTCCATAGCGGAACCGCATCCTGCGCGCCCACTCACTGACAGACAGGTTCGGGTGGGTTGAACAGCAGCTTGGGCCGCATCTCAGTCATTTTCAGCTCAACTCAGGCCACTTTTGACAAGCCAACAGGCGCTTTTGGAAGCTCTTCCAGGAGGCATCCGGGCTTCAAGCCGAGCTGTCGTCTAATGGAGAGGGGCCGCAATTCCCGCAAGGAAGCAAAGCTCCCCTGCCTTAAGTTACGTCTCGGTCTCAATAGTTTTTTATAAACCCAAACCTAGGAGACCAATCTTGGTTTAAGACTCGCCCGAATCTGGACGCAGGGCCCTCGAGCAGCAGCCACACTCGGGGAACAACCACATTGATCGACAACACCCCTGTCCACTGCTCTCTTCTGCTGTTCGACGCAGCTCCGCTGTGTTGCGAACTTTAGCGTTCGTCAATCGCAGTCGTCCAAGCTCTGCGCGTATTCACGATCCAAAACCTAATCAGCGTTTGTCCTTGGCATCCATGCACTATGCAACTACACTTAAGCTGACCAATATGGCAATCAGAGAGTGACCCTTCGGAAGTCACGATCAAAACAGCCGGGATTTTGCTCACTGCAAGCGGATATGTCTTTTGGGCGTTGGCGACCTTGACATTCATTTTACACTCTGGTCTATATCTGACAGCTGTTTTCGTTTATATCAGCAGGTGATAGTTTATTGCTTTATGTACCAGGGCGTACGTATAGCGAGCGACAACCTCTGCCCTTGACTCATGTCTCCAAATCTTGGGCAGAACCTGGTCGTACTTTTGTTTTTCTCCCTCAAATGGGTCCGAATCATTACGTACATGCGATGCATTTGATTTCACTGCGGGTGTGCGGACATCTCTGAGGCTCAGTTGCACCGCAATAGGGCTTGATATGGCCTCGAGAGTCCGTGGCTTGATGGCTTGACCAAGGACAGCGGGTCTGCTTGAGGCTACAATGCCGCCCCGATGTCAATAGTCGATCGGATTCCCGTACTGCTTACATCTGGGCAATTGATTGCTTGTTGGACCCGCCTAACATATCGTCATCGGGAGAACTGGTAACTACGCAACTTACATCAAAGTTCAAATGGCGACTTCGTTTATTTGAATCGTGTCCCCAGCGTGCACTTATTTGAAGCTTGTTCACTGCCTCCTCAACTAATATGGCGTAGGTAGCCTGGCATGTTTGGCTCGCCCAAGATAAGAGCTTCGCCGTCACATCTTCTAGGTCTCGCCGCCGGCAGACAGAAGACTAACGCTAGCCGCAGACCAAGAGATATCTGCAGGCCTTCCATCTGCCTCAGGGCAAGGTTAAGTCCGATTCGGGATGGCAGCCTGGAGGGCTGAACACTCAAACTTTGAAAAGGCACCCTGGATACTGTCGGGAAAACAGAGCCCTGCCGGTCTCTGTCAGTACACCCAGAAAGGTGATAAGACTAACACAAAACATAACCAAATAAGCGTAATAAATACAAAAAAAACCTTGAATCTGTCCATATCCTCCTTTTTATTTGACTGAATATGAACAATGTGACTAATTACTGAACATGGAATCCTGAAGCGTATCAGACAGCGGCGTACTCCCCTCCCTTTCTTTTCTTTTCCCCGTCTCTTCTCCCCTACATGATGGGACGCTCTGCCCCTTTACGGTCGCAAGTAGCGCCTCGAGGGGCTGTCGTGGTGGTGCATGCAGCGAAAGTTTATCGTGTGAAGCTAATGTAAGTGCCGAGGGGGGGGGGGGGGGGGGGGGGGGAGATGGCGGGATAGTAGGATCAGAGATCGAGGTTAAGTTCTGCCACGACCGCCAATGAGATGTCTCCGAAGCTGAACTCGATGTCCCGGCGTGGGCATCACCCTCCTCTCTCGGGGCCGCCTGGGTTAGCGACTCGGTTGGACGTCGGGCGGGAGAAGCTGTACAACTGTTGGCGCGCCGAGGGTGTTATTGCTCGGCGGTAAGCTTGCTGTCTCCTCGGGACAGGCACCGTGCGTGACGGACTGATTCTTCCCCGAGACCAACGCGTTGCCGCAATTGGGCCGGCATTGCGAGCTTCCCACTTGGGATAGGTTGGACGCCGGCACCCTCGTCCGGATGGCAAGGGGGTCCGGTTCCTGTTGCGACGGTGCCTCGATTCGTCGGACCATCCGCTGGGACGGAGATACTCTGGAGCGATGGCATGTGTCATGCATGTGAGCCTGTTCAATCTCCGAGATGGTTTGTGTATGTGTGTGTGTGTGTGCGCCCATTAATTGACATGCCGGGTGGAAGTCAATCGAGGCGTCGGTTGGGTGTCATTCGCGGCGGGGCTCTGGAAGAACTCATCGGGAAAAAGGGGATGGTTTCGTGAAAACAAGTTTGACAGTTGTGCCAAGGGGGCGACTCGACAACGGCATCGTCGTGCTGTGGGATACCGAGTAAGAGTTTGAGGACGGGCAACTAGTCGTGTCTACGCTACCTCTCGAGAAGGTTGTGAGCAGACGATATCACTTTCGAGGTGGCCCTTGAAACTTCTGCCAGAGGTAGAGTACGGGCATCAAAGGGTGCCAGGGGAGCCTCTCCTGGCGCCCATCGTGTCTTCCGAGGTAGTTGGCGATGGGGATATGTCGGAGGGCTGGACGAACTGACGGGCTGTGACCACTGTGGTGAGTTTCGTCTCGTGTGGGGCTGCGACTTGTTCGTCAAGGTTTGCAAGCTTGATGGTGGGCGGGTTTCGTCTGAAGAGGTGTGATGGTTTTTATCGCGGCGGGACAGCGAGGAGGTGACGGAGAGGTCTCGGCATGTTGCGAGACTCCTCTGGGTTTTGGCGGCTCAAAGAAAATGGTAGAGCCTTGCGGCAGTACCTTCTAGACTGGGCCGAGTTGGGATGTTGGGGATTATCAGACGTAACTCGCTGCAGCCAGCTTGGTCGTCACGATACACAAATCTAAGGCGCTGACAATTGGGACAGATAGCTGGAACAAAGGTGTGATATCGCGCAGTAAGTTAAGGTGTATGCGCTGCTTAATAATGGTCTACAGCAGTAGGAGTCATTCTGACGACTTTTCAAATGCTGTTGTTGGTGCCTGGTTCTTCTTTTCGAGTCGCCGCGTAGTCTCACGACGATGTTCTGCCCGGAGTAGACGCCGAGATCTCGGCTTGAACAGAAGTCCCTCTACCAGGGCGCTACCGGAAGAGACTCTTAGACGGTGCGAATGGGCGGGTCACGACCGAAAAATGTTCATGAGCCCTACATCGAACGTGCTGGTTATTGGGTGCCTGCCGCTCTCGGTCATCGACCAAGAACACGATAGGGATTTGCTTCATTCCACCACCAACAAGCATGAATCCCCATGAACTCTGACGTTGGGTTTGAACGTGTTCCATTTCGTCTACTGAAAGCTCACAATTCGATACTCCCAGGCTAGAATCACGTAACTATGCAGTTCTTACACATGTTGTATTGGGTCCAAGGAAGACCAGCAGTAGATATCCTTACGTAAGATGATGCTGGAAAAAGGTTGGTCTTATGCTATTGATCTTCCACCTTGAACTGATGCCATCCAAGCCTCTACACTGTGATGCATGCTCATGTCAGCAAGCGTACAAGATGTGTCCGCATTCATATTTCAAAGAAATCACCTGCCTCCAAAAACTGTTCACGGGTGTCAAAGGTTTGAATTGCACAAGCTTTCTCTAAGTCTGTTGACGGCAAGGTGCAGCCACTTCTTTCAGTAGTGAATTTGAGCGACATTTCAAACTCATTTTGTAGTTGTGTATTGTATGTAATTTCATTTATAGAGTGTAAGTCTCACGTTTTTGTTTTGTAATTGGCATATAATAATCTGCCAACCCTTCAAGACTCGCTTTAGCCCAGTGGGATATAATCGATGAGTCAATGTGATTACATCTGCATCCACAAAGGTCTGGAATGAGCAATGATTACCAACCTCCGATTGTATGCTCTCACCTATGCAAACCATCGCCACACATAACGAGTTATCAAGCGGCAGAATCACGAGGCGGGTGCCACCCAAGAAGATGATAGCACCCGCCTAAAGTAATGCTGCGATCACATCCAGTAAACAAAAATTATCGTCCGAATAAGACGGGCAATACCCCAACACAGCTAGAGCTCTCACCAGAAGTGATAATGATGCGGTAGGGTTGGCTGGCACTCGCCTTGAGAATGCTTGGGGCTATTCCCCTCCGATAACGTCTCAGCCGTTTTCTCTTTCTTATTTCTCTATCTACTCATCTCCCTTCCCCTACCAAACTTTGCATCACAATGGTCGAATATTTCGGGGGAAAAAAAACAATCAGAAACACCAATATTAGAGCCAACCTTTATCGACACGTCTCTCAGCGGAGGTCTTCCCGTCTCGACGAGGCGAGGTTGTTTCGGAGAAACGCAAACGATATCCGACGCCTGTCGCTAAACCGGTTTCGGAGCTTGGCCACACTGTGGCGGGTGAGTGTGACACACGACAGCGAGTGTGACCGACCCATGCTTTTTCTGTGGGCATTTTCTGGAACCTCTCGGACACGCAGCTTAATCAGCTCAGGCAGCCGGGAGCAACGTCGACTTTCGTGCGGATACAACACGTCAGGTACATTTACATGTACCTCCGCATCTCCCTCTCCGACATCACAACCATCTATCAACACACATTCGAAGTCGCGATAGCTTGTTCAAGATGTCGGGCGAATCCCCCGAGGCGAAGGAGAAGCGGCTCGTAGGGAACGTCCAGATTCGCATCCTCCAAGCCGCGAACAAGGAGGACAAGCTGAACGAGCTGCTCACAAAGTACCTCTGTGCCCTATTGCTGAAGGCGACGAGTGACTATGCATCGGTCCGCAACGAGGTGAGAGGCCCCCTGTCTTTTGATTTTCCCGACTTTCATGAGGCTAACATCATTCCAGGTCATTCAATTTGCCGGAAAATTAAAGGGCTTGATTGTCCACCCGAGGTATGGCGGTCCCTGTGTCCCGCAGGTCTCTTTCCGGGTGTACTGACAGTGGCGATAGCATCATTCTCCCCGTTGAGAAGCTCATTGACCAGTACCGGGAGGCCGACTCATCAATCCTTCGGGTGCTGGACATTTCATTCATCCAACACAGCATTCTACGACTGGAAGACTATGACAGACGCCTTCTTTTCCCCAAAGTGGCCAAGGGCATCTCTTCGCAGAAGCAGGGTCCCACGCAAGCATCCATGTTCAATGTCCTCTTGAAGATCATCCCGGACATACAGATTCCCTCCCGCGGCAGTGAAGAAGACGTTGCTTTTAGAGAAACAAGCGGTCTTTCTGATGACGCTGACGCACTCTTCGTCGCCAAGTGGCTTGGCAAGGTGCTTCTCCTGCGAATCCCCGGCGGCGCGGAGCCCACCCGTCAAGATTTTGAGAGGTTGAACCCAGCCCTCCTGTCCGCGGACTTGGACTTTCTGAAGCCCGAGCAGCGCGACACCGCGCCAGCGTTCCAAAAAATGCAGGATTTACGACGGAAGATTGCGCAGTTGTTGGCCAGCGGCGCGTTCAAGGACGAAGAGAGGCTGCTGCCCGCTCTGTCTGCAGCGGCCAACCCCGACTATCAAGTTTCACAAGCCGGAGAGGATATTCTCAAGAGAATGACCATCGACTTTGAGAAGGCGTCAATCATCGAGGAGTTGTATAATGCACACGCCCGACTTCCTGCGCCTCACCGCATCAGAATCCTGCCTCTCCTGTCAAAGTCAAAGCTGGCCACCACCATGCAAGATAACATCATGTCTGTGGTCACTCTCGACTTTGGCACAGAGACGACATCCATCGCCCCGGCTCATCTTCAAGCAGCTAGCGGTCTCGAGCGCACAAGACTCCACAAGGCACTATTCTACTTCCTTAACTGGACGGCGACGATCGGGCCATCTCAAGCCCCTTTTACTATTGGACCCAAACTCATCGACAAGATGCGCACTTACGTTGAAGAGCAAGGCTGGCCCATTTCACGCACATTGTCAGCAGACGAGGAGAAGCTTCGTGCGATGGCATACGACCTTCTCGGTGTCCTTGGCGCAGGCAGTCCTTCTAGCGTACAAGATAAGCTTCATCTTGTCGGCTGGCTTTTCAGGTCTCTATCCGAGGATCCCAGCGCAGAAGCGGTGTCTGCCATTGAGGGTTCGCTGTCAGGACTGACTAGGAGCTTCGATCCCAAGACGGTCAGCGGCGATGGGCGTGGCAGCGGGATGATTAGTCTGATCTCTCTTCTCCTGCACTACATGAACCTGCCCGAGGATAACCCTGCCGTGCGGAGCGCGAGATTCTCGGCCGTCAAGTGGGCAAACCAGACTGTCGCATCCTGGGATGAGAGGGGTAGATGGATCGACATCCTGGCGATTGCTGGTCGTCAGGGTGAGCGCACGGAGGTCATTGAGGAGGGCCGCAAGGGATTGGACCCGTGGACGTACCGTGACAGCGAGGCGCACACGATGCCGAACTGGATCTCGCTGATGACCTATTTTTTCTGCGACAAGATCACCGACGACGTTACCAGTACCGAGTGGAGCAACTCGACGCCGCCGAAGCTCGAGTTCGACGACAGAAGAACGATGCAGAACTTCGAGGGCGACAAGGTGTTTGCATACCCCGTCGCAGCACAGTATGTTAAGAGAGCGTTGTTCATCGCGGCACTGCCCGACTTTCCCCTCGCACCCGGTTGGGCCGAGCAGCTTGATACTCGGGTGCGCAATGATATCAAGACGCGGGACCAGATAAGAGCCTACCTCCGCTCTGTTGACCAAGAGCATATCGGCCTCTTCATCAAGATCTGTTTCGACGGAGTCCGCCTGAAAGGCATGGACGGCACTGACCGCATCGTCGAGAACTGTCTCAAGCACATGGTCGACGTTGCCTCGCTTGCGCCCGCCAGTACCATTAACTACGTTGCCGGTTCCGCCTATCTCTTGCAGAAATGCACGACCGCCAATAACAGACACATCCGTGCCGCTGCCGCTCAGGCGGTTGGAATTCTGCTTCCTCACCCCCTTAACAAGGCGGACTTGGCGATTCCGGAGGCAGTCCCACATCAGACGAGGAACGAAAACATTCAAAAGTTCTTGCGAGATCTGAAGGTCATGATTTACGGATGGGAGAACTCTTATGGTGCTGCTGCCAACGCCGTTGAAGGATCGCTGCAGGCATTCGGCCACATCTTCTCTAGGGCTGTGTATTACGGTCTACCCATCCCGAGCGATGTTCACTTGCCTCCTAAGCTGCTCATGGACAAGTCCCACCAGCGCCCGGCGTTGGAAGATGCGATTCTCGACTGCTATGCAGAGCTTTGGACCGCCGGTCTTTCGCAGTACATCCCGGATAACGTTAATAACTTGACGGCGGATTACGTGATCGAGAGACTCACCGAGAAGGCAGCCGCCGGAAGCGACAAAGCCATCTTCGCGCTTGGTCGTCTGGCACTTGCGTTCAACGAGCCCAACGAGGAGCCAACCCCCGAAGACGGCCTGTTATACCCCTCGAGCAAGACATCAGGCATCGACAACGTTTTGCGCGGTCTCTTCGCTGTTCATACCAGGAAGGAGACCGAGATCCAGTTCACCGTTGGCGAGGCCATCACTGCAGCGATTGCTTGCTGGGAATCTGACTTTGTCAAGTTGTCCATGAACATCGATAGCACCGATGGCCCTTGGAAGAAGACCAAGCGAAGCAAGAGAATCACCGCTGTTCTCGACAAAATCTTCAGGGACTGCAAGACCACCAAGCCTTCACTACTCAAAGCTTCCGGTATCTGGCTCTTCTGCGTCGTCCAGTACTGCGGCCATCTTGAGGAGGTCCAGTCTCGACTTCGTGAGGCTCAGGCTGCTTTTATGAGGCTTCTGAGTGCGAGAGACGAATTGGTTCAGGAGACTGCTTCCCGCGGTCTGTCTTTGGTATATGAGAAGGGAGATGAAGAGCTGAAGCAGGACCTCGTCAAGGATCTCGTCTCCGCATTCACTGGCAACAGTACGCAGATCAAGGTCGAGGAGGAGACTGAGCTATTTGAGCCCGGTGCTCTGCCCACAGGCGAGGGCAAGTCTGTTACCTCATACAAGGACATTGTTAGCCTGGCGAACGAGGTTGGTGATCAGAGCCTGGTTTACAAGTTCATGTCTCTAGCAACAAACGCTGCCACTTGGTCGACTCGATCCGCATTTGGTCGTTTCGGCCTCAGCAACATCCTCTCCGAGTCAGAGGTCGACCCCAAGCTGTACCCGAAGCTATTCCGTTACCGCTTCGACCCGAACAGCAACGTGCAGCGCTCCATGGACGACATCTGGAAGGCTTTGGTCAAGAACCCGAACGAGACCATCAGTGAGCACTTTGACGCCATCATGCAGGATCTGCTCAAGAACATCCTTGGCAAGGAATGGCGCGTGCGCCAGGCCAGCTGTGGCGCTATCTCCGACCTCATCTCAGGCCAGCCGTTCAACAAGTATGAGAAGTACTATGCCGAGATCTGGACCGCCGCGCTCAAGGTTCTGGATGACGTCAAGGGATCCGTCAGAGAGGCTGCGCTGAAGCTATGCATGGGCCTGACCAATACCATTGTCCGCCAACTCGAGGAGGGCGGCGCCTCGTCGTCGGCTCAGGCTATGCTGAAGCAGGCCCTTCGGTTCCTTCTCTCCCCCAGCGGCCTCGAGAGCGGCGTCGAAGACGTCAAGATGTTTTCTCTCAAGACCATCATCGACATCACCAAGAAGGGCGGACCTAACCTGAAGCCCTTCATTGTAGACTTTATCCCTCCGCTGCTGGGCCTACACAGCACCATCGAGCCGGAACAGATCAACTACGCTTACCAGAAGGTCAGCGAAGACTCGCGTGACCAGATTGACAAGATCAGGGCTCAATGGGTCAACCAGTCGCCAATCTCAGAGGCTATCGACAACTGTCTTAGACAACTAGACGCCGATGGTATGAAACAGCTTGCACCCAAACTCGAGGAGATCATTAAGACGGCCATCGGCATGCCGACCAAGATTGCCTGCGCCAGACTCATTGGTGATCTTGTTATGCGCCACGCTGTCGACTTCAAGCCCGTGTCGTCCCGATTCATGCAGTTGATGGAGAAGCAGTCTCTCGACCGCAACGACGAGGTCAGCAAGGGCTACGCCAAGGCCGTAGGTTATCTCATGCGCATCGTTCCCGATGCGGCCAAGGAGAGGCTGGTCGACAAGTTCACGGAGTTTTATTTTAACAGCGAAGACGAGGCCCGCCGCGCAAAGGTGTCCGACGTCGTCCTTAGTGTTTCAAAGCTCGCTCCTGATCACTTCAATGCGCTGGCTACCAAGTTCGTCCCATTCACGTACATGGGCATGCATGATACCGACGAGTATACCCGCAAGTGTTTCGATGAAGTGTGGAACCAGCACGGTGGCAGCTCCCGCACTGTCGCACGCTACGTCCCCGAGATCGTGGGCTTCATCAAGAAGGGCCTCGAGGCGCCGAGATGGAACCTACAGCACACCGCCTGCTTCACTATCGCCAGCATGGTCAAGGCCGTAGTCGCCTCCAGTGATGCCACTGGCGGTCAGATGTCCGAGACGAATCTGAAGCAGATCTGGCCCGTCATGGATAAAGGACTCGCATTAAAAACCTTCCCTGGCAAGGAGAGGCTCCTAGAGTCTTTCCCGCAGTTCGTCGGCAAGGGCCAGGCTCTCTGGGAAAACGACTCGGCCATTGGTGCGCAACAGCAGAAGATAGCCATTCGCGAGGCGAAGCGCAACAACGAGGACTACCGTCCCCACGCCTTCAAGGCCTTCTGGCAGTTTGCCGAGCAGCGCGAGGACGTAGACTTGCTTGACACCATCGCCACCGTCGTCAGCGGTCCGCTCGACGACTTTGTTGACGAGGATAGGATGGATGTCGATAGCTCAGGGGATGCGACTCGCAAAGCGGCTGTCAACAGTATCGAGGCCATCGCGAGGGGCTACAATCGTGCTCAGATGAGGGAGAACCCCAGCGCTGTCCTGAAGAAGGTTTTTGAGCTGCTGAAAACGTATCTTGCCCACCAGAAGTTCGAGGGCATCAAGCGTGAGGTCTGGTACGAGTGCGTCAAAGATCTGATGGAGGCTGCTGAGAATCCCTCCACGACCGAGACCAAGGAGGTTGCCCTGGCGTACCTTCAGAGCCTGGACCCCGAGTCCATCGACAACGGAACTGAGGCCCAGCGCAACATGCGGGCCCTTGCTATTGGCGGTGTTTTTAAGGCGTTGAACCGTGGCGTATTTGGTTCAGCGCCGACAACGGACGAGAAGAAGGGGTTCGTCAACATGGTGAAGACGGCCCTCGCAGCGGAGAGGTCTTTGGAGGTGCAGAAGCACCTCAAGGATGTACTTGGGGAGCTGGAGAAGTAGGGAGTGGATGAAGGGGAAACTGGGGGGTTGTTGGCTCGGAGGATATTGGTATAGGCGACGGCGACGATATCGACGAATCGGCTCATGGGGTTGTGATACCCCCTTAGAATTTTGCTCTTTACAAATTTCATTGCTTGAAGGTACCTTGCAGTTGTGTGGGTTGCTCATATATCTGTTACTCATATCTTGATTGTGATTCCATGTTCCGGGCCTACATTGCCACCAAATTCCTCGTCGAAGCCCAGCAACTTTCATATCGTTGCGCCGGTGTCTTTTCAAATTCTCCTCGAGTTTAGAGTCTTTACCAGATCTTCACTAAAGACACGGCAGAAAATGAATGTCCCCGATGATGTTGCTGTCAGGGGTTGGTGTCACCATTCTCATTGGGGCAGATCTTTAGTAGCCTCTAGGAATGATTTCGGGTAAGAAACGGGGGATGATTTCCGTTCACTATGTTGACACTCTTCGATAGTAAAGATAGAAATAACGGCAATGAGACCATTATGATGTTCTGTAATACACAAGTTTAGTGAATGGGAGGAAAGGCTCTCATGACGTGATGTTAAGGAGAGCCGCAGTAAACTGTAGCGGGCATATCGATCTCTGTATGCGGGAAGATTGTGTAATATATGCAATTTGAACGGTGGCTGAGAGCTTCTCTTTATATAGAACTTATTCATTTAATGACTGAACCTTTCTCCACGCGTTGCCTCTTAGTTACGGATTCGCATCTTTCAGTCGACGAGCTTCCCATTTAGACACCTTGCGGGTTGATTGAAGAAGAGTTAATATTTGGACAGATGTGGGATGCGGAAAGGCGAAGAGAATAGTGTTTTGTCTCCTACAGAAAAAAAGAAAGAAGGGTCTGAAACATGGACTAAACGTTATTACCCAGATCATCAGTAAATCAAGAATCCGTCGACAAGATCATCTCTTGCCAAAGCCGGTGTACAAGTGAATATTGAGTTTGCAGAGCATTCTTGGTCACCCGAAACAGGACCACAACCTAGTCTCTTGCTGTTAGCCCACACCCAATACTTGTATTCTGATCTCTATTTTCTCCCTTGCAAGTGCTTAATCCATAATAGGCAAGAACAGCCATATTTGTCGTTTAATCAATGCTCCCACACTGCAGTATCTGTGCGCGATGGACCGTGAGCTCTTGTATAGTTCACTGCGTTAAACAGTGAAAGGTACCTTTCCCTGCGCTGGTCGCGGGACGTTAACAATGTGTCTTCCTCCAAACGGAGGAGAGCGATGGTCTGGCGCCCGGTGGAAGATTCGTTCTGGTTCTTGTCTGCATTGAGTAGAGCTAAGGCATGGCTGGTAGCCTAAGGAATCTGTGGGATAGCGATGACATAGACAAGGCTTCCATAAGTGGAATACGGAGACGTAATTTTCATTTTCTTCTAAAATTACTTTCACCGTATATGAGTTGTATAGTTTGCGGTTCAAGCACCTAGATACGGCGGAACTTGGATGAAGATTCCCTAACTGGCTGAGTGGGCTCCGGCAGAACACCAGCCACGGCTTGGATCGAGAACCTCTGTGGCCGTGGCGCAGCAAATGACCTTATCGCATCAACATTCCGCCATCTTCCCGAGACAAGCTGGAGGTCCGAGGCCCGACGGGCGGTTGCGTCACACAACTGGCGCCTTCATTATGGCACAAGGTCGATAGCAGCCCTGCACCTGCACCTGTTTCGCGCCGGGACAAGCCCGCAAACACCACCCCGTCCCTCTCAGATCAGTGGCGGCGCAAACCAACCAAGCTTATTCTTTCCCAACGACAGGCCGCGACTGAAGCTATTGAATTCCTTCTGGATTTGGATTTTACCCTTTGTTGCTTTTCTGTCGACGGGACGCTTAGACTCAGACCACCACACAAACCACAAACACGCTTGCAACTACCCCTCGCCCTGCATCCCGCACCAGACTTCAGCACTTTCGGTCCAAGGTGGGGCAGAGGAGAGAGAGGTGCCATCGACTTCCAGAGCCCTTTCTGCATTCACGGATCTTTCTGACCGCCACCCGGGAAATTAGCCTCAACCATCCTCTCCCAAGCTTCATTCTCCCACCTACTGCGACGGAACATTCTACGACCCCACGCATACTTCACCCGAGAAATCTCCCAGCTTTCGGCAAGCGCGAACTCTCATCATGGACGAGGATATCTCCAACTTCGTCGCCATCACGGCTGCCAGCCCAGAGGCCGCACGTGGCTTCCTGGAGATGGCCAACAACAACCTTGAACAGGCCATTCAGCTTTTCTTCGAGAGCCCCGACATCCAGAACAGCTTTAACTCGGTACCCGCCGCCACCTCATCGACAGCGCCCCCGGTGCCCGCGAGCACTCGACCCAACGTCGGACGGCAAGACGACCGCGGGGTCATCCACATTGACAGCGATGATGATGGCGATACCGCAATGACGGTGGACGACATGGACGATAACTTCGGACAAGACGACTCTGACGTCGCGGCTAATGCTCAGGTGGCGGCTATCGCCCGAAGTGCGCAGGAGGAAGAAGACGCCGCCATGGCCAAGAGACTACAGGAGGAGCTGTATGGAGGTGGCCCTGCAGGTGGCGGCGGTGGTAGTGGTGGCGGTTTCGGTGGTGGCCAGGACGACGTCAGGTCGCCCATCGCAAGAACTACGGAAACGCTGGTTGGAGGCTACGAAGGTGATGATGGTATGGACATGGATACTATTATCCGGGCGCAGATGAGGCAGAGAGAAGCGGCCAGAGCTGCTCGAGGTATGTGCCAGGTCCGGTCGTGAAGCGGCTCCCAGTGCTGATATGAAACGTATCCAGGTGGCTCTAGGAATCCCTTCAACCACAACTTGTCGATTTGGGACGATGACAGCCCGACTCCCGCGCAACCGGCTCAGCCAGCCTCGAACGAGGGCGGCACCCGCGCCCAGCGACTCGCAGAACTGTTCCGACCTCCCTACGACATCATGTCTAGACTGGACTGGGACGAGGCGAGGCAGGAGGGCAAGGACGAGAAGAAGTGGATCCTGGTCAACCTCCAGGACATGAGCGACTTCAACTGCCAGGCTCTGAACCGGGACATCTGGAAGGATGCGGCGATTCGCCAGCTGCTGGAGGAGAGCTTCATCTTCCTCCAGTACGACAGGAGCGCCATGTCGGCGCAGCAGTACATCAACTTCTACTTCCATGGCAGCGGACACGAGAACCCCGACAACTACCCTCATGTTGCCATCATCGACCCGAGGACAGGAGAGCAGGTCAAGGTGTGGAGCGGACGGCCGTTCCCCAGCGCCTCCGATTTCCACGCCCAGCTGGCCGAGTTTCTGGACCGCTACAGCTTGGCGGCCAACAGCAAGAACCCCGTGGTGGACCAGGCAGCACCACGCCCCAAGACGGTCGACGTTGACCGGATGACTGAGGAGGAGATGCTGGAGATGGCGTTGCAGAACAGTCTTGCGGCGTCCAACGGCGGCAGCAGCTCCAAGCCCACGTCGAGCGTGGTCGACCCTGATGCGCTCACCAAGTCGGAGTCTCCCAAGGGCGAGGCGGCAGGCGGCGTCACCCCTACAGCAGAGCCAGCTGCGTCGCAGAGCATCTGGGCCAAGATTGCCGGCGACAAGCCGCACACGGAGCCCGAGAACAATCCGGCGACGACGACGCGGATACAGTTCCGTCACCCTACGGGACGTGTCATCCGGCGGTTCAACTTGGACGACTCGGTCAGGCGCATCTACGAGTGGCTCAAGGCCGAGCCGCTGGAGGGCAAGGACGGCATCGAGTTTGAGCTGAAGCGCATGCCGCAGGGTCAAGACTTGACGGAAGAGCTGGAAAAGACCATCTTGGAGGCCGGGCTCAAACAGGGAACGGTTATGATTGAGTTCATCGAGGATTAGACTCGATGAGTACAGTTGGGATTCGGCCTGCCTGCGGCGACAGCGAGTGGAGGCTGAGAAGACACCTCATTTGGGGACAAGATGCATTTCAACAAGGCCAGGGGGCATGGCCAATAGATTCGGGACAGGACAGGCGGGAGGACGCTTTTCCCATTGGTTTTCAGTTTTCCTTCGTTTGGGCTTCTCTCTCACGCATACCATGACCATGACAGGGTGACGGCATCGGCTTGACGATGGCAAGGGCAGGCAAGGATGCAGTTTGCCGAAGACAGGGCAGAAAGGGCCGATGAGCGGGCATGGTGCCTCAGACGGCCAGCTAGGGTAGATGATTACTGCATCAATAGACGTGGCAGACTGAGACAGTTCGACACGGGAAGGCGGTGGTTGTTTCGTGAGACGTGAATAACAGCGGTGCCGGCTGAGGCAGTCGTCCATGTTGCCTTGGCCCCGACTCTTCTTACTTCCCAGGGGTCTGAAGCCCATGTCCGGAAATTCCGTTGACCACGGACCACAGACGCAAAAGACGATGACTTTAGCTGAGAGATATGGGCGTTTCACGGCAGGCAGGCTAGCTTCCTTTTGGTTGGTGGCGCGTCGCGGGACCAATCAGTTGGGCATTGCAGACGGGTTCCTGGACGGGGACGTGTCACTGCCGATGAGATTGCGCATGAGTGATTGGATGGGAGATGTTTGGCGAATAAGGACTAAGAGAAAGTTCTTGGTCAATCAATTCTGCCTGGCACGAGGTGAGTGAGAATGCCCGATCCTGACGTAAGAGAACGAGCGAACACTTTTGGGAGGTGCAAAGCATTTGATAAGCGCAGAGTGGTCTGTGCGCGTTCGCTTATGATATCGATTGTTTTGACTGCTGGGGGTCGTCGGCATGTTACTGGACAAGGACCCCAAATACACGAGGCCCCGACAGCGACAGAGGGGAAGAACCTGTGAAGGGGGGCAGGTTTCGATGAGGGGGAGAGCCGACATCAACAGGAGTGGTTGCTGGTGAACCGACCCCTCGGCTACCGATTCAAGGTTAATATGGCATAAACAATGGGTGGGAAGGTCCAATGGAGTCGCATATCACACCCGGTTCTCCCTTCCTCTCTCCCATTCATGGTTTGGAGCTAGGACTCACGAGGGAAAGTCGCAACACCGAATTTGCTTTCAATCGGGCGTTGGACCAGGCACAAAGTCGACTCCCGAAACAACTCGGGCAGACACGAGGACGACAACACCCGCCACGCCGCCGCCCCCTTCTTTGTGCCATCTCGTCCGGACTGGTCTGGTCTATCTTTACCCCACACTCTGCCTCGTGTACTCAGTCCATCGCCCTTCTTCCCAAGTCCCTCTAGTCTGCGTTACCTTCCCCAGATCTTCAGGCCAAGGCGCAGCAGCAGCTCATCTCAAATCGCAACGTGCAACCCGAACTCGCGCAAAGCAAACCGACACAGACGGCCCTCGTGCCATTTTGCCAACAGACGAGCCAATTGCACCCCGCGACGCTTTCTTTTTTTTTCTTTTTCTTTTCGCTCCCCGTCCTTGGGCCTTGGAACCTCATCTTACCCAGGAGCTCCGTTGCGCTCCGTCTGTTTTTGTTGTTTTGCTAACGGGCATTCCTCTAATTGGGCATTGACGTCTAAGCATCCACGCGCACCCGACTCGTAAGGAACGCGAATCACAGCGGCCCGCTTACAGTGTCTCACCGGCACTGCAATCCGGAATTCGGTTTTGAATATTTCATTCCTCCGCCGCCTTGAAGAAAAGGAGAGACAAGAGTCAGAGACAAGAGGCAAGCAACGACACGCACGACGTACGACCGCCGCCGCCCCCTTGGGAGCTAATCACCGTTAGGCCCAGCCAACACACGTTAGCACCCGGCTAACTTTTGTCTTCCAGGTCGCTTCTTTCTTCTGGTGTCCCCGACATCGTGACGGACCCTGTGACCCTCTGTCGGCATACTCTTTCCAGCTCGACGATAGCCGCATCCGTCCGTCGTCCCCCACCGCCTCTTCCCGCTTCGCTCGACCGCAAGTCCGGGATCCCCTCTTCAGCGTCGTCCTTGATCACACTCTCTCGTCCAAAGTCCAAACCCCGACGAAAGAGAGTTTCTCGCCCTGCATTCGACCTCCCAAGCGACCCCTCCCTGGCGACACGAGGGACGAACCGCCGCAGCGGCACCCACGAACCACCACAGCGATCGTACGTGGCCGACGAGTCTCTCTCCATTGCCTTGCAACCCCGCGATACTGCCACTGCACCCGTATCGCTTTCTCAACGACACATCCCCCCTCTCTTCAGTCGCGCAACCTACGGGACTGCGTCTAGCCCGGCTCAGCGCCTTGTGTAGACCGCAAACATGGGGGACCGCGATAGGGGTATCGAGGAGGGCAATGAGGCGCTTGACCCTGAGCTGCTCTACACGAAGGAGTACTGCATCGGTATGCGCCGCCCCCCTACACCCCTGATGACTTTCACTAACACGCAGATTTCCTAGGCGGAGGAAGCTTTGGCAAGGTTTACAAGGGGTAAGCGACAGTTCCACGCGGCAGAGGAGCCCGCACATTGGCCTGATTGCAGTAACTGACCGCTCTTCGTGTAGAGTCGACAAGCGCACCGGCCATGCCGTCGCTATCAAGATCATCGACATCGAAAGCGCCGAAGACGAGGTCGAAGACATCATCCAGGAGATAGCCATCCTGTCCGAGCTGCAGTCGCCTTACGTCACGAAATACTACGGCTCCTACGCCAAGGGGGCCGAGCTATGGATTGTCATGGAGTTCTGCTCTGGAGGGAGCTGCGCAGACCTGATGAAGCCGGGCTTGATAGGAGAGGACTACATTGCCATTATTATTCGCGAACTACTGCTCGGCCTCGACTATCTGCACTCGGACAAGAAGCTGCATCGTGACGTCAAAGGTGAGTCTAGAACGCGCTGCAAAGGATGCTTCTTCTCCATTACAGAAAGCTAACACCGCCAGCTGCGAACGTTCTCCTGAGCTCCAATGGTCAGGTCAAGCTTGCCGATTTTGGCGTCTCCGGACAGCTCTCTGCTACCATGACCAAAAAGAACACCTTTGTCGGCACCCCTTTCTGGATGGCGCCCGAGGTTATTAAACAGTCGGGCTACGACCACAAGGCAGATGTCTGGTCGCTCGGCATTACTGCGCTGGAGCTTGCCAATGGCGAACCACCCTATGCCGACATCCACCCCATGAAGGTGCTGTTTCTGATTCCCAAGAACCCGCCACCGCGCCTCGAGGGAAACTTTACAAAGGCGTTCAAGGACTTCATCGAGGCGTGTCTGCAACGCGACCCGAAGGACCGGCCTACGGCGAAAGACTTACTGAAGCATCCCTTTATACGCCGCGCGAAGAAGACGAGCTACCTTACCGAGTTGATCGAACGACACTCCCGGTGGGCCGCGACGCACAAGGGAGACGATGAGGAGAGCGACCAAGGCGGTGAAGAGTATTACGAACGTCAGCAGGTTGACGAGGACATGTGGGACTTTGGTACCGTAAGGCTTGTGGGAGACCGTGGAGGTGTTGTTCCTCGCCCTGGGCTCGGCGCCCTGGACGAATCAGCCACCAACGCTAGAGCCGCCAGGTCTATGGAGAACACGGATGACTACGGCGAGCGGTCAAGAGACAACAGCCCTACCAAGGTTCGTGACTTCGGTCGTGATCTCGCCGTAGCCTCGGATACCCTCAAGGCGGCAAGCGCCAATACGGGGACGTCTCGCCAGGCATCGCCGCAACGGAAACCGGTGCCGGCAAACGCACCCCAGTCGCCGGTCAAAGTACCTCTTCCCGTATCGCCAGACAAAATGCAGAGAGGCCCAGAGACGCCGCGGCCCGTTTCCCGGCTCATTCCACCTGCCGTCCCAGTCAGTCAGTCTCCGGATTACGACCGTGAACTGCAGGCCCAGTTGCAGAGAGACATGGGCCTACTAAGTCTGGGCCCAGTAATCCAGCCGGCGGAATTACAGACCCAGGAGACGACGCCGCGACCCCCGCCTCACGGACCCCGACCTAACAACAAGATCACACCCATTACTCTCCCAGAGATCCCACCATACCGCGGAAGCCCGCAACCGCAGCAGGCACCGGTCAGGATACCGAGCCAACCGCCTAATGGGCAACAATATCGCCAGCCTTCTGGACAAGCGCCGGCTCCTCCACCCAAGGCGCATGCGCTGCCTTCCAAGACGCAAACTCCCACACCAGAACCGGCAGCTCCTTCTGCGTTCCCTCCGCCTGCGCCATCTAACCCGAATGGGGAGCTCGACGCCCTCAACGATGTCATCTTCCCTGCGCTCGAAGAGGCGCTAAAGAGGAGACAAATTAGATTGCAGCAGGCTTTCCGGCCTCAACATGGCTCGTCTAGCCCTGCCGCCATGAATCAGGTGACTCCCAAGCAACAGAGAGCGGAGGCGGCTCACGAGAAACTGCGGAAGCTCGTATATAAGCTCGCTCATGTATGCAAGGAGATTGACCACTATGATAAGGCGGAGCCTGTGGGTATGGGAAGGGATGTGGGCACATTTTTGGAGGGGCTTTTGGAGGAAATTCTCGTCAGGGTTGAACCCCTCGACGAGGAGGATGTTGCGGCGTGAACCGTCTGATGGTCCAGGCGAATGTGTGTGAGGCGGGATGGCAGACAGGAGAGATGCATGATGGGATAAACGAGCACACGCCTCGATGCTCGGAACCCGCCGCCGGCTACAAGTGAGCTGAGAGTTGGGATAAAAGATGGGAACAACAAACACTGCAAACCCCGTCGACGGCAGAGCACAACGACAAACGGCGTTCTGGAGGATATTATCGGTACATACCGAAGAAAGACTACAACATGAGAGCATTGAGGAGTGTTGGGATGACCAGACGACAGACGCGGCACGACACGGCGGCCACTTGCCCCGGCCTCCGTCCGTCTCTCAATTAAAAGAAACGAACGGGCGGCGAGTTCGGGGTTTGAGGGATGGAGGGGGAAGGATTCAAGACGCTACTTTTCTAATTCCCTTTGTATTATACCCGGCATCTACCAAGAATAGAGTACGTGCTCTTCCTCTGAGACCCGGGCGACCCTGGGCAAACTGATGCAGGGCTGAGGGGACTTCAATGTGCCAAGCAGCAGTGTTGATGCAGAAAGGCATCTGCTACGTACCTGTCGTCTGCCCAGGGCAGTTTGAGTTCCCATTCTAGCAGGAGAATTATCGAGCGCTGCCAATGTCCCCGCGGGACACTCGACGGCGACAAGAAAGTCTATTGTCCCCTTGCGCCTGCGAGAGAGCCAAGATGGTCTAGACACGGGCCTATAGAGCCAATACTATGCTGCAAGTGAAGCCTGGGCGGCCAAGTAGCCAGATCCAACGGATTGGCCTGAGTCCCTGGTGTTTGGTGGTAGTGGTGGTGGCATTGGAGGTGGGTTTGCCGAAGAGCTTCATCGTATGCGGCCATGAACTCTTCTGGAATCTGTGCTCGGTATCCTTTAACCGTGGTTCTATTTATGACAGACCCTTGCCTGCGGCTGAAGAGGGCAGGCTGGATCTAATGGAGATAAAACCGGGCGAGTTTGTGAACGAGGGCACGAAGCGAGCCCGCTGGCTTAAGGCATGGCGTGACAGGCAAGGCATGGGCAGGCTACACATTAAAGCCGGCCCCAAGAGTAGCAGGGTCACAACGGCCAGACCAACTTGAAACCAGACGGCGCGCGGGGGGGCAGAAGAATGTCGCTGGTTTGGCAGCTGCGGACGGGAGATGGCGAGTCATGGACCCCGAGGTTCCCACCACGAGAAGCGCATTGACGATGTACTGGCCTTGCTGGGCGATGTTGACAGGGGTGCTTGCTGCGCTTCCGAGTGCCGCCGCGGCGATAGACGCCGGTTGAACCATGATCCTGGGGACTTTACATACTGTGTAGGCGAGGTTCCGGATGTGTGCGCGCGCGTTTGTCTGGAGTCTTTTGGGACGAGTCAATCGTGCCTTGGGATGGGATGCTGGGCGCCGTAGGAGGAGTGGCATGGGAGCCTTGGCTTATTTGAGCATCCTCCTCTTTTGCCTATCTGGAGCTGCATCTTGGGATCATTTCGGGCTTGCAAACACCCGGGTCAGCGTACTGCCGGCTTGACTTGGTGCAGGAGAGTCTTGAGGATCCCCAGTCGAGGGGAACTCCCCGAGACATGGAGGATGCCAAGCGGCACACATTGGAGAGGACGAGACGAGCTATCAGAGCCAGTGGGCCCCGTAATGGGTAGCGTGGGAATCATGGATGTAAGGCTAGAGAAGCGAGGATGGGAGAAGGCGTGTGAGCGGGAGGGTTTGGGATATGCGACCTCTCTTAAGGCATGGCTGCGCCGCCGTTCCTCCTCACTCCGTTCGTCTTTTGGAAGGTTTTCGGACCTGCTTCGCACCTCTTCCCGCTCTTTTCTGTTCGCTTTCCTTTCCCCCCGCAACTCTCGGAGACGACAACGTGTTGACTGCGTTCATCACCGGAATCACAACCGACGACATTTCCCATCAGGAGAAGAAACATCTCCCGCCTTCCACTCTTTACTGGTTCTCATCCCATATACCTACTTGCCTTCCTCTTACTGCTTCTTTACGAGGTAATCTTAATCCCATGAGGGAGGATCGAGAGCCTCTTTCACTATTCTACTAGTCACTCTTGCCCTTACTTTACTCTGCCATTGGCTCCATCGTCTGTTCTTCTCTGCCAGATCGTTAACCAAGTTTCGAATTCCTTGGAAGAGACAGCGCGAGAGTATCGGATTGACCCCATCAGTAACGTCGCATACCCATCGCCTCAGCGTCCGCTATTACAAGGTCTCAGGTTGATATTGTTCCTTTGGCCTCACATCATCGTCTCATAATCAACTTTTATCACACTACCTGCCAAATACACTCTTCCCTCCCGTACCTTCCCTCTTCTCCCACCTTCCCGATAGACCAAGAGGCTTTCTTGGTTTGGGGGCCGAGCCTCGAATTTGTCTTTCGTCATCACCCATTCAAACAATCGACGTCTTTTCCGGATCTGACGATCGACCGTTGCTCAACCGACATCCCGAAAGAGGCTGGTTCTCGACTATACCCAAACAACCACCCAAGCCCTCTCACATCAGCGGGGCCAAGTGACTTGGACGACAGCATTGGCCTATTTACCTCCCTCATCTCACCTCCATCCCTCCGGATCACCACCCGACGACAGATCCACCACGATGAAGACAACGACAACGAGAGCGGTGATGCTCGCCCTCCTCAGCAGCAGCGGCTTCGCGGCCGGCGCCCGGGCCGCCGCGAACCTGTGTTTCTTCCCGGGGGGAATTCAGGCCAGAGATGTGCCGTGCGACCCCAAGGCCGAGGTCAGCATGTGCTGCGGCAGCGTCAATGCGTGCCTGAGTAACGGGCTGTGCAAGCTCGACGACACGTCGAACAACACAGGCATCGCGTACGCAAGAGGGACGTGTTCGGATCCGACGTGGCAGAGCCCCATTTGTCCACAGAACTGCGTGTTGAGTAAGTCTGTCCTAGTCATATCTTGGTTGAGGGTGGCATGAGTGAAAGAAGGTGGAGAGGGGCGAGCCCGGACGATGTAGACGGAGAGGGTCTTCCATGAAAGACGCTGTGACTGACAACCACCCAGACCCCGACACGCGAAAAAACAGCTCGGCCTTCGACTTTCGGTTCAACGGCGTACAGGTGTGGCAATGCGACAGTCAGGGCTTCGGCGTACCGGGCAAGTTCTGCTGTGAATCGGCCGCCGAGAAGACGCGGTGCTGCAGCACGCCAGCAGCCATCTTCGGCCCCTTGATCGCCGCGACGCCGGGCAACGCCGCCGCCGTGCAAACGCTCAACACCCACGCCCAGTCATCGCCGACGCCGTCCGGATCAGGTCAGAGCAGCGGCGTCACGGGCACGCCGTCGCAGCAGACCCCGGACATGACGGCCGCCCCGACGATGTCGAATCAGGTTACCGACACGTCGGGCGGGGCGGGTGCGAGCTCGCCCACAGGGTCGAGTGACAACGACAACAGCAACAACCAAGACGATGGACAAAAGGGGATAGGGAACGTGGCGATCGTGGGGATGGGCGTCGGCGCGAGCGTTGGCGGCGCGCTGCTGGTGGCCGCAGGCGTCATGTGGTGGTTGCGTAAAGAGAGGCAGAGGAGAGGACCCGTGGAATTGGACGGCTTGAGTAGCAACGGCGGCGGCGACTTGTCGCCGTCGGGTACGACACGGATCGCCTATGGGGGGATGAACATCAACAACGGAACAGCGACGGTTAGTTCGATGGGCACGGGTACGTATGGCATGGTGGGCAACCCCGTGGTCGTGAGAAGGGTGAGTAGCGACTGGGAAGGGAGCCCGGGTGGGATCGGCGGGAGTTACCAGATGGCTGAGATTGATGGAAAGGAGACGCTTGCCATGCCGGAGCCGCAAGGGAGGAAGAAGAGTATGTACGAGTTGCCATAGCGGCGGCGGTGTTTGGGGGGTTCATTGTTGACACAATGAGAGAGGCGGAATTGTACAAAAGGGACGGAATATTACTTGCGGCGGTGATACCTTCAAGCTTTGATACCGGGATATTCTTCTTCTTTCCCTTGCTTCATCCTTACTTTTACGGGTTATGAGAATCTACTTCTACAACTTTTTACGTACGTTCCCTCGCTGCCTGTGTGGACAGAACGAAAGGCGAGTAGCGTTACGAGGGTATAGAGTTACTAAGCTTACCACCCGTGATCTTCGTCTTCACCTTCCCGATGAAATGTGCTGGGCTTGGTCGAAAATGATCGATACTAGGGCTGGTATTGATGTGATTGACGCCGGGGCTATTGCTGTGAAAAACACCATCACCCGAATCACATCATTGAGCTCGCCTCTCAAACAGTCGAGGGGCCGACCATCACGACATCTGTCACGGATGGGCCAAGGGCGTGGACTTTACCAACCCCCTGGATCCGGCTGCCCATGGCGCCCGAGCGGACTGGTAACGACCTTCAAACCGGCTTTGAAGTCCGCGGATGGAGACGGCCTTGGTTGAGCACCCTTCTCGATCCGCCTACAAACACGTGCTGCGCCTTACGGATTGCTCCATGGTGGTATTTTGGGTGAGAGTTGAGGGTAATCAACTGGCAACCAGGCCGGGTCGTGGAAATGAGGCAGGGAACACCTGTGTCGTTGCTTCACGAGGGGTAATGATCAGCAGGGGCTCGGCGCCTTCGGTGTGACGCTACCGGTCTTAACGGATCTTCACACGTGGACAACGGTGCAGATGGCGGGCCTCAGTTATCCGATGGATCAGTGCATTTGATTGCACCGTCGATGCGGTCTTCTTAACTTTTCCAATATAGTTCCTCGCGGGCTGCTTTGGAGGAATAGTGGTAATTAGCCAAGTGGTACGCCTTCCCACATTGCCACAGTGGGAGCCGCAGCATCTTGCTGAGCATACCTGTGGGTGTGAGATCGTGATCTGGCAGGGGAGCATTGAAGGACTTATGTCATTCCAGTGGCGGCGCATTATAGATCGGAGGCCTCGTTGCGTAAACGGTATGTCAGGCCTCTCGAGGGGGTTGTCGTGTGTGAGTGGGCAAAGTCTTGAGTTGGGGATGTCTAAAAGAAGTGGGATGCCGCCGTTCACACTCGACTCTTGGGTGCATAGGGCGTGTGTGGGGGACGTCAAGGATGCGGGGGGTTTCGCGAACAACAAAGTTTGCCGCGACGTCTCATGAGGTATGATTGTCGAAGAAAAAGATCAATAGCGGACGTTGGAATATAGCGGCCATCCTGGCACCAGTACTACACTAGTTGTTGCGTTTCTGACAGATTGAATGTGGGCTCCTTGGCGTTTGTGCTTTTGGAATTCAAAGTCCTAGGAGATACGCGAAAACCGGTTCGCAACATGCCAGCGTCGCGCTTAATTGAATTTCCACATTTGTGCCGAGTTGACGAGGGACTTGATGACCCGGACGTTCAGTTCCTGGGTTGATGTGATGGGTAATTTCGACTCTGCAGCTAATTTTAACAGTTTTTGGGGCTCGGGCGGGCCCGGAACCGGTCCCGTGGGAGAGAAGAGATGGGACGAGGGATGAAGATGTCCTCTTCAGAAGGCTCCGCAACTATGACCTCGCGGACATCAAAGCAAGATACCACCGCTTTCTGTTTCGATTTCGAGGCAACAGGGTTGTGATGAGCACATTACGTTTTATGATCTCCACGGGACGCTCAATAACAAATACCTAATAACGAGGTATATGAAGAATGTTATGATATGAGGTTCGCAATCCATCGACCAAAAGGCCGCAACGAGAAAAGTCTGAGAAATGAAGATGTGGCGGGGGAACCGGTCAAGAAGCCGTAGCTGAAAGTTACGCCCCCTTCACAATATGGACCCCGGACCTAGGTGCACCGGGGACCTCGCCGAGTTGGGGCTGGGAACAGCGGGGATCGGTCTTGCGCCGCCTCGCTTAGCTAGCTGTGCCGGTCCATTGAGTGGCGGATTGCCGACTTCTGGGACGCAGATTACCGACGACGTATGTTGGTTCTTTGGCAGAGTCGATGTGAGACGATCTTATGTTGCTTGCTGCAGGTCTGTTTATTGGCGCCTGAAGTACGTACAAGGTGGCCGCGCATGAAGACATGCTGCATTGGCTGCGTCTGCAATTCGTACCGAGTCCACACAGAGACACACTGACATGGAACACTGTGCCTGATCCGTCGAGCTGAGTGCATGTCTGGTCGATCGGTCATTAGGGGGTGATCGTAGGCTTCATTGCCGATGCGGGTGCCCATACAGTTTCCACCTACTGGCTATGGGCTCAGGATGACTTCCGTCGTTATATTGATTCCAGTTGCTGCTAGCCGAGGCATCTAACTATAAAGAGGGCGAATGTTAGCTAAGGGTCTCAAACGGCCTTATTTCGTTAGTTCGACCGAAATGGGTTTTAGACTTCGTATGATTCATTTAGTTGGAGTATGGATGGTTGCAGTATGAACCAAATATAAATGTGCAGCCACAACAGACGAAATTGCACCTTTGCATGAGGCTAGTCGCAGCGTTTCCAATACGCGTACCGGATACCTCAAACTAGATTACGTATTCCTGCTGGAGATTCGTGAGGGGGTAAGTTCAATAACAAGAGTGTACCCTTATTACGGAGAGTATCTGTCCAGTAATTAAATCGGCGTTTGGAGTGAGAAGGGCGCAGAAATCGTGGATCTTGTAGTGAAAGTAAATTCCCAAAAGATGGTACGACGCCATCGTAAATACCGCCCCCAACAATATTCAGGATATTAATGTCAACTGTCAGCTGCTTTCTGGAGCTTAAATTTTCCTTGTAAGTCAAGAGTCCACAAACGCCTGCCCAGCCTTGATGGTTATTTCATGCGCAGGCTTGTGTTTAATGGTTGGCATTATAACAGGATATTATAACAACAACTGACGTTTTGCAGTAAAACTGGCTAGAGAAGGTTGACCCAAGGCTTTCTTAGCAATCTTTGATGGATTTTCATGCTGCAGATGGACTCTTGCTTGCTTGGCCTTGAAATCCACTGGGTGCATGGACATGTAGTTAGCCAAAAGGACCAGACGGTCCTACCTTTTAATCGAAGCAAGTCATGGTGCTCGATGAGCAGTCGATATAACATTGAGCTTTCGCCACCGAGAAGCTGGTCTACTTGAACTTACAAACACTCAAGCTCCTGTCTTTCTGTCAAGTTTGGTACTAATTCCAAGATCCTGATAAAAGAGGCATAGTGGGTATCCAAACAGTGTTGCTAGTGCTACACCTGCACCACCGATGCTCACTCTACTGTATGTACTCGGTCAACTGGACCCCCATATTAATGTTCTCTAACCTATTCTGTTCCTTTTTCTCACCTTATATCCAATGATAAGCCCGGGATCTGCCAGCAAGCTGTCCCGATTCGGTTACCTTGAACATATATGGGGGTCCAATTGACCGAGTAGATACGGTAGTTTTACTGATTGTGGATTGTGGATACTGATATTCGACTGTATGGGCTTCTTTATCGCATGATTTGCCAGAGATTCGATGGGCAGTCTTGCCAGATTACGAAGCTTTACAGATTCCACACATCGTTCATGGTCTTGGTAAGAAGTTGACGGTCAGACGAGTGAACACGATACCTTACACTGGTCTCCGGCCCCATGAATACTTCGAGACCGAACCAAACCGCCTCCTATACTGGTTGAAGACCCATCAACTTATGTTGATAGCCATTAACACAGCAGGTTGCGTCTCCAGCTTACTAGACTGTGCATCGATAATACGTGCGACCCAGTCCTGAGATGGATGGGCCGTGTGAATTAATTAGACATAAGCATCGCCAAGAGGTGGCGTACTTTGACTATTCTTTTGACGTCCACAGGAACAATTTTTCAGCATACTCCTGGAGCTGTTAGGGCTCTCTCTACAACATATCAAACCCACTAAACCTCCAGCTGTTGAATTACCTTGGACGCCTTGAGATCCTTGTCCGGTCAGCGACCGTCATCAAATGCATAAAAATGTGTTCCCTTGGCGCAGTATTGCGGTTCTGTCCACCATTGGTCAACATGCGATAATGATGTCCCACAGAAACCGCCCGGGAGAATAGGCAAAAGGAGCCTTAAAAACATATTTGGCAACACCGTAACAAAATAAGCAATGACGTAAGCGCGAGTGCGGTACTCATTCCGAGAAGAAGCTTAACAATCAACCAGACAGAACTACGTGCTGTATGCAGACATAGCCTATTCCTAAAAGAAATTTGCTCAGCTTCGCGATGCAAGGCTTGATTGCCACATGTGCGGCGCAGCATCGTCGGGCGGACACACACCATACGGTCATGCAGCCAGCCACCTGACGTCAGGAGCTTCCGCTTCAAGCTCGAGACATGACTATCGCAATACGCCAGCGAAGGAGGATCAGTCTCATTAATGGAGCAGTGGGTATATCAGTTTGACAGCACAAAAGCACTACCCACCTGACTTTTTCCAAAATCATTCTCTCTGTGGCACAACTTTACAATGTTCAGGAATGCAGAGGCTGTGAAGGCCAGAGAGAGAGAAGAAGAACAGAAGAGAAAAACAGAAGAAGGGGTACAACTTCGGAAAAAGCAGGGGAGGAAACAACAACCGGCGAGCAGGTTTGGTATTCGCGTCGTGTCGACGACGGATGTCAACTACACTGGGCCATCATCACGCACGGCAAGAAGTATGAACTTCGGTTACCTAAGGGCTTCCCAACGAAAGAGAAACTGCCGGACGGCCAGCAGACCAGCGTTTTTGAAACTCCGCGCGAGTATGAGGACAGAGTAGTGCCATGGTCACTGAAGGAAGAGACAAACAAGCTGCGGACGCTGAACCTCACCAAGCCAGGGAAGGGACACACACAAGACTACACCGTCTGCCAGATCGGCTGGACTACCCTTACCGGAGAAGAGGTCGACACCGAATGGAAAGCCTCACGCCAAGCACTCGCAGTGGACACACTCGGGTTCGACGACTGCCGGAACCTCCTTAAAAGCTTTGCGCGCATTATCAAGAAGCCTGAAGGATGCGCTTTGGACTACGATTGGTTCGCCGAAACCCTCGAAACACCGACACACAGGCTGAGCGAGATTACTCCCGAGAAGGCTGTCAAGTCCTTTCAATACATGCTGCAAGAGGGAAGGGGGGCGCTAATCGGCGCTGGCGCCGGAGCCGGAATCATGTACGGGGCTTATGAAGCCGGGGAGTACATGAACTCGGTCAATGGGAATGGCGCCAACACTGGTGTCCCGGCTGCCAGTGTAGATGGGACTTGCGCCGTTTGTTTGTGTTGGGACTGTAATTGCGGGGACTGCGGCTGCGGCTTGGAGTGGTGCATATGTTTACCATGCTCAGGGGGAGCGTGCTAGTTCGCACAGTATGTTGTTTGATTTTTGAATGCTTTTGTGTTTGCAAGATACCAACCCTTTTCCTTATCCCAGTCAGTGTGTTAGAACAAACATCTCATTCGCTACATAGATAATCAGAGGAAGATGTCAAGTGTTACTATTTCTCGACCGATGGTAGGGACCGAGCCAGGCAACCGGCGCTGGACTCTCCAGACACATATCTGAATACGCTGTTATTATATCCTAAATGGAGGGCGGAACTAATAGATGTTTCCGACTCCAAAACTCTTAAACCTGAAAGCATTTAGTAACATCCATTAGAACCCTCAAGAACTTATATCTGTAATCCTGCCCTCTTGCATAGTCACCACCTTTTCAATGCCGCGGAGGAACTGCGGGCGATGAACCACAGAGATAACTGTATGAGTGGCGAATTCAGACTCGATGATTTTGATCATCACCTCCTCAGTCTCTTGATCGACAGCGCTGGTAGCTTCATCTAGGACCAGTATCCTACTAGAATTCTTCCTGACAATAGCCCGTGCAAGACACAGAAGTTGCATTTGTCCTTTTGACAATGGCAAGTTCGAGATATCAGTGCTAAGGCCCCCATGCAAAGAGATGGTTGACCAAAGGGACACTTTGTTGAGTGCATCGACAAGGCTATCATCTGACGGTATGTCTTCGGAGCTCAAGACGTCGTCGTAGGGGAAGAGGTTCGTGCGCAGAGTACCAGGCAAGAGAAGTGGCTCTTGGGGAATAGCGATAAGGCGTTGGCGAAGAATGTTATGTGGTACTTGATTGATATCAATGCCGTCGATCACAATCGAGCCGGAATCTAGGTGCAGGAGCTTGAAAAGAGCAAGAGTAAGAGACGACTTGCCACTCCCTGTCCGTCCACAAATTGCAATTTTATCTCCTGCGCTGATTGAAAGGACGATATCCTTGAGCACTGGCTTTGAACCGGTAGAGTATGAGGCGGTGATGTGTCTGATTTCGAGTTGGCCATGCGCAGGCCAGTGAAGTGGAGGTTGGACTGAGTCTTCCTCAGTGGGTGATGGTTCAACTGGTGTCCGGGATTCAAAAGTTCTGATTCGAAAGATTGCCCCTAAAGACGTTTCAAGTTCCGTCCAGGAAGTTATCAGACGGGCCAGAGAGCGATTGAAGTTGAGGACGTTGTAAAGCGCAACTGCTATGGCGCCAGTGCTAGTTGCATCTGGAATCATTATGGCCATTGAGACGAGTAAGACAGCAATGGCACCGACAAAGAGGTCAAGAACCAACGTTAGCCAGCGCTGTATACAAAACAGTAAATAATAAGGGCGCTGTGATTGGTCTAGCAGGTCGACTGAAGCGGTTCTGAAGGCCTCCTGCCAGCCAAAAGCTCTGATAGTCGAGAGACCGTCGATAGACTCAATCAACTTGGTGAGAAGAGGTGCGGATGCTTGGAGATCAAGGAATCGCATTTGGCGAGATGTCTTCAAGTAGAAAGCTTGGAGGCAATACAGCGCGATCAGGGCAAACGGAATGGCAGCCGCTAGGTATTTGGCACCAATCATGATGAGGATTCCCTCTGCAAGACAGTCCAGAACGGCTGTGTCATGTTAGCTTTTATACTCAACTCGTAAATGGGCAGGAGACTCACCCAATGAGGTCATGAATAGCGCAGTAGGGAGATCTCGGTCGATGTGCGACAGATCCTGGCTGAATCTGTAAAGATTTAGTACTTCAGGTCACCGGAGTCGATGTTATAACATCAGTACCTGTTCATCAAGTCACCGGCGTCTGTACAGCCAAAGAAAGATAACGGTGCTCTGTAAACCAATAAGAAAATTGCCTTCTGTGTGTCAGTACCTTGTTTGACCTGAACACTCACCTCATAACTGACTTCAGTAGCGTCCAGTGCATGCTCTGAGAAGATTTCGACACTATCACGACGAACATGATCCTACATGGATATGTTAGTACGTGTACTATCGACTGACCGGATCGTGTCTTGACAGACCAAACGTTAATGCCTATTACAACCAATCCCATCAGAGATATCGCGCTGTACACTCCAAAATACATAGTTGTATCTGCTGAACCGGACTTCTTGTTATCTTCAGTCCAAAACTTAAGCCATATTTCTTCCGAATATTAGCTTCAACGTCTCTTGAATATGACATAAGTTGAGTAACTGACGGGGGAAGATCCGGACGAAACAGTCCAAAACTAGGAAGATTGCGCCGGCCGATCCATATAACCAGCCAATTGACTTCAGATAATACCAGTAAAGTGTAGTGTCGCCTGTTTTCCGTAAGAGATCTTGCTCTAGGTCGACTTCTGTATCCTTTCCTGGTGACTTAATCTGTTTCGACGCCTCCGTTGAGACATCATTTTCAAAAGGGGTTGAATCGTCGCGCTGGATGTCTACAAGAGAGAGGTTTTCAAGATATGCAGTATTCTTGACGGCGTCAAAATTGCCTTGATGCGCGATTCTGCCATTATCACCCAAGATAATAACATTGTCCGCATGACTCAGACAGTTCACTTCAAGCCAAGTTCAATGAATTAATCAAGACCAGTTTGCAAGAAAGGGAGGGGGCTTTCTCGACTTACACGAATGTGTGGTCAATATAACTGACGCTTGGTATTGGCGAACAAGTCCCGTAGAACTGAAAAGACAATTCCATACATGATACTGTGTGGGGGCGTCCAATCCGCTGAGTGTATCATCAAGCACGAGCACCGGCAGCCTTGAATAGACTGCTCGTGCCAAAGCCTTCAGTTGTTAGAAGCACGGACTACAGAGGCTAGGTCTGTTGAGATGCGACTTACAACACGCTGTTTTTGGCCTCCACTAAGTGATTGCCCCTTGCTTCCAACCACTGTTTCGTCGCCATGAGGAAGTTGTGCAAAGTCTTGCACCAAAGCGCACGAATGCACAACAGCTCTATACCAATCATCGTCCAAATTTGTCTGACCTAGAATGTTATCCTTGACGGTTGAGGTGGTGAGCCAGGTTGTTTGCGAACAGTAAGCCACAGCTCCTTGGAAGCCCTTTACGAGCCCTGTGGAAGGCAGCTCTCCCAGAAGACCTCGGAGTAGCGTTGTCTTCCCCGAACCTACTCTTCCTGTGATGACAGTAATTGTCGAAGCTCTGATGCGTATAGTGATATCATGAAGAATTGGTTCAAGTCCAGGCTCCAATGCAAAAGTGCCGTTTTGAACTACCGCAACATCTCCGTGAGGAGCTGAAGCTTGCAACGGAGCAGCTTGCATCTCGATACCCTCGCTATGAGGGACTGTTCTGTGTTCAACATGTTCATCGGTTGAAGAGCCGCTGTGATCCGCCGCTGATGTTGTTGTACCCTCTTTGAGGAAGGCTTGAATCCTCTCAAAGCTTCCCAGAGATGCTACAAGCCTTGGAACCGAGGATATAAGTTGAGCGAGAGGTTCAGCGACCAGGTCAATAATCGAAAGTGATGTAAAGACTGTAGCAATGGAAAGCGACAGCCCTACGTTGACTCTTTGTGCGAGAATCGCGATTCCAAAAGTGATGACCGGACCAACCATTTGAGGAGCATTGCCTTTGATAAATCAGAAAAATGTGAGAAATGGTATCATATTGGAACCGATCTTACCTAGCAAGTTCATGTATGTGACAAGCATACGATACTGCTTCGCTCTCCTCAACTCCGAGATCCTAAGATCTTGGATTGCCCGTTGCAAGAAGTCTACCATCCCAAGCATCTTTGTCTCTTTAATGCAACTAATCACCTTCGACGTGACTGTGATGCGCTTTTGGATCTCCTCGTTCCATATTTTAGACGCTCGGGGCATATGTTTCGACAACTTCGCAGTGCCAATTGCACAACCTATCCAGCCTCGAGTCAGCGTATACCGCGCTCTCGTGTTATATGCGGCTAGTGTGTGTACCAATAATCGTCACAGCTGGGCCTATACTTCCGAGGCCAAGCTGTTTCTGAAGTAGCCAGACGGCAATTCCAATTTCGATCGGATTCGCCCAGACCTCATGGATGGCTTCAAACGATTTGCAGATCGTTCTCACATCGGTGCTAACCAACGTCAGGGGTGCCGAGGAATCAACGGCCGAACTTGCGTCGATGTCTAGGTTCTTTGACATGATCAGAGAAACTAAGGATCCACGGATCATCGTGATGAAACGGAAGAGCCTATGCTGGTAAAAGCCCATCGACAACTGGTATGCAATGCAGTCATCAGCACACTGCGCAGCCCTCTACTAGTAGGCGAACTTACAGCATTACCTATGTACACTAGACCAGTCGCACCTATTAGACCGTATCCAATTGGCTTGGGGTAAGATCCTCTGTCGCCGTCAACGTAATTGATTATTCTGCTGATCAGGAAGGGTTGAGAGAATTTGAAGCCTATCAGAACAAATCGGGGTATAGCCGTCAGCACGAATGCCAGTTTCGTCGTGTTGCAGACCGCGCGCAAGAGTGCATGCTCTTCTTTCCCTTTTCTTTGACCCCAATACCTATTCATTTTCTGCAGAAGCTTGCCAGATCGCAGCTCATCGTCAACGGCGTAGAGGATTGACGGGGACAGGGTAGCCTTGAAGCCCTGTATCAACAGGCCATTGAGCCACCAAAAGAATCCTCGAGAAACAATCCCACTAGTAGCTTCTGGGCTCAGATTACGGAGGGTGGCAAAAAGAAATCTGCGCTTTCCCTGGATCTCGAGAAGAAACATGGTCAACTTCGCCGACAGCATTGTTGTGAAGACGGCCGCAAGGCTGTGCAGGTCTGGGAGAAGCCACAGTGTACGGCATTGCACTGCGTCGAATAGCAGAGAGAATATAAGGTAGAGACAGATGACGCTGGAAGGTTGAATGGATCGGGTGTGTTCTGTATGGCTGAGTATGCCCAAAGCAAAAGCATCTATGACACCCAGTACCGAGGCGACGATTGAGACGTGGGTGGAAAGTGATGCCTCTGCCCATAGTATCAGAAGCGCAATCTGGAGTCCGCCAAAGACGATGCATGCTGCGATCTTGGCGGTATTCAGGGGATGTTGCAAGACTTTCCGGCGTTGACCAAAGAGCTGTCGAAGTCGGAGCGGAAGCACCAGGAGTAAAATTGCGGATGGCCCGATGTTTAGCAGAGATTGCTCGAAGAGAAGCGTGAAGTCAAATCGATCGTTGCAGCCGATTGCAACTGGACCGAAAGAACCTTCGCACTCAGCGATGGCAGTGAAGTTGTTCATGGCTGCGGCAGATCAGTGCCGAAACGCAAGGCGGTGGTTCAGCTCTTATTGGAAGAAATCTTCACACTTATATAGACTGACAATACCAAGCTTGCCAAGGGAACAATGATGTGGCCCAGTGGCACGGTTAGGGCGACATCGTAAGCCTACGCGCGATCAGCACCCGTTGATTATTGCTGTGAATGGCAAAGATGGGCAATCTTGTGACAAGCACTGAACCACGGCCGGGGGCAGGGCATGTTATGAGAGACCACCGTATGAAATGGCTTATTTCGTTATTGGTGCAAGAAAAGATCTAAGATGAGCCCCAAAACTCAAGGGGTTTTCGCGAACTGAACATCCTGTTGCTACAGTGCCATGTCAAAAGTGTAAAAACCCCGCATGTGACGCGCGGCCACCACTACCCTCGCCAGCCCTTCTGCCTCCTTATACCAGAACTTCAAGAAATAGACAATAAATTACAACAATTAAGCTCTACAATAGTAAAAGATCACAGGGCTAACACTAAGCTCTCTAAGATTTAGCCAGTTATAACCATAGCCCAGCCTTTCGCTTATCGCTAGGACCCCACATCCTAAGACAATCTCATAAACTTTACACCCTTATGGCCAAGTCATGCAGCGGTGCCACGTTACGCCATATCGCCCATAGTTAGGCTACTCCATATCCTTTAACACTTCCCGACGCCGCTGTGCAATTCGCCCAGCATCTCAAACGCAGTCCTTTCCACCTATCAGATCCAGAACAGCTACCGGGAGGACTATGTTAGCTATAAGCAAAGGTATAAAGTCTTGTTTAGCTATGCTAATTACACTGCTTATAGGCTATTATTACTATACATAGCTAATATACAAGATACTAATAGTTAAACAGCTATTTTTAATTTAAGTATAGTTTTACCATACAATTCATTAAGTTGATTATTTTCTTTGTGGTTAAAGTGATAGGCTGGTGATGTAGGTGATGCACTTCAGATGCAGGGTTTTCACACTTTTGACCTGGCATTGTATGTCATGTTTTCTTAACCCTGCTTATCTTGGAGTTTACCCCAATCAGATGGCAAAATGATAAAGTTGCATAAGTTCCCAGATGAGGAAGGTGATTTGGCCATGGTCATCTGGCTGCAAAACCAACGATTACGTCGGGATTGGCCACAACCATCCACAAGGAGCGAAATTCTTGGCATCACTCCGACGGGCGAGAAACAATTATTTATAAGACCAAACCATCTTGTTGCTAAGTGAGGTATATTCTGGGGGAGTAACTGCCTGCTGTTTGATGCTTAATTTTGTATCAGTTGGTCGCAATGAAATCAAAAGGACCTCGCCTACCTCCCGCGGACATCTATTCCGAGACGTCGAAGGTATGCCAGCCACGAGAAGAGGTCAGTTGCATAGAAGAGGTTTTCCTTGCTCCAAGGCCTTCGTGTTCTAGGTTACCCGCTACGATTGCAGCCTGGTTTGCCAAGAGTCGAATAAAAACAAGATTAAATGAGTTTCACGCAGGCATTTGACCAGTATTACATTGTAATTTACATCTGGCACAAATCTGATTTGAAGTCAGTGAGGAGACTTATCACCAACCCTACTAGAAGTTGTGCTGTACACAGCCTCCATTTACCATGATATTAGTCTTGATCTTGCTTATTCTATCGGATCGAGACATGACCGGGAGATCGTGAATCCCTGGCTCTTTTTACAACAATTGAGTTCATATTTCCCGTGTCTTTCATTGGCCAATTTGCTCCCCGAACAAATCAAAACCTTTCACTCAGAGAAAGGAGGGTCCGGATTGCCAGAGTCGATAACGCGAAACTTTTTGTTGCATCCACGACTGTGAATGAGGAAGTCAGCTTCACTCCAGTTTTAAGTACCTATTACAGGCCGTACATAGCACTGAGATATTACATCATAAATTGCTCGAAACAGTTTTCAATCATAGTCCTTGTTGGAACAGTAAGATATTACACCCGTCCTGCTCCCCGGGAAACTCGCACAAGCGTCAACGACGCTTTTATTGGCCGCCACGGCAAAACAGCAGTTTTCAAATTCGTTTCCACCCAAGCAGGGGTGAGGTATGACAGTGTAGGCCTGTGTACCGTTACACTTCTGCTTTTTCTGGCTCATCTTGGCTATTGTTGGTGCTTTTGGATCGCCTCCCTTGACGCCAAAGACCTTGTCTTGAGGATATCTGTCACAGGCGGCTTGGGTCAGGCAGATGTCAAGCTTCAGTATGTGGGCACTCCCACACCAGCAGAACTGATGTGTGTCGCCAAGGGTTGGTAAAGTCAAGGCTCCTAGTAGTAAGAAATCTGCGAACTTCACGACGAATATGCGAGCAAAGCTAATATGAGACAGAGCGAGAATATATTGAAAGCGTGAAGGGTGATCAGGTCTATAGAGAGCGGTGCGGTGCGGTAGACGACCACAACCTCCCCTCATAGCTGTCCAGGATGCCTTTATCCAGTCGTAGATCAGCTGTCCTGATCAGGTCGAATCTGGCCTGATCAGACTTGGCCGCAACGCGATGGATAAAGCAGAGACTCCCAAAGTTCTTGTGTAGGTGTAATCAAGGTATTAGTCATCACGAAAGACAGAAACGATGATCCCTTGAGCGTGGAAAAGTCCGATGAGTGTGTGTTGATTGTTCGTGTCTAATCTGAGTCCCTCTGCGTCATAGAGGTTTCTATACCCCTGATCAGACCCTGCTTAGTTAAGAAATCAAAAGAACTAAACGCAAAGACCATATCAATGGGAGCAGGAAACCCTGCCCCGTTCCAATATAACAGAGCAAAACAAGGAATTTCGCTAGGCCAAGATTTCTAGCTCAGGTAGAGGTGCATTATTTCATGCAAGAAGTCTTCAAAGAACAAGTCATGCTGAAATGGCGATATGGCAGAGTGGGGTGCCCGGCTGGCATGTTTGCTTTCCATGATGTCCCGATTAGAAGCAAACTCCTAAAAATGAAATGGTATTATGAGATACCTAATTAATAGAAGAAGCTGAGCTCACTCGATCGTCAGGCTACCTCAGGAATATGCCAACTTTTTTGGTGGCTGTCGCCATAGCGGAATCATCTGACTCAATCTATTTCTTCGACTACCGAGCAAGTCATTTTCAACCATAAATACAGGATCGACGCCGAATACACTCAAATGAGTCCAATCAAATTTATTCATGCAACTCATGCAAGCATATTGCCGACGGCGACCCCGACAGACCAAGGGTGATCATATCTTTAAACAGTACGAAGATAAGCATCCAACTTATGATCCAATAACTGTGCGTTCGTTGTCTGATGTCTAGTCGATTTTCTGGCATATTTGCTACATCAAGTAAGCGTGGAATCATGAGCACGCCATGCAACTCATTATAACTGTAGATTTTCGCGCTACAATAATTTGTAGGGGTCTAGAAAAGGTACAGGCCAGATACTGCAATGGTGACACAAGTAGTTAGGCAATAAGTAATCAATATCGAAAGGGGCAATGTGTCTCCTCCAAATGAGATTCATCTCACGTCAAGCAACCTAGTTCCGTAGCTGATCCTTTTTTTCTAGGACAATTTATATTCCCAGGCAGGAATTGCTGAGATATCAGTCTGTAACTGTAGGCAGTGGGGATGGTATCTACCACAACGTACCAGCGGGGTGGAAGTAGCTTGACACTGTTTATGCATTTCATAAGGAAGGCTGTTGGTAGGCTGATAAGTCACATTCTGAAGAGTTTTGTAAAATGACATCACCCCTTGCGTTGTGTTATGATATTTGTTTCCACTTCGAACACCTCACGTTTGAGTTCCGACTAGAATTGTTGAGGTTAGGCCTTTTGCTCCTGGACGTACGATCGGCTATAAATCTAATTCCAAATTCTACGAATATAGTTTTCGTGAATAATGTGCAGTCCCGCTAATATCTATATACTTCCAAATGAGTGTACGCACTCGGCAACTGCTGTAGAGAATGATGGAATTTTGAAGTCTCTGATGGGTAGACCATTAGTTGACCCAACAGACTCTGTACTGACCTGTTATCGGCCCGTTGCATTGAGTACATGTAGCGCTTATCCAAGATATCATTACACACTTCGTATTCAGATGCCGACAGGCAGCCCGGGGCTGCCATAAAGCCCTGCTTGTAGCTTCATGATACTTCTGAAAGCTTTGATGCAATCTGCCGCTATCGTCCGAGCAAACCACCAGACTGTCTGTGAGTAATGTCTGTCTGCATCTTTGTAGTGTATAGCAATCTTCTGACTTCAGGTTACTAGGATTGCATGAAGTGGTTTCGCGTGTGAATAAGGTATCGATGAAATGATGATTGCGGATGACTTGTGCTCATCTACAAATACCCACAAACATGGTGGGCACATGCATGATATCAACGGTCTGAACAAACATTGGCATGATAATATTGTAAATTGAACCAGACAATGGGCTGGAGGGAGACATCAACTCGTCATGCCGAGGTAATCAATCGACGCCAATGGTTGTTGGCAGCGGCAATGGCCCTGAGCGCTTGGCTGTGGCGCTTGAACAAAGCTACTGAACGTTCACTAAGTCGTTGTCGAGGGCAGCGGCAACATCGCTGCTAGGACCATGTCTTGGAAAGCTTCAACGGTGAATGACCAGGAACTAAGAAAAAGCCGTCTATGCGCGGCGCTTTGGGATGGTTGGGACGGGGAGCTACTGGCTCCCGTACTAAAATCTTTGCGATTCCTATTACAGCAACACGAGCAGCACTACCGAACTCTATGACCGACGCGTATGGATAGCACCAATAACCGATGAACTCAATTGGCTTTGTTAACCTTGTGATCCGTAATTGGCCAGTGTTAGCTTGGTGATCGACAAGCTTTCCGGGGAGAGCTCGCTCACAACACCAGGCTCAATTCCGTAACAAGCTCGCAAACACGGATCCCATCCAGCATGAGCTGCGTGTAGCCTGGGCCGCTTAATGGCGCACAGCTGTCGTATTTTGTGACGCTAAAGAAGACAATAATCGACCATAAATCTGTAGAAAATATAAACAGCTTCCGAGTCCGATTTCAAAAGTTTTCTTTGCGGCCTTCAAGTCAGGAGCTTAATACCGGTTTCGTTCATTCGCTCAATCATCTGCAGTGCCCGGTTTCCTCGCAATCCCGCCTGTTTAACCGCATCACACATTTGTTTTAATCTACAATGCGTACATCAGTTCAACAGCTCGCGCTTTCTGCGCTCTTTTTGCACTCAGCGAACGCCGCTCCCGCTGGTCTCCTCGACACCGTCGGTGCTGTGACAAAGCTTTTGGCTCTACCCACTAATTACGTTCAACTCCTGACCGGCGTTCTCGGGACGAAACCTTCGGCTGGTGCCGGAGTTCTCAACGCTGCGGACCTCCAGTCAAAGTTAGGATCTATCTGGAATACGGGAGGGACTGGAGACTTTTACGACAAAGTGCAGAAGCAAATTAGCCAGGGCATCCTTCCAGCCGGCCTCCTTTCCAACTTTCAGGGACTCCTTGGCACTGGTCTCTTGGGTAGTTTGGACCTTGCCAACAATGCCAACAAGCTTATTGCTCCCATTAACGCTATCGACTCTACCAATAACAACAACCTCCGGAACCCAGCCAAACCCGTTTGGCCTAAGAAAGATGCTGCGGATGCCCCTTACACGCTCTCCGAAACGCAACTGCGACAAGCCATCTTCATTCCGCAGACTTTTACCTATGGTCAAAAGCTGCCTGTTATTTTTGTCCCTGGAACTGGTGTCTACGGTGGAGAGACTTTCAGCTCAAACTTGCTGAAGCTTCTCTCGAACGTTCCCTATGCCGACCCTGTCTGGCTAAACATTCCCGGCGCCCTTCTTGGAGACGCCCAAGTCAATGCAGAATATGTCGCCTACGCTATCAACTACATCAATGGCATCAGTAACAAGAACTCAAGCATCATCTCCTGGTCTCAGGGCGGCCTCGACACCCAGTGGGCATTTACATTCTGGCCCTCTACTCGCAGCGTTGTATCAAACTTCTTTCCTGTCTCCCCTGATTTCCACGGCACCGTTTTTGCCAACGTTCTGTGCCTCTCCCCCGGAAATGGCGCACTCAACGCTCCCTGCGACCCGTCCGTTATCCAACAACAGTACACATCTGTATTCGTCAACACTCTTCGCGCTCGCGGTGGAGCTGATGCATATGTACCAACAACGACCTTCTATAGTGCCGTCTTCGATGAAGTTGTCGAGCCCCAGCAAGGAACAGCTGCATCTGCGTATCTGAGCGATGGCCGTCATGTTGGCGTCACTAACATAGAGGTACAATCTGTCTGTTCCGGTAGGCCTGCCGGCGGCATTTACGGCCATGCTACTATGCTCTTCAATCCTTTGACGGCCGCATTGATTAAGGATGTTCTTCAAAGAGGACAAGGCCCAGCACGAGTTACAGGCATCAACCTGAATGATGTTTGTAAAGACATCATTGCACCTGGCTTGTCTATTGAAGACGGTATTGCTACTGCTGGCTCCATTGTTTCCGCGGCTGTTCGCCTACTGGCATACCTTCCCAAGCTTATCGCTGAGCCCAGTCTTATGGCCTACGCTCGTGCTTAGAACGGCATGAGTTCGAGAGTGGTGACTTCTGCGGTAGAAATTTAGGTGTGTTGTAGTTTAACGAAAATGTCGATCATGATTCGATGGATATCACAATGGAGACGTGTAGATTTACTTTGTACAGTTGGCAGTGGTATTTAGATCGAACATCGGTTATACATACAGCTATGCGGCGAGATACCTTCCTTGGCTACCCTAACAAATGCAATGTCTACCTTGTGAAAACAACACCAGAGCCCGCTCCTGAGGTAAGCTACCGCTGGGTCGGTCGTGAGCCAGCTCCCGAATCATGAACTTGTCGGATAGGTTTTCTCAACTTCAATGCCGCAAGGATAGTAATCCTTATCAGTTGGACTTCCAGCTATTTGCATTAGTGTGTTCCAAAGACTTGTGCAAACTGGAAGCGAGAAGAAGCCGGGTGTTTGTACGCCTCCAGTAAACATCAGCTGATCAACACTTCCACTACTATCATCCAAAGACAGGTTGTAACCGTTCCGGTTCCCGTTGTTCAGATAACCGGTGTACGAGCTGATAACGATGTCTTCCAGAGTAATACCACCCCAATTCTTCCCATCGAGCACGTCGTGCGTGCCGCCTGACAACGTTTGAAAGGGCGGCTCAGAGTCTGGGAGGCCTGGCGTGTCATCTTGAACCTCAACTCGATATGTTCCAACGGTCAGTACATAAAACTGGTTTCCATTCCAGCAAACACCTGTCTGGTTGTGGGTTTCCTGTGACATGTACGGATGTAATGTTTTGGGCAAGGTGTCTGAGCATGCATCGCCGGTTTTACTACAGGTCCGGCTTCGTCAGTTATGTTCCTAAGATGAAACTTTGCAACTTGGAGCACAGGGAGAAGATGAACTGAAGGCTTTTACTCACAGTACGAAAGGTTTGAATGCAGCTGGCGCATCCGCCCATGCTATGGGAATCATCTGACCAAACATAATCTTCTGGACAAATGACGCCATCCCCGATAGATCGATGTCGACAGGCACCATGTTCATCAAGCCATCCCGGATCAAAGAGTCTAGCATTTCCAGCGTTGTCTGGTTTGATCCAGAGAATACTTCCGAGAGATAGTCCGATTGCGTATTCTTCCATACGTCGAACAAGGTACCCATAGCTGACGTAAGGTCGTTTTGAATACTTGCGGAGTCCTTGGCACTTCATTTCTTATAGTTAGCCTTATGTTCGTGGACATTGGAATTGATCTACAAAGTTGTCAGAGTAAGAAGAGGCTACGTACGCTTTTGTGTTGTCCTTGGCTAAAGCGATGGATGACGAAATTGCGGCGTTAAAGCTGTCTTTAGCGAAACCGTGGGAATTGCCAACAAATATCGCAGCATTTTTAATGACTAGTTATTTGTAATTAGTATTATTCAACTCTCGGCAAGAGTCACCAGTCAGACTCACCAATATTCCACATTCCGGCCGATGCGATCCCTATGCCGAATTGTAATACATCCAGTATCGTCTTGAAAATAACTGATTCATCATCTGCTTTCAGCTGAGGCGCAAAGACATTGGTAAAGTCCCCCATGATGCTTAAAATACTGAGTTGTGCATCCTGTAGCGCTTCGTGATATTTCTGGTAAGTCAAGTCACCCACTTCTGGGCACCCCACCCATGTGGGCACCCACAAAACGAAGCTATCGCAACAACACCACCCTTTTCAATTGACTATCGCCGAGGCCCAGATGCAACTATGATACAGCTTTCTGCCTCACTAGGGCAATCAGATGCGCTGGATTCATCTGTGTCAATTTCAGCATTACCAGCCTCGATCTGGGCTTGCCGTATATCGCTGATGTTGGCGAACTTAGTGTTAAGGTCGATTTTGACAGTCTTCCTTTTTTTTGCTGTAGTGTTGCTGACTTAGGCCTGGAGAAGCTGTATCTGGTGCTGGGCAGTAGCCAGCTGGAAGGACTGCTCTTGGAAGCCTTTTTTGACCTTTCTGAAGAGCTGGCGTTATATAACAATACTTTGATCTAGCTTACTAAATAAGTCTAGTTGACTATTAAGGTCCCTTATCTTCCTAGGCGTAAACCATATAACAACAGATGAAGCAGATACCTATCCCTCTATATCCTGGGTATCCTGGATACCCTGGGTACTTTAGGTAGCCTTATTAAGTAGTATTGCTGGTGTTATTGCCTTAGGTAACAGTAAAGAGCTTATAAGAGGTTTATCCATAGTAATAGGCCATAGTCTAGTATATTTCTAGCCACTTAAAATATTCTTTTTTGTTAACTTAGCTAAGCGTACTAGCTAATAATAAAATAAGAAATGTCTTTTACTTATTATAGTTAAATTATTTTATTAGCTAAGGTTAGGCTAGAGCCTTTTGTAATAGGCTACCTTGACTAGGCTAAAGACTAACTAATCTAGTAGCTGAAGGATATAGGAGGTATATGGCAGCAAGAATAATAGATAGACGTTATTAATATAGCATTACTACATAAATTCTATCGTTATATGGCTCCTATGCCTATCCAGGACTAGCAGTCTAGCCTGATCAGGCTAGGAGAGGGCAGTCTGTAGCAAGAAGACCTTTAGTAGCCACTTAACAGCAGTCTCATCAGTTATCCATCCATTCTCTGTTACTATAAACTCCTATCCATCATAAGGGCTAAGATCTAGAAGAAACTACTACTACTAAACTATTTTGCCTTTATATATCACAAGAGGATATAGTACCAGGCTATCAGCTGAGATATACTCGATAATAGATACCCAGGCTTACAATCTAGGCTATTTTTTATATATAGACTTTATCTCTGCCTTACCTAGTACTAGCCTATTTACTCCTTAACCCTCAAAGATACTAGTCTTATCTATATTATATCTATTAGCTAGCTAGATAGCTGATATTAATAGGATCACAAGATATTTAAACCAGTCCCTAATAATCTTAGTAGATGCCTTATTAACACGTCTAGAATCAATAGATCAACTTCTCTAGACCTTGATAGATAGGTTTCTTTGTATAAAGGCGTCTATCCATCTCTTCCCTAGAGGCTGGGTATTGCCTATAGTATGGAGGATACGCTAAGCAAAAACCTTGACTTGTTGATGCGTTGGCGCAAGCCTAAGGTCAGCCTATATCCGTACCCAATTAGCCAGCTTAGCCTCTTGACTAACAGAGAGCCGCTGGAGGTCAGCAAATGCGATATCTCTAGGTTGGATACCCTTGAGACGATTCTGAAGTGTTGACCGAGGGACGCCCCATTTCCTAGATGCTGCCTGGACAGGGACGCTGTTGGCGATATCCCTAAGAGCCTTGCTAACCTTATACTCGGTATATTGACCTATAGGGTATAGAAGAAGGTATCTGCAAAAGATGAAGTGATTTGGATAAGGGATGAAAATGTTGTGATAGTTTGAAGTGGGAGGCTGGTCATGGTGTTGAGGGATTTTTGGGGTGCCCACATGGGTGGGGTGCCCAGAAGTGGGTGACTTGACTTAAACCTTGACATTTCTTCGCGTCAGTAATGATAAGTTGGGGAGGAGTTTACTGATTGTCTCACATCATGCAATCTCGAAAAGGAGTTGAGAATAAAGAACCTGACACAGTTAGACCTGATCCCATGAAACATAGCATTCAACCCTTTTCGGGCTCGACCTACCCTGCTGGATGATTGGTATCATCACACCTCACTGTTGTTGAACATGGGGTATCAACGGGATTTTGGCAATCCCATCCCTCTGGTCCGCTATAAAAGTCGCTTATGAAGGCTGGGAATTTGAGTTTGACCGCATCTGCTCCAGGTATGTAGTTATGCCATGCGGCCAAGGCCGCTTCCCAGGAGGCATTCGTGTCTGCTGATGCCCATCGTACTTCGGCTGCGACTTTTGCGTCGGTAATATTGGGTGCGGAACAAGTTATATTTTGCCAATTGTTGAATTGCTTGGTGTAAAGCTTGGCCGGGGACGCATAAGCGCAGCTTACAAGCAATAACGATGTCAAAACATGCATCGCGCTCATAAAGGCGAGTGAGTAGGTGAGGGCGAGTAGAACCTGATCATCCTCGATGTGAGGTCGTGCAGAGTAAGAGCTGAGGCCTATAAGAGCCACTTGAAGGGTTGAACCGGGCTTTCCTATTCTTAAGACTGCTCGAGTCTGGACCGATATCCTTGACTGCACGGATATCTTTGAAAGGCCTGTCCCAATGTCGAATTTGGGCAACACGTGTGCAGCATGTGCACCAGCATTGGCGTTACCTGGCAGCGCAGACCAGAATGGGGAGCGTGCGCTAGGGCATCGATGGGGCATTGCTGGTGAACGGGTAATTGCTTGGCTGTCATAGCTTGGGGGAATTGCAGTGTGTTCCCGGTATATTAATCTGCTTCACTATAACAGAGTTATAAGATCAGCAAACAAGTGTAATGCATTTCCATACCTGCGACATTGGTATTGGTAAAAACAATAAAATCTGCGCGCACGTGGCTCCGTCAGTGGACGACATTGAAGAAATCCGCGTACGCACTTGAGTTTCCTGTCTATTAAATTAAAAGCAGAACGGCGATCCGGAAGACAGGAATAGTTTCTACTGTCTGAAAATGGATGCCGTTTGGCCTTAATATGACTGCGGCTTCAACGTCATCCCATGATACCTAGATATCAGCAGTAACGAATGTGGCAAGTTTATTCAAAGCTTCTCAACGGCTCTCGTAACCCGACTAAGAGGATAAATATAATCTGCCCCACGATGAACCCTTGGACCTAGCGTAACACGAATTGAGGTTGAAAAACTCACCCTTCAACATTACCTTGTCCATAGTAACACTCTTTCATTCGTCTAAAGAGCCTTTGAACTCGAGTCTCAACATCTAGAGAGCCAAGCGCCTGGCTCCAACACAACATGGCTTCAGGCATAGGAACATATAAGGTGTAAGTTACTTCTTAATCAGTTGGTCTCTGATGTACCTACTAATTGTGAACCAAGGTTCACTTTCTTCTTTCTAGTCTTGCTCCAGTTTCAGAAAGCATTGGCGTCAGGCTGTACCCAAGTAAGCTGCCAGGTCTCCGTATGCGCTTCTAATGCCGACGAAGCGTTCAACACGGCAAGCCTCGGGCTCGTGGGCATAATGGGGCCTGACTGCGCAGGCTGGGGGGACGACTCACCGACAGATAAAGGCCAGGGCAGTTGCGGCAGCGGCCTGACAACTTTCGAGGGCAGCTTTAAAATATGGAGAGCTTGGACTGCATGGGGAAGCGACTATTCGGCTACATTCGCGCAATGGGGGAATTTCCTGGGTGCCACTTGCACCGGAGGAAAGACTGTATCGTGCAGTCCCAAGTCGGGACAGTACCCAGCCCTGTTACTGGGAAGTGCCAAGCCATGCAATGGTAAATATTCCAAGTCAGAGATTTTTTAAATAAGGGGCTAATTCTTCAGCAGTGTTGTAGATCACTCATGTTGAGGCCCGATCGGTATGTTCTTCCTGCGTAATATTCAGCGAAAGATGGCAGGAGAGTCCAGGATGGAAGATACAACACCAGGGTTTAAAAGGGCGGTCACCTCAGTCGAGCAATGGCGCATCTTCGCAGCGTAGCAAATGAGAAGTTCTCTACGGATTGTATATCTTGCAAGCAAGTCTAATTCTTGAACGTTGACATGCTGTATGGGTTCATCCAGGAGCCTAACATGCATCTAAGTCTAATGTTTTATGATCTAAGAGGAGTCGCTTTCCCAATCCATTCTCGGATTCTCTCTGAAGCCAAGTGAGGCACACCGTCGTACTTCTTGTCATCATACGTAGCATCTATTTCCCGCGCAAGACGCTGTGCCTTCGCAATAGCAATTCGTTTCGCATTGGTCCAATGCGTTGTGTTGACGAAGTCGTCAGCATCATTCGCCAGACTGTAGCGCTTCTTCCGCAACTTGTCGTCATCCGTCTTCTCGGCTGCGCAAAGCGCGCAGCTGCATTCGAAGCCCCAAGTCGTCATCAACGCCCTTTGCCTTGCTTCGTAATCGGCGGACTCGTCGTAACTGTGGAAGATCTCCTCGCCTTTCTTGATGGGGCGAAGGGCGCGCAGCACCATTAGGTCGCCGACATACTCCTTCTTGGCGTTGGCGATGCAGGAGTGGTTGATGTAAGCGGCCCAAACCCAAAGACCAGTGCTGGCATTCCTTGCACCCTCCTCGCCGTATTGGCCGCCGGGACCGAAGGCATTGCGCGACACAATGTCGTGGACCCGAAAGACGTCGACAACAGGGCCCTCATCAGTAATGGCCGCTGCTTCGCTTTCACCTTGGTAGTCGCCGTAGAGATCCATTACTCTTCCAATCTGGGAAGAGTTTCTTGACAGCTTTTGGGTAATGGCCTTGGTCAAGCCCACGGGCGCCACTCTGATTCTGTCATCGCGCACATCGTATGTCATTGCTGTCAAAACCTCGCTCTCGTGACCCCAGACCACACAGAAAGCTTTTTCAACCATGACGATCTCCCCGGCGGCGATGTCACGGTTCGCAAACAAGCCACGGCCTCGTCCTGCACTATTCTTCACTTCAGTCTTGCCTGTGAAGCTAGCAGCGTCAGCCCGCGATGAAGCTCGGGAGAGATTGGCCCTGATTTTGTGCAAGTCATAGTTTCCTTCTGCTTGCTCGCGTAGGCGCATCTCAACCTTTCGCAGGTAAATGGCCGCTCCTTTCTCTTCAGGGGCAAGCTTCTTAGCCTGTTCGAAGTATTCTTTGGCCTGCTGGTACTGGCCCAAGTTGTATGCACCGCTACCAGCGCGGAAATAGGCTTTGCTATCGAGCTCCTTTGATCGTCGGTCGTCTGCGCCGATCAAAGACGATTTTGCGTCGGCGATTGCTTCATCTTGTCGGTCCAGTAACAGATGGACATGGGCCCGGTTGCGAGCGATGTCTCGCGCCAAATCAGGATTTGTCTTCTGCACAGCTTCTTGTCGTGCAAGCTTGAGACCTTGGGTGTAGCTTTCGCGAGTGAGCGGCAGATCCTTCTTCTGCAGTGCTGCATTGCCCTTGTCCTTGCACTTTTTGGCCAGCTCTTCTGCTTTGACTGCGTCCTCCATCTGGGTGGAGCTGCCCTTGACAATCTCATCCCGGCACACAACCAGGTCTGAAGGGTGATCGATTCGAAGTGTGGCTTCTCCATCCTCGGTCAGGGTGAAATAAGGCTCCTTGATGATATAACGACGTGCCGATTCCAACGTGTCTTCGCCGTCTGTTGTCTTATGCAAACAAATTTCCAGCCTCTCAGTCTCCTTTTCCTCCTCGTCTTGCACCACCGTCCATGACCGGGCTGCAAGGGTTATTACTGGACAACGGTTGGCACGCTTGACGGCGAGCGAACGGCCCCGGTGATGCGTGTCCATCTGGAGTTCAGTGAACTTCATAGGCTTTAAGTCTTGGAGAGAGGCAGTGCTTGGTGGATAGGCCTGCCCAACGCCAAGAGCTGGCAATGTTTCCCTCTGACCTTGTCCAGTCATGCTGCCCATGTCCATCATGAGAGAAGTGCCAGTTGCCTGGCTGACTGTGGCGTGGGCATCTCTGAACTCTCTGGCATTTCCTTTGCGCTCCGAACATTGCTTCTGCGTCTCTTGGACAGTAGCCCGAATGCGTTGTGCTTCTTGCTCGGTGAGCAAGACCGTATTTCCGCCGCTCTGGTGCGTCATTTTGGGCTTCAGCCGTCTCGTGGTTTCAAATTGGGCGCGGTCGTATCGGGAAAGGTGTGAAAAAGGTTTGCATATCTAAACATGTGTTGCGGGGACCTCAATGGCGTGTATAGAGATCTGCTGCAATTGCAATAAATGAAGTTATTGAGATCCAAGAACGGAGATGCAAGCCCGATAGCCTCGCCAGCGAGTTGTGTGTCGTTGTCCCAAACGTTAGGGTTCGATATGCATGATAAGATTTACGCCTGGGACCTCCACGACTGTTCCCACCGAAAAACTCAGACACCCGATCCGTTCGCTCGCCCAATGATTCAGTACATATTCCCGCCAACCTCTACAGCGTTGGCGCCCACTGAGTCCCACCAGTGCCAGCGACTTTGCTGGGGTTGCCCGATTAAAAAACTAGGGCATTTCCGAGCGACTGGCACACACCGCTTGAGTCAGTCACCGTCGACTGGCCATTGGTGCGAAGGATTAAGCTCCTGCAATGTGCCGGGATTAGCCGAATTTTCTCTTTTTTTCGCCGCCGTTGATAGCTCGCCGAATATCAACTCAACGCTGGATATGAACGACTGCTGGAAAGCACGCTTCAACTGTTGCCTAATTATGGTTTCTGTTTTCCTAGCGTTGCACCGAGACTTTTGTGGTTGAACGACAAAGCTTATCCCGAACATTACATGCGGGACCATCCAGGGCTTTTCAGGTCTTTGCGCCGAAGGATGAGGCTTCGGCACTCACTATTTTACGTTATCGCTAATCAAGCGCAGTGCAGTATATTAGAAGCTAGATCATACATCTTTTCGTTAAGTATCCCTATCCTGGTAGACATCTAAGTCATATGGCGTGAAAACGCTGGCTGTGGATGTGATTGATTAATTGCACACGCACCAAATGCACACGTATAAGCACCATTGGTCATACCGATGGCCGATGATTACACAGCTGCCCAGTATTTGCGGCTGCTGATGGGAACACCGCCAGTTACATGTACGTCGGCCTATTCCTAGCGTACACGGGAAAGAAGCACAGTGGCACCGATGTCGGTTTTTGCAAACTACCTTATGGCGCATCTACGAGGTTTTCTTATTTGTTCTGAAGAAATAGAAGAGCAGATGGCGAAACGCGAGGTGCGATGATATGGCTGAGACGGCGGGAAAGGTGCTTTGCAACCATGACCATGCGGTTTGCAAAAATGATACAAGGGTACATAGGTCGCGCAGTTCGAATGGAGGTACTGAGACAAGATCGGGTAAGAATAGAGCTGATGAGTGTGGCTCCGGCAAGGTTGGTCTTAGGATTTCGAAACTACCGGCTGCTAATGGTTTTGGTAATCACTGTGCCGGGTGGCACTTCTCTTTTGTCGCTTTTTTTTTTCTGATCTTGACCAGAGGCTGAGCTGCCAAGATTCTGATCATCCTTATAAACCCAAGTTGTCGATACTCTTCTTACTCCGGCATCTTTTGATTGTCTAATCCTATCGAGACTGATCGGTTTGTCCACTGTCGCTCTAATGTCTGCTCGACTGGAACCATCAGTAAACCGCCATCTTATTATCCGCAGTCTGCAACGTATCCCAACCTGGAAACAACCAGACAGGGCACCACCAGAGGAGCCTTGTTGCCTTCCCTATGTGTGTGTGCGGGTGTCCCTGGCCAGATTCACCCTCCTCTGAGCGCACCTAGCCTCAATGGATCTTCGAGGTTGGAAGGAAGAGTTAAAGGAAGGAGAGGTCCACAGCTGGAACTTGAACAAAGGGAAGAGCGCTTTTAGCATAAGAAGCTTCTCGACCGTCGACCAGTTCCCAACCAACCTCTGTCTCCCGTCGTCTGTGTCTCGTCGTCTGTCTTACGTTCTCTCTTCTTCCTTTCCATGCCCTCCGCCAGTTCATCCGTCTTTTTCGTTCCTCGCCAGATACATAAACGCATCATCATCTTCCTCGTCGTCAGCATCTTCCTCCTCCACCTCCACTTCTTCCTCCCAAGACGTCGCTCCTCAATCAGCGGACTTGGCATCAACAATGATCAACCACTTTCACGCATCATCTCAGACGACATATTGAGCTGTGATTTCAGCGTCGGATCCTGGCCAGGACCGACATAAGACAGCCTTGTCTCATCACCGATGAGTTTCTCATATCCAAGGTAAGGACTCCTTGGTGATTCAGCGGATCTTCAGTGACGATACTGCTAATCTACAGAGCGCACGCACTCAGAGCTTTTCGCATGTTGCGCAGTGTTGACCCCTGTCATCCGTCTGAGAGGTGAAACTTATGAGAGTGAGTCGGATAGCTTTTATTATTATTTATACTCTACTCTAGATTCTCCATTAGACCGCACCTTACTTGGCCGCACAGCTAGGCTTCCAACTTTGATAAGCTTGGGAAATATTTCTAGGTTCCGACGCATCAAGGTCAGGTAAGAAGGGTAGCAGGTTTAGAAGTTCGCGCATCAGGGTTAGGTCAGAGGGGTACAAGGCTCAGGTGTAAGCAATCTACCTACTTACGGTACTAAATATAGCCACAAATCCACTTATCTCAATACCATGCTCTCAAGCTCTTATCGTACTTTTATGGGCATATGCAATTTCTCCCAGGGGCACCAAGGAACTCGTTTCCCTGTTACGGCTGGAGAGAAACGGCTCGTTGCTTGCAAAAAGAGAACATGCTCCGTCGTCCATTCTGGCGTCGGCTTGTTGGTGCTACCTTAAGCTAGATCCGATATCCAGGCGCCTTCAACGCAGACTTGACCTAGCTAGCCCACCATCCAGACGTCGGCCTCCTCCTGAGACTCAGAGAATGACGACCCCGGCAAGCCATCACACCACTGTAGTACCCAGTGGCATCCATCTTGCGACGTGAGCTGCGCCTTGGGAGCCACAGGTGACGAACGCCATCAACGTTTCATTCATGAGCTTGAACAGTGAGTATCTGCGAAGTACACCGCGGCTCGCACGAAGCGTTCCCGCCTCCAGTGACAACAGGAGCACCATCCAATCCGGCCCCCAATCCACGGTAAGAGCCATCTTAGATTTTATATATGTTCCAGGGGTTTATCAACGCGAGGCGCGACTTCCATACATGGTTCTAATGAAGAAAAAAAGAGATAAGTGACGCGAGGGGGATGGATCCTCCATTTGGGCCACCTTCCTGTACCTTGCTTGCCGACCAGGTAAGCAGTTAAGTTCCGGTACGTATACTGTGCCCGTGCAGCGCCCCTGCGGTCCATTGGGTCACTGTATCCGTCCCCACGCAACAAGCGTTTTCGACTCTGACGACCATGGCAAGCGCGGGTTGTGAAGGTTTTTATACACACGCGTCTCGCTTTTCATTTTCGCTGGCAGACGTGTCCCCCAGCGTCCAAAGACTTATGGCTTGTCACAACAATGGACACGGCACCGGCAATGCAGGAGGAGCTTGCGAAAGCAATCGGAACAGTCCCAGCGGTACTGTTCCGGTTGTAGTAGTTACCCGTAAGTGAGTCCTTCAACTACATAAACTACTTGTCAATGCAAAGCTTTTAAACTCTTTTCCAAAATAAGAAGCCATTGATTACACCATCTCATACAGTAGCAGTGTTGGGACCGTCCTTCTAAACAAAGTGCAGCGTTGATGGCGGAGTTTGTGTTTCTTAAGTCCGGGTTCATGATGGAGTAAATCGAATAAATCACCAATCAAAGGCCAAAAGTTCCCATCCTTACAAATGATACTACTGCTGCAGCGAACTCTAGACGAAACAAAGTCACTGAACAGCAGCAAACCGCATCTACGGTTGGTGGATGCTTAGCATTGGAGGGGTCAAAATGATCAGCGCAGTGCGGGGTAGCTCTGACGCCCTTCGGTTCCAGTGACGAGCCGCGCTGTGACCCCTCCTTTCTTATGTCGCGATCGGGTCTAATGACGTTTGAGCTCTCGGGGTGGCTAGAAATTGAGTCCATCGCCTCTGCATCTTCCTTCTCCTTGACAGTCGTTCATGACAAGTTACAGCTGCATCCCACAAGTCTTATCACCAATTATTATACCTGTTTAGAAAATAGCAGCAACAATGGCATCCAAGGAGCTCCCCGCACGTCTCAAAGAGGGACTTGAGAACACCAAGGTGGAGTACCGCCAGCTCGGCAAGTCCGGACTACGCGTTTCAGTCCCGATCTTTGGCTGCATGAGCTTCGGAGACTCTCGCACTTTGGGCTGGGCCTTGAATGAAGATGAGGTATGTCTGGACTGGTTGGTGTCGATGTCAGGGTCGGGCTATACTCACTGTGTGGTTACTTAGGCTCTTCCCCTTCTCAAGGCGGCGTATGATCGAGGATTGAACACCTGGGACACGGCCAATGTCTACTCCAACGGTGCATCGGAGATTACTATTGGCAAGGCCCTCAAGAAATACAACATTCCGCGTCAAAAGGTTGTCATATTGACAAAGTGTTTCTTCGCCGTTGGCGAGGAACCCGGTAGGTTTGCGGAACTATGTAGCAACAGGTCTAGTCGCTAAACGGTCGGAATTTTAGAGACTCGGCACTTCAACTACCGCGAGGAGATCAATAAGTCGAAAGACTACCAGAATCAATGGGGTTTGTCCCGAGGGGCCATCTTCAACCAGGTTGAGGCGTCCCTGAAGCGACTCGATACCCCGTACATCGACCTCCTCCAGATCCACCGATTTGATCCTAATACTCCCATTGAGGAGACGATGAAGGCACTACACGATCTCGTCCAAACAGGAAAGGTACGATACATCGGTGCAAGCAGCATGTGGGGGACACAATTCGCCCAGATGCAATTCGTCGCCGAGAAGAACGGATGGACCAAATTCGTCAGTATGCAGAACCAGTACAACCTCCTATATCGTGAGGAAGAGAGGGAGATGAACCGGTTTTGCAATGATACGGGCGTGGGTCTCATCCCTTGGGCCCCTCTGTGTAAGCATCTGCCCGTCAATTCAGTTTCGATGTCATGCTAACTGGTCCACCAATTAGGTCGTGGCCACTTGGCTCGACCTCCAAAGGATTTCGGCTCCACCTCCCGTAGCAAGAGCGAGAAAGAGAGCCAACCCGGTAGCCACGGGACAGTCGAGCCGGACCTTACCATCATTAAGCGTGTACAAGAGATCGCGGATAAACGTGACTGGCCCATGGCCCACGTGGCTCTTGCATGGATCAACAAACGCATTACGAGCCCCATCATTGGCTTCAGCAGCGTCGACCGAATTGACCAGGCTATCACTGCGGATGGTAAGGTTCTGACTGATGAGGAGGAAAAATACTTGGAGGAGTTGTACCAGCCCAAGGCTATCTCTGGCCATATGTAATGCCGACGCGCTATGCCGTCCGTATGGGAAGGATCTAGGAAGGTTCAAAAGATCAAGGCACAACCAATCGGACTTTTCCACAAGTCCTGTTCATTATGCATGCATGTGATGAACGGCATTATAAGACCCGGCTTCCACGTGAAGTTACCATAGACGAACTCTTCCAGGACATTGCCGAATCTTCGCTAATGTACCCGAGCTTCCTGAAGGTTTCCATCCGGGGGATATCCTTCAACTTCAGTACCGAACACGAGTTCGGAGGGTAAATAATGGATCCTAGGCTGGCTGAAGCGCCTCTCGTCTGATATTGCTCGCAACAAAGACCGTCACAGGACACAAGCTCTTACCTAACCTGGGGATACAGGCTTGTTTTCAGACATCGTAAGCAACCGATTTATTCACAAACGATCGATTGTAACTTGCTTTCCGTTCCCCCACATAAGATACATCGCTTATTCGGCTGGAGGGATACCCTTAGCCGCAGCCATCTGAATGTGTGGGTGCATGACACCTGCCGGCCCATGACTTGCGACGCCGTTGTCGAGGGTCGGAGGCACACCTCGCTTAACAATGGAGCCGGATTTCTCCAGTGACCTCCCTGTCCATTCCATTTAAGTGGCTCTTGATACCATATGCAACCTTGACTGCTCTCAAAATATAGGAACACATCTGCTTTCGGGCGTATGATGCGAAGAATTTCCAGGAGTTTCTGAAACCTGCGCGAACAGCAGCACCACAAAACCTGGTTCATCCGTTATCAAGCCATCTCGATAAACATAGACGTAAGCCATGAGATCGTGGCTCTGCAATCATATGACATCATGGTCGTTCCATCAGTTCCGAAGACAAGCAACATGACTCTGACTTCATAAATCGGCGCAAGGCCGCTGCTATAGCCTGTTACTTGTCTTTGACTCTGGTCGTGTATATAATACAGTGGAAACGGACAGACCGGGCACCAGACCCCTTATTCCTTACGAACCGTACCCAACCATGATCCCATCTATACTAGCCTTCGTCTCATTGGTTGCTCTAGCATATTGCGCGCCACAAAAGAGAGCGGGTGGCGGGACCCCTCGAGTCACCATCAAAGCCCCTCAAGCAAACCTCAAAGGCAGCACCAAAGGTTTCCTCGGAGCCAAGGCCGGCGAGGTCGAATCCTTTATGGGAATCCCATTTGCAAAGCCTCCTGTTGGAGAGTTGAGATTCAAGCCTCCTGTTCGTATAACAGAAGCCATGGGAGAAGTCGACGCTACTACAGAGGAGCCACCAGCATGCCCACAGTTTTACCTAGGTACCGATTTTGGCTCGCCTCTTATCCCTCCAGGACTTCTTGACCAGGTGCTCAACCTACCCATCCTTAAAAGTTTGGCCGTTGGACAAGAGGATTGCCTCACAGTTAACGTTCAGCGACCAGCCGGAACGAAAGAAGGGGACAAACTTCCAGTGATGTATTGGATCTTTGGTGGAGGGTTCGAGTTAGGAAGCACGTCGATGTACAACGGAGCTGGCATCGTGGCTGAAAGCATGTCGACAGGCAAACCCGTCATATTTGTGGCTGTCAACTACCGCGTGGGAGCGTGGGGGTTTATGCCGGGTAAGGACCTCATGGAAGAAGGTAGCTCTAACGCCGGTCTGCTCGATCAACGGATGGGACTCGAATGGGTCCAAGACAACATTGCTAGCTTTGGGTAAGGGCTACCAGCTTCGCAACATTGTCCAATAGCACTGACTCTTGTCTTCATAGAGGTGATCCTGACAAAGTTACCCTTTGGGGAGAATCTGCCGGAGCCATTTCGATATTCAGCCAGTACATTCTATTCGATGGCAACGTCACCCGGAACGGGAAGAACCTCTTCCGCGGCGCCATCATGAATTCCGGATCTGCCGTTCCTACTGACCCCATGGATTGCCCTAAAGGTACCAAAGTTTACGAGCAGGTACTGTCTGCTGCAGGCTGTAAAGGGGCGAAGGATCAGTTGAAGTGTCTCCGCGACCTCCCCTTTGATGTAAGACGTCTCCAAGGTGTCAAAGCGTTGTTCAATCTTCTGACTCAATGTTTGCAGGCCATGCGAAAAGCTGCGAACTCGGTGCCGGGTTTGTTAAGTTACAGTTCTGTCGCCTTGTCATACCTTCCGCGACCAGACGGCAAAACCATCACTGCAAGCCCCGAAGTAGTCGCGACATCGGGCAAATTGCCCAAAATACCGTTTATTCTCGGGGATCAAGAAGATGAAGGTACTCTTTTCGCCCTCTTCCAACCAAACATTACCACCACTCAAAAAGTTGAAGAGTACCTCTCGACACTCTATTTTAACAACGCTTCACCCCAACAAATCAAAGAGCTGGTAGGAACATATGACCCGCTACCATCTGAAGGATCGCCGTTCAGAACCGCTATCTTCAATGAAGTACGTCCCCAGTTCAAGCGTCTTGCTGCCATCCTAGGTGATGCAGTCTTCACTCTCACGCGTCGGGCAGTATTCAACGTTTCTCAGGCAGTTCAGCCAGAGGTCAACAATTGGAGCTATTTAGCCAGCTACGACTACGGCACCCCAGTCCTGGGCACTTTCCATGGGTCCGACCTCCTCCAAGTCTTTTACGGAATTAAGCCGAACTACGCCGCAGCTGCGACGCGAGCGTACTACTTCAACTTCGCTTATAACCTCGATCCGAATGACTCCTCTGGAGGCACAGGCACTTCCAAGGTGAAATTGATCAACTGGCCAAAATGGAAAGACGGCAACAAGCTGCTCCATATGATGGCTGACGAGGCTGAACTCATAAACGACGATTTCCGTCAAGACAGTTTCAACTTTTTGTTGAATAACATCGAAAAGTTGCGTTTCTGAAACGGTTTCCTGTCGGTTTCCGAGACGCCGAACAAGGACCACGGAGCTGGACTCTCGAAATCGCCAATAGGGTTCGATACAAGTTTAATTGACTACTCTTGTACTTTGAGTACTTTAGTCAACTCTGTCCTTAATCACTTTCACCATTGCAGTCCCTCTTTCAATGTGATGGAGTTGCACTGACCATCACACTGGCGTTGTGTCTTATGATAGGATAGTTTCCGTCTGATGGTGATTTGCGATGGCATTTGACTCCGACTAGTCTTAAAATAGCTCGCCGATGCGATTTATCTGATCAATCCTCTTCGGCGGGCTTTCGTCGTCTCTGATTGATTTAAACATGTAAAACGTTTGCTGTGAAAATGCTCATAATGTAGTCTTAAAAGCCCTGCAATGACCACAAGTAGAAAGGGCCTAGCTGAAGGAACGGGTTTGTAGTATCCAACCAGATCGCACCATGCGGCAACTTTCTACTCGCCACGTCAAAGCTACAGCGACCAATTAACTCTAGCGGTAGATGCACTGCGTCAATCAAGAGTAAGCACATATTTAACAATATCAGACACTTAAGCTGCACTCAGTATTACAAATAACATTATCCGGCACTAAGCAAAACATAATGTTGAAAATAATCTCAAAAACGACGATCTAGACACGGCCGACACCGGCCCCAAGTTTGATAATTGGAGCCAAGAGGGGCAGAGGGGTGAGCTTGAACTTGTATGGTGCCTTGAAGAAGGTACCCTTCTGGGTAATGTTGACACCGGCCTTGCCCCAGTCATTGGCTATTGCAGTGTTAGCTCTGCGCCTTCATTTGAAATATTAGCGCAATCTGAACTTGACTTACGAGAACCAAGGTTGGCGAATCCATCCAGCTCCTCGTCTCCACAGACGCAGGTGTTTGGCGAATCCTCAGGGATGACAAGACCATACGTGCTCAGAGCCTCACGCGTCTTGCCGCGGAATACGTTGCCCTCAACGAGAACCTGGTTGTCAGAACGAGAGTGGATGGCCTGGTAGAGGAAGTCTTCATAGAGATTGCTGTATATATGCTGCGTGCCAAAGCGACCGGCAGGACCACGAGTGCCCATATTCTTCCAGTAATTGTGGTGATAGCTGACGTGGAGGTGGCCCGAGTCGAGGTCGCGGAATGTGGGGTCGTTTCCGACGAGAGAGGACTTCCAGTGATCATGGAAGTAGTTCCAAGAGACTGTGATCCAGTCTGAAGCGCGAATAATGTCGACCTGGCCGTCCTATAAAGGGTTAGCGATTGGCCGGCCAAGTCTGGTCTGCCAAAAGAGCACATACGTAGAAGTCGGGGCCCTGGGATATGTCCGAGGTGAACTCGTTGTGATCCACCCAGACCCTGGTGGAGTTGCGGATGGTGATGCAGTCGTTGTCCAAGATGTAGCTGATCTTGAGATTCTGCAGAATGACATTGGTAGCATTGTAGACGTTGAGGCCCTTTCCGGTAATATGCGCCTGGTTTCTGAAACCAATGAGACTCTTGTTGGAGCCGACATTGAGACGTGCAGGAAGAGCAAATTCGCCTTTGAGGATAATTGTCTTTGGGTCACCACCGACGACGGCGGATTGGAGCTCGGGGACGCTCGTGACGGTAACGGTCGGGCCGCCTTTGCCTCCTGTAGTCTTCCCTATGGGGTTGTCTTTGGCGAAGCCCTCCACGTCCCAGGAGGCAATTCCAAGCCAGTCGAGAGGGTTGGCAGTGGCCAGGCTAGCAAAAACGTAGATGAGGGCGGGGGCGTTGATTCTCATGGTGAAGAATGCCTTAGAACAAACAGGGCAGACGAAGGAGACAGAAGTCGGGATGATTCACGAGACGAACCCATTGACTTAGCAGCCAACCTGGTGCTACTTATACACATCAATTGCAACGCTGCAACGGATGATCATGAGACAATGCCACATTCTGGCCTTGCTCGAACCGAGCTTCAACCTCCAAGATTCAGCCTTTAGCCATTCATTATTTTTAAAACGTCACGATCCATCTCAATGGCTCCATGCGGAGAACCCTGTCTGCCTTGCAGACCATTGCCAATGATAGTCGTCCAGCCTGCCGGGTCGGGACCCTTGACCCAGCCATATCGCTGCTCCGCGTCTGCGCCAAGAGCTGGCTAATGAGGGACGCTCTGCTTTCAGTGGTGGAAAGTCGACAGTCCGGATCATAGCAGTCCACGGGGAAATGTCACGGGCAGGGCAAGCGATGTTTATTTTGGGTAAGGTACGGTGAACGCAGCCAAGAAATGCTTCTTGTTGAAAGATTTGGTAGCGAGATGGAGGGCGTTCCGAATGCACGGCTGATTTGATTGCGGGATATCTGGATACTTTGGGGTCGTTTCGCAGATGCGGACGAGGGGTCGAGTTCCTTCTGAAATAGCGGCTGGGGAAAATGTGGGGGAGAGCAAGTTTGGCCAACAGATAGCCCAGGATTCATGCTCAAAGCGACCTTGAACAGCTGCATATCGAGGTGGACGGGTCCGCGGCTTACTGAAGGCCCCCTGGCTTGTGGATCAGTGAGGTTAAGCTCGTGGGGCTACCTGTGTCTCCGGAGTTCAGATGGAGATTCCATGCTCAATCTCAATTACCAGCCACTTGAAGACCCCGGTTGAGGACTGGAGCTCAATTCCGTCGGAATCAAAATAGTTGTCAAATGGAACATCAGCAGTAGAGTGAGAGTCTAACTACATATCCGATCACTAAAAGGAATGCTCCTCTGAACAATCGATTGCGAGATAAACAACGACCCCCCTCTTTCAGGGTCGACCTCACATTATGATACAGCAACCTGCGAAACATGTTAACTAGCCATCAGAACCTGCATGTGCAACGCTTCACATTGCATCCGGATTGGCCCCTCACTTTGCAGTTCCCACTTCGCCTCGCAAGCCACACGGAAGACTTTTCAGGTTCTTCCGTGAACCACGGTGTCGTGTGGTCGTTCATCTGGAGGCGCGGCGTCACGGACCATCATTCTGGTGCATTCCCACCTCGAGGCAGGCTCTCAAATCGCACACTATGCATGGATCGGTCGGTCATTCCCTTGCCTGGCCGTTCACTTATCAGATTATCGTTCCGATGAGTGAGACTCGCATCTCTCCACCAAGTCATGTCTCGGACGTAGGGAGACACTCATGTCAGAACCTTGTCTCGAAGATGGTTCCAGGAATGTTCTCAGCACTGCTTCTGAGGATATTTTGAGTACTAACGGTCTCATTCCCAACCTTCGGTTGAGCGCGTTCGCCTGTCGACATTGGTTCCCAGCCCACTCGCCGGTCCAGACCAGCGCCGCCCCGAATCGGCCCCACAAGGGTTCCCTCCCCTCGCTTCACGACTCATTTTCCCACCATTTCACAAAGCCATACCTACATATCCCATATTTTGGGACTCGAAGTTCAACAATCCAAATGGTCTGGTGGTGTAGTTGGTTATCACGTCAGTCTAACAGTTCGAAGCTATTCGGCTGAGCACACTGAAGGTCTCCGGTTCAAGTCCGGGCTAGATCATCCACATGGGCGATTGGTTTAGTGGTATAATGACCGCTTAGCATGCGGTAGGTCCTGGGTTCGATTCCCAGATCGTCCATCTTTTTGCATTGGCTGATTTGTTTCTGTTGTTTAAGTCTATAGATTCTATATCTTTTGATTACATCCCTCGTCTAGAGGATGATGGATGCTGTGAAAACATGCCCCCGAATTACGTAGAAAAAGTGTCGTTTACAAGAAGATATCCATGATGGCGCGTGAGGAGGCATCCTTATTTCTTTTCGGAGGGCTTCCGACCGACCATGAGATACATTGGCGTGAAAATCTTCTCCTTGCCGCCCAGCACCAGCGCGTCGGCAGCAACACACAAGCTATCCGACATCTTCACCATACCCGGCGGCGCAAGCCTCAGCGTCTCCATGAGCCCAAGGAATCCGTGCGTGACCATCCGCCCGAGGCCTGTCATGCGAAATGTGTACAGCAAGTCGCCCATTGTTTGCGCGTGTCTCCAGCTGCCAGCATCCAAGGGCCAGTACCACGGACTCGGGTCCGGACGCTCCGCCATATCCTCGTGTTGGAGGACGTCGAAGCCGGCGGCCCTGAACGCGCGCAGCGCTTCCGTCACCTTGACCATGTTGGCGATGCCGTCGCCTTGCTCAATGTCGATGCGGATCTTGCGCTGGCGGAGGTTGGCGTCGTCGTAGTTTTCCGTCATGACCCATTCGTAGACGCCAAAGACGCCGCCGGGCTTCAAGACGCGAAAGATTTCAGAGTACACGGCTTCGAGGGAGGGGGCGTGGACGGTGGCTTCGATGGCATAGACGGCGTCGAACGTGTTGTCCTCAAAGGGTGTGTTCTGGCAAGCGCATAATGTTAGCGGAAGGTCTGCAAGCACGGCTGCACAACGTTGGCAAAACATACCATGAAGTCGGCCTGCACGAACTGGACTTGCTTGTCCATCTTCTCTTTTATGGCGTATCTTGTTGCTCGTTCCACTTGGTACTCATTGATATTGAGACCAGTAACGTAGGCGCCCGTGAATTTGGCAATCTCGCGGGCCGGTCCACCAACGCCACACCCGACATCCAAGACCTTCATATCCTTCTTGATGTCGATCACATGGGCAAGGTAGTGTTCGTGTCTTGCAATGCCCTGCCTGAATGATTCGCCGGCTGCTGCGCGACAGAAGTGGAAACTTTGACCGAAGCCATATTCGTAGAAGTCGGTCGCAAGGTTGTAGTATCTGTTGTCATGAGAGTTAGGCGACGAGTCATTTCTGAAAGAGTTGGAAATACTGACTGTCTGGTTAGGGAAGCATAGTCTGCTGTCCGAGCCTGTAAAGATAAGGGTATCAGCTGATGAAACACCACTGCGGTCCCAGAGGTTTCGACTTACTTCTCGGTCCTCCCGCGTTTCTTTCTGTGCGCTCTTGTTGTCCCAATGTCTAAAGTATTCATCGGTGGCCGCCTTCTGTGCCTCGTGGTCCTTTTTCAGCATGGCCGACATGCCAACGGTCTTCGACGTGCCCTTGTGCAGGATTTTCTCGAACGTCGCGTCTCTAGCCAGGAGCATTTGCCCCTCTTCAGGAATGGTTCCAACCATTGTATTGATAGAGTCGACAGTGCTTGAATAAGACCGACTTTTGCAAGAAAATTGATATACGGCTGTGTAGGCTTCGTGACGGACGAGACAAGAGGAAGATGAATACAAATGTGGATTGTTGAATTGATTTTCCTCGTCAGATCAAGTGAATCTCTCTTCTTATAGCAATTTCTAAAATAACCAGCCTTTGACTTATATCAAGGCTCATCATCGTCTTTCTTTGAAAACCACATATCATGGAAACGAATACGTGATGTGCCTCTCGATCATCTCTAGACCCGAATACGAATGCGCTCAGACCCCTGCGGGCGTGGGATCACTCCAATCCATTGCAGCCTTGTGATTCGTCAACACCGCCGGAATGGGAAGTGCTGTGGACTGCAAAATGAGCATAACCATCCACCCGCTTGCTTCTGCGGATCCGGCTCTAGGTACCAATACCAGATGGCCTTGATAAACCCCGTGGATTTCCCCTGCATTCGGACCTCAAGCAACCACCGGCCCAGGGTTCTGTGCTGAACTGGTGCGCCAAAGTTGTTCATCTCGTTGATGCCGCGCTGAGAGCAACAGAGACCCGGTTTTCGGACCGATGAGGAAAAGCGTCGGCTCGGTCTGCGACTCCTTGGCCTGGTGGGCTTCAACACGAATACGAAAGCCAGCATTTGCGCAGCATTTGCGATTCCGCTACGCGGGAACGGAATGAAGCTAGCATGGCTGCTCTCTTGTGTACTTATTATCGCCGATGCAGACTCTTATTGATTTCTCAATTCCACAAGCAGTTGTGTTGGTAATTTGTGCGGCCACAAAGAAAAGAAGCTTGATATCTGTCTGATTCTAGAGCCTTGATTCGAGCGTGGATATCTTATCAAAAAGGTACTTAAACTTGCAAGGATGATCATGTCTCGAGCAATCGGAGCTCTTGTCTCGTCTTTCTACCTATTGTCGACACCTCTACTCAGGAACACAAGGCAGGTATTCATGAAAGCATGTGCAAAGCAAAGCAAACCATGCGATTGATCACATGGCATTCACTGTACTTGATAATGGAGAACGAGACTCCTGTAGATATACCATTGAGATGCATACTGTTGAGATAGCGTCGCTTCTTCACATTATGTTCAACGTTAGAGGCACTTGGTTTAAGGCGATAAGTCTTTGAAGCAATACTCTCGATAGTTACTGCTGACATTTTCCGTTGTCGACAACGGGCCTGGGACGGGCTTGGAAAATCGGTTACCGGCACCTCCGGAGGCGACGGTGATAGATGACCGGAGAACCGGTGGCCAGTGTCGACAGTGGAGATCGGTGCCGGACCCAGGAATCCGGGCGTACCGAACGCACCCGGCCTACACTTGGCTGCCCACATGGCCCACGCGAATCCGCTTCCACTCCCGCCCCCGCCCCCGCGCCCCCATCAGACGCAGCAGACGGAGTTGTGCAGCCCCCACTCGCGGGCACCTTCACCATCCCTGCCGAAGTCTGGCGGCGTCGTGCATCGGCCTCCGTAGCTAACTTTTTGGCTCGTTGCTGACGTGCCGACTCACTACAGATCTCCGGCTTCGCCTTCGCATGTCTCCTGCGGCGGCTGTGCAGCAAATTAATATTGCGGCTGATGGCAGCGCATGTTGCAACGGTCTGGGATAAATCGGTGGGTCTCTTGTCGTGTCACAGAGATACAGCACCCAGCCAGATCGCCGTGGTCACACGCGCAGCAGATGCTCCGGAAGACGGCAGCGGACGGGAACAGACGTGACGGGGGCTTAGGTAGCTTCCGCATTAGGGCGTGCTGGGCAGCCAAGGCGCATATCCAGGAAGATCGGAGAGAAAGAGGAGAGAGTGCGGGGAAGAGCCAGGCGGCACCGAAGCAATGACATAAAGCATGGCAACTGGGAAAGGTGAGCTCAAGGTTGCAGTGGGCTCATGCTTCATGTCGCCCACGAGTCTAGTCGAGAATACAGACTTTGCCCAAGACTTTTCCGCCCATGAGGGATCTGCATAGTTTCCAAGACCTCAGGGTATGATCGTGATCCCAGGTGTTGTTGCCGACCTCGTACCGACGTGATGAGGCCCGCGTGTGATAAGCTTAACGCCTTTGAGTTTGGCCGACCTGGAACCTCTTGAGTCTGGGGCCATGTCGGAAGGGGAGGCGTCCGCCTGGTCGTCGACCAGCTTCTCCACGCCAAACCTCACTCATCCGCGGACCAACGAACTGGCAACTGTCCGAGAATAAGGACCAATCGCTGTAACTGTGGACGCCGTCCCCCGCGTCGAATGCCGCATGTTCCAAGAGAAGTGCGGAGTCTCCACGGGGAAAGAAAGTCGTTGCGTTCGATGATGCACTCTTCTGATGACCTCTTATCGTAGTCAAACTGGTTGAGGCAGTTGCTAAGAAAAGCCCAGTCTTTTCGACTGTCTCTCCAGCCTCCCCCAACTGCCAGACGGAGAGAAATGAACCAACAAGCACGACCGATGCCGACCCCAGAACACCCACAAGGCATCCATCGTCCCATCGGCAGCTGCGCTGTGCAGCGAGGCCGGGATGCCCAGTTTCAGCGACGTCAGGCCAAAATCCCCCATTGGCCAATCCGCCCTGGAAATTTCGCAGAAACCTTCGCTCCAATCGCCGGTGGGTGGAAACACCGAACATTCTCTCGGCTGTGATTGGCCGTTAGGGGTCGGGGCCTGACAATCCCTAAGGCCTAACCCTGTTGGGAAAGGCTCGTAGGCCCCAAAGTAGTCATTCTCTACGCCACATGGCGCAGGGATGCCCGCGGTGTCTCCAGGACGCGGCCAGACTTGTTGGTACAAGGTATTGGACTCACTGTTTTTTTTTTCTTTTCTTTTTTTTAGTTTGAGTTTTTTTTTTTGGCAGTTCTTTTGGGTCCCTTTACTTTGGGTGAGGCGACTGCCGCCAGGTCTCCTTGCTGGTGAAAGGGTGTGGGTTTCTTCTTCTTTGCTCCCCTTTCTCGATCGCTTGATCTTTGCCCCAGCCGTTCGAGACATTCCACCCGCTTCTGTCCCCTCCAATTCGATCGCAACCCGTACACACCACACACACACGCACACACACACTACCGTACAGGTACTCGGTACGCCTGCGACATCAACCCCAGACTATCCATTCCCAGACGCAGTCTTCCCCGCGCAAGCCAATGGGTCGTGGAGAAAGTGGAGCGTAGCGTGTCCTTAGTCCCGGGTTCATGCGTGGGTCACGCGTTACGGGGAGGGTTTCTACCTTGGTTGCTCAGCGTTCTTTGGCTGCTTTTCTTGCATTGAGCAACTCAAGACAAGACTGTCCCATGAGGTCAACATCACACAAGCTCCTCCCGCCACCTCTGGATTGAATTTGAGCGAGCCAGTGAGAAGCCGCGCCGCTCTGACAACCGCCCTTCTCCTCGTGAAGGGAGCATCACCATCATCTCTTGGCGCGCGGCATCAGGTTGATTGACGCGGGCCGGAGGATATAAGATGACTTGTTGTCCCATCTCGACTTGATCTCATCCCAGCAGCAGCAGCAGCAGCAGCAGCAGCAGAAGGCTCATCAGATCGGCATCTTTGACTTCAGACAACGGTCGAGCGCAACGTTGCTTCCTTTGTACCATTCCAAACCACCAGCTCGAACCTTGACAAGATCGAGCTTGGGTCCGTCTCCTCTCCCCACATCACACCAAATTTCCCTCCGACATCCTTCTGACGAACAAGCATCGAGTCGCAGCCATGGTGCTCTTCGGCTCAACCACGCCCAAGGCGCCGACCACGGCCGTCGCCATCGACCCCGAGGTCTCCCGCCGCATGTCCGTCGACGGCGTCAACGCCGCCGGCCTCGCCACCGAGGCTGCGAACGCGACCGAGGCCGAGCTCGGCATGGGCCTCATGCAGTCCATCAGGCTGTACCCCAAGGCCGTCTTCTGGTCGCTCTTCTTCAGCACCGCCGTCATCATGGAGGGCTTCGACAAGACCCTCATCGGCAACCTCTACGCCTACGACGTCTTCCAGCGCAAGTTTGGCGAGCGCCAGCCCAACGGCTCCTACGAGCTGACGGCCGCGTGGCAGGCCGGCCTCAGCAACGGCGCCCTCGTGGGTGAGATTACGGGCCTCTTCATCAACGGCCTCATCGCGGACAGGTTCGGGTACCGTAAGACCATGATCGGCGGTCTCATCGCCGTCACGGCCTTTGTCTTCATCATCTTCTTCGCCGAGACCCTTGTCCAGCTCCTGATTGGAGAGATCCTCATCGGAATCCCGTGGGGTATCTTCCAGACCCTGACCGTGACCTACGCCTCCGAAGTCTGCCCCACGCACCTGCGAGCATACCTTGTAAGACCCACAACCACTACACCAGTATACGTTGACTAACGGTTTACCCTTACCAGACGACCTACGTGAATCTCTGCTGGGTCATGGGCCAGTTGATCGCGAGTGGTGTCCTCCGTGCAATGATCCAGCGCACCGACGAATGGGGCTTCAAGATCCCCTTTGCGCTGCAGTGGATGTGGCCCGTCCCGCTCATCATCGGCATCTTCCTCGCCCCCGAGTCCCCATGGTGGCTCGTCCGCAAGGAGCGCCTCGAGGACGCCAAGGCCTCCCTCCTGCGCCTCACCAGCCGCAACAAGCAACATGACTTCAACCCCGATGAGACAGTCTCCATGATGGTCCACACCAACGCGCTCGAAAAGGCCGCACAGAGCGGAACGACGTACCTCGACTGCTTCAAGGGCAACGACCTCCGCCGCACCGAGATTGTCTGCTGTGTTTGGGCCATCCAGACCCTCTGCGGCTCGACCTTCATGGGCTACTCGACCTACTTCTACCAGCAGGCCGGCATGGCTACGGAAAACTCCTTCAGCATGTCGTTGGGCCAGTACGCCATCGGTGCCGTCGGCACAGTCTTCTCGTGGTATCTGATGCAGCACTTTGGTCGCCGGACGCTGTATCTCGCAGGCCAGGCCATCATGTGCGTCGTGCTCGCCACCACTGGCTTCGTCTCCTTCGCCGGCAGGGAGAACGTAGCCGCGCAGTGGGCCATCGGCAGCCTGCTTCTCGTCTACACCTTCTTTTACGACTGCACCGTCGGCCCGGTCTGCTACTCGCTGGTATCCGAGCTCAGCTCCACCCGCCTCAGGACCAAGACCGTGGTGTTGGCGCGCAACCTGTACAACATTACCGGCATCACGACCAACATCCTGACGCCTCTGATGCTCAACCCCACTGCGTGGAACTGGGGCGCCAAGAGCGGCCTCTTCTGGGCCGTCAGCTGCTCCATCTGCTTCGTCTGGACATGGTTCCGCCTGCCTGAGCCCAGAGGTCGAACGTACGGTGAGCTCGAGGTGCTGTTCGAGCAAGGGCTGCCGGCGAGAAAGTTCAGCAGGACCGAAGTTGCTGGGTTGACTCGAGGGGCGCACAGCAACGATAAGCTGTCCGAGAAGGAGTCTGAAGCAGGTGTCAGTGAGATCGAGAAGATGGCTTCGGCATAGAGCGGGAGGATGGAAATATAGTGATTTGAAAGAAGGGGATTCAGCATAATACCATTGGACTACAGCATATTTCTTTCACCCAGTTCTCATACAGTTATCACAAGGCAAGCGTTGAATGCATTCAAGTCCAGGTTTCAATCGAAGTATGCCCTTATACTGTGCAAAGAGTCCGAGCCATTCATTGGTGGTATAAGTAAGGAGCAGTCATCGCCATGCCGATTCCTCCGACACCGTGAAAAGTTTGAGCTTCGCAACCAACCACTACCAATGCAAAGATCGTAACGGGGGAGTCTTGCATGCTACCCCGCTCTACGGTCGTTGTCGGCGCCAACCGTTGGTGCTCATGAACAAGTCTCGTATTTGAGGACGGTTCGCAACCAACGGATGGGCGCTCCTACCTTGTGCTCGCCTCACTTTACCCGGTTATCTTCCTGTGGGCTTTAAAGTCCCCTCCACTGCCCAACACACATGAGTATTTGACAACACATCTCTGTGCCAACGGAGGACCTCACCACAGCATCGAACACGACGTCACGATGATTCCCTGGACCTGCGCCTGCGACCGCAGCTTCAACTCAGAAGCAGCGTTGATACAGCATCAAACAGACAAGGAACGAGCCCACGGAGGACGCACCCCCTGCCGCCGGGCTTCCAGCGCAGTCCCTTCGCCGTCGAAAATCAAGGCGCCAGGCGTCGAAATCCAAACAGGACAAGGCAATCGGCGTTCGCTTGCGACAGCATCGAAGGAAGCATGGCTGTGGAAGCAGGTCCAAAGGCCCGTCGTGCCTGTCCACACCATTGTCCAGAAAGCAATCGAGCGTTCAACGACTGGAGTCAGCAGCCCGTCTGGCTTTCAATTGCTGTGCAGCTATAACTGGCAGAAAGGAAAACCATTGAGGATTCGAGTCCCAGGCATGTCGCGTCGCCTCCAAACTTTGAGACTTGAGCTGACCATGACCAGGACACGCAGCGATCTGGCAAAATGTGGCTCTGCCGTTGGCCTTACCACCCGACCGGGGAACTTACTTCATCGACCAGAACGCCAATATGTTGCCCGAGTACCCATTCGAACCAATGTTCCGAGCAGCAGCTTCCATGAACAAAGACATATCCTTCGGTGACACTGATATCATCACAAACCGCAACAGCCTTCGGAAGCTGCTCGACTTCAGCGCCGGCCGGGCCCGCAACAGCTTCCGACTCAACCTTCACCTGGTGCGCGACACCCTGATCATCGAGCGCTGCGAAAAGGATGCCCGCGAGATCCTCGGCGGGTCGCGGAACTCTGGTTGGGGCCGGAACTTTGAAAAGGCTTCGGTCAAATTTCCCATCGGTCTGGAAGACAGTCTGGGTCACCACCGCACGCTGCGGTACTCGCTTGGAGCGTTGAATTGTGCGGTGCAGTTTGAAGTTGATGCCAGCTACGACCCTGATGGCCAAGACGCCGCTGATTCGGACACTCTGACTGTACCTATGGAGAAACTGTCCATCAAGTCTACTCAGCCACACGAGGTCGAGAAATCCTCGCGAGGCTTGCAAGTCGAGACAGCCTATGCCGAAGCGCACGTGATGCGCCAGTCAACTGCTGCGGAAATCAAATCCACGACCAGGAACAAGTCACCCGGCCAGTATATGCCGCAGCTCTGGTTCGGCAGAACACCCTGGCTCATCGTCGGTCATCACAACGAGGGGACTTTTGACAGCAGGAAGATCACCGGTGTGGCGGCTAGCTTCGCCGACTGGGAGACCACGCACCAGGCCCCGCTGCAGAAGCTGGTAACCGTGCTCGTCGAGCTCCGGCATGCGGTCCGGAAGAATGGAGGCCGGCACAGCGCTGCTGTTTACGAGCAAGGCTCCGGAACCATTCGTGTCTTTGAGTTGACGAGCTTCCGACAGGCATTGCCGATGGACCTAAGGCAAAAGCTTTGGACTTGAAGATGTGGCTGATACGACTCGAGGAGGTATGTGTCAATGACCTTGGGGGAATAGACGTTCTCTCATGTCACCGACACCGTTCTTGTTTCTGATTTTTCTTGCCAAAGGCAGCAATGACACTAGAGTATACTTTTCGACGCTGCCTAGTCCAGGGATCGTCTGCCAAGACGCCAAAGCATCGGAAAGACAAGCCGTTGCCTAATGAGAATCTCCACATCGGACAGGGCTGATACCAAATAAACGAGATGGGTCAGGGCCCTGAAATCAATGGGCCCCCCGCTCCATATTGGCGTTGGTATCGGCATCGAAACAGTCGGCTGATATCGCCGGGTGCTGTGATGGTAGGCTACAACTCTCCCGTCGCTGTGGCTGAGCAGTTGACGGCTACCTAGAATAAGCTTAAACGACCGTTGATGGTGATCCATGTTGGGGGCTTGGACAACAACAGAGAACCGACAGATTATTGCAGCCCCCAAGACGGATTCACAATAGAGTCTGGATCTATTTTTGTCCTGTGATATGCCTGGTATTTTGTGATGGCCTTTGTGAATCCTGTATGAAAGCAGTTCACCGTTGGCGCCAACAGCTCTTGGCTCTGCAGGAGAGTTCCTTTGATGCCCGACCAACACTCAATTCACCTACTCACGTCTCAGACTAAGCAGGTTGTGCTCAACTCTCTCAACGCACCACACTGCTTGGTCACGATGACATCGCCAAACAACCAAAACAGCGGGAGCAACGGGCCAGTCGAGCCTTGGCAGCAGTCTGTTCAGGCAGTCCACCAGGGCTGCTTCCGCCAGATCCAGAAGAGAAGCACAAAAAAATGAAATAAATAACAACAATAACCCAAAAAACCCATGGGCTTCTTGGGCAAACCCAGCCAGCCTCCCCTGTCGCGAGGCCACGATCCTGCTCCCACCAACACGACCAACCGAGCAACCCCCAAACCCCTTGGCTGCGCCACGCCCACTTGGTGCCGCGGACCCCACGAGCAAACCACCAAGCCAGCCCATCTCGCTTGTCGGGCGGCCGGCATATAAGAACCCCATCATGTCGCCCCCTCCCGCTCAGCTCGTCATGCCCCCGGTCCCCGGCACCGATCCCAGCTTGCTCTTCTTCGGCGCCACCAGAGACTTGGCTCGAGCCTACGACACCTACTCCCTTTCGTCCTCCTCCACCGACAGCGACACCGCCGCGTCCATCCTCGGACACCAGGCCATCATCGGATACCAGACCATGGCGTACGGCGATCAGCAAGACGCAGCCGGCGCCGGCGGACAGGCCGCAGGCGGCAGCATGAAGGACCGCATGTGTCCCAACATGCGCGGCTGCTGGTCCTTCTCGTGGGAGGCGTACAGCCTTAAGACCTCGGACAAGGCCGTCCTCTTCCGCCGCATCTGCATGTACGTCATCCTCGGCATCCGCACCGCCATGTCCGTCATCGGCGTCGTCCGCGACATCGTGCACGCCCAGATCGTCAGCCTCATCCTAGGCATCATCCTGGGCGTCATTGGCTTCTTCTTCATCGCTTGGTGCCTTGCTGTTATCGGCCAGTCCGAGGGTCGTCGCAAGGTCCTCGGAATCATGGTGGTGAGTGAGCTCTAACGAGGCGATGAAAGATCGTCTTATTTGCCGTGGGTTGAGGTGACAGAGTCCCTGCTAACTCATCTTTCTTTTCATTTCTAGGGACGATGGCATTTCGACATCTTCTTGCTGGTCACAGCCTTCATCCATGCCGCGCTCCTCGTCGGAAGCTTCTTTGGCCTCGGCAGCGCCGGTGGCCACGCCACCTGGCTCATTATGTGGCTGCTCATTTTCCTCGTTGCCTGGATCGGCACTTGGCCTGCTGAGCAAGAGAGCCATGTCTAAGCTGGCCTCCTCACAACGACATTTTTCTGCAACCTTCTGGCATCGAAAAATCACGTCGTATGACTGGGACGTGGCAACTGAGTGCATGGAATGGGTGAGAAAAAGCTGATGTGCACTTGCTGAAGCGCGAATCGGAAGACTTGGCAATCGTTGAGACGGAGCAGCACGGAGTGTGACAGCGGAGCGGCTGGATGAGAATTGAGACGAGGACTTGGAATTCGCGATACCCTACATAGCTGACGTTTGCGACCTCGGTGAAGACACTAAGAGACGGTCAGTCATTGCTGAATGAGATAAAATAAGTCGTCTTTCCGTCCAGATTCTAGGTGACGGCTAGATAGAGAGGAACGACGGCAAGGGATCTGTTGTTCGCGGAGCGACGGCTGACTGACATGAAGCCAAAACAGTATACATCATTCAAAGACTTTGGTGCTACTTGTCATTGGATGTTGAAGTGTGAAGGGATCCCAAGGTTGTCCAAGACATGACACTCGCCTCCGATGAAGCGCCCATACATTTCTTGTGACGTCGTGAGATGAGCCTCGACAACCAAGCACTTTAAGCTTCGTGCGCTTGGCAATTGGGCATCTGACGACTCCCAAGTCTAGAAGGCGTGGCGTTTGCGAACAATTGATGAGGATTTTGTCAAGGATGTAAGATGGCGCATTGCGCAGGCCGCCCATCGTCATTCCGATATCGCTAGATCCAATCCGGAGCGGGCTCCGATGCTGCAGTACGTTGGCAGTGAGGCGGGTCTCTCTACGTCGCACATCACGTCCCGTGTCTCTCAACTCCAGCATCATGGACAGGCCACGCCTACCGGGAAAAGTGTTTTCGAGGCCATGGAACCAGGAATTATCGTGTAAAGTCGCACAAATCGTCCAGGACCGGCCCATCTACATGGCACTGCACAGCATTGGCTAAGCCGCTGGCATCGCACTTCACATCCAATATCGTCTCGGAGAGCATGACCGTGGGTAGGGATCTGCCGGTCCCGATGATGCCCAGGCTTTGCGACAGGTATTACAGTTTAGAGCATACCGGGACTCGAAGAACGACGTCGACGGACACGAGGCGATGCTGCGGCACACTGGGGTAACTAAGCTTCTTTATTTTCGCATCTCGGGAGTAATATCGCATGCAATCGAATAAATGAAGGACAGGTGCGGACAGGACAGACCGACCCGGAATAACCCCCCAAAAAAACGCAAGGAGATCTCAACTGACGAACAGACTACAGACGGCGACGGATCTATCGCTTGTAGCCCAAACGCTCCAGGAGCGACTCTCCCGTCGGGGCGCCGCCCTGTCCCTTTCTCAGACCGGCGTCGACGCCCTTGACGTAATCGAGAACGCGCAGGTGCTCTTTCTTGAGCTCTTCGAAGTCGTGGGAGAGCTGCTCGTGCCAGGGGTACAGGACGAAAACCTGGAAGCCGAGGGCGGAGGAGGCGACGAGGAAGTTGGTGAGGGAGATGGCACGCGTGATGAGGACCATTTTGGCGGCTGCTTGGTTATGGGTTCGGCTTTAGGGTATCGCTTGTGTATCTTTTCTTCCTGATGTAGATTCTTCGGTATGCGCGAGATCTGGAGGGACGCCGGTCCGATCAGCACGTGGGCGGCCATCGCGGGGTATCTTGGTCCAAATGGGACCCGAGGGGCGATTGCGGCTTACATTTGTTTTGCTGTGTTTTGGATGTGCGAGCCCGAGTTTGATCGGTCAGTCAGTCGCAAAGGAAACGGAAAGAGAGGAGAAAGGTCTACCGGAACAATGAAAAACGAACGATGCAAAGGAAAACAGGATGCGGGAGGGAAGTTTGCGCAAGACGGGAACGAAACGGCACGAATAAATTTAACAAAGAGGGAACCCGGGGATGATACCTGAAAGACCCTTTTGGGAACCTCCCCAGCTCGGATTACCTCACCGACAGCGGCCCGGCGGCACGGTGGGCACCCTCCGAAGACACACCCACGCTCGGACAAGGACGGGTTGGTTCAGGCAAAAGGTAGCAGGTCCTCGAAGGATATCGCTGAGTTGCGCGTTACAGGTCGTCGTGCACCTTGTACGTGAGACGTGCTTGTGACTGTAAGCTCCCGCTCATTTCGTGTCTCTTGCTATGGACAGGGCCGGCCGTCGAAGCAGGACCAACCTCGTCGCCTGGCAGCCCTGCGGGTTCTCGGCTACGATGTACAATGTCACCGGGCCAAACTACGGTGACCAGCGTGCCAGCATGTCAGGTCCTGAGCTAAAGATCCCGAGAAAGGAGGGATGATTCAAGAATGGATGGGACCGGCCGTCGAAGGTGGCCTGACTTTTGTGGGGCCCGTCTTCGCCGTGAGAACTGCCTAATGAAAATTAGAGAACTTCCCGGGGTGGAGCCGGCAGCCCGAGGCTGGGGCTCTCCGACTGGCTCTCGCACTACGGTCTTTCAGGTTTCTCCAAGCCCCAAGACCACGACGCACAATTCTTGCCTCCTCAAGAACTCCGGCCTTGGGATTCTCCTTGGCTCTGGATTCTGGGTTAGTCTGTCGGGGTAGGTCGTGCTTGGAGGACCGATGATGGGGATTCAATGGGGTTGATGAGGGACAAGACCATCCATCTGATCAGGGGGGTGAGTAGCGCATGTGAAAGTCTCTCCCTTGCACGAATGGGCCAACTGCGACGAGAATTCGCCCGCAGAGGCCGCTAAGAGCAATCCAAATGCTAATGGGGGGGAAAAGGCGGCCATGATAGGTTATACCGTTCGTTATTGACATTTGGGAACAGTTCCGTCGAGCGAGCCTATCAGACCCAATACTGCAACGACCACTTACTTCATGTCTCTGTGCGTGGAAGATTGGATTTTCCACCACGTTCCGCCACGTTCCGCCACGGTTGTCCGCGGAGAACAACCAGCATTGCGAGAGTCATTGTCTGGTTCAACTCAATCACTTCCAGTACGCACATGCAATGACCATACCATCAAAAGATGACATGGAATAGTCCGTCGCGGCCACCGAACCCACCGTAACTACCACCTGTCCAAGAATGCAAGCGGCGACGCTCCGCCTACCGCAAACCCGGATCGACGCCGGTTGCGAGACCCGAAGCGGGTCGCGTGAGTTCGGGCTGCCACGTGTTGGTAGTGCATCACTACTCCGAGACTTGCCGATTGACGGACCCGCCGGCCATCAACCTTGCGATTCCGGCTCTGATGCTTAGAGATTACTGTCATTTCATTTCCTGGCCTTTGGTTCACAGTAATTCGGAACTGCGGATGAAAGTTTTGATTCACTTACTTATAAGCTGACTTGTACGACACAGCTGCTGTGATTTCGTGGCAGAGCACTAACTGCAACCCGGAGCAACTCATCAGCGGAGTATCGGAGATAGGTTCCGAACATGCTGCGATCCACCGAGACACGAAATACTGTCCAAACCGATCACCAATCCCGTTTGACTATTATAGAACTGTACATCAGGCTCATTCAAGATATTAGCTTAGGTTCTTACTTTGGCAAATCTCAGTGCACGCCACTGAACCGTTTGAAGCATTAGACAAGCCGAAGGATATAGAGGACCTTTTGTGCCTTGATGACGGTTCTGCAAAACTAACGACGAAGGAGATTTGTGGTATGATACTGGAAATGACTTTGACAAAAGCACTTTAAAACGGAAATTTTGTCTTCCAGCCAGTTGTCAGAGAATTTACCTTGATGGTTTGAGCGGTACTTAAATCGGTAATCAAACTGTTGTGAAATGAGTGATACGTACTGTGTTGGGTTTTACATCATCAACTCAGAAACTTGAGTTGTCCCTACTCGAATGACCACTGTAATGCAAGGCTCCATTCTTCAAATGCATGCACTAATTAGGCTGTCTGGCTCGATTTCTTGAAGATAGGGCTTACATATCACCGTTGGGCGTGCGATAATGGGAACTAGTTCCAGTTGTTCCTTTTCAACAGGCCACTATATTTTGGTCAATCCGAAATGTGCGGCATGTGCAACCAAGTTAGATAAGTGTGAAAATCACTATACTACCAGGATTTAGTAATATATTTGATGCTGCGACATCCCGAAAGCGATGTCACTATTGTAGCAAGCCAATACTCGCACGCGGAATTACATAGAAGATACAAGTAACAAAATGAAAAGCTTCAGTGTCCTCACAAGATTCGAAACCTCCTACCGCATCATCTAGATACTTGATGTGGTTTTCTCAGTTACGCGGCGACATGAAGAACATCTGCGTGGAGTGCCTCCAAAGGCGCCTGTCTGGTCCCTGTGACGCCATCGGCGGATGGAATCGCGCAAATGTATCGGGAACATGGACCTTGACACCGGGAATCGGACTTGGCTCTGAAAGATAACGAATGGCCTCTGGATGATGCAAGCAGAACAACTTGCTTTCGAAGATCAAACTCAACGCAAGTCTTGGATAATATAAGTACATCGCTGCGGTCGGTCTTTTTGGTGGCTCAGGCGTCGTCACTGACATGTTTCCGTGCAACTCGAGCTGGCACGGCGGTGTCAATGACAATATTATGAACATTTCGGTTAACTGCAGAGACGCAGATAAGCGCTCTGGTGGGACTGCTGATATCTCGTTCGCGTCCAGCTTGTTGTGCAAGCACGTCATCTGCAGTACCAATTCGTCAGAGACGCCTGGGTTATATATGCTTCTCACCTTGGCAAGATACAAGTAACAATTCTTTAGAAGTTCATCTCATGAACAACTAAGCTCTGTCCAGTTAATCTTCAAAATATGGCCCCTCGATACTTTAGTATTGCCGTGATTGGCGCGGGGCCATCCGGAATTTCAGCCGTCAAGGCACTCAGCGACGAGAAGGCGTTCGAGAGGATACAAGTGTTTGACCGAAGAGATCGCATTGGCGGTACATGGTAAGCAAACCTCCTTGGGAGCTCTGGAACAGTGTTAATGCAGGTTCGCAGGATCTATGACGAGGAGCCAGAGCCCTTCTCGACTTTCTCAAGCCAACCAGTCAGGGAAATACCAAAGAAGCTCCCACAGTCACTGCCACCCGCTTCGGAGAATGTCACTGCTCGGACTGGCCTCTATCCTTCTTTAGACAGCAATGTCGGCTCTCAAGTCATGGCCTTCACTTATAAGCCGTTTCCGCCTGTCAACTCTGCGACTTCCATCACCCGCTTCGGCAAGGATAACCCGACACATCCCTACGCAAAGGTCGCAGGATACCTCGAAGAAATTGCCGAGCCCTTCTCGCATCTGTTTACCTTCAACACCCACGTTGAGCGTGTTGAAAAGGTTGGGCAAAAATGGCAACTGACGCTGAGAAGGACTCAGCATTACCTCCGGCATGAGAAGAGAGACTACTGGTGGCAAGACACATTCGACGCGGTAGTCGTCGCCGCAGGACACTATGGGGTGCCTTATGTGCCCAACATTGCGGGGTTGAAGGACACGTTTGCTGCCTTGCCGCAGCGATTTGAGCATTCCAAAGCATACCGATCCCCCGAGGATTACGTGAACAAGGTGAGCTTCCATTTCTAACGCAAGTGGCAAAAGGGTTATTGACCTCGTTTCCCAGAAAGTTGTTGTAGTTGGTGGAAACGTATCTGCTTCCGATACCGTTTCTGAAATCCACAACATTGTTTCTGGCCCTCTTTACGTCTCACAACGGGGTTACAACGAGATTTTGAAGGATGCATGGGAGCTCCCGAATGTCGTCAGGAAGCCTCAGATCACCAAGGTATCAGTGGGCTCCGATAATCTTATCAAAGTGAGCTTTGCAGACGGTACCGAGGCCAACGGCATCGAGAAGGTCCACTTCGGCACAGGCTACAGACTGTCTTACCCGTTCCTGCGTCCGGACCCCGTAACACCCAGCGGTCGTCTCTCCGGGTTTTACCAGCACGTCTTTAACATTGCGGACCCCTCGCTCACAGTCGTTGGACAAGTCAAGGCGGCCATCTCGTTCCGGGTTTATGAATATCAAGCGGTTGCAGTGGCGCGCTACTTCGCCAATCGAGGCGGGGAGCTTCCTTCGCCTCGTGAACAAGACGAATGGGAGGTAAAGCGGTTGCAGTACAAGGGGCCTACGTCTCAATTCCACGAGATCAAGCCGGATTTCAAGGAGTACTTTGACTTCTTGCGAAGTGTTGCTGGAAAGCCAGCGCCGGGTACTGATGCTTATGAATTGCCCGCGTGGGAAGACGAGTGGGCCTTGCTCGGTTTCGGTGTGTTGGCGCTGAAGCAGAAGTGGTGGAAGGAATTGAAAGAAAAAGAACAGAAGGCGATCCAGGCCAAACTGTGATTATACGGTGTAGATAGATGAAGAGCCGGGTAGTATGATATGTGGAATGTCAAGCTGAGAAAGCCCATGACAGTGCCATCAGTTGAGAGATCGATGGCGCAGTTGAACTTGGTTGTCCCGTCCCTAAGCGCATTCAATGAGGAAGATTTTTGCCTCCACACTCTGTGACAAGAACACGTTCTTGCGCGAGATCTGTAAGTGGTTCTGCATGTTATTTACCCGATTTGGCGACAGTTCCCTCATGCGGTTAATTTCCCGACGGAAGGCGACCGAGGGTCGGCAACCCACCCGCTAAGAAGTGGATTCGTCTCATCAACTACCGAATAAGCTGCACGTTTTCTGTTCAAGAGGTGGATTCAACGTTACACTAGCATATTCGTCATTTGATTCCAGAATGAGGAGTTCGTCCCATGGAGAAAAATTGCAGGTACTTTTGTAGTGTTGGAGTAGCTTAGTGTCAATTGGTGTGGCGATAGAAATCGAGAGACTGGTAGTTATATAGGTGAGCAGAGTTGGTTTCGATGCTACACGAAGTTGAGCAACTATCTCCAACTTCACTATTTTCAAACATGGGCGAGAAAGCACCCGAGTCTGTCCCGGCGGCTGTCCAGGATGGGGCTCCAGTCGCGCCTGTCAAGCGTGTTTGGTATCACAGCACCCTCTTCAATGCCTTCGTCATTGGCGGAGTTGGTACGTTGCAACCAAGCGCCTAGGTTCTATCTGATAACTAACGCAATTAGGCTTTATGGCACCTGGTCTTTGGAATGCGATGAACGCTCTCGGCGCGGGTGGTGCCCAGGAACCATTCCTTGTCAACGCCGCGAATGCGCTTGTGTTCGGACTCATGGGCTTCCTCTGCTTTTTTGGTGGACCCATTGCAAACCGCATAGGACTCTCATGGACGCTTCTATTGGGCGCGGTTGGTTATCCCCTCTATTCGGCTGGTCTCTACACCAACAATCGCTTCGGCAACGTGTGGTTCGTCTTAGTTGGAGCAGCCGCTTGTGGTATCTCTGCAGGTCTGTTTTGGGCGTCTGAAGGTGCTATTGCACTGGGCTATCCGGAGCCATCAAAGCGTGGCAAGTACATGAACAGTAAGACACCCAAAGGAATAACAGTCGGGCTAAGCCAGAGACTAATTGTGCATACTAGTCTGGCTCTGGTTCAGAACTGGTGGTCCTCTTGTTGGTGGTGCGATCGTCTTGGCACTGAACAACAATGCCGCCGCCAAGACGAAAGGCAAAGTTGGATCCCAAACCTACCTGGTTTTCATTGCTTTACAATGCTTAAGTATCCCTCTGGCACTTGCACTTTCGCCCCCTGAAAAGGTTCAACGATCCGATGGCAGCAAAGTCATCATCAAGGCCGAGAAGTCTTTCAAGGCTGAGTTTCAGGCGCTGCTCCGCGTTTCTAAGAGAAAGGATGTTCTTTTACTGCTGCCAATTTTCTGGGCTGCGTACTTCAATCAGTACAGCGGGAACTTTCAGTCGTACTACTTCGGCGTTCGCGCTCGCGCTCTTATTGGCTTCGTCAGCAATTTTGGTACTCTTCTCTCGTCGCAGATTATTAGCACACTTCTCGACTACAAAAAGTTGAGCGTCAAGAAGCGCATCAACTTTGGCTTCTACTACGTCATTGTGTGGCACGTCATCGCCTGGGTCTACGGATGGGTCATACAGGAAAAGTATACCCGCAATCCTCCTGCCTACGACTGGGAGGACAAGGGCTTCACCGAGGGCTTCTTTGTTCTTTTGCTTTGGGATTTTGCTCGTCAGGCACTTCAGAACTGGCTCTACTACCTTTTGGCCACCAAGACAGACAATATCTCCGAGCTTGCTCGATTTTCGGGCATCTTGCGAGGCCAGGAGAGTTTCTCACAGGCCATCTCGTTTGGTTTGAACACCAGAAAGTGGAAGGGAGGACGAGTGCCCTTGGCTGTCAACACCATCCTTCTCGGTAAGTTCTCTTGGCTTCAAAAAAAACCGTTAAACCCAATTGCTGATTCCTTGCAGGTCTAGCTGTCTACCCTACATGGCTTGTTGTGAGAGACCATGTTCCGATCGAAGAAGACAAGCTTTCAACTGTTGAGGAGCAGTCACAAACGGGCGAGATTGCCGAAACAAGATTGTCCGTTGACGAGAGAAAGGAGTTTGCCATTGGTCAGACAGGTCTTGGAAGAGATGCAAAGATGTGATTGCGATTAAGCTGTAGCGTATAGCACGAAGATACCCCAAACTGTATACGTCGACTTAGAGCCCGCTTGTGTGTTAACGTAATATCGAATAATTCATCACATTATATGTTCATCACCGCGTGTTCAACTATCTAATGACATTAAGAACAAGCGATCTTGTCTAGTATGCAATATGCAACCAGAACCACTCCAGTCACCTCAACCACTTTCACCACTCCTTTTGCATGCCCAATACGAGTTAAATCCCAAATATGAGAATCGAGCGACCTTTTTATTTTGTGATTCTGACGATATTGAAAGCCTAGTAGCATGTTCGAGTTCTTTGTGGGCTGTCAGAATAGACATATCCTGACTTAGAATGCGCGCGGGTCAGAGGATGCTCACGCTGTACCGTTGAGTCTACGGCAACAGGAGAAAGAACATGTCGTGTCCTGCGACGGACTCTCTTAGGAGCTGCGTCGTGATGGAAAAGCCGACGTACTAGAGCTCTACGGAGGTCACCGCATCCTCAGTGGAAAGGCCGATGCTGACGAGGCTGCGAGGCGGTTCCTCGCCATATATAAAGACGAGGAACGCAGAGCACTTCAAACCGCCTAGCTGTAACGGACAGGGAGTGACGGCCCCTCATCAACCTCGATGGCTGTTTGGCAGCTCATATTCTACACGCAGTGACCCTGCTCAAATACAACACGTGAATGTGTAATATTGTTAGTCTGGTTTGGGGGGGGGGGGGGGGGGGGGGGGGGGGGGGGGGGGGGGGGGGGGGGGGGGGTCACGAAATGAAAGAAGAGGCTGCTGAACCGAACCAACACCAAACGGCGGTTGGCTGCCCAGTATGTACCTACCTACCTTACCCAGGTTATCTCGGCACCGTAGATCCCGACTAAACGAGACGGAATTCAAGCCAAATCTGGTCTGCTTCTACCACCACTTAAGCGACGACGCGCCCCGTTCCTGCTGTGTTTATCTACTATTTACAAGATGGTTTACAGGCAGACGTCAAGCCACTTTCTAGTGCGTCTGGCCTCCATGCTCTGCAACCAGCGCTGCTCCAACTCTCCGTTATAAAATCCGCTTACTGACTCTTGTTTTTGCCTATTAGCTGTGCCTTACAAACTGTAGCCGGCCGAATATATATAATGACAAGCTACAAGGCACAATCCGCTCTTTTGTAGGGCCGGTTCCACATGGCTAACGCAGACACGATGGTGAGGGCACCGTTTACGATACCGGAGCCGCCGAGGTCGGCCACGACTCGGCCGACTATCAATGCCTTGGATGACTGGGCCGATCCGCACACGGCGGAGCCGACCTCGAATACGAAAAGGAAGGCAAGGAACGTATGCTGCACTTCCAGCTCCCCCATGGACAAGCAACCGCGTGCGTCCCCTATTGTTCTCTCGTTATCTGACTCGACCGATTAGCTGACACCATGCAAACTCATGCTAGGGACCGTGATGGGATGTCAGTAACTGCCTGCACAGAGACAGCTCAATGACTCGGCCTCTGACTGACTGGCAATCAGTGAGCCAATTTGGCACCGTGCGTGGACCGCTCGTTGGAGGCTCCTTCACACAATCAGTTGGTTGGCGATGGTGTAAGTGTCGTTCCGCCAGTGTCCATCGGCACGCCTTTTGTTGGTAATCCGGCCAGGCTTCTATATCAACCTACACATTAGTGCTGTCGCAGCTATTTTGCTCCTCGCTATTCGTATCCCCGATCACCGCGCCCCTGAAGTTGCGTTTGGGCAAACGAGCGTCAAAATGATCCTTTCTAAACTCGACCTGACCGGCTTCGTCCTCTTCGGATCCCATTATCTTGCATAAGGCTATTCCGATTCAGGCAACAAGATGGACCACTTGAAACTCCGGTATATGTAATGGTTATGTCACTGGGGTTTGCACACTCACCCGCACTTTGGCGAGTGAAACAAAACGAAAAAGTACCCAAACTGGTCACGACTGCATGTAACACCAAGAAATCGATACTAGTGCATTACAAGCAAAAAGATCGGCCACAATGGTCACTTTCAGGTATTACCTGCAGCCAGCCTTCTCTTACCTAGGGTTAAAGGCCCCACATGGCAACTGTGGGGTAGTCTAAGCAAGACGGTCATTCACGATCGGCTTGGCACGGAACTTGTAAATAAATAGTAGTCGCAGGTGTCACTAGAAATCTGCCTGATAAAATCCCAACAATAGGGTTTACTTCTAAACAAATCGAAATTCCGGTCAGCATACGTTGACATCTCACAAGGGTCTAAGCCATGTCTTCCGCTCAGTTCTTCAACTATCCCGGCACCGAAACCAATGCTGAGCAGTACCATTACTCCCAAGCCGTCAAGCTCGGCAACATAGTTCGCACTTCAGGCCAGGGCGGCTGGGACGCGAAGGGAGAAATCACACCCGATCTCGAGAAGCAGATCAGCGTCGCTTTCGAGAACGTTCTCAAGGCCCTGAAAGCTGTCGACTCTCGTCTATCGTTCGACTCCATTTACGCGATCCGCTCCTACCACATCGACATGGACACAAGTTTCAATGTTATGACTGCGCAGTTCAAAAAGTTATTCCCTAAACACCGTCCTATATGGACATGTATCCAAATTGGAAAGCTTGGGCTGGAAGGTATGCAGGTTGAGATTGAGGTTGAGGCGGAGCTTCCTGCTTGAGGAACATTCGTGAAAGCTTTTGTAGAAACATGATGATGATCAGTTGTACTGCTGACATTTATATCAAAGTTATCTTGTGTTGAGTGTTTTGCACGCGACATCCATTTTTCTTCCCAGTCTGCTTTAATAAAGTCATTCCTTGATAGGATTTAATTAGTACTTTGCTGTAAACTTGCGATCAAACCCTTTGACACCTAGAGTTCTTGCCTTTTTGAACACCATTCTCTGAAAACTCAGTAAACTCAATTCAGTCAGCATTAAATGCACCTTTGACCTGGCCTCTTTCAAAAATCATTCGTAGTTTTACAGCTTGTAAGCATGTAGCGTGAATGATTGGCACGACACCTCATATTAACTACTACTGACTTGTTCGCCCCAAAACGCATCTTCACGTACAGCGAAGCGTTGCACCGACGCAAAGGAGTTCCAATCCGATGTGTTCATCTGAGAGACGCCAGTGTGTGTCTCTTGACAAGGAAGACCGCCGTGTACCTACCGCGTCCCTCATTCAAGCGTTCCCAGTAATTGTGATGGCTGTTTCTCACAGTCACATACTTTTCCTACTCTCAAATTCAGACAATGCCTCAATAAGACATTTGATTATAGTTCTCAGCAATGGTTTTTCGGGACTTGGGCGAACAACACGTTTACTGCTCAAAAATATTCTCTCCTGGCCACTGCAGCGAGACGTATCTAATTGTGCTATGGCCTTATGCATCTTGTCACTTTGGCCATTTTTGATTTGAACATGATTGGGTCATTCTTCTAGTCACTGCATTCAACGACTCGAGATACGTGTTACAGTCTCACATCATTCTTTTTTTCGGGGGATGTGGCCGAGAATTCGCGCAGTCAAACGTTACATCTATGAAGCCCCGCGCAAGTGGTCCGGATTATTGCCCAATCAGGACAGCTCCACCCGGTGCTCTGCATGACCTCCGCACTTGTAGTAGCCCAGACTGGCTGCAACTAATCCAACGTAGGGAGAGATTAGTTTCGCATCTAAGATTCAGGTGTCAATTCCCTCCGACAATAGTGCGCCGGTGGAAGCTGTATTACACAACAACAGGTCATTGCCGGTCCCGAAGTCGCCCTGGACCGCTTATCTATCGCCCATCTTTCCACTTCTTCGGGATGCACTGAGTCAATCTCGTCCACCCCGCCCAAATCTATCCGTCGATACCCACTCTGAGTCGCCTATCAGTTCGATTGGGGGAAGCTGTTATCAGATGAACGCTGTGCTTCGTAACAGCCAAAGCTTAGATAAGAGCGGCGTGCTGTCTCCCACCCTAGGGCAATGCAATACTTTGCATCCTAGCATCTCACCTCCAATAATCTTCCCATCTTCAAAGGATTTAGCCTCAATACCTATCTTTCCTGCTCAGCATGTCCACCTCTACCCTGGACCTAACAGCCCCAAACGGCACCAAGATTAGTCTCCCCACGGGTCTTTTCATCAACAACGAATTTGTGAAAGGCAACGGTGAATCTAAGATCACGGCCATCAACCCAAGGTACTAATGCAACGGACAAGCATTTTAACTGCCACTACTGACTACCCAACAGTGACGAGTCTGAAATTGCCTCAGTCGAAGCAGCATCTGCTGACGATGTCGATAAAGCCGTAAAAGCCGCCCGCGCGGCACTTAATGGTCCCGGATGGGGGGACATCTCCAACACCGACCGCGGCAGGCTGATGTTCAAACTTGCTGACCTCGTCGAGGCACACGAAGCGGCCTTGGCGACTCTCGAGACTTGGAATGGCGGCAAACCCTACAATGTTGCCCTTGGCGAGGACGTCGCTGAGACCATCGCCACGCTGCGTTACTACGCTGGCTGGGCTGATAAGATCCACGGCGAGACTATTCCGACTACTCCTAAAAAGTTTGCCTATACTTTGAAGCAGCCAATTGGAGTTTGCGCTCAAATCATTCCCTGGAACTACCCGATTATGATGGCGGCTTGGTGGGTGCTCGTTTATTCTACCCTGTCGGGGCCAAGCTAACCAACTTCAGGAAACTTGGTCCGGCGTTGGCATGCGGCAATACTGTGGTTCTCAAGCCCGCTGAGCAAACGCCTCTATCAATCCTGTACTTCGCAAATCTGGTGAAGGAAGCCGGATTTCCCCCTGGTGTTGTCAACATCGTGAATGGCCTCGGAAGGGAGGCTGGCAACGCTTTGGTTATCCACCCTGATGTTGATAAGGTTGCCTTCACTGGCTCTACGGCAACTGGGCGTCAGATCATGAAGGCGGCTAGTGTCAACATGAAGAACATCACCCTCGAGACGGGCGGAAAGTCACCTCTTTTGGTATTCAAGGACGCTGATCTCGATCAAGCCGCAAAGTGGGGACACGTTGGCATCATGAGCAATCAGGGCCAGATTTGCACATCCACTTCCAGAATTCTGGTTCAAGAAGAAGTCTACCAGGACTACGTTGCCCGCTTCAAGAAGATCTGCCTCGAAAACAAGGTCGGCAACCCCTTCGATGATGACACATTCCAGGGCCCTCAGATCACCAAGGCTCAGTATGATAAAGTACTCGGCTACATCCAAGCCGGCAAGGATGAAGGTGCTAGTCTGGTCACTGGCGGTGTTCCGTACAAGAACGTCGGTGATGGCAAGGGTTTCTTCATTGAACCTACTGTCTTCTCTGATGTAAAGAAGGATATGAGAATTTTCCAAGAAGAAGTTTTCGGACCATTCGTCGCCATTACCCCCTTCAAGACGGAAGAAGAGGCTGTCTCGCTGGCGAACAATACTTCTTACGGACTTGGTGCAGCGCTATTCTCCAGGGATATCGAACGATGCCACCGCGTCGCCGCCCGCCTCGAGTCGGGTATGGTTTGGATTAACAGCTCCAACGACTCTGATATTCGTGTTCCGTTCGGTGGTGTTAAACAGAGTGGTATTGGCCGCGAACTGGGAGAGGCCGGCCTTGCCGCCTACTCACAGACCAAGGCGGTGCATGTAAACATGGGTCTTGTACTATAAGCGCTGCATTCTAGATGAGATAGAGACATGAGGTCTTACTTGCCGCCCCAACACGCTTTCATAATACAATGGCATCCGGACCCAGCTCTGAAAACATATCAAACCAAGGAACTTCTTCTTCATCTGCTTTCCAGATAGCACTAAGCACTTCGCTTACAGAACGAAACGAGGCAAAACGCATCTCCTGTCGAACCGCGTGAATCAACGTCAAGACAGCCTTCCGATGTCTTGGGGATTGTGCGTGTGCCCCGGCGACAAGCAGAGGGAAGATGACACAGTTGAGCACCTTTGATGGTTGTTTGATATTAAGGATGCACTCCAAGCATGGCAACACATGCTGTTGCACGAGGGAATGAGAGGCCGGTAAACCGCATATGGCTCGGTACATGTAGATGAGTGCCGCGTGTTGAAAGGCACGAATTAGGGTAAAGGCATGGTTTGTCTCTGAGTCAGCTTCTTCATCGACGACATTTGTACATGTGTCGTCAATTCTTGTATACATTGGAGACAAAGCTTTTTCGAAGCAATGAATAGTCTCCATCGAAAGCTGTCTGCGTCCAGTGCTCAGCGTGTCGAGGTACCACGCCAGATGGGACGTTTGCTGGAAAACTAAAGCCAGGGAAGAGCGCCCTAGGATATCTCTTCCCCACCACACTGATCTTTTGTCGATTGTGTCCCAGATCTTGGGAGGAAACGATGGCCTACCGCCCTTCAGCATGATGCTCGTTAGATCTGTAGTCGCGAATTCCGACAGTAGCATATGGACCGATTCGTGGCTTGACTCAAGAACCGATTGGATGCCTCCAAGACTGTCAACGATTGCCCGCACACCCCCATGATGACTAGAAGTTGATGCAGAGGCCCGGGCGCACTCAAGAAAGCCATCGTGGAAGTAGAGCAGCAGAACCGCCAATAATAACGTCATCAAGGAGTTTTTGTCGACAGTGTCTATCTGCGCCTCGCCTATTTCTTCTCGCACCGCAGCCAGACATTGAAGCCGCTTCATCCGGAGGAGGCTGCGGCTACTCCTCCCGTCTTGAAGGACGCGATGAGCATCTGCGATGACGCATGTCGCAAGTAGTACCACGCGATGCTCAAGTGCCTGCATAATTGGGGCAGCGCATGGTTCCGGGGCGGTGGTAAGGAGTGGCCACAAACGGTAACGGAAGTAGTTGAGTGCGCGTTTCTCGTCAGATGCAAGTGAAGCGGCGAGCTGTTCGTCACGAGTTGTGATCTGGTAGATAGCCGGTGCCTTGATCGTTGGGCGCGTGCTCCATCTCAAGCGGCGGGCATTGAAGTCGCAATCTGCGCCTATCTTGAAGCAGCGGGTGCAGCGAGGCTTGGTAAGGTCGCACTTGATGCGACGTTTCTTGCACGACCAGCAAGACCCATCGACGATTCTGGTTCGGCTGGTTCCCATTGTGGTTCGCGGTTGTCTGACTGAGTTACACTTGGTTGATGATTGTATGTGGATGTTATGTTGGTGTCAATTTGCCCGCCAGTTCAGGGGTTTCGGGATGGATAGCATTGACTTGAAAAGAGGTCTGAGATTGTCTGCTATCGAGGTTCGCATCGCCGTGGCCATACCCCTCTCCGATAGTGATCTCTGCAGATGTATGAAAAGTGCGGGGGAAAACATGAAGCTCATATCGATGGGGTTCGGCTTACCTGAGGAGACTTGGTCTATAGAATTGGTCCATCTTGTTTCCTAAAAGGGTTTAGCATGCTCGCGCAGCCACCTAGAAGCCCAGTCACGAAACTGCCAGGAAGTCCGGATGCATATAACTTTCAAAGAATCGCCTTATTTCTACTCCAGCGACCGTTGAAAGACTCGTATTCAGTACGCCATTAACTTGTCGACGCGCATGCCTTGGACTGACATCTATGGTGCAACCAACCCACTGACAAGTTCTTAGTTGGCAATGCCCCCACTAATTAACGGCGGTGGCTACGTCGGCACTGTCACTGGAAGCACTCTCCGGATCCGTCTCGGTTCTCCGCTCGCCGTTGATGTATGTTCAGCCGCTGTGCGATATCGGATCGTCTTGCGCAATAAAGGCCGAGAACATGCGGACGCCGTCCCGCCTTGCTGAGCCGTTCCATGTAAGTGGTGCACGCGACTTCACCGGCCGGGTGTGCTTACTTCTTACATCTTATTCCAGACCAGGAGTACTGCGCGTTCAATAAGTCGTCTGGGCTGGTGCCGACGCTGGCGGTAGTCATGACGTTAACGCGGCTGCTCGGTCCAGCCTTCACGAAGGATGTCATGGCCTGCGTGAGCGTCTGCAAGCCTAATCCGGGAACCACAATAGACTCGGCGGTGTCTCGTTGAGAATTCATGATTCGACCGAGAGGACGGCCGGGAGAGCAACTTTTTAGCAGCGTCTGCCACCAGCATAGCCAAGCCGGCCGATAACTCCGTAAACTCCGCTTACTTCATAAGCTCGGTCGAATCGTCCGCGGTTTGATAAGCCAACAGCAACATGAAATCTTCACAACCCACTCTATAGGCCTTGAGCATTTCACGTAACCAACCGATATAACATCCGTGAGACATTGAAGCCCCACATAAGGAGGATTTTAAGCTCCGTGCGGAAGACGAATGTGATGCAAGGTTCCCCAACAGGACCGGTCGCTCTGATCGTTAACGATTACAAAGCGATCCAGCTCACAGCTTTTCTTCCTCGATTCAGCTAAACTGGTGCAGGCGCGTTTCGGGCAGATTCAAGACCTTCCTTGACTCTCGTTGTGATCATCAATCATTTGAGGCACTAGGATGATGCGGTTCATCATCTGGCTCGAAACATTCCTACACGGCATCCAACGATGTAACTATGCCCAGCCTACTTCCCATGAATCCGCGGTACCCACCAAGGGGCTTCACACGAAGTCATAGCTTACACAAGCTTTAATTACCCAAGAAGGGTGAACGATAGGCAGCAAACATGGTGAAGTTGGGTCAGATTAACCAGTTATGGTTAGGATACCGCTACGACTGCGTAAACTTCAGTCTTTAAGTTCTTCCTCCGGTGAAATTTGCGGAAAGCGGTTTTGATAGACGACACTATCCATGCATTTTCTTAGTGACGAGCTCACTAAAAGCATCAACAACTTGCAGGTCGGGGCCTTGGACGTGGCCCAAAACCGAGCACCTTGTACGTCCATTTGCTCGCACTGACTAGGGCCGCTGAACGCGGTCTGACTCTACGTGCAAAGTCCGCGACTTCTGCCGGCCATATCGATTACAAGATTGGGCTGCGGGGAGAGGCAGAAGCCCGGTACCGAAAGTTAGGCGGTGCTATTCAAAGCCCGGACGTTGGTATTGCTTGCATCATTCAAACACCCAGCCCCTCAAAGCTCGGACGGAGATTACAAACCCAATGATATGTCATATCACCGTCTGATGTGCGTAATGTTTGCAATATGAGAGTTTGCGAGTATATATAGAAGGGCCATCTACCGAAGGTTTTGGTAGATAACTTCCTCATTTCTATACCATACTACTTTCCAGTCAAAGGTTAGACAGAACCGTCACTAGCTGGATCACCGGACCATTACTGTCGCAAAATGTCGAACACAACCTCACCTTCAGAGACGTGGTCGCTGAAGGGCAAAACAGCAATCATCACCGGTGGATCGCGCGGAATTGGCAGTGGAATCGCGATCCATTTTGCGCGCAAGGGTTTGAGCAATCTTGCCATCACATACGTTGCCAACAAGGCCGCAGCAGACAATACGGTGGAACAATGCCGTGACTTAGGAGTCAAAAACGTCATCGCCATCCAGGCAGATGTGACGGATCCCACGATTGGGCCAAAGATCATCAAAGATGCCCTTGACGGCCTCAACGTAACCACGATCGATATACTCGTCAACAATGCTTTACTCGCAGACATCAGCAGAGCCTCAGATGTCACGACACTTCAAGCCGAGGGTTTCAGCGAGATGATGATTGCGAACGTTTATTCTCCCGTCAGCCTTACGGTTGCTTTCATGGAGCATGCACCCAAGTACGGAGGACGTGTCATCAACATCTCTAGTATCGCCAGCAAGATAGGCAATACCAATGAGCTGATGACTTACGGCGCCTCAAAAGCCGCACTCGACAGCTTCACAAGGTCTTTTGCGGACAAATTTGCTTCTACCACGGGAATCACTTTCAACACTGTGGCTGTTGGGCCTACGCAGACGGATTCTTTGGCTACGGCAATGAAACACTACCCAAACTTCATTGAGGAGCAAGTTAAGAGAATTTCCGCGGCTCCCCGCATTGGAAACACAGATGACATTGCGTACATTGTCGGGTTCCTGGCGAGCGAGGAGGGAAGATGGGTGAATGGCGCCGCGGTCAGCGCCAACGGAGGACACAGAGAGACACTTGCGGTATTCGGTTAGAATGGACCGAATCTAGGAATTCTTGACTTCATCAAGCAGAGTGTCATTGAGTAGATGAATACACGAGGCGCAGTTGGTTTCCTCAAGTTTGCACAATGTCAATGTTGCATACTACTTCACTTCATGAGCTTGCCTCGCGAGCGAGGCGTGAGATACTCGTAACTTGCCGGTAGTGCCTCAGAATGATATGACGACAATGGTAGACGTGATATAAGATTTGGTGTCCAACACGACCCCGACAGATCACATGCAGCCCATCAATCGGTCTAGTCTAGGTTGGAACTTCTCCCACTGTGCCCACAGTGTATGCGACCAAGTTCAGCCCCACCCACATGAAGCAGCAGGGATTATCCTGAGTACGAAGAAGGTGGTTTCCACATCCACAAAAACGTACACTAGAATGACTTTCAGAACGCTTACAGCGGTCTTTAGATAGCCACGCTTAGCTGCAGCCATGCGTGCGTAAAGCGACACACATTGCTGTTATGGTAGTGCTTGTGGGTGGCTATTTTCTCCGAGACTTTCTCTTTTTATCCTAAGCTGCCTGCAGAATATGTATGTACGAACAACAACAAACTGGTCAGAAGCGATGGGGTTGTTCGCCGGGGAAACTTTTAGGAGCATCCAGAATAAGCCATATTCCAGTCGGTTTGAAGAGGCATGAACGAGTCCAAAAATAAGTTCGGTTGACACTCGCCGTAACTCGGCTCAAACCCTAGCGTCATCGAGACTTCGTATGGCGCAGTTGTGGCGCCTAAACCAGGCTCTGAGAGACCACGGTCGTTTGCTGCCACGTCCTGTGGCATCGGTGGGTAAGATTGTGGGCCATGTTCTTACGACATGATGGACATCATGAACTGTTGAGAAATAATGACAGCATCGTTACCTTCAGGGTTCTGTTCGCCTATCTGGTATTCTTGGTTTGCTTCTTCATCGTGCCGGAACTTGAGTTTCCGAATTTCATCTGTTACGCTGTATTTCGAGTATACTTCAGGTACTGAGTCCTGGGTGCTGTTTTGAATGCTAAGTCGCTGCTTTCCAGATGCATTCGTATTTAATACTGGTTGTCCTGTTTCCCAACTAAACCTTAAAGGACTGGAATCCCTGGTATCACGCTCCGCATCATGAATCAGGTCGATGATCCCACCTCGGAGGAGCTTTGTAGTCGGATAAATCTCCGCTGGTTTCTCAAGAATATCCAAGCATGCCTTCAATTTGGCAATCAGAACGTTTTTGGGCAGGTTTGCGAATTGTGCCGAACCAAGTCGTGAAATGACACGGGCAGAGTGTAAGGTACACATTACTAGAGCTGGGTCAGTGATGAAGATGTCTTTGCCCATGTTAACAATCGTGCCCATGATGTTTGCAACAGCAAGGACATGCTCGAGACATTTATCTCGACAATAGGCAATGAAATCTGAAGACAGATTTTGCAGCTCTTCGAAAGGGAGTCCTTCGCGAAAATCAGGTATCGTGAATCGATACATGTCGCAATGGCATTGATGCCACCATGCGTGAAACATGACAAATGGAGTACATTGCAGAGTATCGGCCCGAAGAAAGAGATTCTTCATGTCAAATGTCAACTGTGGGGGCAAGAACTGACGAACAGCATCGAGTTCGTCGATGAGTCCCTTGATCAATGCGACGGACTCTACCAAAGGTTTCTGCCGGTGAGTAATGGTATGAGATAACCTAACCTGATAGTTAGTTAATGTAGATGCATCGTTTGGGTGTACAGAAGCCCTCACCTTTGAATCCAGTCGCGTATGTCAAGAACACGGACATTGTAAGCCATTAGACCTAGAACTGAAGCGTTTGGTGTTTCCGGAGGATTCGAAGGCTCCGTTGTGGTAGGGATGTCGAGAGTGAAAGAAGTTTCGCTGCAAGGAAGTTGTAGGTGTATCGTATCTTTTGGACAACCGGTAAACTCCGTTCTTCCGCTCGAGTAAAGCGTCTCCATGGCAAAGATTGCCCACATAAGACGTCTACGTCGCTCCTGTGTCAAAAAATCCAGGCGGCTGTCCTCGTAGTTGAGTCGCATCATGAAAGCTAATCTTGTTGCGAGGCATGCTGATATCAGCATCTTGCTGAACCGACGCGCGATTATGTGATCCAACGTAATGAGCATCAGTGCCTCGATGTCTGACATGGAAGGAGCGCCCAATCGAACCAAAAGCTGCATCTCTGCTTCCTGATACCATGGAGTTGCTTGCGTCAGATGTGCAGCGTCGCCCAAGGCAAGGTAGCGCGCAGTCAAGCCGCACATTGCCTTCAGAAGGCGTAGATTATGTGCCCCCTGCGCCCAACTTCGGCAAAATGTCGCCTTATGAACGAATGCATAACAGGATATTGGATGGACAAATTCGAACAATGCGCCGATGTGCTGCTGAATTATTGTCTTGTCCAAGATTAACCCGCTAGGATTTGTCAGCGCATCAATCTTTGCCAAGCTTTGGAGTGAACTTGCAGGCTCAGTGATGAAGCTGCGAGTGTGCAAGCGAGACGTCGCGATTGGAAATTTTGTTCTAATGGTCTGCATCTTTGTCCGAGCTGCCTCCCGTTGCAGCGCATGAATGGAGACGAAAATCTAAGGCCGAAGCTTTCGATGATGATGGCCTAGACAAGTCAGGATAGTGACATTCAATCCGTCGGTGCGAGCATCGCCGACATGACGGTTGTGTACCACAACATTTAGTCTTCTTGTCTCGACACTGAATGCAGGCAGTGCGCACGCGACGCTTTTCCAATCTCAGATGGCTCAGATGGCTACTTGGCGCAAGAGGATTTCCCTTATCTGGCAACTGGTCTGGAGCTGCGAAAGAGCAATGGAACTTCAGACGACGACAGTTCTCGCAACCTCCAGCTGCACCATCACATCGGACCTATCGACTACGGGTTAGGGAAACTTCATTCGGAATTCAATCTCAATCTGGACGCAACAGGTAACCGACCTTTCGGTTACGGCACTGAAAGCATATCTGCAACCACTTTCGCGGCCGACGCGATGCTCGGTATGGAGAGTTATCCGCCTCCATTCTCTTAGTCTAATTGACCCGCATCTTCTTGGTCAAAAAGGCGATGATGCAGGAGGTTGGGGAAAGGTTGGAACTCGGGGAGTAGAAGAAGTGATATTTGCTCCACCCGAGTTCCGTGATTGTTTTCACTTTCCGCTCCCCGTCCGAGTTCCGAGCCTGGCTACCCTAGTCGGCGTCGAAAACCCAGAGGGGCCCGGCTTCTTGTAGGATGTCTCATTCTAGCTCTACCGAACCCTTCTCATTGCTATAGGACTTCTCCATCATCTACTGGTCTCTCGGAATCAGTTTCCTTGATTCTGGGGTGGTTTTACTTCCCCTACATGTCCTCCAATTTGGGAAAGCCTTATCTACCTTGTGGTCTTGTGCTGGTTCGTCCTGTGCGTCTAATCGAACGGCTTTTCTTCGCTAGCTAGAGGGCGTTAGCTTTGGACCAAGAAATTTTTGGCCCCACCTGACAAGGAACAATACAGTACCGTAATGTTAACGAGGTAGTGGACAGAACTCTGCAGAAGCGTCTGAACACTCAAAGAAAAGAGAATGAACCACGAAAACTGTACTAGGACATTGCGTTCTGATGTCGGGATTTTAAGATCATTGGGAGAGCCAAACCAAAGAGACAACTTGGATGCAACGACGCCAAACATTATTAACTAGGACCCCGGCTGCAGCTATTACCGTTATTGCCGTCCCCACCTCCGCAATGACGGCTTCGACAATGCAGGCTCTTCGACCACGCAGACGATAGACGCGTTTCGGCGTCAATTCGGCAACCAGGACTCCATGAACGGTAGACGGGAGTAGCTGAGCGGCTGGCTGGCGCTATTCAATAGTCTCCACTACGTCGGGTTTGTGGCCGGTGTCATCGCCGGAAGTCTTGTGAGCGCGCGCTGGTGCCATCGGTGCTGTATATTCGTAATGACCACATGAGCGATGGTTCTTGCGACAACTGTCATCGAACCTAGTACCCGGGAGAAACTCGCTCGTATTCTTATAAGATGACCAACAGCTGTTTGTGTCGGAATAGCTCGCGTGCTGCTGGAGGCACACGATAGTAGGGGTTGGCCGTCAATGTATTGTTGCCGATGATGTTCTAAGTCCTAGATATCTGGCAGATCTGGCCCTTGTATAGGCTGGATCCTGCTGACTAATTTACAGATGGTATTGCCGCTTGGATAGGTACGAATGCGTGCAAATCTCTATTCCAACAGTTTGCGCTACGTATTCACGAAGACATACATAGTGACATGCATCTAGCCGTGGTTCCTGTGTACCAAGCACAAACTTTGCCCTCTGGAATTCAGAGCTTCGCGGTCAGATCTTCCCAATTCAGTCTCATTGTGAGTTTAATGTGAGCGTTTTGTTATCTAAATTGAACTGATACATTCACAACATAGTTCAGTACACCCTTCATGGGAAATCCGAATCAACTGGTTCAACGCCATTTCCGTCGTTGTTACTGGCTTGAGTTTCTTCAACTCTGAGGTAAGATACTCCAGCTGGCTTTTACTTGGAATTCAAACCGTACGCTAATATTAAATCGAGACGCCACGTTGGTATTCGACTCAGGGCAGAGTCTAGGAAGCCCAAACATCCCCAAAGAAGGTTCTGAGCCGAAAGCATCTCTAACACTGGAATTAACAGACGGTTCGCTTCCCTTCAACACGTGTTGGGGAGAAAAGCTGAGCAGGAAAACTATATGTACCTCTTTAAGCGAATCAACTGAAAGAGAACAGCCATCGTGGTTATGGTGAACTTCCTTCAACAAGCTACAGAACAAGCTTTCCTCTCAACTTACAGAGCTATATACATCAACAATTTTGGAGCTGTGAGCCCCTTTACAATGACCACAATCAACGCCATAGTGAACCTGCGGTGTTCCTTGGTCTGTATCTGAGCGACTGTCTAGGACGTCGGTATGTACACAGCCCCCAAAGCCGATAAGCCATTGAATGACCATTCATAGACTGATGTCCTCTGCTTCAGGTCTTTTCTTTTCAATTGGGAAATTTTGCATACTGCAGCCATTGCAGCAATGGTTTCTTTAGGTACCGAAGCGTGTCCATTGCTTGCGGTGAAAACCAACATCGTCTCCATATTGACAATTTCACTGCTGTATATGTGTTTCCATTAGTATGTAACGATATCTTAGCTGAAACCGGGAATGGTTCCAGGAACAGATGCCTAGGCGCCTCTTAACAACGCCGTCACGGCCGAGATCTTCGCCTCCGACTCCGCGACGCAACCCAAAGAATACCCTCAATGGCCAACATCCTAGCCGACTTACTCGGCAACATTACCATTCAATTTCTGCTCTAAAAACACCCTGCACAAGCTTAGGTTCCAAATTTGGTTTCATCTTTGCGAGTTTTCTTGAATCCGCCCTTGCATCCACTTGTTTTTGCATCCCCGAATGCAAGGGCAGATTCCTCGAGCAGATCGACTGGGTACTCAACGAGGGCATCCACTTACGCAAGCTCGGTAAGTACAAGTCGGAGGATATGTTCCAGGTCTCAATAGGTAATGGGGAGAAGGCTAGCGTGGTTGGCGCAGCACAGCACGAAAAGAAGGCGTAACGCCCACGGAGTGCTGTATGTTACATTCCTTGACTGGGTAGCGCCTGAGTAATGCCAGACTAGGGAATATCCAGTGTCACATTATGCACGGCGATCAACCGCGCCTACATTGTGCCATGTTTCCTTTGGCCTTTGTGAGTCTTTCCTAACATTCCGGGGCTTGTTTCAAAACATGTCTGATCAGTTCACTTAATGTTTGTATGGATGCTGAACACGGCCGTGGGAGACTAAGCGCGCTCAGGTAGACACCACGACACCACGACACCATCGTAACCTTATGGTTTTCTGGGGCTGTGATTAGCATGTCGGTGGGATCGCCAATTGGCTCTTCGAATAGGCGCGGCCTCCACGGAGTGGGCTGCGGGCTGCGGTCCAGCCCGAGACGGCCCGGGATGGCGGTAAACACCGTTTTTTATTGATTACATGCAGGATCACATCGGTGTAGCTGTTACAATGAAGGCTCAGCTCGTTTCGCAACCACTGCATCGGGTCGATCTAGTGAAAAAAGGGTGTGGTGGCTGATGCATTGGATTGGTCCGCACGTGGCCTTCTCTTAGGTCCCATGTCAAATCTGCTACCAACAGTTCAAATGAACTCGACGTCAAACCTCCCCTGCATTTGAGTCGGCCAACGCTTTCCGAATAAGGAAACAACGCCATCTCAGTTATCTTTGAGGCTTGGTTGGTTGGGCCCCTTTTCATATCAATCGCGGACCACTTTCCAAACTCATACTCGCCAGCGCCCTAGGAAGCATGTCCGCCTTGTCGAGGCATACCAGAGTTGTCGGTAGAGAGTCAATCACGATGCCTGTTAGTCCACTTTGGATGCCTGAGACGTTCCATATTACCCGCCTCCTGAAGATAGAGGCCGTGGGGGTAATTGCAACATGATGGTCGAGAGGGTGGCGCTTACGTACAGATATCTCGAGATTGAAAGAAGGAGCTCAGTAGTTTCCGATAGCTCAGACAACTTTTCATCAATGTCCCAATATGTACTCCTTCACATGTGGTGCTATTGATTCTACCTATAGCCATGCGCCACCAACACGTCATTATGTATATAAAGCCTGTCACCCAAACACTTTTGTGTGTACTGAGTTCTCTCGTAGCGGTCTCTAACTTTAAAACGGTAGTTTTCTTCTGGTTCTGTCTCATTCTTTTCCGTTGCCCTTTTATCGAAACCTTTCTGCAAAATCGTAACAATGGCTCAGCCAGCTGTCATCTCCACCAGAACTGTTGACTCAGGGCACAAACGGCCGAAGCTCACCATGCCAAGCACCATCAGTACACCAATCCCGCAAGACAACGAGTCGCAGGTCGACTCTGCTGTCGAATCTGTGACTTACTTCCCCTGCTCGGACGCCGAGCTAGAAGAAGAGGAGAAGCTCATTCCTGAGAACCCCTTTGATAGCGAGCGTAGTAGAATCTTGTTCGACGCCATTGATCGACTACAATCTTGCGGCGTCAGCCAGGAAGTGGCCATTCCTCAGGTATATGGAGACAGTATACATCCTCCTCCGTCGTTATATGGCTAACAATCGCATGGTGCAGCTGGTCATCGTTGGAGGTCAATCTACTGGCAAGTCTTCGCTGTTACAAAGCCTGACCGATATCCCGTTCCCGGTCGGTACTGGCTGCTGTACTCGCTTTGCTACACGTATCGTATCTCGGAGGACCGTGCCAGGCAGTAGAAATGCTGTCAAAATCACAATTGTGAATCCTGAAGTGACTGACGTTTTCGACTATCCACCCAACGACTCTTACAAAGACTATCTTTATGTGGATGATCATTTAGGAGTCGAAGACTTCAAAGAAATCATGGAAGAGGTATGTTCGTTTTCCATCCCAAATTTCCTAAATCCAGCTTTAGAGTTTTACTCATGTCATCTCTAGATATCGACAAAGTACATGGGGATCAGGAGAGGCCAGGGAGCTCACACGAAGAACTTCGCGACACAGGTTCTTCGTATCGAGCTATCAGGCCCGACCCGTTCACACTTCAGTATTCTCGATGTTCCCGGCATTTTCTCTTATGCACATGACGTCAACGAGCATGAGGAAGAAGGTGTCAGACTGATGGTAGAGGAGTATATGAAGCAACCAGCCAATATTGTCATGTAAGTAATTGCAATCGCTTAGCCGACTCTATTTTGTGCATTCTTACTAAGATATTGCAGCTGTGTGGCTGCTGCTACTGCAGATCTATCTACCCAGGGCATATTCAAGATGGCTGCCAATTTGGTTGACAAAAGTCGTCTTGTCGGTGTCTTCACAAAATGCGACAGATTAGAGAACCCAACTGAGGTATTGAACTTCCAAATTTATCATTCCTAAATTTAGCTCTAATCTCTCTTAGGTGATCGAAATCGCTAGTGGTCGAGGAAAAGACTCGGGCAATTCAATGCAAGATGGCTGGTTCGTAGTACGAAACCGGTCTGAAGTTGATGGTGACGACTTTGACATCAAAGAGGCCGAACGGAAACTTTTCAGTCAACCACCTTGGAACAAGATACGAGAAGATCGAAGAGGCTCTGTCATGCTACAGAAATACCTTGGAAACCTTCTGTGTGCCCAGATTCGCGGTGATTTTCCCGCAATCCAGCAATCAGTCCGAAAACTCCTTTCGGAGGCTGAAGAATCAAGACAAGAGCTCGGAGATCCTCGCCCTACCCACAACCTTCGCCAACAGTACATTAGAAGTGTTGTCGAAAGATACCACACAGTTGCGGTCAAAACTCTCAAAAGCCCCGGATTCTTGTCCGACGAGACACTTCGTGTCAGGGGACTAGTACGAGAAGCAAACGAGAGCTTCACAGCAGAGATGCAACACCGTGGGCACACTCATTCGTTTGAAGATTCAAGCATGGATCCAATGGCCCAACTCGCTGAGGCCGTATCATTCTACTCAGCTAGACTGGCAGGACATGTGCCTGTAGCCAACGGAGACAGCGACTCTCTTCAAAAAGGACAGGTCACCACACCTCCTTTGACCCCACCCAAGAAACAGCATACCAAGCGTAACAAGCCAGTGACGACCCATCAAACTCATACACCACTTGTTGGGGAGATTCGCGACCAGCTTCGTATCTGGCAGACAACCGAACTACCGGGGCTCGTCAATACGGACGTTATCCAAGTTCTTTTCAAGATACAATCAAAGAATTGGCAGCGTATCGCAGAACGACACATCGAGAATGTTGCTAACGACATCGAGGTCGCCTCGAATTGGATCCTAGAAGATGTTTGCTCGCCTGACGGCTGTTCCAGCATTCTTTACGAAGGGTTGTCTCAGGCCCTTACTCAATTTCAACAAAACGCCAAAAAGAAGGCAATCCAGGAGCTTGAGGAGCATTGTCGCCGAGAGCGAGAATCTCACCTGCAAACGACTGATTTGCGGTTCCAGGAAAGGTTGCAAGCATTACGAACTGTCAGACTTCTCAGTGCTCTTGGTTCAATTCCAAGTTTCCCATCGGGCGCCTTCGACATGGGTCACTCAAAGCTCTTGTTCCAGCATTTCCACCACTCCAGCGAAGGCAACATGATTCATGATGTGCACGATGTCATTAAAGTATACTATGAAGTGCGCCTATGCCTCGAACGTTTTATAGTACTACAATCCGCTAACTTGACTTTAGTTGTCTCTTGAGGCTTTCATCAGATACGTGACCAACGATATTGTTGAAGACTTTGTGTCTTACTCAAAGGGACCTCTCATGGGTCTATCGACTGACTGGGTGTTTATGCTGAGCGAGGAAGAGGTTGAGAAGATGGCTCGGGAGAACGAGGAGACTTTGAACAAGCGGGCACACTTAGATAGTGTCATTGACAAGCTGAAGGCTGCGCATGAAATTGCTGAGAAGGCTAGGGTTCAGACAAGGGGTCTTGTGGATACCTGAGTAGCTTGACGGTCCTTGGTTTGACTTCTATACTTGTCTAGAATAGTGTCTTGTCAATGCATATACATCCATGCAAGACATGGATCACTGTACAAGAAATGGCGCTACAATTGTGCTGATACTATTTGGTTTTTCATCCCTCAGTTAATTTATTTGCTATTACATGCAGTCATATGAATCTTTGGCCTTGCCTCGTTCTGCCACAACTTTTTTCATTATCCCCCAACTACTCAGCCGATCCGTCGCCACAGTCGCCGCCTTGTCACCTGTGAATCACCTGTGAACCGAGCATTGAACCGTGACATCAGGCTTCTTTGGCATGCTCCAGGTACATGATTGTGATCTCTTAACTACGTCGAAACCTCGGCCTCTATGACACTATGAAATGCAGAGGCTAATGCCCAGATACGGATAATCCGTAGCCCAACCGACTTGAGCAATGCACGCCAGTGACTCTCAGACCGCTCTTGACCAGCCACCATTGCCATCATCTGAAAGTCAAATGCGGTGGCTTGTGGATGTGCGAAGCCTTCTACTACAATGTGATCATGAATTAGCAGCTTACTATAGCCCGGGGTCATTGCTTCCTTCTGCCTCTTCAAGATTTTTCGGGCTGGCTCATCAGACCAGTCATGTAGTATAGAGTGCATGAAATACACTCGGGCACCTAAACCCGTATCAGCCTTACCACATTCGATACGGCTAGTAGCTTAGTCCGCTCGAATTTTAGCTTAATTACCTTTTATAGGCTGCCTATCGAAGAAGTCATATTCGATTTTGTTGATGCCCTCTGGTACCACGGCGCTCTGGATAACGGATCCTAGGTCTTCGAGGTACAAACGGGAGGCCGTTTCCGGGTGCATCTTATGAAACTTGAGCAGATCGTGCCCAGTACTGCCACCAACATCTACAAGGAGCGGAATGTCAGGGATTGAGTTGAGCAGTTTATGGACAGGGTATATGTCTGTCCACGCAAGGCGTTGCGCTGATATTGTCTGTTGTATAATGTTGAACTGTTGTTGTTCTTTGGGGTGGGCCTGGTAGTAGGACCACAAGTCGCCGTTCCACCCGTGAACGTGCTGAAAGATGGTATTTGAGGAGTCTTGCGGATTTTTGTAGCCAGTCTCGGCAAAGAACTTTGGCATCTTAGCGTAGAGAGGGAGGCTTAGATCATTGCTAGGAACACGTTCAGTAAAGCTGATCTAAGCGCAACGCCTCAATGCAGACACAAGAATAAGACTCACAAGCTGTGAATCAGTCCATCGAAGACTGGTGCGGTAATCGCAGCGCTGAATGGCGTCGGCCCGAAAAGTCCAATTGAGATCTCTTCTAATAGATGGTTTGAAGCGAGAAGACGCAGCACTCGATCTGTTGTGATAAGCGTTGACTGTCATGAGAGACATAATGCGAACACTTACATAGCAAACCAGGCTCACATGCCCCTCCAATGACTTCTGCGAGTTGTACACTTGTCATTGGTTCCGCACCCTGCTCTTGCCACTTTTCGAACAGTTGCAAGTCTTTGCACATTTTCAAGGCTGCACCAAGCGCCGGCTGAAAGAACACTTTAGTATTGGAAACGTAATTCAGATTGTATTCACATTACCTGAGCCATGCATAGCCTCACTATTGTTTCCCATGGAGATTCGAGCCGGGCCATTAGTGCGTATACCTCCAGCAACGCTTTCATACGCTCACCCTCATCTCGGAAAGTCTCTGAACCAACACTCTGTATCCCTTGGAAAAATGACTCCGCTGCGCTTATAGCTCCCTCGGCTGTTTGATTGCTCTCTCCAAGGTTGGGCCTCATTATGTATTTTCCGCGACCCTCGTCCGCCCTTGCTGTGAGGTGTTGTGTTTGACACAGAAGAAGAAAAAAGGGAAGGAACAAAAAGGAAAACCTGTATACGATTGTGTTCTATCGTTACGCTATATTTTGAATTCGTTGGACGTCCATACCTGCATTTTAACCATACTGCTTAAGTGAGTTTTCGGTTCTAACGTAGATCAAACAAAGGTTGGGTGGAAACTAGTGGCTTTTCGTTCACATCACAGGGATCATGCTGGCCCTCGGAAGAATGTCAAGCCGTGCACAAAGTGTGGTCAAGTCGGCTTCATCCGCAGGCATCAGACTGATTGAAAGCAGTAAGAACATGATTTGGTCTTTGAGCATAGTAAAGATGATGGTCAATATAGGCAAATCACACTACAAATGTCCTACCATAACCAGGCGTATGGGGATTTGTGACAATGAACCCATAAATGAATGTCTAACATGGGAAAGCGGCAAAAGAATAAAAAAAGAATTAAAAAAAAACCTCTGGCTCAGCTCAAAGATCAATGCCACATCTGTTTTATGACAATCGACTTCATATTGCAGGGTATAAAAAAGACGTGACACATTCGTCTCTCGACGTCTTCTGAATGTGTATGACAGTAGTTTGAACTGCATGGGGATATTTCAAACCCTTCGGGACTTTGAAAATGCTACAAGAAGTCTACAGAACAGTAAACGAACCTTGAAAAATTAATGAAGATAGACATCTGATACTGATTGACGCTGCAGCGTCCTCGCTGCAGCCTAAGCGTCCAATAATTTCATCGTATACTGATTTCTGGACTAGACTCTTAATATTCATACCCTAGACTGGTCAATCAAACTGATCTGCAAAGTGTCATCACTTCTCCGGGCTTCATTATAGCAAGAGTGCTCGATAAAATGCTCATATGTTGTTTGGTTATTGCTGTATTGGATGCAATGAGGTGGGAGATTATGTTCACCAGCATAAGTAGTAACATTATTGTTGAACTTCTGGTCTCGTAGAAAGAGGCCATTTCCCTGTTTTCTCTTGCTATAGTAACACCAGGTGTCAAAAAGCTCTCGCCTGTTGAATTTCATCTTCAACCTTCTAGAGAGGGAAACAAAATGGTAAATAACATCATTCCCATCGATGGAGACAACCGAATCCATTTCAAACCCCGTGAAATTAACGAACACGAATTTGTCTGAGGCCGATATAATTTGGTTCCAGATCTGTTCTAGTACCAAGGGTGCTTCATTACCCCAATCAGTGTACTCTTATCCTTGTCATTATTTTGGAAGACCGCCGAAAGTGATTAGCTAGTCCTTAACGTCTCACGTAGCGCCATCAATGTCAAACTTCAGGAGTCACAAGACCGTCATCTTCTATGTGGTCTCTTTTACTTAACGCTTAGGTCATATGGCACTGCTTACATAGTACTCGCCTCATGACTTAGAATTTCACAAACTTTGGAACAACTTTCCGTTTACTTTCCTCACTCATGGAGATTCAATACGATGGTACATGACAGAGTAATCAGATGTTATTGTCGAGTATATTATTTGAGGCATTGCATAGTTTATGAATCACTCATCAACAGCGTCTTCCTGGAAGCAGCCGTTACCATCACCAGTTACTGGTCAAATAGGAATTAGAGCAGTTCCCATCCTATGAAACGCTGTTTGAGATATGGCAGTGAAGATTAAACGAGTTAAATTGCAACAAATCTCGAATCCTAGTGCTTCTTAGGCTTGTGGCGAATGTCTCTTTGTCCTTGTCTAAGTGGCTTTCTAATGAAGACTATGGATGTTGCATTACGCCGAGATGTAGATTTCTTCTCTCTCCTAGTCGATGATTGATATTGCATGTTTCTAAGACATGACACGAGGGGTCAACGAGCTGAGTCAGGCGGGTAGAACAGCGCTAGTTTTCTGGATAAACTACATACACTAGTCAGATGGATTCGGGCCATTTAATTAGATTGGAGAATGAGTCAGCCTGAAAGAAACATATGCGGGGCGTATAACGGGTTAAGATAGCGCTCTTCGTTATCTCTTTCCGAATACGAAAAGCAACCAGACAGGGACTTGATTCGAATTCACCATGGAAGATGTGTAGATGCAGTGGCAGAAACCATCACGAACAGAGTTCCCATAGCAAGCTAGCAAGTAACTAAATGTGGGAAAACGTCAATGATCGTGGAGCCAAATTATGATGGTTGAGTCAGTCAAGATTTTCGCAAGTTATGTCTGACAGCTAAGCTCTTTCGGCTGAAATTGGAGAACTACGCATGTTTGGCTTTGATGAAACTATAGTACAGAGAAGTTCTGGAATTGTACAAAAGAGCCTTGCAGCTCTTCTCCCGGCTGACATGATTGAACGCCCGCCGTAATAGAACCTGGAAGAACCTCGTAACCAAGTGAGTCGCCACCGGCAAAACCCTTTACCCCACTCCAATCATTTTGACTTGCGGCCGCTGCTTGTTCTTGCTGCTGGATAGGGGATGTTAGCTGTGATGAGGGGTCTAACATCGGCGTGTCGTGGGTAATGATTTGCCTGGGTGTAGCGTCTTGGAAACCTGGCCAGACTGGGAGTGGCCTTTGTGACAACTGGTTAGTCGTTGCGAAAGAGTAAGACTGGTTCAAAGAGGTGCTGTCCGAAAATGATCTGGAATGACCCATGTTATGTGCTGCCGGGTTTCCGATGCTCAACCTAGACGGTGCGAAAGGGATTTTGGTAGCACCACGATCCTGAGATGTATTCCAAGGTACTGCTGGAAATCCCATCTTTCCGAAATTTTCTTCTGGGGATTCTGGTGGCTGCGAGTGTGTAGGAGTACTGGCCGGCATCTCGATGGCATGGAACCCCTGAACTTTCTGGCGGAGTTCAACAGAATACCGATGGAAAAATTTGTTGGACTGACACGGTATGTAGCCGGCTACATTTTTGCTCGATAGTTGAATATGCTCTTTTGTGAGCTCATCGAGCCGTTGCTTGTATATCCGCGCAGACTCAAACTCGTTTCCAATCACAGAAAGCTGTTGCACGCTCTTACTGAGAAGTTCGGAAGAAGTAGCAAAGGACTCTGCTGCCAACGGAGAACTGGCGAAAGAGTTAAGCCCAATGCCTAACCCCTGGCTCTTCTGGTCGTTGGCGTAATGCACACCATGAGCGTGAATGGTTCCAGCTGTAAAGATGCAGTAGGAAATGAAAGGCGGCAGGTGGGGGGGGTTCGTTTGCAGAGTCTGTTCAACGAGCTCAAGGATTGCCGTCGCGTGACGAAATCCAATTTCTGTGGCTTCGACCACCCAGTGTTGTATCATCATTGCTCCTGCAGGCTCGCCAAGATGCAAAGGCAGAAGCGGACGGTAAATGAGGCAGTGTATCAAGTGATAAACGATCCGGCATTCGAGTAAAACGTTTGCCTCGGGGCCGTTAAATAGCTGGTTTGGGTGGTCGGGATTGCGACTGATATCAGCTGCCCAAAGATCCAGATCACGGCGGATCCTGTGTCGATGACCATATGCCTCTTGCGTAGCGGGCTCGGTAACAAGCAGATATCTGTTGGCGTCTGAGAGGATACAAGCGACCCAAACCAGCTTTTGAAGACCATAATCCGGGGCTTTCGTGTCGTCGCAGACCGGCTCGGAATCGGCGACCGTGGTGTAGTCGTTTTTTGATTGCCATCCAGACTGAGAATGTTGTTTGGGAGACGGGACAGTTGCTTTGACTATAGCATCATCAATCAATGAGGGCCGCTCGAGCCATGTTGATACGAAAACGTTCATGACGTAGCAAGTCCAGAAAAGTCGCCGTCTCATCTGGGCTTCCGGTCGGGTGCTCTCATTGTTTTCCTCTGAGCATTGATACAGCTCTAGAACCATAGCTGTGCCAACGGCCTGGGCTATTTAGACCGATTAGATAACATGAAGCGTCGATTGAGCGGTTGCAGTACTTACAGAGAGTGCTGTAGGCCTTCTTTCCATCACCCATTGCCACGAAGGCCGTCACCAGTAGAAGAAGGGCTTGGCAAATATCAACCGAATTGTCTGAAGTTTCAATTTCTTTTTGGGCCCAAGAAACATAGGTCTCTGCGGAAACATGGCTGCTTGGTCCTTTTCCCGGCTGCTCTGAGTACCTGATCTTTTGTTAGCTTTGTCCTAAGTGTTTGCTAAACCTCGTGAACACACCTTGTGGCTACAGCACAGACAGCGTACAACACCGGCTTGGGAAGCTGGTTGTTTCTCAATTTGTGCTTGGTGAGTTCTTCGTCCAGAATCTCATAGGGATTGCGATGGAAATATGTGAAGTAGATGTCAACGAGACCTTCTGCGTTGATGACTGAGGGAAAGTCCCTGCTACTGCGTCAGCGAGAAGAACGTTAACTGAAGTAACCTGTTAGCACATACGAGTTTGCTGCAAAGCCTCCTTCGTGGAGTGCGCTGAAAGGCGACACGTCTGACGATGCGGAACCGCAAGTTTCGCAATTTATATTGCTATGAGCATGATTTCCGTTGAATTCGGTAGCGACGACGTCGGATCCAGGTGGTGTAGGTGTTTTTTCTGACTTCAGAAGTTCCTCGAGGCCATCAATTCGTTTTATCAAAGCACTAATGGATTCTTTCTTTGGTCCGCGCTTCTTTGGAACACCCTCTGGAGTTTCGTTCAGCGTCTCGCGATCGTAGGATGTGTTCTGGAGGGGGGAAAGATTTACCATAGAAACATGATCTTTGATAAAGTTGGCATACCCCACATGAAGGTAACGCTCTGTCGCATTTGATCTACACATATGCAGACCGTCGATCAGAAAACAAGCTTAACTGATGTGTCGAACCCACTTACCTTGCGAATTTGGCATGGCTTGCAATTCATGACGCCTCTTGTTGACGGCTTTGGAGCTGGGCTGTGTTGAGGACTTTCTGACTTCTTCGTCCCTGACATTTTTGCAAAATTTGAAATCAACGCTTCGAATATCAGTACAGCGATCACAACTTTGGTGAACTCCAGAAGTGCCGACGTTGTCGATGTTAAATGCGGATGATGTTTGGATTCCAGACCGTGCCGAACACCACTTCCAGACTGGTTAAAAGGACTGGTTCCCATGGGGCATGTTCCGGCTCTTACTTTTCCGGGCGGGACTGTTGTTTTATCAAGTCATGTACTGTCGCTGTGTTAATACCTGCAGGATGATACTAAACCCCTCGCTGTGATACTGGTTACATGTTGAAAACTTCAGATGAGCCTTTTTGTCTCCCCTGACAAGACCTCGTTGAAACTGCCCTTACACCACAGCCTGGTGGGGGTGGGCTTGGAAAACAAACATGTTCGCTAGGATCAGGGAATACCTGTTATTGTTCTTGGGTATGAAAAAGGGACATACACCGCCTAAGTTCTGCTTGCACCACTGAGTTCGAACGTCAGAGGGAAGTTCCTACTTTCACCACGTTGCCAATAGCGGGGTTGGCACAGACATCTTGCCACCTGTGACAAATGACGTCTTGCGACAAGTGGCTAAGCATCAATCTATCAACTTGGGATGAATCAAACTGAGACGGTTGCTTGATACCTACTTGTTAAGAGCATTCCTGTCACGATGGCTAATGCCCTTCCATGATGGCTGGTTGGAGTCATTCACCCCCTTGAGAGCCTGCTGGATGTGTTGTCACCAGTGAACTGTGCACGTCTTTGCTTCCTCAGGACCCAACGGGGGTTTCCGCAACTCAGTAGATCATAGCAACAGAGCAATATGAAGTCAAAATTAACTGCTCATCAGGTGGATTTCTATCCATACTATCGTCACACCGAAAGCATGATGCCACCACCCGTCGCATCACACCCCAAATCCAGTTAGTGCGTCATGTCTCCGCCAATAGGGCAAATTGTGTGCGAGTCTAGCCGTAACCCTAAGAACACGAAAACGAAAGCTGTTGCCGGCCATTGTCATTGTCACATTGCGGCTATCTGCTGTCGCTACTTATTCGACAACACGTGCCAGGACAGTTACGATGGCGTGACCCTGTGCAGGATGGGTTCGACGAGCAAGCATTGGGCAACTCTTGGATTGTTTCGAAAGGTTAATTCACTGTAGATCACGACCCAGATCTATGGGTTGAGGATTGGTAATCGATTGAAGGCCTTAGATCTTGCATTATTGAAATCAGAGCATCAACCGCCAATCGGCAGAAGCACGGTTTCAGTTATTGCGTTCTGACGCCAGTATGATCACATGGAACCTCATGATACTCTCCGCTAGCCGCTACTCTCCAATAGAATGATCAGTTGTTTCCGCTTTCCGACTTGACAGAAGCAAAGGGCCTCCTGTCAGCTGTCATCCAAAACTCATCGCAGGTTCAGCGTAACACTTTCCGAGACACCTCGGCGGAATAATTGTTGATCCTCGAGAGCCAAATAAGCTTGTTGCAGAGACAAGCAGGGACGTCCCATGGCACTTCAGTGAATATGAGACAGGAACATTGAATTCTATCTGGGGACTCCCAACCAGCTGAATGGTTGCCAGGATTTTTGTTAGCGTTTGGGAGATGATACCGGTCATGTCCTGTTTTCTGTAGATGAATACCCACTCGCAGCGCCGCGCACTCCGCGGGTGGTCGTCTCAACAAGTGAGTAAAACTTGCTCAATTAAACGTTCGGGATGACCTCTCCAGACAAGACGTCTCGGACGCGATAATCGCATTCTGGCTAAAGGAGAGGATATTAGCCTGTAAGACTTTGGGCTGCTCTCTTTTGCCTGGTCTTCCGGTCGCTGGCCCAAGCCCAAATCAGATGCTTGCTATTTTGTGATTAAGCATACTGAGTGACGGCAAAGATGGCATTTTATCTGTCGTCTGGTCCCCTAAAAACCCGACCATGGCCTAGTCAAGAATGCGGCAGGATAAATTCGAATACTGCTCCTTGTTCTCCTCAGTAAAACCCATGCTGTCTTTGATGACCCTCAGCAGCCTCAGACACTGGGAGTATGGACCCATGCCCTACGAGTACCACAGCTTGACTTCGTGACTGGTGACTCAGGTAGACGTTTGATGACCTGTTACGAGAGTCACGTGGCAATCTAGCATGCCCGATATACCTTACCAGTAGACGATCAGCAGTTTTCGGAAGCAAAAATCACATGAAAGCAGCTCCTCGGTTAATGATGAGGATTTCATCGATAGAGACAGTGCAGTTTCGATACAGGTAAATGGCATCAAAGCGTCAAAATGTAGTAACCTCAACGTTCTAGAAAATTCTCCTGGAATCTTGGATATCCTTTCGTCTCTAGGCTCCAACAGGTCAACACTTGACGGTGGGCAACACATTCGCATGTTATGGAGGTTGAGAAGTCTCAAGGCGTTACAGCCGATTCTGTTCTAAGTACCTAGGATTTTCGTCTCTTTGTGTCAAGTATTCGAATTCAATAGGGCAGACTTGATGAAAAACACAGGTCACTTGAAGAGAAGTGTTCGCATCCTTTTTGTACTTGGTGTATGCCTAATATGACAGAGTCTTCACATGATAAAGTTAATGTTGTAGCTAGGATAGATGAACTTTGCATTCAAAGTCTTCGATTTCCTAGTATTCATGCAAACCTTGTGCCGGGTTAGTCACAGTCACCTTGTGAATTTCTCAGCTAAAAACACCTTGGTGTACGTTCCATACTCAACTCAATCACTGTACGAATATCAGACTGTCCAAGACAAAGTCAGATGCTTCACTACTGTCATTCTACCTTGTGTCACCACTTAGAGATGAAACTTCGCTATCATTCCAAACAAGGGTTTGGTGTTGGAGGTTTGTCAAAAGTTTACTTGACGGCCAATCATCGATTCATGCATTTCGGAATTTGCCATGCAATATAGACCAGTAAGGCGAGGCTCAGACTATCTACGGTCGCCATAACCCTGAAGCTCCCTGCTAGATCTGTGCATGGCGTTCCGAAGCCATGTGCCTTCCAGACTCGATTCCCTTAAGAAGTTATCTTCTTCTAATGGGAGATTGGGACTGATAAGAGAGCGGCTGGTACTGGTGCAAGCTTGCAATCTCTTGCGTTAACTCGCGGCCATCCTATTTTCCTTAGGTAGCTGAATCATATCGCAATCGCTCAATCTTATCATTTGTACTGACAGAAATTCCAAACCGCACTGCAGGCAAATTGAACGAGCCGACCGAAGAACCAACTCATACGTCTACATATATGAGGGGACCACTCAGAGATTTGAAACACAGCGAGGTCATCCGCTGTGGTTCAGGCGGGTTCCATGACGATGATGATACGAACATCAGCCATAAGACCATTTTTACACTGCTACGAGCCTAGCAAGTACCATGACTGCCAGTGAAGTTGAATATCAGTTACACCCTGGATAATACTGAACTATGAAGTAGCACCTGCGCGATAGTGTTAAGTAAGAATTTTACTCTCTCTCGTAAACTGGGAGAGGTATCCCAATATATCTAGGAAAACTAGAACATTGAATTGCCCCTGACTTAGTGTAAGGGCATGGCTCACAAAGACTCGGTCGTGGAATGTAATGAATATTAGCGTTAACGCAAGGTTATCTCACTCAACGCTACAACTGTACATATTCTGTCGACAGCTGTACAAATAGGGAATTAGTAACACTAGATGAACATTGACCAAGCAAATAGACATCCGTTTTTATTATGAGTGAATTATTTTTGTTACTAGCCTGAGTTTCTAGCTAAGCGATACTATCTGGTCGCCAAATTGGTACAATAACTTTATTAACACGACCAATTTCTAATATTCTGGACAGTGTCTCCTCTAGCAAACACTTACGATGATCTCGACTACTTATTAGACTATGTAAATAATCGCTTAGGGTATACGCATCTTTTTCATCTGGAGTAAGAGAAAAGGCATAAGTGGTTATCCCAAGACCCCCAAAAAAGCTCAGGAATTTTGATACATTACTCACGTTTTCCTTTTTTCTTATTGGCCATGGCGATGGTGAGACTCTTTTAGCCTCGGATGACTTGTATGTGGAATAATTCATCTCTTGGCCCAGGAACGACTTTATAGACGAACAAAAATTCGGTTCATCCATAATGGAAACAGTCTACCAGAAAAAGTTAAGCATTGATGATGCCTTAATGGCGCACAATGCATGATTCTAATCAGCAACATTGCAATCCCACCTTTTCACTACCAAATATACAGAAATGAGGGTGTTTGAAACGAAAGGAACTTTTGGGTTACTTGAAAGCAATGTAAATGAAGGATTCTGGAGTAAATATAAACTTTTCTAGATATAACGCTTCACTCTGTCTACAGCCCTGACAAATCCTAAAATCATACCCATCTTTGCTGAATCCGTTCTGTTTATAAAATAACTCTCGTCAGATTCTTTTTCGATATTTCGACTATCAGAGAGCCGGCCAACCGGTATCAGATTACAGAAAACTCTCCACCAGAGTGATAATCTGCTGCAGAGGACGCTGGCCCACCCAAACTTCATTTCTAAAGCTAACAATGGCGTATATCAGAGTCCTGACTTCAGGAGAAGGATTATTGGAGCTTGAAATGGAGACTATCCCCTCAATATATTAGAAGTACAACGATGACTGTTATATTGTGATTTGCTAACCCTAACGTATGTGGATCCTGCGAACAGCTTTGCGGTCTACTATCTTCGTATACTCACATATCGCAGTTCGCTTCTAGCGAGAGTACATGACTTTTAGAGCGAGGAATTACTATATCAATAAATGATACTGCGCTTAGTGTATTTAACCAGTTTTCTGTCAGTATGTCAGGTGAAGATGTGGTAAGTCCTCACCAGGTAAATCATCATACACACAGAGTTGTTCAAGGAGATCAAGTTATGTCCTGGAAACTTGACAATACATACTCTATAGCTATTTTACGTAGTACCACGGAAGATTCACATTGTAGCCTGTCTTGACAAACACACGTGCCCAATATTCAACGTTGTCATGCTTTCTGTTACCACCGCAGCCCACTCAGGTCTAGCTTAAGCTGGCAACAAGTTCTGTTCGCAATCCAAAATCGAGTTAAATCTGTGGATCTGACAGCTTGCTGCATATTCCCTCTGGTGGACCTTGGAAAGCGCATATCTTATTTGACCGCGCATGGCTCATAGCGAAGCTGCCTGTCTTCTGCGAGATGCAACGATGAAACAGAAAGCGGCTGAACAGCACTGATACACTAGTTTGACTTGAATTTGTAGGGAAGCCTAATAATAATAGTTCTGCTTTCAGCCCCTTTAATATGAGTTGGTTCCAGCCAAGGTAGTGGTGACGTCGCACGGCGGCCCCGCCACGTCAAGGTCGAGATCGGACCCACCTTCTCCGGAGAATGATACGCATCTCACCGGGAGACTCGGGATGAAAGGTCCACAATGACCTTATTCAACGGAGTCATGGCCCGTTCTTACTTCCGGGGAGGCTTAAGGTGCAAATCCAAGCGAAAGAGCTCGGCCATCCGTCCTAATCGTTTAAAAGGGGACAGTTGATGAACACGTAGATCAGGTTTACTTCACAGGATATTGGTGTGAATTGCAACGTTCAGTGATTAGTTGAATCAGATTTAGCTGCATCAACAATCCAGTCACTATGTCTGGAGCGTGGATACTTCCTACTTAGCGCGAGTCTTGCAACGCAGTGGCTTTTGTCCAACAAAACTTGTAAAATTGGAACACAGCTTTGCATTCTCTGTGCCCCAGATCTCGTCACGATATATGGGGCTGTAGCCCGTTCGAAAGAACTAATGGTGGTAAAGATGATTGCCGTCTAGCCGGTCACTGCCCATGCCGCTTGCTATCATTTCTGATGACATGCTCAACGGGCTTGCATTTCGTCCCTGACAGCTTGTCATTGATGACGAAAAGTGCACAGATAACACCCTCGCGATACCTTCGGAATGACTCCGGTGCCGCTATCACGTTGTCACAAGCAAATTGAAAATGAGGCGGCCAGACAAGGAGCAACACGGCATGGTGGGGACCAATCACAGACGTCATTCTTGGGAGTAAACCAAGGTCCTTCACCGCAATCCAAGACCCCTGATCGTATGCCGTACGTTTGGCACTTGTGGTTCGCGTCCTCCAGGTCTCCAGGACCCCTATAACGGAAATTTTCTAGATCAAGTTCGCAGGGCAGCTGCATGAAAGGGCCGATTAAGACTTTCGCGATGCGGCTGCCGCGATGCGCTGAGGTCGATTTAGGCAGCTCGCCACTCTGTCACATGATGGTTCCTAAGTGTAGGCATCATAAGCGGCGCCAGGCTGAAGACAAGCTCCATTGTTTCGGGTCGAGCCACAAAGCCATACACATAGTGTAGGTTTTTTCAACTTGTCACGCTATGTGTGGTCCTCTCCATAACCGGAGTGAGCCTCTCCTCCTCTTGCTTCTCCTACCCCTGGTTTTCCCCTCCTCGTCTCCCCTCCCCCCTCTTCTCCAGTTTTCTTGCTGACGGCCAAGTTCCAGCGTGGGCTGCCTCAATTGGATTCTGAGCCGGGTCTGCAGATACTTCTTCTGACCTTTGCAGGCCCTCAGGTCTCTGCGGCCAGGGTCCGGGTCCACACCAAGTCCAAAAGAACTTGGTTCCTCGGTGTGGGGCCGAGGACGCAGATTTTTCCGGAACGGCGAATCGGCGGACATTGTCAGCTTGGCGCGCCCGCCCCGTGGTTCTTCCAAGGACACGGTAGAGTTGGACTCGATTGGATCGAGGATTGCTCGATGAGGAACTCGATCTGACTTTCGGCTCGGGATACGGCAATCTCCAAACTTTTACAGTCCTTCATGTGGTGGGGCTTCCATTATGAGACGCAATCTCCCCTTCATGATACACACGAGTTTACCCGACATGTGAGACCGTGTCTCCGGTATCGATTTCCACTGCTGTGTAGTTTTTACTTTTTCGTCTTGGTATTACCTCTTCTTCCGGAATACAAGGCAGACAGGCCCCAGTTTTCTTCTTGCGCCAGGCATCTCTCGACTGAGTTGTGGGGGGCACCCAGATCAGAGGAACCGTCCAAGACATGCAGAGGCAGGGTCCTGCCTTCTTTGTCAAACGCTTTGGTGCCTTGAGCAGATGCTATGTTATGAGGATCTCTTGAAAATCCTGTGAATGGCGCTATGTTTGTGTCAACAAAAGGAAATTGGCGGTTGTACATCATATAAACCACGTTTTGTCATGGAGCTTGACACTTGACAAAGGTCGCTAACCTAGTCGCTGAGAAACGATCATTGAGGATGTATCTTGTTGTGTAATCAAGTCATGGAGGCCGACTGCGAAGCACCTACACGCAGAAGTTGATGAGACTCTGGACGAGGTTAGCCAAGTTGCCCAGTACGTCATCGTACATCTGATGGCTGGAGAAACGTGCAATACTTTGTACGCCAAGAGGGTCCAACATCGGCTTCATTGCCATTCTGCGCAGCATCGACCAACAGATTTTTGCGGGCCCGAGTCAGGTCATCCTGGGTTTGGGGGGAAATTAACTGGAGAGTTGACTGGTGCTTCCCCAGTTGTTGCGGGTATGCGGGTGGAAAACGGACGCAACACCCCAAGGCCCGTCAGTTTTTCCGCACTCATTACCAGTGGCTGGGACTTCAGTCGCTTTCTCATTGGCTTGGCTCGCCCGTGAAATGCCTGGCGAACCTCTTCGGGTTGCCTAATGCAGTAGGGCCGAACAAGCGAAAGTTCTTCCCAAACGACGTCATCCCGACAGTGCTTGGTGCACAAGGAAGATCGTAACTGATCCCAGTTTGGCTCCGGTACACTCCACAGTTAACCGCAGCAAATGTCAAACCTTTGAAGGACAAGAAAAGAGGATTCATGATACCAAGAGATGGGCAGTGAACAAGCAATCGACAAGAAATTTGGCGAAATGCCAGCTCCAGTGAATTTGTCTTGTCGTGTCTTGTCGTTCTTGGACTTTTATCTTAGCATGTGGTTAAGCTTTTGACACCGGACGACATGCCTGGCGGCTAACACTGAATTGCCAACTGACACGGGAAACTTGAGTCGGAAAAAAACACCGAAAAAAAGAGTCTTCCCTTAAACCAACATCACGCAAAACTATACGTCATGTGGTCCACCGCCCTCGACACACTGTCACCAACAACTGCCGACGTTGACAAATCGCGTGCGAGTATTCTTAACATGAAACCTGGTTCTGGCACCGTTGTCCCCACGACGCGGGCCCAACTTGAACTGGGAGCCAAACAGATACCAAAACGGTCGGGCGAGAGCGAGAGTCAGAATCCGCAGCTGCAAGCGCTCTAAGCGGCTACGATGCCACCCACCGTTGACCAGAGCCCGCTCTCCTCGCTCTCCTCGGCGCTTCTCTGCCTTTGAGCGCAAGTTTGGCTCAGGGCTTGCCGCAGGGTTCGCGCAGGGCCCCCTGACTCGTAGATGGCGCCGCTTGGACGAACTAAGTGTTGCAGAACCAACGATATTGAGTCGAGTGGTATGCACAAAGGGCACTGCCAGGTACTTTTCGTACTTTTCGGCTGCACGACTTATCGGTCCCTATCAAAATTCAAAAATGACGTCGTAGCCTCCGACATGTCTCCATCAAGCCCCACCGATAATGTGCCTCAATGGACACAATTGCGGCTCCTTTGAGTACTTTTACTCCGCCTTCACAAAACAATGCTGCCTTATCTTCTCTAAGGTACCTTTTCGCGTCGGTTTCTCTCCGAATTCTGCCGCGCGAAGGACGGAGTCTCCACGAGCCCGCGTCTCTGAGCGGTGAAGCCACCGTATTGACATGTCCCGCGATGGCGAACCCGCAAAACTCTTGTACTTCTAGGCGCCGTATTGGCTAAGAGGTTCCCGCGCGTCCCATGACGGCGTCTTGGCCAGCCTGACGACATGTCACCGTATGTCTTGTCCCCCATGCCCGTGGATGGATCCTGGTGGGGAGTTTTCACCCCTCCGGGTCTGAGGACCCCCCTCCAGAGGGATCTTGGATCGTACGGGGATTGGGGGAAATCGGGGCAGCCTTTTTGGGGACGACTGGGGATTGGCTATTTGGGGATTTCTGGGTTGGGTGTAAACAGCATACGCCAGGGTCCGAGGCTGGCACGAGTAGCATGTTCCCATGTCAGCGTAGCTCAGCCATGTACTACCGCGCGTTACCTGCGGTAATAGTGAGGAAGTGAGGAGTCAGTACAGGGTGAGGAGAAAAAGAGTTCAACCTCTGGCGCTGACGTTGCCGATCTTTACCCTGTCGCTGTCTGGTTGGGATTTCATCTATAAGGCCGACGCTCGCCGTCTCAATTCGCATCTGATCTTCCTGCTGTTACCTATTCATCTCGACTGTTTCACTCCTCCCTTCGACCGACCTACGACCTGCAGCTTCGACATTGTCTGGAACATACAGATCAGATACTGTCCGCTGTGCAAGAGTCTTCAAGATGGGCAAGCTCAACTACTTCGGCCTTCGAGGCAAGAGTCTTAACTGGGCCATCAGTATCATTGCAGGATGTGATTTCTTGCTTTTCGGATATGGTAGGTTTCAAACAAGCGACGCGAACCTGATCGCTAGGCTACAACTTGACTGACCCGACTTCCTCTCTTCAGACCAGGGTGTCACTGGTGGTATCCTCACCCTCCCTGCCTTCCAATCTCAGTTTCCTACCATCGACTCCGAGCCTGAGGGTATACTCCATGGGCTCACCAAGAGTCAGCGCTCCACCAACCAAGGTATTGCGGTCGCTTCATACAACTTGGGCTGTTTCCTCGGCGCCATCATTACCATCTTCATCGGAAACCCTCTCGGTCGCAAGCGCATGATTATCCTTGGTACTGCCATCATGGTCATCGGAGCTGCTCTTCAGGCCTCTGCGTTTTCTATTGAGCACCTCATCATCGGACGCATCATCACTGGTCTTGGAAACGGCGGCAACACATCAACAGTCCCTACCTGGCAGTCCGAGACGTGTAGCTCTCACAAGCGCGGCAAGCTGGTCATGATTGAGGGTGCCCTCATTAGTGGTGGTATCATGATCTCCTACTGGATCGATCTTGGCATGTCCTTCGCCCCAGGCTCTGTCTCATGGCGTTTCCCCCTAGCCCTGCAGATCCTCTTCTGTATCTTCATTCTGGCTTTCGTCTGGAACCTGCCCGAGTCTCCTCGCTGGCTTATTCTCAAGGGCCGTGACCAGGAGGCCAAGGAAGTTATTGCTGCCATTGCCGACTTGCCCGAGGATGATGATTACTGCAAGAACGAGTACGTCGTCATGAAGGAGACTGTCGAAGAGATGTCTAAGGGCACCTTCAAGGATCTTTTCACTATGGACAAGAACCGCAACTTCCACCGCACTTGCATCGCCTACGTCAACCAAATGTTCCAACAGATCTGCGGTATCAACCTTATCACCTATTACGCTGCAGTCATTTACTCTGGCCTGGGAATGTCTCGCTTCATGTCCCACTTGTTGGCTGCTCTCAACGGTACCGAGTACTTCATTGCTTCTTGGCCTGCTGTCTTCTTGGTTGAGCGTGTTGGTCGTCGCAAGCTTATGCTTTTCGGTGCTGTTGGCCAGGCCATCACCATGGCTATCCTTGCGGGTGTCAACTCTCAGAAGACTTATGCGTGCCAGATCACTGGCATTGTGTTTCTCTTCGTCTTCAACACGTTCTTCGCTGTTGGCTGGCTTGGTATGACTTGGCTCTACCCCGCCGAGATCGTGCCCCTGCGCATCCGCGCTCCTGCCAACGCTCTCTCCACATCTGCCAACTGGATCTTCAACTTCATGGTAAGTAACCTGAATAACAGACCCGCATCGTTTCAATACTAACGCCACTTAGGTCGTCATGATCACTCCTGTCGCCTTCGACTCCATCAAGCACCACACCTACACCATCTTCGCCATTATCAACGCCATCATCGTTCCCGTCACCTACTTCTTCTTCCCCGAGACCGCCTACCGCTCCTTGGAGGAGATGGATTCCATCTTTTCCAAGGCTGCTCCTGGTATCAAGGGTGCATTCGATGTCGTCGACGTTGCCCGCAAGGAGCCCCACCGCTACGGCAAGAATGGCGAGCTTCTCATTCATTACGATGATGTCAAGGAGACTGGTCACGCCACCACCCGCGAGAACCGCCGTGAAGGTAGCACCAGCAGCAGCGAGCCCAATGGCCTGTGGGCCCGCCAAGACGAGGAGACGCAGAATGTCGAAAAGTCTGAGAAGTCCTAAAGCGTGTAGTTCTCTAGCTTTATGGATGCGGTCCTCTGGTTGGGAATTTTACTGGCCATAGTGGGCCTGAAAGCGATTTCTGTCGCTATGAATCATGTCCTCGCCGCACATTGCCGGCTTTCTCATTTGGGCACGGAGTGACTTCCGGTGCCATTAAATCCTATTCTCTTGTGAGGTCTGTAGACCTCGATCATTGTGAGATACCACTAGATTATCTAGATTTTGAGCATTAGATACCACAACAATACGTTGAATGACTGCAATATCATACCCAATACCATACTCAATACTGTCGAGTGATTTCATGAGCAGTGATTCTCGACCCAACACGGGACGCCTTCCGACCTCTAAAAGTTTGATTCCGATAGGCGCTTAAATTTTCCTGCCTCGGAGGTGGCTCGGGAGGCAAGCTTAATTTGACACTTTTTTCCCGAGCGTTCGCCAAGAACAGCTTTTAACCGTTCAACAGGTTGGGCTACCGGCACCATTTTTCAACCGAATGTTCCAACCGAATGTTCCAACCGAGAGTCAAATGGAGTCAGGGCGAGTGAGCCTCACATCACCCCATGGTTCCCCATAAACTCTACCCCGCATCCCCAGGGTGCCACCCTCCCCTCGGGTCAAGGTCGATTTCCCTTAAAGCCATAAGAGCCCTTTGCAGTGCAACTGGGTCCAACCATCTCACAATAGATTAGCTGACATCAAAGCGAATCTGCACTTTGTCTCGGCCCCGGGTTACCTCATTTGGAAACCTGGATGGGAATGTGCAGCCGCCCGCCCATTCAAGCCTTTCGGTCGGCCTAGCGGCACGTCCCTAAACTTCCGTTCTAGCCCTTTTTCAGCCGCCAGTTTACAGCCGCTTTTCCGCACAACTCGTTTTTGAACACGAGGAACCAAACCGGGACCTGGCTAGATCGATCTAGCGTCGACCTTTACAGACCCCATGGGGAAGGGTGCATATTGATGCAATGTAAGGCTACTCGAAACATTGCAATGAAAACGGTAGGTGATGAGCGAAGACGGAGTATCACCGTTAGCCTAGAAAGCCAGGGTGCCCAACAGCGTCGTAGGTCTGACGAGCCTTCACAACTTCTCTTCACGTCATCCTCAGCCCCTTGAAAACGAACGGCTCGTCAGTGCTCTGCCCTGCATCCGGCCTCAGGTGGCTCTGGAAATATCCCGGTCAGCATGACATCCGCAGCAGACAAGACATCCGTGCATTCAGCTTATAGCTGCAGTTGGATGAGTGTGGTAGCCAGGATTCTAAAATATAGATTGAATCTTCATCGTTTATGCACACACAGAGATCATTACACCACAGATTCAAATATAACATTTATCCTTCATGCTATGTTAGTCTGTTCAAGGGTGTTCTGTGTTTCATCACTGCTGGGCAGAAGAGAGAAAACGGGCGAATGTCTTTTAACTTATGTTCAGCCGATAATCACCCACCGTCAGATGGAACGTCCATCCATCATCAACCGCGTCACGCATACGGAGTGTCTCAAAAGTCACACGCCACGTTTTGATGGGATTCGTCTTGACTTGGGATTTTTCTGGAAGGCGCCGATCCAACTCGGATTCGTAGAGCGTTTATCTTCTCAGTCTGGTTCAATGATATGGAAGGAAGTTTAGGCATTATTGGCCATCTTGGCCCCGCTCAAGGCGATTTCTTAGATCTCTCCAATCCGGAATTGGTTACAGGCAAACGAAGCTGTTTTTAGTTCAAGGTCGAAAAAACCGCCCAGAACATTAACACCAAATACCATAAAAGTTTGGCAGACGCCGCAGGAATATACTGTCTTTCCGAGGCCGGAGAACATTCGCTAGAAGAAAACGACAAGATTATGGTGATTAGAATTGCTATTCATATAATTTGCTGGTGTTTCGCTCTCTGAACTCTTTTATTCAAGTTCTGGCAGCGTATGACTGCCCGGGGTACCGGGAGGTGGGCTCCATTGGGTAGCTTTACCGCGAGGAGGCGACGGCCGCCATCTTGGTCAATGGCATCGCCTACACTGTGACGTTACCCATCTCGTCTTTCATCGGACCGTATACCCCCAGGGTGTCCATGACATCCAATTCAGTACCTCGTCATCGATAAACCACCAGAAAGTCAGACGAGCGACGATGTCACCAGTCTCGAGTATTGCTACTACTCGTGAGAGGTCACCAAAATCTTGATTTATGATAAGTTTGACATGACGGTTTTAAACCTCAATAATTTCAAGGCTAGATAATTCTTGAGCGCATTTGGAGATTGAAAGAAGACCTCCACATCAGTATCATCTCCCATATTATTTTCGGCCAGGTCAACGCGTCCACGTCCACAAGTATCGAGGTGGCCATTTTTGTCATCCCTGAGGTCTTCGGGAAGGCTAATCCTGTGCTTTTATATGTTTGATAGTGGACTAAAAGCACTCATAGAAAGCCAAAAACTCGGGTTTCTCAGAAAAGATATCTAGAAGGTGTCAAGTCAAGTTCACTTCATTCGCTCCACGACCCGCCCAAGATTTCTCGAAGAGAAGACTGATGAATTTCTTTCGTCTATATGAATAAGACGAAATGAGAAACGATGTTAGTGACTCTATCCTTGACGTCCATGATAAATGCCGCTCCAAAGAAGTGTGATTCCCTGAGGCTTCTCAGGACGAGCTGCTGATACCTAACAAACTGACAAATTGACTCCATCGCAGTAAACTCTGGACAAGACCAAAATCGACGCCTTTCTTGAGTACTTCAGACAAGGATTTTGATTCCTTGTACCATCGCCCTGATGTCTTTGCATCGATGGTGGTCAAGGCCCTCATACATACAACTCCCTAAATTGATTGAGCGAGAATAGGCTTCGAAGGATCCATGGGTGCCCAGATAAGCTTATACCTATTAGATACATGGGCAAACATGGGTAGTCCATAGGTAGATGGGTAAGTTCTGGACATGGGTATTAAATATACGGCCAGCCCATGGGTAGTATTGGTTTACCCGCTTTGCCCAAGAATACATCAAGATCTAACCTATATCGACCCATACTACCCATAGAGTCTTCGCTAAAATGAATTGTTTATAGAAGAAGCGTATTGGAATAAGGATTGCTATATTCATGAAAAGATAGTAGCACAAAATCCAGATTGATGCCTAAACTTAGTCCTCTTAATCTGCTCACCTCCTCATTGCTCTCCAAGTCGTCGTCTAGCTTACCCATAATATCTAGTACTTTTTTAGAACTACTTATGGATCCTTTGGGCAGCCCATAGATTTGGGCTATTGGACATAGGCTCTTTGGGTAACTGGAATCTGTATGGGTAAACCATTTGCGTGGGCACCCTATTTCTAGCCCTAAGTAAGCCTGGATTGGGGTTGGCGATAACAAAGAGGAGCTAGGACCTGGAATGGAAAACGACAGGCTCAAGGGCACCGATAAATGTTCAAAAGCTCCAAGAAGGCTCCTCGATAAGACCCCTATAACCACCTATCGCTAAGAGCCTGCCGTACACAATTGGATTATAAGGACGAAAGTAACTTGTATTGTCTAGGTGGAATTCAACGCGAGGACGCTTATAAAGCCAGGGTCACTGACAAATCCGGGTGAGGTCGCGTGGAAAGTAAGGCAATCTATCTAGGCAAAATCGACTTACACCACGAAGATATTGTGACACTACTGCAACCAGCTCGAATTAGCAAAGGCAGATTTGGCGAAGAGAGACAGAGCCGTCAGGAACGCCACCAGATGAACAATCAAGATTGATTAGAAACGACTGTCGTTAGTGAAACGGGTTTTTGAGGGCTAGGGGGTTTGGAGTAAGGTTGAGGACGGTAAACCGAGAGCCAAAAACAAGCATCACGAATTGCGATATGGATTCCTAGTTGAATTACTAGTGGTTTAGGCTGAGAAAAAGATGCTGACGAGTCTTTGGTAAATTCGAAGGCGATGTGGACGACCATTTACATTTGGTTGCAGTAATGCTTCTTAATTACTTAAATGTCGCTGTATGACTAGTAATAGCCGCACGGTGTTCCGGAACGCTGATAGCACGAAGAAAAAGACAGGATGCAGAGAAAGATAGATTTGCCTAATTCTGTTGAAGTCTGCGTCAAACTTGTTGTTGTTGTCGCCTGGAACCCAAAGACTTGGCTGACGACAGGGGGAGGGAGTAGATGGGGCCAAGAGAACACTAGACGGCGTGAAGGTAGACAAACCGCTTACAAATTTTTAACTCTCAAATCAACTAGTCGATGAAAAGAAAGCGAGGTTGGAGTGGATTCGTTAGGGGAGAATTAACTACACTCACTGCTCTTCATCGCTACTACAGTCATGCGGCATGGCAGTAAGGTTTGAGACTGCCTCCTAGCAACTAAGCCCCAGTGATCAACCAAAACCTAGAAGTTGCCACATCATCGCATCAGCTCTGCAGTTAACTTGGCATAATTTCAGGTTGCTTACGAAAGGGTATCAGAACTTTGTATTCTGGAAGAGGCTCATCAAGCTCAATCTAAAGCACAACTCAACTCGCTCAAACTATCTACGCCGACAAAGTCACCATGGAGTGAGTCTGCTCATCCACAACCTCGCGGAAAATTTGGTTCTTCTTTGCAACATCATCGAGTCCAGTGCGGTCACCAAACACCTCATCCATCTGCTCAAGTGTCTTTCCGTTGGTCTCAGGTACGCAGAACCAAGTCCAGACACCAGAAAGCAAGCAGAAAGCGGCGAAAAACACGTAGGCGCCAAATCCTGTCCCTTGGACCATTGGAGGGGTTATAAGACCGATGATGAAGTTGTTAATCCAATCTGTTCAAAGTCAACCTATGCTGTCTTTTAACGGGCTTCGTGGTGGGTAAACCTACTAGAACAAGTAGAAATAGCAACGCCCTTGGCTCTCAGGGAAGAAGGAAAGACCTCGGATGGCATGGCCCATGGCACTGGACCCCATGTGGCTCCGAATACAAGCATATCTATTGGTAAATGGTCGTCAGCTTCCATTTATGTTGAAGAAACGTATGCTGTAAGGCAAGGAGTAAAAAAAACTTACAAAGCAGCAAGAAGGCCACGCTGATCCAACCCTGAGTGGTATGGTTTGGCCAGTCATTTGAGTACAGGCCAACCAGGATAGCAATGACAGTGTGTGAGATCGTCATGCCCAAGCTCCCCACAAGCAGAATCCATCGGCGCCCGAAGCGGTCCATAGTCCACAAGCTGGGGATGACGCCGACCAGCTGAACACAGTTCAAAACACCGGACATGATCAGCTGCATGTTATGATCGAGGCCCATCGTCGCGAATAGAGTAGGAGAATAGTATATAAGCGCATTGATTCCAACAAATTGTTGAAAAAACATTAGAAAAACTCCAACTTGCGTGCGTTTGAAGCACCCTTTCTTGAAGCAGTCGGTCCAAGACACAGCTTCGAGCTTCAGGGTACTTGCTATATCTCCTTTGCCGACGAGAGTGGGATGGCGATCGGCTAGAACTGAGATTTGGAACCGGGCCTCGGCAATGATCTCCATCCATTCGCGACGGACTCGTGGGTCAGTGTCTGGGAGGACGCGGAGCTTACATAGGTTGGCAAGGGCCTCTGCTTCACGGCCCTTAGAGGCAAGCCACCTAGGAGAGTAAGGAAGGAAGACGGCGCCGAAGCCAAGGAGAAGACCCGGGAGGATCTGAATGAGGAAGGGCAGTTGCCACGACCAGTGGTTGGGGATATCCTTTGTACCGTAAGTAATCCAGAACGAAACGACGATTCCGAAAACGATGGAAAGCTGCTCGAACACAAGAAGAGATCCGCGAATCTCTGGGGGTGAGATTTCAGAGATATACAGCGGAACAACCATGGAGAGCCTATAATCATCAGCATTTGAAGAGGGTTAAGAACGTATGACGAGAATCTTGAGCTTACATGCCAATCCCCAGGCCTCCAACAAAGCGGCCACCAACTAGCATGTTGTAGTTGAGGGCCGCAGTCTGGATCGATGAGCCAATGGAGAAGATGACGACGGCAACCATAATGGAGCGCTTTCTAGAGATCATGTCGGCGATCCAACCCTGGTTCATTGCACCAATAAAGGCTCCCAAGGTGATCATTGCAGTCATGAGACCTTTCTTGAAACCAGACCCAGAAGCGTGATCCGAGACTTCGGGGAAGCGTTCGAGGAACTGATCCATAACCAGGGTGACAGAGATGACACCTTGATCATAACCGAAAAGGAGTCCACCGATGGCGGAGAAGGCAGCACACATCGCAACATAGTGGGAGACGAAGATGCCGCGGAAACCTGCCATGAGAGTCAGTGTTCGGCATAGGCATGGTCGGGGACGAGTGCGTGCATACCCGAAGGCCCATAAGGCTCCAAAGAGGCATCCGAAAGAACAGTCTCTTGCTGCTCTGCTGAGACGCCTGGGTAGATGGCCGAGGGTTTCTCCACCTCGGAGGCGGCAGTCGATCGATGACCCATCGTGTCAAAATGCTGAGGTCGAACAGTTAGCCCGAGGAATACAAACTTTGAAGGTGAGGTATATGTTGAAATGAGACGGCTTCATGACTAATATGAAGACGCAAGAAAGTGGCTTGGGATGAACTCACATGGGATGGGCTACACGCTCGGGAGTGCTAAAGAATATCTGCGTTGCAGGGTTTCCAAGAGACTTGCCCAGTCTGACGGACCGGAAAGACAACTTTCGGGGTATCACTGAAGAGAAAAAAAAGAAGTTTTGGTTGAACCCGCCCGCGTCGCAAGAATAGTAGATCAACGTCAAACATGGCACGCGACGACGTCTTTATAGAAACTCTGACATTGGGGAGCCACCCCATGGCCAAGCCGCCCCGACTATGCCTGTTCAGATTCACAACAATCAACATAGGGTCCACCTTGGAAAGACAGGAACTATGTGTTCACGCCTATGATGGGGAAGGGAGGGCACGGCTTGTACAATAGCCGTAACGGCCAATGGGTGGGCGCTAGTTGGTCAATATGACGAGAAGCCGCTAAATCGCGGGGCGCTTTACAGATGGGTTTCTGGGGATATTGGGGGAAGATGGGGAAGCCGTGGGTATTAGCGTGTCTTGGTCGGAGACGCCATGGCCATCGCCGGGGACACCCTTCGGCTATTGCTCCAGGTGAGAGTTTAGGTATCGACAGTAGAAAAAGTAGGACCGGGGTTATGCCTGCTCCGCGGCACTTGATGAGCCTGGCAGTTCCAAGTTGGTGGTTGTGACGCCACTTCGAAGCGGATTTGAACAAGTTCGAGTTTCGATGACAGTGTTCGGCGAACGATCCCTAGTGTCTCGGAAGACGGCCGATAATCGAGCACCCGGGTGGGACTACGGAGGAGCTTCGAAAGGAAATCGCTATGAATGGTGTAATTTGAGTCTTCTATCTGCTTCTGGGCCATAGAAGCAGATGGGAAGCTATTCCACGCACAACGGGGGCGTGGTTGTTAGAAGATTCTCGCAATGAGTTGCCCGTGGGGATGGATGGGGCATCGAAATGCTCCATACTCTGACCGCGGATTGGCAGCGCTTAGGCTCCTAGGCTCCATAAAGACTTGGGGATTTGGGCAAGACCTGCGGGGTTGAATGGCTGGCCTACCTATTGGGCTTGAGTCAGGGGCATCGCTAACGTGCATTAACGCCTTTCGTCATAACTCTAGGAACCAAAACACAAGGCGGCTTGATATGGTAATTCGAGCCGAAGGAGCCTCACCGTAGTGTGAGGGGAATCAGGAACTTTCTGCCCTTTTCACAATTCACAGGAACTCGCCCCGAGGCACACATTTCCTGTTCTCATCAACCAGGAAATGCTTTAATCACACCAACGTCCCTGACCTCGCTGCAATCGCCTTGAACTCACCAAGAAAGCAGGACTGCAGAACAACACACGGAGGCGAAAGTCAAATCATGTCAACGACATGTCTGGTTAGTTGACCCTGCCTGGCTTCTCCTCTTCCCCAGATTTGTCCGCCACCCCGTGCTCTGTGTGATACCCCAGATTCTGCTTGGAGTAACCGGGAGTTGTGGAAATGGTTCGCTGACTTATTCTGGGGTTGGTGATGTGGGATGTGGGATGTGCGAGATGACAGGCCCTCGGGCTTTACATTCCCACTGTAACCCACATCAGCATACACGCAACTCCAAGCACAATATTAGACTTGCAAAAAGCAACACCTCAAATGCGCGTGGAGCGCTGATGACGCTTCTGCCTCAGGCCCGTCATCCTCTCGGTCCGATATCTCATGTATCCGATGCAGAGCGACTGGCAAGCAGTGCGTACCGGCCCCCACTGTTCGGTTCAAGCATTCCACCGAGTAAGTCATGGCCATCTGACTCTCTTTGCGTCTGCCATTCTGGAATTCTGAAATTCTTGGATGCGTCTGGGGTTCCTGCCCGGATGTGCCCGACTCAATTTGCGATTTGCGACGTTCCTATAGCGCATAGCGAAACCGAAACCCACCGCTTCAATCTCGTCACGGGGCGCGACGGTACCCCGTAATGCATCTCTGCGGGAACGCTGATCACTAACTATGGGCTCGTTTCGCCGGGTTTAGGACGCCGAGCGCTACGGAGCAGACCTGGGTGCACTATCCGCGGCGATGTAAGTGTTGCAGTTCCACAAACCAACAAACTTGGCACATCACACAGAGGGTCAAACGCTGCTCGAAACGGCGATTTTTACTCCTCTTGGGCGGATCTTACTGAATATTGTTTCTTTGAAAATTGCCTAATTCGATTGATAGTACATTTTGTCGATGAAACTCAGGAACTAAAGGCCCTTTACTGGTCTGAACACAGCAGCCCGCCGCTGTCATCGGCGGAGACGAGACGTGTAGATCCACCCGCTGTGGAACGACAGTCCGATGACTTGGCTCCCATCACCGATGAGAGTAGCCGAGATTATCGTGAGGCCCAGATTGCAATACCGAGTCCATTCAGCCATCCTACGTCCACGCCCACAGCAAGCTGGAAAGAGGGGCAGACACCAATTCCCCTACGCTCCATCTACAGCTCGATACCAGCAGGATCAACTCTCGGGTTGGCCAACTTCGAGCATCATAATGATGTTGTCTTCCCCTTCACTCGACCGCATGAGGTTCGGTTGATGAAGTATTACTTAGAGTATATGTGCACCTGGGTTAGTCGTACTGTTGACTGTGCCATGAGTTACTACCACCCTGCATTGTTCTGACCGTTTCCTTTAGTTTGACCTCTGTGATGCAAGACGGCACTTCGCCATCGTTGTGCCTCGACGAGCAATAACGTGCCCAACACTGCTTAACGCCATTTTCGCCCTCTCCTCCCGTCACCTCAGTCTCAACGGACAGTACGATCCCTACGCCTCAGACCGCTACCATCAAGAATGTCTCAAGCATCTAACGACCATTTCCAACGACTCGTCGGCCCTAACCAACGATGACCTCCTCGCCGCCACAATTCTCCTCCGCACCCTCGAGGAGCTCGACGTGCCCTTGATCGGAACAGACCATGAAGGCCATCTGCTTGGCATCCAGCTCTTCATGAACACCCAAAATGCCTCGTCGACGCCTCCAAGTCCGCTTCGACAGGCATCTTTCTGGGTCGGGCTCAGGCAGGAAATTACCTTAGCATTCGCGACCCAGCGGCCGATTAAGGTCAAGCTCGACCACTTGTTCATCGACCGATCCTTCTCGCCAGCGGACGATGACTGCTGGGCGAATCGGATCGTAGTGCACTGCGCCGAGGTCGTCCAGTTCTGCTTCGGCGAGGTTGTGGACAGAAAGAGCGAGTACAAACGTTTGGTAGAATACGACTACAACTGGCTGAGAGCGAGGCCGTTGTCATGGTTGCCTATTGCATACTCGGAACCGGACCCCTCATCAAGCATGGTGTTTCCACAGATATTCTATATCAACCATGCCGTAGGTAAGTATCTCGTATACTAGTGTCTCCTGGCCATAGTAGAGATGGTTACAATGCAGCACGATGCGCTAACCCCTTACAGTTATCGGAAACGTGCACGCAGCGCTAGCTCGAGCCTTACTAATGTGCCACGACGAGAGCATCCCCAAAATCGGTCCTGGCCGAATAATGGCCAGAAAGAAATTGGATGTAAGCCTACTACTTCTACCAACTGCTATCTCAGGACCTCTCTGACCAAAGCTCGCAGGACGGCATCCGCATGCAGATACGGGAATTGTGTGGTGCAGCTCTTTCCAACAAGTCAACCATACCCGCTATGATTACGGCGTGCATGGGTGTCACTGCATGCGGTGACAGGTTTACGGACCAGGCGGAGCAAAGGGCTCTGCTAGACATTCTGGTAAAGACGGATGTCGAACACAGTTGGCCGACTGCTTCTGCGCAGTCTCATCTCAAGCGGGCATGGGGGTGGGAAGACGACTCGTAAACAGCTGGGGGCTTTACTGGCGACTAGCTTCTGCGAAAGTTCAATTGTCAACGCACTCCGCGTGCATATATGCAATGGCTTGATGGTTGCCAACATCTCGAAACAGGGCTAGTGAGCTCTAGCCATACCCTTTCCCTGGCCATAATAGGAAAATTTGACGCGCCCCTCGCCAATAATCACGATGGTAGTTTCGTAAGGAGTACATGTCCAGCCAGTCTATGAGGACAATCACTATTGTCGAAGCATTAAGGCCACCCACCCCGCCCCAGACCCCGTACCCCGCACCCCAGATAACCGGTTAAAGGCGGGGAGCGCGTTCCAGCTGAGCGGATCGAAGTGATGCGGAGGATCAGATGCCTAGACTTTATTCTATGCAGGCTACATGGTATCTTTGACACCTGCATCACTAATCTACTAATCTAATAGCTACCCCAAATTCAATAGGCTTCCTCTGGCCCCTAGTTGTTGGGGTAAAGGTGTGCCTGTATGACTTCTCGCTACAGGCCTCAAGGCCGGGCTGACTTGTCCGGCTCTCCGAATTGAGAACCGGGGCAAGTTGCCCCGATCAAGCCATTGACCAATCCAAGTCTCTTCATTCAACATTTCCAGTGCCCCACTTACCTCTTCCGCAACTTTGGGAGTGTTGGCCCGGAATTGTGTCTTACAACACCGTCAGTCCAAGTTTCGAAGTTTCGCCTCAACACGTTTTAAGCCTCTCTGCAACTCCACGTGCTGCAAAGACACAGCTCACAAGTGGGATCTTCTCCGCGTCGACAACGCGATTTTGTGGGATTGATGCTGCAGTCCTGCCTTTCACTGGTCAATCGATGAGAATTTGCTGTCAGGAATACCCTCAACCGCGTCAGTGGCGCCCCACGGACGAGCTATTATGCATCGTGTCGGGAAATGGTTTCCGATAAGAGACCGGTGAGCTATGGAGATGTTCAAAGTTCATACATAAGGTGGTAAGGGGCGCCGGTGTCCTTACTCCTAGAGCAAGTCAACAGCCTCGATCATTTGCGTCACTCGTGCCAGTACATGTAGAGGTGCGATTCCTGTCGTTTCTCGTCTTATCAGCTACTCGTAGTGATACCCCCCACCCGTTTGGTCCTCGTTCGATCGTATAGAAATCGACCTCCGGCGCACACCGCCGAGCCCTCACAATCATCTCCCACGTCGGGCTTCCCCTCTTCCAGAACCAGATCAGATTCCCAATGTCAGCAAAGAAGCTCCAAGTCGGCGTTGCCGGCCTCGGTCGCATGGGCAAGCGACACGCCCTCAACTTCCACCAGAATGTCCCCCGCGCGACCCTCGTAGCCGTCAGCTCCCCGGACGCTGCGGAGCGGCAATGGGCCGCCGAGAACCTCGCCCCTCACGGCGTCACAGTCTACGAATCCTACGACGACTTGCTCTCCCATAAGGGACTAGAGGCGGTCTGCGTCGCGTCGGCGACATCTGTACACGCGGAGCAGGCGATCAAGGCCATTGAGAAGGGAAAGCATGTGCTTTGCGAGAAGCCGTTAGGCACAACGGTCGAGATTGTAAGTCTCTACCCGGCAGGTCAATTCCTGGGATATTCCCAGCTTTCAGAGTTCAGCAGCTGACACGAGACGACTCAGTCACAAACCGTAGTCGACGCAGCATCCAAACGCCCCGAACTCAAGGTAATGTGCGGCTTCTCTCGCCGCTTCGACGCCTCCTACCGTGACGCCCACGCAAAGATGCAACAAGGCCTCATCGGCCGCCCCGCCGTGCTGCGCAGCCAGACTTGCGACGTACTCGATCCCTCTGGCTTCTTCGTCGCCTATGCAGAGTTTTCGGGCGGCATCTTTGTTGACTGCAGCATCCATGACATTGACCTCGCCCTCTGGTTCTTTGACGAGGAGAAGAGCAAAGTCAAGTCTGTTCACGCCGTGGGCATCACGGCCGTCGAGCCCGATTTGCGAAAACATAATGACCGTGATAACGCCGTGGGCACGGTCGAGTTCTACGATGGCAGGATCGCATACTTGTATGCGTCACGTATGATGGCCGCGGGCCAGGAGGACTCGACAGAGATCATCGGGACCAAGGGCAAGTTATCGGTGAACATTGTGCCGGCGGAGAACCACGTACGGATCTATCAGCCGGGAGGCATCCGCCAGGAGCTGCCACAGACGTACTGGGGCCGCTTCAAAGCTGCGTTCACGACCGAGGCAATTGAGTTCACAGATAGCGTTTTGGAGGATAAGCCGGTGCCGGTCAAGTTGACGTCTGCGGTTGCAGCAGTTAAAATTGGTGCTGCGCTCCAAGAGTCCATGGTCAAAGGCACTAAGATATGGTTTGACGAGCAAGGGAATCGTACAGAGAGAGCTCAATTATAATCTCTAACTAGCTCAAATCGTTCATGAAGTCCTTGCTGTATTTCAAAAAATGCTCTGAAACTGGGCCTGCTGACTAACCGTGGACTATACACTTCCGCTTTGAGGCTCTGTCTATTTCCCTCGTGTATCATATTTTCTTGTAATCGCTCATGTCTCGCATATCACTTATTTCCGCCGCAACGTAGGTCAATCAAGTCACATAAACAACACAACAAGCAGCCATTTCGGCCACCAGAGACCTAGATCTCCATTGCCGTTGCTGGCTCAGTGACAGATCCGGATAGGGTCATGATGAAATAGACCGGTTTCTCCTGTATATTCCAATTGAGGAGGCGACGGCATCAACCTTTCGTCCCGAGTGGCATGCTTTAAGCCAAGACCTGTGTTGAAGGAGATCATCCTCACAAAGTCCCCAGATAGCGGTGCTCCTTGTCATCCAGAGGATTACCTTCGATACCAGGTCCATCAAAGTCGCACTTGATCGAAACATCCGAGTTGGACACCTTTTCGCTAGTGGAGGAAAAGCTTGCATGCGCTCGGGGTGATTTGGGCTAACAATCTTGATATTGTATTATAGGCTGTTCATATCTATGTGTAATCTTCTCGGTTCTTCTGCTTCTAAGGAGTCATTCGTACAACCCTCTGGTCTCACAATGGTCAGCGATTTGTTTCGAGTGTTCTTGCTTGAGCTAGGCTGCCTATACACTAGCTTTCCAGAAAGCTTGAGAATCCGGCGGATCCTGGAAATGGTCCGTAGTGGTCAAGCTCGGAATGGTATCCCAAAAGCCGTTGGACGAAGTACGTGAATAAAGTGCCATGCTTATGCACCACTTTCCAGCAGACAGTCAAGGTTAGATCAGTGTTTTCCACTTACGCAATACAGTTTAAGGTTTCCCTGGCCCGTAATTCTGAGCCAGCAGTCTTCACAGTGGCTGTTCTTCTTCGTGCGCTACCGGAGAAAGGTCCGGGAAACATGATAAGAAAAGTAAGGAGGGTCAATTTCCTTCCCAAGCTTCACATCAACGCCCGCCACACAGCCTCACTCCCCAGCACAAGCAGTCAAATATCAACAACCTTTAGATACGCCTGGATTCAATGGCTACTACAGTAGAAACAAAGATCCTCATCATCTCAGACACCCACGGCCTGAGTTTCTCCCGGGATGCCACGCCTAAAGAACGATTCGATGTAGCCATCCATTGCGGCGACCTCACAGATCATTCCAAAGTGGATGAATACGAGGAAACACTGAAGCTTCTGCATAAAATCAACGCACCACTCAAGCTCGTCATCGCCGGTAACCACGACTTTTCTCTTGACAGTTCGGCACTCCATAACATGATCGCGGAAGCCAATCAGAGATATGAGGAACCACTTGACTCATCCTTGGTTAATAAGGAATTCGGCGGCGACGGAAAGATCAGAGAAATGTTTCAGAAGGCGAGGAGCAGTGGCGTTCGTTTCCTTGACGAGGGTACATACCAGTTCACCCTCCAGAACGAGGGGGTTTTGAAAGTGTATGCCAGCCCATACATACCAGGAACTGAAGCATGGGCTTTCCAGTTTGCAGGTGCCCACGATTTCAACATTGAGAAAGGGACAGACATTGCTATTACTCATGGCCCACCGCACGGCATTTTTGACATATCAGGAGACAAAAAACGAATTGGCTGCCCTCAGCTTTTCCGCGCAGTTGCGAAGTCACAGCCTAAGATTCACTGCTTCGGCCACGTGCATGGAGGGTGGGGAGCCAAGCTTGTTGCCTGGAGGAAACAGATCCCGGAAACCCCTACCCACATGTCGGCAATCGACAATGCTAGCTCGGTCGTGCTAGAGAATCTCGGCCGGCATAATGAACCAGAGGACATTATGCGAGCCAGAAAAGAGAGATTTGAACAATATCGGTCACAAGGATACTGCGGGACGAGTCACGGGATGGGCGATGAACATCCCTTAAAGGCGGGTTACACATTGTTTGTCAACGCGGCAATCGAAGATGGCGGGACACTCGCTCGACCGCCGTGGCTTGTTCAGGTTGATCTGGAGACCGCCAAGTTAGGGGATTTGGCTGGAACCCTCCATGAAAATACAGTACACCCGGCCAACACCCAGAGCGCTTTTGCACCACTAGGATCAGGAAAGTCGGCAAAGCGAAAGTACGGCTCGGACTCGACAACCGAGAAGACTTACAAAAATCTCCGTTTGGAATGAGATCACTATGAAGCATTCAGGTTAAACAGCCATATCTAAACGGCAACATCAGCGCTTTCGATTTCGTGTCAAGGATGCCGCAATAGTCACGCAGGGAAATAATGCAAAAAACGCTGATGCCAAAGTTGCCCGGTGACCCACGCTCTATCAGACTGACAACTGACCTGTCCTCGACCTGAATATTGAGCTAATCAAAAGTATTTCTAGGAAGTTATTGTACTCAGCTGAAGAGAAAAATTGGGGCGGTTTAGTGACTGGCTGTCACCAATCAAAACAAACGCTGTGAAGGAAACTTGCCTTAGGGTGGCAAAGGATTCTGGCATCGAAGGTTTGAGATGGACTTTTATGACCCCGCCAAGAGATCAAGTTGCATTATATATAAATGATGTCCTAGGACACGGAATTTTGCTCAAGGGAAAGTTTTGTCCGCCGCTGTGTTTATCCCGATTACCGCTTGTGCATGATGTGACGTAGACGAGCAAGATTGAGGCTAAGTCAAACGCCTCCTGAGGTCGACGAACCGGTCAGAGGGACAGTCAATAGAGTCGAGGCGGTTGAATTCGGGATTCAGGCTCGTTGAGCTGTCTGCCGTCATGGTGTTGGAGAAGATGCGGACTGGCATGCTCCCATAGTCAAGTCGAATCGGTATGGGGGCCTGGGTGCGAAGTTGATGAAATAGCTTGTCATAGTTGCAATAACAGGCCATATCCTCAATTAGTCGCCGCGTTCAAGATATGCCACACTTGGTCTGAAGTCAAGAGCAAAGCGGGAGGAACCCGAAGATCGACACTGAGGCCAGGAATGCGGATTGTTCATAAGGGGCACGGCACCACTGAGGCGCCGAGCGGTATACGATCGGGTGCCGAAGGACAGCGTTTTCCACAAGGATGAGAGGGCAGCTTTTTTAAAGAGTCAACAAAAGAAGTTGCCGGCGGCGCAAAGAAGAATAATACCCGAGCCAGTTGATCCCTTCCTGCTGGTATGTCCCGGTGCGATCATTCCAAAGTAGGGCCGCTTGCATTAGTCAACACCTTCCTCGATAATATGCCGTGCAAATCCGGAGGGAAACCACAGTGTAACAACGATCTTGAGGTCACCTCTCACATGACAAGAACAACCTAGGTAGAGCGGTTCGAAGTTTGCATTGCGCTAAATCTACAAGCGGTCCCAAAACTTTCATTACTGCTTAGGTGCTTTCAACCGCGGTACCGTCTCATCCGGCCAGTAATAACCCTGGAACAATAAGCATACGTTGCAAACACGCTCAAATACTCCAGAGAGAATCTACATCGACAGCATCAAAGACATCATCGTCATCGAATACGCCGTCTTCATCGCCTGGCCTCGTCTCACTGTCATCGACGGTTCTTTCGCTGCCCCCATTCTCGATCGCTTCCATGCGCAATATGAATTCCTCCCGGAGACGAGTCAGGTAGCTCCTCATGGAAGATTCGTCCATTTCCGAATGACTGACCTGCCTCAGATGCTCATGCAAATTGAGGATAAGCTTACGACGGTTGAGCATCTTCCTCGCCTCGGACCCCTGCTTATTTCGCTCTCTCTGCTGGCGTAATGAGACGGCGACTTGTTCCGCTACCTCGAGAAACCGTTTCGGAAAAGGCATGGCCTTCGCAAGCGTGATCCCATACAGTATTTCCTCGTTCTTCCCAGATTCCACTTTATAAAGCATCGTCATCTTGGGCACGCCGTCAGTTGTCGTAGACGTCTGCGTAGTCAGGTGGAGATTCAGCACTCCGGGGCGATCAGCAAGGACATCAGCTGCTCGAAGTCAACTCCAAGTTCAAATCAACATTGGGGGCTTCGGAAACTCTTACCAAGCTCTGTAAAGTGCGTGGCAAACCACACTGTTGCATGACTTTGGATAAGGGCTTCAGCCATGGCAATTGCAATAGCAAGTCCATCCCTGGTACTTGTGGCTCTGCCAAGTTCATCGATGATGACAATGCTTTTGTCAGTGACATTGCTAGTGGCTGTTAGCACCGAGCCAGAAACTTGCCGGGATTGGGATGAACCTGAGAATGAACGCCATCTCTCGCATTTCCAAAGAAAAGGTTGACATGTTGGACTCAATTTTGTCGTCTGTGGTTACCCGCGCAAAGATATTGTGGACAATAGGAAAGCTGGCATATTCGACTGGCACAAAGCAACCAATTTGTGCCATTATCTGAAGCAATGGAATGCTTCTGATGTACGTAGTTTTCCCACTCATGTTGCATCCGGTGACGATTTGGAAGCGATAATCATCTGTAGCGTAGTAGTCATTGGGAACAAAAGGGGCCTTCAATATCTGTCTCCTTGTCAGCTTAGGATGGAGGAAGCTGATGTATGGCCGAACCTTGTCCAGAATTGGATGTCTGGCGGCCTTTAGTGCCAGAGTGTCTGCTATCTCGGGTCGCTTCCAGTCTTGTGTAGAACTTGCTTGCGCAAATGATGCGATCATGTCAAGAAGAGCGATGCTGTCGCAGACGCGGTAAAGGGGTTGCAGCTGCGTACGGATGCTGTCCATAAGGTCTTGGATCACTTTGTCGCTAAGCATGACGACCTCAGCAACGGAATCCGCAATTCTTTGGTTGAGTTTCTTGAGTCGCAGAGTCAAGCATTCGATGTAGGGACCCTTTCGTGTTTGGTTAACAAGCACCAGGGGCACTTGGCGGTCCTCAAAGTCAACCGCCCGTAGCCGAATCCAGTACTTGCGGCCCGTGTCATATCGGAGGTCGGCCTCGATGTTGTATTCTTCTGCAAATTGATAAGCTTCGGTAGGAATTGCAGGAAGCCAATAGGAGCGGTTCTTACTATTAAGCTCCTCCACATGGCTATGTACGTCATTCGTATTTTCTTTATATGCCTGTCGAGCGACATCGAGAAGACCATTGACTCCGGACTGGTGTTGAGTCAGTCTAGCCTCCACCACAAGAACGAGTTATCACCTGCCTTCACTGCAAAGGTTCTCTGATTCCGAAGATCGAGAGCTGAATTCACATATGTGACATCTTCGATGATGCCCTCATAGACAAGGTTTCTGACTGTTTCCGTAAGTTCAGGTCGACAGAGGTCTCGTATCTTGGTGAGGAGGGGCTTGTAGCGGGCTCCAGTGCCTGGCATATCGCAGGTATAGCGTCCAGAAATGTTTTGACCATCAGGACATGGTTCATGGCTCTCTCAGATGCCTCTACGGATGGCTTATTGGGTATGATGACGAGCTGAGGCTGTTAGCCTAGCCTGTTGGGGGGTTAAGATCTTTCAGTTACCTGGGTCAACACACTTTCGATGTCCAGAACAGATTTCAGCGCTTTGAAATATTAGCAGTGAGCACATTGGATCAAATACATATTTTCTACCTTCTCGAACTCCTAAAAACATCTCATGATTAGCAAGAAGCTCCTCTAAGGCATCATATCTTGGCTCAAGGTACGAGTCTTTTAGAGTTGATGGTTGGAGCAGGTTGCTCCGAAGCACTCTACTGCCCATTGGCGTCCGCGTGTGTTTGAGGATGCCGAACAGAGTATCTTTCGACTTCGAATTGCGAAGGTTTTGAAGGATTTCGAGTGACATAATGGTCGACACATCGATCATCATTGTGTCCTCCGAAGGCTGGTATCGTATGCGAAGAGAATGAGGGATGATGCACAAGGAAAACTCGACTTCCAGAAACTTGATAGTCTTTATCATAGTCAGCAATTGTGGCAATATTGGGTAGAGAGCTTCTCACCGCACAGAAAGAGCAGGTTGCGAAGAAGCTGCCTCCAATAGCCACTTTGATAGCTTCTGCATCTTCTCGAAAGGCAAGGGTCTGGATACGCTCGAGTCCTTCCACTTCTGACCAATGCCTCCGGTCGAAGGGAATGATTCTGATATCTGGCACATGCTCTTCAATGTGGCTGTAGAGCCTAGATTTTGGGTTCGGCGGACAGCAGGAACTGACGATCAGAAGATGCGATGGCTCCATGATCTGGAGTTTGTGTAGAGTTCTAACGAAGAACCTGTTATCGGAGATTTGACTGAGAATAGCCTCACCAGTGTCGACATTGAAGAAAGAGACACCGACCGCCGGGGTGATCCCACGACCTTCGTTTAGTGCGCACACGATGGTGTGTTTCTCGCTGTACGGGAGGAAAGGGGTTTGCGAGGTGCGACTGGTGTAGGAAGTGCTCGGCCTAGTCACGGCTGTTTGCTTTCCTGCCTGGCTATTTTCGTTGTGATAATAGTCATAGCTCGTGGTGTAGGCTGTGTCAGAAATGGTAGCCCTTGAAGAAGATGGCGCCAGTGTTCTCGTAAAAGGAGTGACCCTATTCGGAGTCCTTGAGAGACCATCTTCTCTAGGAGTGACCTGGGAGAAGTATGGAGAGGCTATTCCATCGTGTGCTGGCGTCTGTGGTGGTGCTGTAGTAAAAGATGTCGTCGGCGAAGCCTGGGACGCCCTTGAGACCCGTGTGTGTCGAGGGTTCATGTTGCTGGGCAGATTCAGAGAGTCCAAGACTCCACGCTGTCAGAATGTGGTGAAGACCTCCAATAGTTGGGAGCAGGAACTTGGTCTCTAGTACAGAGTCTCTCGAAGCGCGTCGAATTCATCGAATAAACAGATGTCGGTGGGAGAAGATCGAACATCACTACAGAATGGACAGTCACGAACCAGCACGCTCCTGCCCGACTTACACGGATGAACCGGGGTTGTCCTGACCAAGTCTGGGGGTGGAGCCACAGACACAAGCCACATACGGCACGGACCACAAGAAACATTCCAGCCACCAATGCGATGTCGAGGGGTGGAGTCAAGTCGTCATCCCCACGGCCCCAACACGTTTGGAAGAGTTTGCTACAGGCTGTTCTAGCAATCCGCACAGCTCTGCGAAGCCGAACCGCGTCGCGCCGCGACACCACGACTCGAAACCCCCATCTCGACCGAATCGAGTCTGGGAGCACGAGGCGAAGCTATCGCGACACTGGTTCCCAGCCGTCGCCGCTCGTCGCCAATATGTTTGGCATCCTGGGCGCCCGCGACCGCAGCGACGGCACCGAGGAATATGCCTCGTTCGACGAGCTCTTCGCCGCGCTCAAGTCGCGCATGCAGAAGGACGGCTACAAGGTCGTCAAGTCACGGACCCATCGCAACAAGGTCGGTGGCACCTACGAGAAGGGCAGCGAGGTCGTCCGATGCGACCTCGTGTGCGACCGAGGTGGGCAGCCTTACAAGTGCACCGCGACGCAGCTCAAGACATCGACGAAGAAAACCAACTGCCCGTGGAAGGCCAAAGCCGTGAATCGTAAGACCCTGGGCAAATGGATCTTGACGATCATATGCAGCGAACACAACCATGAGGCGCGAACGCCTGATCCGCCGACCGACGAGGAAGACGCCGACGCAGAGGGAGACGCCGACATTGTCCAGGATACGCCAGCTGGTATGTTTCCCCTAGAGGCCGTCGAGCTGTCGCCATATACTAACACGGGTAGTTCCTGAGGTGCAGAGCTCTGGTCCGGCGCCAGATCCTACGACAGCCGCCCTTCTCGCCGTGGTCGGTGTCACGCCCAACACGATGCGGCTTACCGGAGACGTCTTCCACAACTTCAAAACAGAATACCGGAAAATGTCGAAGCCAGAGCGCCTTGGCATACTCGCACAGATGCAACTACGCATCGCGGCCATCTACGCCGTCGAGAACGAAGACATGCAGAGGCAAGAAAGGCAGGCCAGACAAGAGAAGAAGCATCAAGAAATCGAAGAGAACCGCCGTAAGTCGCAAAGCGCGCAACAACCACAGCAACAGCAACAGCAACAGCAGCAGCAGCAGCAGCAGCAGCAGCAACAACAACCACAGCAGCCGCAGCCGCAGCAACAGCAAGCGATGCCTCAGCAGCAGCACCAGCTCCAGCATCAACAGGTGCAACAACAGCAGCACCAACAACAACACCAGCAGCGTCAACAGCACCAACAACCACAGGTACAGAATCACAATCATAACCATAACCATAACCACAACCACAACCACGTCCAGCAGCAGATGAGCCAGATGTCTCGGGACGGCATGGCGGGGATGCCGAAACACCCGTTCGAGCAGACTGCCCACGACGAGCATGCGCAGTACAGAGACCGGCAAGCGGAGATGGAGGAAAGGAACCAGAGGACGATGCAGATGCATGGGCAGCAGATGAATAATGCGTTCCAGCAGAATGCCGTCCAGCAGACGCCCATCCCTGTGCCCCAGTTCGGCATACAGTCCGGCATGCAGTCGGCACCGCCCAACGCGGCTGTGTTCCGTCACTACGCGGCGACGCCCACAAACAATGCCGTCCCGCAGGGAGCTGCCGGAGGATCGACGGCTACGGGAACGAAGCGGCGCGGCCGGCCCAAGAAGACTACAATGGATCAAAGCCTCGACGCCAGTCTTCACATGGCGAGGTAGTACTTGGTAGTGATGGGTTGGGACGAGGGCAATGGGCCCGAGGTAGACAGACTCGGGGTGTAATATGAACGGGGGGGTGCTTATGGACTATACCGGACGGAGGAATCGGGGGATGGCGTTTATAAGGACATCAGCGCAGCAGGCTGTTTTTCTTTCTTCTTGCTGGAAAAGCACACATCTGGGAGGAGGAGCTGCAAGGATGGCTGGCTCTCGGAGTTTATCATCACCGTCTGAACCATGGGGTTTCTTATCTTATCTATTGGCATGCTCGCACTAACAGAGATTCCCTTGGATCCCCACCCGCACCTGCTAGCGATGACATTTTTTCCCCCCTTCCCCTGCAGTGGGGGAAAATCGAAGGGGAAAAAAAAAACCGTCGCAACCACGGGCGAGTTTTGGCCGATGGTCCCTGGTCCACCGGGTGCGTCCCCGTCCTTTTTCAAAATTTCTGCCCCACCATCCCGCATCGCCGTGCTTGAAATCTTTCCAACAACGACCCAAGGCGGTCACAAAAACAAAAAAAAGACAAGCATCGCAACAAAATGTCGACGGTGATACCCCCGCCCTCGAAGCGCCAGAAGCGCGAGACCCTCGCAAAGACCCAGACGCAGCAGGATGTCACGGCCGTCGCCCCCGGGCTTGAGGGCTCGTTCAAGGCCCGCTTCGTCGACGGCGACGGACAGCAGCTGGCCGAGGTGATCGAGGTGCCCCTCGCCGACGCCTCGGAGAAGAACCTCACGCTCCTCCTCAACACCCTGCAAGGCAAGGCAAGTCGCCCTCTCCTTCGAAGCAACCTCCCAATCGCTGTTTCGCTCATTGTCTAACACTGAAGAAAAAAAAAACAGGACAGGGAAGAATTCCTCCCGTACAAGTTCCGAATCCACATCCCCGACACGGACATCATCGTCGACCAATACCCCACGAACCTCCTCGAGCTCCTCCGCAGCCATGGCGTCGCCAACCCGTTCGAGACGACCGTCACGCTCAGCGCCGAGCCCCAGGCCGTGTTCAAGGTGCAGGCCGTAACGCGCATGGCGCACCGCATCCCCGGCCACGGCGAGGCCATCCTCTCGGCCCAGTTCTCTCCCGAGACGAGCAAGCGGTTAGCGACGGGCGGCGGCGACAAGACGGCCAGGATATGGGACACGGAGACGGGCACCCCCAAGTTCACCCTCGCGGGCCACGCCGGCTGGGTCCTCTGCGTCGCATGGTCCGCCGACGGCCGCCGCCTGGCCACGGGCAGCATGGACAAGACGGTCCGCCTCTGGGACCCCGACAAAGGCGTCGCCGTCGGCCAGCCGCTGACGGGCCACGCGAAATGGGTCACCAACATTGCCTGGGAGCCCTACCACCTCTGGCGCGACGACACCCCGCGCCTCGCCAGCGCCAGCAAGGACGCGACGGTGCGCATCTGGGTCGTTAACACGGGCAGGACGGAGCACGTCCTGTCGGGCCACAAGAGCAGCGTCAGCTGCGTCAAGTGGGGCGGCACCGGCCTCATCTACACGGGCAGCCACGACAAGACGGTCAAGGTCTGGGACGCCGTAAAGGGCACCCTCGTGCACACGCTCTCGTCGCACGCCCACTGGGTCAACCACCTCGCCCTGTCGACCGAGTTCGCCCTCCGGACGGGCTTCTTCGACCACACCCCGACCCCGGACACGGAGGAGGCCCGCCGGGCCAAGGCCAAGGAGCGCTTCGAGAAGGCGGCCAAGATCCAGGGCAAGGTCGCCGAGCGCCTCGTGTCGGCCAGCGACGACTTCACAATGTACCTCTGGGACCCGTCGCAGGGCACCAAGCCCGTGGCGCGCATGCTGGGCCACCAGAAGCAGGTGAACCACGTCACCTTCTCGCCCGACGGCACGCTCATCGCCAGCGCGGGCTGGGACAACCACACCAAGATCTGGAGCGCCCGCGACGGCAAGTTCATCAACACGCTGCGCGGCCACGTCGCCCCCGTCTACCAGTGCGCCTTCTCGGCCGACTCGCGGCTGCTCGTCACCGCGTCCAAGGACACCACGCTAAAGGTGTGGTCCATGGCCACGTGCAAGTTGCAGGTCGACCTCCCGGGACACCAGGACGAGGTGTACGCCGTCGACTGGAGCCCGAGAGACGGCATGCGCGTGGGCAGCGGCGGCAAGGACAAGGCTGTCCGGCTGTGGTGTCACTAGAGGCGTGTGTGTGTTGCGGTGATGATGGGTTTTCGGCATCTAGACTACGGATACATAAAAGAGAATATACCCCCTTTTTTACCATTTGACGAGCAACATTGCTCGGCCGCCGTATTTGATATTGTGTGCGTCTGATATCTCCAGGGACTGTGAAGCATTTCCGGATTTGACTACGTCAATTTCCAGTGGCTGCTCGGTGCGGTGATTCCACTAGTTGTTGCTCCTAGAAACTGACGGTCAATCTTGTATATGTTACCTACGCAGGTGGAATATATACTGGGCACACTGGGTCAACAAATTCCTGAGATCGCCTTGATAGATGCTACGGCACCGCCGCGAAGCGTCGTTTCCCAACGACTACATGTAACCTAACTTGTGACGGTGATAAAAAGACTGTTCTTTGAAATAACCCGATCTTCCGTGTGAAGGGCACCGCTCAACAGGCACACCCGAAAGAACGCCGTCAACAGCTGACGTTGAGGTTGCCAAAGACACCGCGATTCATCGTCCAACGGCGGGCCGTTCAATCACAAATACGTAATGGCCAAGCCTCGATTGCATATTCAACAGCCCAGACGCTCAACCTTTGCCAATTGATCAGCCAAGACCCCGATACTTCTCCAAGCCACACAGGAGCCCATGTATGCCTTAATTATGGTTGACCACCGTTGCCCGGCCGGGCAGGCGTCCGGGCCGGCCCACCTTTCGACTTCGGCCCCACTCGCGGACCAACGGAGTTGCATCAGGTCCCCTGCGGCAAGTTAGATAGGATGTGACGGAGCGTTGGCGTTTGTAACAGGTGTCCTGCAGGTAAAGTCACACCATGAAACCGTTGGTAGCTCTCTAGCTCGAGAAAGCCAAATCTAGCAATATCATGTGGTCATCCCCTCGACTATGTTACATGAGGTAAACCTGTGATGATGCTTCCTCGTGCCGGAACATCGTGAGGCGGTTTGCCATCATACACCGACAAGCAATCACAGTCAGAGCATGCTAACAAGGCGTGAAGAGATACAGTGACCGACAAGTGTCCATACACGATCCTGATCATCACCTGTACCTTTCGATCCCGTGCAGAAGTTGCCGATCCCAAGAGCAAGAGCAAATCAAATGGCCATGCTCGCTGTCATGATAGCCACGAGGTCACGCGTTCACGGGATTAAAGAGCCTTCGTGCTTCTCGGATGCAGATCCAACGAATCAGCATGCTCCGAACTGCCTGGCAGACCAGAGAGGCTGAAGGAACAGTGGTCGAATGGAGATCCTCCTCTCGCAGACGCCGCACGTCAAATGCTGCATGTCCTTCTGCAACGTATCCTTGGCGTCAATCCGTCAAACCCGATCACCCCATCTGCCCCTTTCCCCCAATAGCGAACTCTCATGGCCAGCATCTCTCCGCATCAAGGGCGGCCGTCTGGATTGGGCTACAGAAGTTCGTCCTACTAGTGGGAATGTGCACTGCTGTGGACACACCAGTGCGTTATATCACAGAGGGCGACACCAGCGCTTTGGCGGAATGACAGGGCCGGGCCGCCCCTAGTAAGCTATTATGCTGAGGCCATGTCCGATCCAAGCCGAACATATGGCCTCCTGGGCCGAAAAACCGAGCGCTAGTCAAGTTGCTAACTTTGGTACCTCTAGGGGATAGTTGGGTGATGGCCGCCGAGCCACCGTGTCAGGTTGTGGGCTCAAGAACAAGCCATTTGTTCGAATGGGTGGCTACGGACAGAGGGAGATGGATCGTGTGTTGAGGCGTAGGTCCCAAGCTTGGAATACATGCCCGTTTCGAACAAGATTGGCGTGGAAATTCTGTCACAAATGATGGTTCTTTTTCCGCATCCAAGCAGCCGGACACATGCAAAGCGGCTGGTTCGCAATCAACGTCCCAGGGGAAATAAGGCCGGAGCTAATTCGCTATCGCATCTGCCAGCTCTGACGCGTTGCGTATCTCAAGAATGGACGTTCGCCATTTGACATTTAGCCTATGGAGGAGGTTGCAAGGTCTGAGAGCCCACTGCACCATCGGGAGATGTCGGGCGCTTGCCGTTCGCGCGCTTGACACAGGGAATGGCGACAGTACATAGTACACAGAGGGAGTCGAGAATCGAGGTTGGAGTTGATAAACGCGAGCCATCAAGTGCATGCAACATGGCGGCGCGGCTGGGGTCATCAGTTGGAGAAGAGGGTGGCTAGGGCCCGGGGTTCTGTTTGTGTGTGGGGAGAGATGGGACGGGGCATCAAACATCGAATGGATCCGACTGTGGGGTTTTCCGTCTGGTCTGCACTCTTAGCACTTTCACAGATGCCACGGGGCAGAGGTGAAAGTTGTGACTGGAGGGAGGATTCCAGATGCGAGGCCAAATCCGTCTTCCGGGGTCGATTGGGCCGCCATGGCCATCAGAGTTGCGGCCGTTGGGATTAGCTTCTGTGAATGAGGCATTTCCCGATGGGCAATGCTATGGTGTCGCGATGCCCGACAAACACCAAGAAGAATAGTTGATGATAGTTCAGACCATAACCCAAAAAACGGCTTTGCCGGCGCACTTTCCGATCTATTATCCTGTCATCGCCCTTAGCGAGTGCATCGGTCGTCGATGCAACACCTGAGAGGGCCGAACCTCAAGGCCGACGTGTGACATTGTCACCGATTTGGCTGTCTACTGCGCCGGGCAGGCCTCAAAGGATGACTGCGTCGTGAGGTACCGCCTGTGAGGGGCGAGGATGGCATCCAGACCGGGCTCCTCACTTCAACCGAGGCCTCCAAGCCCGATAACGAAGTGGTGTTTCGATGCACTGCTCCAATCTCCATGCCCAGCAGCCCAGAGTTTGGCAATACATAGTACGCGTCCAGGTTATGATGCGGCCCCTCATTCTCCTCTTGTCATCGTCAGCCCCTCACCTCCTCGGCGGCTGGATTGGTGGAGGGCAAAATAGCTGTATCTTGCAAGGACGCGTCTGGTGGTGGTGGTGAGCGTCTCCTTCGGGGCCCGTGCAGGAAGCACATGCTTCTAGCTTCTAGTGTGTGGAGGTGGTTTGGACTGCGGGCGGGGAGCAGTTGGGGGTGTTGATAGGACCAGCGGATGAGGCATGGAGTCTTGTCGAAATTCTTCACCAAACACGCCCCGACGGAAACCCAAAGGGCGAAGATTCCCCGCTCCGTAAGTCCCGTCCTCCGAATGTTGAGGTCTGTCTGTTGGTGGGCGCTGCCGAGCCACCCATTCCGTGCAAGTGGATGAAGCTGGGTGGGAAACTGGGCCGAACCAGCCGGCTGATTGATTAAATGACTTGCGTGATGGAGACCAGAATGGAGGTTATTCCCCATTCACGTCTCCAGAGGAACTCGCTTGTTACAAGGGCCGCGGCGTCCATCGCGCCGACAGGGGCTCTGGCCTACGACAATGACACCAAAGAAGGCGAAGAAGGAGAAACGTGGAACAGGAGCCCGAACCCGCATGGGGCCATGGGCCCGGCCAGAGCCGGCGTTTCTGCCAGGGGGGTGCCTGGACATGGGCATGGGTACTGCAAAAAAGGTGTTTGGAAGGTTGCTATGGCCGCTGGGGCAAGCTCTGTAGCCTTGTTAAAGGCCTCGTCATGTCCATTATGGCAAGCCGTTTGTCGAACACTCCAACGGTCACGGTTATCGAGAAGCTACTTAGTTGCCTCGAAGCCTAGAACGTCAGACGTGGCGTAAAAGGTTGCTCGTTGTGACTTTTGGGATCGGCATAACACGGGCCCAATGCGACGTGTGTCCGCGAGAACAAGCTCTCGGAGTTGCGTCGCCAAATTAAGTCGGTTTTGGGTACACTTAGTGGGCGATGATGTGGTGATGTTCTGACGACGGGGGATTGTGCTGGTCGAAGCTTTGGAGCAATGCAACGAGGGTTCAGAGACGATGGAAAGTCAAACGTAATACGCAAGACGATGCCAGGTCAGGATGTCAGGGTCGTCAACTAGAGACGCGGCAAGCGGCAAACAATCGACCGGAGCATCGTGGTCGTCGGCACCCGGGGGTTCGTCAGCGAGGCGTGTCCGGACGTATGGCTGGAGGAGGGCCACGCGACGGGCTGCGAGTGGACGATTTTGTTGGTAACCTACCAGCTCGAAGGGCGTTCATCGCAAGGCGAAGCCAGACGCATCTGGGCTACAGCGTTTGGGCTGTGCTGGTGGTAGGGTAGGGTAGGGTGAGGTGAGGTGAGGTGCATGTCCAGCGTCGATGTCCATATGTGCAGGCGGGCGCCATGCATGCGTCTCTGCGTCGTAGGCGGCGGCGGCAATCTAACAGGACGAGGCATAGTGCTGGCATGGTGGTATCACAGAATCATTGGGTGGCGGGCGATGGGCTTGCCGAATCTCGTCGGGCAAACAAGCGAGGATGTGGTGGTGGCTGCCATGGTTTGCTGGTGTTGAGCAACAAGAGAGATGAGATGGTGGTGGTGGTGTTGCTGTTTAGTGTTAGTGTTTGCGTTTCCCCTCATTTCCGCCAGGAGGAGAAAAGAGGAGCGAGGACGAAGAAGAGGGGTTGACGAGGGGAGACGGGACGACGTCGACAGAGGGTGTGTTGTAGACAGAGAGGGGAGATGCCACATGATGGCCCTAGGCGCAAAGACACGATGCCTCCTCCCTAATTACAGAGTGAGTACACGTTCTCGCGCTACCCATGGCCGTTAGACTTTGAGACGGCAACTCCCTCCTTGGGCCCGTGGGTGTGCCTGCCCAACTCCGACATCAGTGACTTTTGCGGCGCGTGTCACTGGCCAGACGAGACAGGGGCACATACATAGTATGCATCTAGCAGCCAGAGGCCGATCTCACCTGGCCCTTGAGCTAGGTAATGAGGCGGACGAGTCGAAATAACGATGGACAGGAGGCTCGTTCTCATACAGTACATGGTGAGAGCTAGCATCCCACCAAGGTTTGCAAACAGCGACGTCCAGTCGCGCGTGTGCTGTACTGGTGATCGTGATGGATTAAGGCCTGGCCCGGTCCTGGTCGGACAAATAA